CCCCCCCCCCCCCCCCCCCCCAACACCAAATGGCCCAGAGTCCAGGAACAAGTAGTTGTAGTGCCGCTTCAGGAAATACTACTTCCCGTCGAGTTTACGATATTCGTCCTTGTAAATAGTATGTCTCGTTGGGTCCTTTTGCTACCTCGTGCATGGTGAAACGGCCCGTTGCTTGGTCTCCGCTAATGTCCACCACGCCCGAGTGAACCAGCTGCACGAAGAAGTCCCATGTCCCGAGGAGTTTGTCAAGCACGGCCACGATGTCATCGACCCCGGTCACAGACGTACAGAAATGTGCGAAACTGGCATCACCTTTGACAACGTAGAACTATATAAATAAAGCTGTAAACCATCCATTTTGGTTGAGCCTCTCGATATTCCAGTTAAGCACGTGAATTTCTTAGAGTCCAATTATATTTGACTGTAATTTATCAATTGGAAAAGGTTGTTCTGATTCTGAGAAAAGGCTTTGATCATTTGAACGGTGTTTCATAGCTTGACTTGGCGTCTTTCCGCGGGCCTCTCGGAAGTACGGAGTACTGTGAGCATCGTCGCAATTTCCATACATGACTTGGTAAGCTTATCTCACCTGGTATTTAGATCATATTAACAGCTAAAATCTTCACTATATACACGACGCATCGATTTTATATTACTCAAATGAGACTTTCTTATTATTGATTGTGTAAGACAGCCTTTGCATGGCCATGCTTATGCGATAACGCAAACCCCATTTAGTGTTCGATTCGCCGGAACGACCAGCTAGTGGATTCATCCCATAATAGGGCACATTTACACTTGTCCTCTCTTTGAACGCTTCCACTATACAAGGTTTAAGGAATATTATACGTCTCAGGCCATGTCACAGTTAGTAGCAAAAAGTCAGGTACCTTGGGAGAGTCCCTAGGCCAGGGAGGTAGGGATAGAAAGCGATTCTCCATCCATATTTCTATCTACGAGAGCGCTCGTAGATTGGACTGAGTGAGCTAGGGCTCTCGTGGTATAACTTACTTGGAAGCATCTCCCGAAGTGATTACTCTAGCTGCGTCTTGTCCCTTGGCGGTACCATGATATACAATAACGGCGCGTACTGCTGAGTTCCCAGGGTGTCTCTCTCCCCGATACTTCCCTGCTCCCAAGGCCGTCTGATTGTTGTTTTCCACGCCATCGCCGGGTCGAAGTACATGTTTGTCAGGATGTCGTCGTCTTGCACGCGGTACAGCTTGCAGATGACGTCGTTCGTAAGGACATTGGCCTCCTTGACGCGCTGATATGCCTCCCAGGAGTCGAACATGATGTCCAGGGTCAACTCGAACGGGCCTGCGTTCTTGGATCGCACAATTTTGGCAATGTCCATCATCCGCACCGCTTCGTCGGACGGAACGGCCTTGGGCAGCACCGGCTCAGGTCGGCCCTTGACAAACTCTTCCAGTTCCTCGGCGGAATAGTGTGTTGATTCTGGCTCGGAGACAACACTGCCGGATCCAGCTATCGTGAGATGCGTCACTGGAAACAGAGCGAGCTCTTCGCCCCGCTGCAGGTCCATGAGGTGGTACACGTTCCAGCGAAACACGGCGCCGGCATCTTGCTCGTGCGGCGACAGAGGCGAAGCGAAATTGCCCGCCGTGGCCATTTGGTTACGGTAAGGCATGTGCAGGATCGACGCCCTCACGTTATTGGCGACGGCGTGCGATTTTTCCTGCGTCGGCGCCACGACCTCGCCGAGGATGCCGACTTCGTAAGGAACGGCGGCGGGAGCTTGGTGGTTGTTCGGTTCCAGAGGCCCCATGACTGCGTTTTTACCGTAAACCTGGAACTTGAGCTGGCAGCTGGGATCGCGGTCGAGTTCCGGGAACAGCTTGCGAGTGTACGCCCGGGCGGTTTCGAGGAACTCGTCGATCTGGGAGATAAGGATCGGGTCGCGAATGCCCCCGATGAAGATGGTGCGGTGCCCGAGTTTCTCGACGCCCTCGAGCTTGACCTGGTACGTGACGCTCGGCTCAAACCTGGCCCCTGAGACGCGCACCGTGCGGCCGTCTTCCAACGCCTCGTAGTGGACTCGGTCCAGGTTCAGCACTCCTCCGGGCCCAGGAAGGCGGTCGGGCCTCGTTTTCTCGTACAGCGTGTGCGCGGCGACAGAGACCGGCGTACATCGCTCAAAGGGCGAGACCGGAGTCAAGTCGAATGACGACTGCCTGACTCTGCCGACCATGATGCGTCCCTTGGGCAAGGCACAAAACGCTCCACATTCCATGATCTTTCCCAGGTACCACGCCACGCCGGGGTCGACGCCTTGGTGCAGACAAAACGCCGCAAAGGGCGCCGGGTCATAAGATCGACCCGAGAGAATTATGTCGGGGTCATTCTGTAGCGCTGAGAGAAACCTGAGAAAGTCGTATTCGTGTTAGAAACAAGTGAATCAAGTAAGAAGAATAACCGGACCACGTCCACCAAGATGGAGGAGGGAACTGATGGTAAGACCAGGGGTTGGAGGAGGAAGGGAGGGAAAGGGATCCGAACATACGGCTCAGCTCCCATCTGGCCAACGATCTCAATCGCGTTGTCGATGTCGTTGATCGTTAGATCTGGTACAGGACCACATGGATGTATTTGGGCTTTTTTGAGCTTGGCCTTGATTGTTTCGTGATCAAGATCCGTCGTGATGGTGGCGACTTTGAACGTGAACTTCTCTGTAGTTGCAATTTCGCGAATGATTTCCAGCATCTCGGCGACGTGTGCGTTGCTCCCATCGCCACCGGCCGAACTTATCAACACCTTCACTTTGCGGTAGTAGCAGGCTTGTAGCATCGGTCGAAGGTCTCTGATGTAGCTTTCCCGGCCGCATGTCATCTTGTTTAGGCCCAGCTTGTAGGGACCCCCGTCCGTGCTGCCAGCGTCAACAATGATGGCAGACGGCCGGTACTTGTCAACGCCGAGCCAGAAGTGGTCGCTACGAAACCCATATCCGAGGATCGCACATGGTGTCAAGATGGTAAAGTCGGATTGTGCAAGGCTACCCATGATAGTGGTGGTTGTAGTGGACTAGGGCTGGAATACCGAAGTCAGTCTAGGCGTTAGTTACCATGCGGTGTGTTGCTGGGGACCAGTGGCCATTTAGCAGAATGCAGAAGGTCACGCACTCAGGCGGCTTATATTGCTCTTGAATACTGCATAAGTGCAAGTAGCCCATGTTGAGTTGTAATCCAATTCTGGTACGACGTGAAACGAGTCATTTCCCTCGCAGAAGCCAGAGACGGGCTTCGGCTTGATGGCGACAAGCTTGACAGTTTCTCAACGACAATGAAAAACGCATCAATTCGACCAGACGAGTCTCTCCCAGGGCTAAGGAGTCTTCGGTATTATAGCGAGCCACACAGAGTTCGACGTTGTCTAACGCCGGGATATGGTAGGACAAGGCTGACTATACTTCTTCGGCGAATGCTTGGGTGGAGTGGTCAAGAGCAGTCTTCAAATTTCCATACTAGGACTGTTTAATTTAGAAGAAGTTCCGCCAGGTTTCTTAAAGTCTACACCTTGTTAATAAACATAAAATACACGGGCAGAATCGCCGAAAAGGAGTGGAATGCCCTTGTAATTAAAAGATTGCCAGAGCATTGCTGGGGCTGGCTACACCTCCATTGAGGTTAAGAGGGGAGCTTGTGATCAAGAATGTCCACTTTCCAAGTGCACGACATGTCTCAGAAAGCTCTTCAAGATCCCAAACTTCGCCAATGGGCATTCCCCATCCGCTGAGCAGCACCTCGTGGCAAGAAACGTCCCAAGGTTTCGCTGGCGGCCAGCTCTCGTAGGCATTTGTGTCGCTGGCCACCGCGGCAAATTGTGAGTCCCAGTGCCACCTGAGCATTTCTTCGCTTGCCTCGACCCCTACAAAACTTCTCACCTCCCTCGTTGCCAGCTGTAGCTTTTCCTCGCCGGCCAACCTGCGATACTCTTCTGTCCAGCCAGTCCTGATCAGTAGTATATCGCCAGCGCAGAACGTGATATTCTGTATCCGGGACACCTCGAGTAGCTGCTCGAGCGGTATGGCATGGGTTTCAAAAGGCGAATAGTTGATGCCGTTTTGCTTTGCATATTCTCGCCAGTCGAGGAGCACACCTCGCCCGACAATGCCGCGACGAGCCAGATCTGCGTCAGTTAGGTGGTCTACGCGATCTTATTCAATCAAGTGCACTCACTCTGTATGCCAATCTTGGCGTTCTTATCCGGCCCAGATATGTCTTCCTGAGTAGCTCCATTGTAGAATCTCTGCTGCTGCTCGATCTGGTAGGGATAGTGCCGAAGTCCATCCCAGTGGCTTGAGCTCTGCGTGTTCACATGAATCTCATCGTCGTTGGCATATCCTTTTGCAATGATTTTGTGCGAACATGGACTTCTCCGTGGATTCATGGGAAGAATAGGCTCTTCCAAGGGCAGGCTTAGAGGTACAACAATACCCCTACAAGCCTCTTGTGCGGCCATCGCAACTGCTTGTGACGTAATCAGGTTCAGAGTGCCAATTTCATCGTTATCTCCCCATAAACCCCATGCTGAGCACTTTGGGTCGCCTTCTCGAAGGGGGAGGTCATGAAAGCGTGGCCGCACGCGTTTGGCAGATGGCTCTAGAGGAGGGGTCGGGGGAAGCTCTTTGATTGAGGTATTCATTATGAACTTGGTGTAGAGTTCTCCCGTGAGGCTGCTTGACATACTGAAGATAAAACGTCGTCCATATTCACATTCGACGAAAGGAGTCGCCAAAATTCTTCTGCACTGCAAATTGGGTTTGCCTATATCAGTCCCTCGGCATGATGCCGAGGGACTGATATAGCCGGGAAGTGACCGAGCTCGTGGTATCAAGTTGCCGTCCTTTCCGGAGCTGTTCGAGTAGTCATCCCTTGCTTCAGCACTTTAAAGGATATTTTAACCGAGATTTGTTTGCAATCTCAGACGGTCCAGATGAGAATTGTCCGGGTGACTGAGCCTTGCTGTCTGTTGCGAGGCCGAGACTTTTCTTGCACTCTCGCGCTAATCCTGATGGGAATGCACTAAATACTTACTCACCAGCTTCAGTCAGTGCATTGCTAGCAGAGACACCCAACCTACCAGTCATCAGCTCACTGTTAGACGACGGGATCGCCATTATCGACGAGGCTCGAGAGACGTCTCATCGCTGTGTTCGGCATTGGCCTTGGCATGCTCTTGACCTTGTCCTCTTCGCCCTAATACCTCCCTTCAGAAATCTCGGATTACACACCATGCCACCTCATGCAAAGCGATATGGTCAGTCATGTTTGCTCTGTCGTCGAAGAAAGGTTCGCTGCGACGGATGCAAGCCGAACTGTGGTAGATGCGCCCACGCAGGCGAGCCGTGCATCTACGGCATTCAGGACTCGGCCGTGGCTCGCTTAAGTAATGCTTTGAACAGATCGGAACAACGCTTGAGACAGCTGGAGACAGAACTGGGACAGTTGTTGGCTTTAGATCCTATTGCTTGTCAGGAAGGGTTTCGGGCCCTTCTGGATCGTTCCTCGGTCTTAGAAGACAGGGGAAGGGGCAGCACCACTAAGAATCCTCCCGTCCCAGAGGATGTTTCTGCCAACGACGGATCAGCGCGTTCACCGGTGAATAGACACCACCAAACCACTCGGAGCGCTGACAATGGACTGGGAGATGAGGAAGAGGTGGAAGAAGTAGGTCCTAAGCCAGGGTTCCAAGGATGTTCATGCTAACCTTACTCAAGAGATACAGCTCGACCTCAAGGTTTCACTTCGAAGATCCAGACTCAAGCATCGAAGGTGATGTTCCAAACTTTCACGATGATACTGCATATGTGGACTACCATCGACGCTGGCTGGCATCCAATGCCCGCTTTCACGACCATTTCGAACAAATTGCATACGATTCCATCAAGGACGAAGATGGAATTGATGCAGAGACCGCAAGGATCTTGCTGAAGATTTACTGGACATGGCAGGCGCCACTACATAACTGCGTGTACCGACGAAGTAAGTGTAGTGGTGTTATATTTGAGATACAGTATTGACAACATAGGCTTCTTTCGAGACATGGTACTGAATGGTCCTTATTTTTCCCGATTCTTACTCTATGTCATATACGCCCACGCATCTCGCCATATTCCATCTACTGACCACCGGTACCTGCTATTGATGCAGGGCGAGCCCCTCCTTGACCGAGCTAGACTGCTTCTCGTTGACGAGCTCAAGAAGGACAGACCAGCTATCCCGACCATCCAAGGTCTACTTATCCTAGGTGGCCGTCAGTGTGCGGTGGGAAAGAGCAGTGAGGGTTGGCTGTACACGGGGATGGCGATCCGAATGATCCAAGACCTGGGCCTTCATCTGCCTCGCCGACTGTGTATGTCGATCATTGAGCCCGACGACTTCGAAACCCAGAAGCGGCTATACCTATCCGCATTTGTTTGGGATAAATCCATCAGCCTATGTCTAGGACGGGCTCCATCTCTGCCCACTATGCTCTATCCGTCTCATTGCCTGCTGGATCATTCCGACAACCAAGAGATTTGGAAGCCATTTTACCTGCATGAGCAAGAAATGACCTACAACCCAGTCCCAGGCTACAATACCACCACCTTTTCTCATTTTGTCGAGTTGGCAACCCTAGTTAACGAAGCTTTCAGAAATATTTTCGGTGCCCGGACGACGGATGTTGATCTTTCACGGCTGAAGCGTTTCGAAGAGAAGCTGCGCAAGTTCTACCAAGAGTTACCACGCGAACTTCAATTAGACGACGGCATGCTCAATTCAGCTTGTACACCGCCTCACATCTGTTGCTTGAACATTCTATACCATACCATGCTTATATTAATCTACCGACCATACTTTCTCAAGGAGAACATGAGGTCTAGGAAAGATCGCGCTATATTTAAGCATGCATCGGCCGTTTGCAGTAGGGAAGCCATAGCAGTCAACACTATTTTCCAAGCGTACGGTCGATGGTTCGCAAACAAGAATCAGACCTACTTGCTTTCATACTGCGTGTACACTGCGGCAACCGTTGAAGTCAAGCAAGCAATCCATCCAGATCCGGCCATCTCGTCGATGGCTATAGAGTGTCTTGCAACGACACTTGAAATGCTGGAAGAAGAGGTGAAACAAACGCCCGGAATTCGAAGAAGTATCGATATCATCAAGATGCGCCTTTCGAAACAATCCTTGTCGCCTCGGACGACAGTAACAGCCTCTACTTCTCTCGCACAATCCCATTCAAACCTTTCCGCGAATATAGGTGTAAGTCCTGTCCATTCCAACCTGCTCAGCCCGGCCCAATTCCAGCAGCAGAGATCAGATTGGACGCAATCACACGAGGATGCCTTCGCGTATCAGTCGGTATCGAAGGCAACTGGCACGTTGGATCCAGATATGCTAAGCAGTGCGGTGCCACAAGGCTCTTTTAGTGGGGATGCTTTCGATCCATGGAACCTTCAAACCCCGGATGTAGGCGGTGGATTTGTTCCAGAGAGCCTTAGTTGGTATACAGACCTAAGATAATTAGTTTTTTCGCCTTTGAAATTGCGAATCTCTCTTGGTTATCCGGGATCACTTCAGGTGTCGAGATCTCTGCACCCAGAAAGGCTCAGCGATACTAGTTAATTAGTCCTTGCTAGGTGATTCTAGTCTCTTGAGCGTCAGCGCGAAATGATTCGCGTCCCCAGATCCCCAACTTTCAGGTTCGGGGTTCGCTTTTCAGTCGCTATCATCCCGACAAGCCTGGGGTTGTCTCTCCCGGATTTGATACCGAGCTCGAGGACAACAACGCAACCCAGCCACTAGACCGCGGGGGAAACACTGGAGAAATGCACTTTAGTTGCAAGAGCGACCTATATAAGATGCTGCACAACTCTCCACCCATCAGGAACTACAAGAGCTTGAGAAGGGAAGAACGATAAGTGGTGAGTCGCCGATTTGCCCATCCAACGATGGAGGACTCATCAAAAGTCGAACCAACCAATATCGAGGTGGCTCGACCAAGACTGGAATACACGGAAGAGGAAGCTAAAAGAGTCATACGTAAACTTGACTGGCACATCCTACCACTATGCTTCGTCCTCTATACTTTCTCGGTGCTTGATCGAGGAAATCTGGGAAACGCCAAGTTGGCCGGCTTGTATGAGGACCTTGACCTCACTGGTGAAAAGTATGACTGGCTTGGAACAATGTCAGTAACAACCGCTCGTCCCTCCCGATTTCGGAGGCGAACTGACCCTGTCCAGGTTCTACATTGCTTACATCGTTTTCCAATTCACCTCGGTCGGATGGAAATTGTTCAAGCCTCATATGTGGGTGTCCTTTGTCGTACTGGCTTGGGGCACTATCAGCACCCTGCAGGCACTCTGTACCAGCTGGAGCGGCTTGATGATATGTCGATTCCTCCTCGGCCTCACCGAGACCATGTTCGGGCCCGGAATTCCGCTGTATTTTAGTTTTTTCTGGCCGCGGCGCTTCGTGGGCCTGCGGTTCGGGATCTTTCTGTCTGGAGCGGCTTTGGGCAACGCATACAGCGGCGCTCTAGCATATGGTATCTCCCATATCCACTCTTCCGTGGCACCGTGGAAGATCCTCTTCATCATCGAAGGCGCCCCAACAGCGCTGCTAGCAATCGTTTGCTGGTTGTATCTGCCTGATTCGCCCCGAGAAGCCAGGTTTTTGACGGAGCGAGAACGAGACATTGCTGTCCATCTGGCTGGAGACTCCCAGGACCAAGTCAAAGAGCCAGGGAAAAGAGGAATACACTTGCAGAGTCTGATGGCGGCGTTTGCAGACTACAGGAGTCAGTATTTCCACTCAAGCCTTCCATCAAATTCTTTGCGACAAACGCCGCATCTAGACACTAACCACAACCCTCCTTAGACTGGATGTTCGCATTGTCCAACTTCTCCACCAATGTGTCTTTCGCGTCGCTGCCTCTGTTCTTGCCTACCATCATCTCCGAGTTTGGGACCTTTAATAAACTGACTTCGAACGGCTTGTCGGCTCCACCATACCTGCTGTCTTTCTTCCTCATCGTGGGCGTCGCTTTCTTTTCAGACAGACTGCGGATTCGCGGACCCTTTGCCGCCTCTTTTGCAACGGTGGCTGCGATTGGATACTTGGTTCTGGCTCTGACCACTTCGATCGCCGCCCGCTATGTCAGTTGTTTCCTCATCGTCACCAGCTTTGTTACCGTGTCCACTGTACTCGTTTGGAACGCCAACACCAATGAAAATGAGTCTAAGCGGGCTGGCGGGGTCTGGATCATCCAGTGTGTCGGGCAATGCGGAACAATCTTGGGAACGCATTCCTTTCCTGCGCAACAACAGCCATACTACCGGCGCGGCATGTGGACTGGCTTTGCATTCTCACTATTCTCGGCAGTTTTATGTACGACATTGAGCATTCTGCTCCATAGAGAGAACAAACGGCGGGATCATGTCTATGGTAAGGTGGAAAATGTGGATGGCGAGAGCGATAATCTTCCACCGGAAGCGCGGTTCCGGTATATCATATGAGTAGACCTGCGTCAGCCACAGTTACACCCAGGTCGCCAGGCCAAGGTCGAAAGTCGTGTGTTTCCAGCTCCGGGCGGTCTCAAACCGGAGAGATGGCCGGAAGCGAGTCAGGTACTGCAGTAGATGAGAGAGCCTATTCATGCCATTTTCGAAAGTTGCTTGAGCTTGTCTAGAGACCCGAAACCAAAATTCTCGACATCGCTGGCCTTCACGATGTTAATGTACATGACTACTGCAACTGGCCCAAGTCTCGGGTGAAAAGGAATCACACAAAAACGAATATCAAAAGCAGCTGACTTTCTTCTTGACAAAGCCTTAAGCTTCATCCGAATCGTAATTCATGCGTCTTGATGGTACTTCACACTCACCTTCTCAGAGATCGGGCAGATTACAGGATTAAAACTGAACAGAATAAAAGGCATCAGATCGGTACACTCGGCAAAGCTGCCTCATCAGGCGGGCAGTGCCAACATCCCCATGCCTAACGAACGCCCTGGGCCGCCCATGTCCGCACTCCAAACTTCAACCTCATCCTCAATTCAGAGGACAACTTTGTCTTCGAGGCTTCCAACAGTCCAGGGTCCCGGATGCCTCAAACAAAAAGCTAGTGATGTCCTTGCTGAAGAAGGAAGCGCACACTGAATGGAAGCTACCCGCCTGTGAGCGGTAAGTCCACGCCTTCTGTAAACCCGTCCTGGAGGCCACTCGCCGGCCAATGTCTCGGCAGTCCGTCCTTGTTTTTGGGGGGTGGCAAGTTGTTCAAACCGGTACGGGTTCTGACGCGTCCCTAGTTGTCGACTGCGCAAGGTAAAATGCGATACCTTGCCACCGAAATGTACGTCGTGCAGGCGCGGTGATGCCGCTTGCATCATCGTGGATCCGGACAGTCGTGAGAGGTACACACGGGATGGACTCTATCAGCTCGAGCAAAAGCTGCAGCTTCTGGAGCAAACTACGGCCCATCTAGCCAGCAACCCTCAAGTCGCGTCCCCAGCATCACCAAGCGCCACCAAAGGTACGAGAACACAGTACGTTGGCGATGGTAGCGGCCTACACTTCTTTAACGAATTGTCGTCACATACGACAGCGGGACTACCTCTGACCGAAGAGGCTCCATATCTGCAGCACAAATGGCCTGATTATGCGACTATCGCGCCACATAGCTTGCCCACGTCCGACATCGCGCAGCTACTCGTGGACCATTGGATATCCCACGTATATCTTCTTCACCCTTTTCTCGCAGAAAAGGAAGTTTTGGACACCTTTCGACGAGTATATAACGCAACGCAAAATCACGCGACGCCTGATGACCTATACCGCCTGCACATGATATTTGCTATCTCTTCAGTCACTACCTTCAGACGTGGACAGACGCAAGAACATCCTTATGGCTACTTTCGTGCTGCCCAGCATTACTTCGGACAGGTCAGCATGACTGGAAGCATGCAGGGCATACAGAACGTCCTTCTCATTGCTCGCTTCGCAATGTATTATCACGTTGATTGTTCGATCTGGGATCTCTCCAGGTTTTGCATCAGACAGTGCATTGCGCTCGAACTACACCGACCACCAGCTCATGTGCTTTCGCCTTTCGAGGAGCAGCTTCGGCGCAATGTCTTTTGGGATTGTTACATCCACGATCGATACAGCTCTGGTATTCTGGGTAGGCCTTACGCGATAGCTGAGGACGATATCACAGTGGAATTGCCGGTTGAGAGGACCGAAGCTGATCTTGCAAATGGGTCGACTCTCGAGGACAGCACTTCCCACGGTAGACCTGATCCGCCAAACAAAGCTTCGGTGTTCTGCTTTCTGATCAAGCTGCGGCGGCTCTTCACACGCATATCCACTTGCTTCTATACTACTTACGGTCACACTGAAAGTCAAAGAAGAAGTCTCGCTCACGCTGCCCGCGTGAGGACCGATCTTGATTGTTTCATGCGTGATCTGGATCGATTGCGCTCCGAAGCTCCCGTCTTTGACGACCTCAAGAGCTTGTACGAGCGGCCGCAGTGGTATGACTTCATCATCGAGAAAGATCGTTTGACGCTCCTGCGTGGGGCAATCACGCATATGCCGGTAGACCGTCTCCAGCCGCCCCGAAAATTGCTGCTTACAGCCATGGAGTGCGCCACGAGGGTGCTGGGTCTATACAACGCCATGTTCTCGTCTGGACACATTACTTGGACTCGCAGCTACTTTCAAATCATGTTCACGAGCGGCCTGACAATCATGTATACGATGTCGGCCCTGAGAGAGGAGAAGAAACGACTCCAGAAAGATGTTGTCAATCCCTTCTCTCAAGCTACGCATGCCCTGATCACCACCGCCGAGCTTATGAAAGTCTTTGTCACGGAGATGCCAGATGCCAGCCGCTTCGCCACCGTATTCGAAATGCTTGTCAAACACTATACGGGGACCGGAACACGTGCACGACCTAGTAGAGGTGTCTCTCCTTTGCAGCATGGTGTTTTGGTACCTGGGGCATCACGACCGTCTGGGAACCACGACACCGATTCCGAGGTTGCCATTTCGCGACCGCTGAGCTCTCAGGAAGTGCGTGTAGAGGAAATGCCAAACAACGACATACCGCCTTTGGGAGGCGGCCCTGCTGACTTCTCTCAGGGCGGCGGCTACGACTTCGGCAACGAGTTCGATCTCGACGGCCTCCCGGACTGGTCGCTTCACCCGGGGACCGACAACATCCTTGGTCAAGTAGAAGCAAGTCTGGGCGAATATGCCTGGGGAATGGCGCCAGATGATAGTGTGTGGTCCCAGTGGGACGTCTTTCAAAACATGCCATAATGTATATTCTGGCGGATCTGCGACCGGAAAGTGGTGAGGGTGACCTGTCACGTTGCGACGACTACTGAGTAGCTTCGTTGTTTCCGCCTGCGCCTGAGACTGGAATCCGGTGATCGTCATCAACGCTTTAGCACAATATCTCCGACTTCTTCGAATCGTATGTCCAGTTACATAGTCGCAAAGTAGATTGGAACTATATACCGTTACTATTGGGTCTAGTTTGGTATAGCCGTCATGAACGGAATTCACGACAATCTTGAGTGCCTTATTCACGCATCATTCACCTATTACGTTGAGGTCAATACGCCCGTTAATTACTAATCGAGCTCCTTGAGCAACATGAAAGCATGATTAATCTGCACCTTGAATTATTATCTCTTCGCGCACTATGTTTAAACCACCTTATACAATTACTCACTTCAGACTTATCGTCTTTTCCTCGAGTACTTCAGCTTTTGCAGCCAAGACGGTTTCTTCAGTCACCAGAGATTCAAAGAGCCTAGCTCGTCGTCGCGACCATAGAGACCCCAGTGCAGCGAACGGTGGGTCAGCCTTGTCGAGGGGCAGCGACGTAAATGGGGGGGGGGGGGGGGGGGGGGGGGGGGGGGGGGGGGGGGGGGGGGGGACGGGGCATGACTTCTCCAAGGCTCCAGAGGGGCAGCTATCGCTGAGGGAGCGACATTAGACTGATTTTGAGAAGAGACAAGTCTGTGGGCCAAATGCCCCTTCCAAGTCACTTTGTACCTAGATATACATGTGTGTTCCAAAGCTCCCCTGAGCGCAAGTAGACCCTTGGTGGTAGTGATGCGTCTGATAGGAGGCGTATGCGCCTAAATGCACCGTACGCTGGAACGACAGAACCAGGTCTTCGCTATGGACAGATGGTAATCTCCGACCCGAATACCGTATATTGAATTGGTAGCCTGTGAGGTTGAGCGAGATCCCTTGCCCGAGGCGCATTGCGGCATAGCGGGTCCGCTCCGTTGCCGGTTCCGCTGTGGAAGCGTTTCCGGCTCAGGAGCGAATAGATCCCGAAAGACCGTATCTCCTTCTCATGCCCGTGCTGGTTAGCTGATAGTGCGTCCCACGACATGATACCCCGGTCAGGGGATAGCAATTTATCGACATCTGTGGAGATGGAAGCAGACCTGGTGAAGGAGAAAGTAAAGCCGAAGTCAACAGCGCTCAATCGGATCGCCCTGGGCGAGGATGCTGTGGCCGAGGATAAGGCAGCAACCTCGGTCCTCCTCAGAGAGCCACCTCCAGGTCATGCCTTTCTGGCAGATCTAGCCACGTACATTCGAAGTAAGAATGCAGGGCCATACGAGCTTACATTTGACGTGATATTCTCGGATCCAACCAGGATGAACATGGTGAAAGCTACCGGCATACTGAACCGATCAACAGTGGCTCGGTTGTACGGTATCTACGAGGAAGACGTCCTGGCCAGCCTGTGGTGGGATCCAGCATTGGCATTCAAAGCCACCATCAAACGGTCACGAGTCAGCGGCGGCTTTTGGGAACGTGATGCCCATGGTGCTCAACAAGCCGTACCACTGATGGAGCTGGCAGTGCCGGTTCCGTCGTCTTGATCTTCAATGAGCATACTGGTGCACACTTGAACTTGAGAAACCTAGCCCATCCTGTTGCCCCTTGAGGACTGACTGTGTTCGATCAGACGACTGACTTGGGAGAAAGGCCTGGTGAAAGGACTCACCTGAAGGCAAACTCAGTTAGCGCATGGACTCGGAGCATAAACGTGGATGTTGTCGCCGAACCCATCTATTTTCACCTCTCTCCTGTAGACACGACGCTGCTCGAATGATGGAGCCCTTGTAGGTGCTGTGAGCATCTCCAAAGGAATCTAGCATTATCCGACACCCCTGGGTCATGGGAATTGTGGAGAAAGCGGCACAATTGATCTCGTCAAGGCCCTGGTCACTCTGGGGAGAAGTGAGGAATATACTGCAAAAGCGACTCGACTGGGCGTATAGAGAGAGATAGTATAGTATGCATCATCTCAAAATGCCCCACCCCGGCCTGATCTGAGATAACTCGGTACTCGCCATTCGGTATATAGAACATACACAGCCTAGTCAAAACCCAAATTTGGACGCCACAAACCCCAGCGCCGCTTGTCTCTTCTGCTTCGCGACGAATTTGCTCACGTCGTCACTCCACGTACTACTCGCATCCGCGGCACGATCCATACTGTCGCCCGCGAGACCAAGGTTCTCGGTCCTTTCGGCCAGCTGTCGCTGCATATAAGCCCAGTACGATTCCTGGCTTGCATCAGGCATGGGGGCTCGTCCGGTCCGTGCCGCCTCCCTCTGTCGCGCAAACTCTGCTTCTTGGGCAGCTCGCATCTCGGCGATCATTCGCTTGGAAGGCGGTCGGTCGGCTCCGCCGATCAGGATATCAAGGTCCGACGGCGTAATGTACTGCGTGCCTGCGATCCACTGAAGGTTGCTGATTGTAGGCCTTGGGGGTACCATCTTGGTAGGGTCGTAGAGAGCGTCGGTGCTAGGGGCCAAAGCTAGGCCTGCGCCAAAGACATTAACCATGGACACCTCGCTTGGTCCGGCCCAGCCCAGAATATCACCAGTCGGGGTAACGATGGCTTCGCTGAAACGCTTCGTGTCCAGGATATGGTTGACTCGCGTGCTTGCAATCTCCTTCAGTCCTGGGATGGAGAATGCTCGGGCAGTTCCATCTCCAAAAAGGCCAACTAGAGCGTAGCCACGATCTTCAAAACGTGCTACGTTTGCTGCGTCACACAAATACTGGTCAAACGATTTCGAGGCCCCCTTTGCAGCTGCGGGACGGAAGATATGCACAGACGAAACGGAGGCAACTACCAGGACACCATCTACTTTCCGGCCTGACTGCAGACCTGCCATCGCATGGCCTGTTGCTGCAGCCGGTGCTCCTGTGTGGGCGTCGATTGGCGATATTGACACGATTTTGTCCTCCGCAGTTTGAGCCACGCCAGCAAATTGTGCCGTGTATCGTCCTGTTTGTGAAGGCAAGACCTTGAAAGTGACAATTCTGCCGCGAGATGTGCCTACAAACAAGGCAAGTGAAGAATAGTCTGTAATAGGTTAGAATTGATACGACATTTCAGGACGCCATGTTCTTACCGTCACCATCAAGAGTCATGATACCAAATTCCATTGCGGTGGCATACTCAGTAGAGTGTGTGGTCGTAGCAGACCGGCGGATACTATTCCGTCGATGCTTGGCAGCAACAATCTCGTTCAACAGCACAGTATGGATGATGGCTGGCCCACGAAGATCAACGACGGTCACTCCACCTCCAGCATACCCAGCAGCCACAAAGCCAACATCAGAGTGCCGCAGAGATGTGACAGGTCCCTGCTGATCATTCGTCATCGTCAAAGGCAAAAGCCCTTCTTTCAGATTCGGGTCAGCTCGTCTGCTAATGTCTGTCATCTGGCCAGGTCCACCGTTTGAGCCCGGGTCAGAAGGCGGCTGCCCTGCAAATTGGTTTCTATTAAGTCTGAAGATGACCAATTCGCCAGATTGAAGTCCGACGGATAACTCTCCAGTTGCACCAGACATATCCAGTCGAGCAACATCCAACCGATCCCACCGGCCAACAGCTCTGCCGAGATCGACTTGGATGACACCGGGATTTTCAATGAGATCTCCGTGTCCTGCATCCCAGACTCGAATCGTCCCATCGGCATGTGCTGCCTGGACTATATTACGGGTTTCGTGCCTTTTGAGCGGTTTTGTCCCTGGAGTACCTCCCAGCAATATGCTTGGCCCATGTTGACGTATTTCTCTCATACCAAGCCATCTAGTTCGGTCAATGTAGGAAAGAGCTGTTTTTGTGATGAAAGGGTGCACAAACGACAAGGAAACGTGAAGCTGGTTCGTAGGCGTGATCGGGTGTCCAGACGGGAAGCTCATCGTGAGAAGCTCGCCAGAGGACAATACAGTCAGCACCGCAATAGGATCATGAGAACCTGCAAAGTGCGGAGAGATCCGAGGTACCGGTAGAAAAGTTGTCACTTGAGTGTTCGGTGGTGTGGGAAGTATTTGTACTCTCTTCGGGTTTCTAAAATGGTTTGCCAGGTAGTCCCATGTTGATGTTTGGTAATTCGGTGTTAGTCCTAGTTCAATGAAGGTCAAGCCTTTGCTAGAATTGGTGCTAGATGAGCCTCCAGCAACGAGAAGGCCGGTGTCATCGGCATTTTCCTTTGAGCACCAGTAGATATTGCAATAAGGTTCCTTGACTGAGCCAGTTCCAGCGCCGGGCCTGGATGAGCCACGGCCGGGAATATTCACGTCAGTTTCATCAAGCGTCCTTGCATGAATGGCTCTGCCGTCACGAGGATCCCAGAATACAATGCTCGAGTCTTCATGAGCTGTCAACACAAACGTGCCTGTGGGATGCCATACAGCGTGAGTGAGTCGAGGATGTCGCACTTGATTGGCAGCCGTCGAATCTCCGTCGCCGCCCGGAGCGCCTCTAGGCACCTCATAATGGAAGAATTTGAGCGCCTTGTTCTGCTTGAATGAGTAGATCACGGCTCCTTCGTTGTATCCGATGAGTAGCGTCCCGATGTCCTTTGGGTGGAACTGGACGCACACTACCGGCAGAATCCGCGCTCTTGGATTGTGCTCGCGCCATAGATTGGGGATCTTGAATGGCGTAAGGCCTTCCCTGTCCAGATCATACGCCACGATCTCTCCTAGTCATCGTACTGTCAGCTGTGTTCTGATCATCCCTAGCCTCTTGTGCCCACTCACCATTTTGGAGTCCCGACAAACAATAGTCTAGGCTTGGATCGGTGAGGAGAGCGGTTACATGGCCAGGAGGGGAGTAGTTCGCGAGCATGTGTTTACTGTCGAGACTAAAGACGCTGACATCGTTCTTGGAATCGAGGACAACCAACTTGTCGGCGCAGAACTGAATGTCTCGAATCGAGGCAGGCCGAGGAGGCCGGAAGGTCACATTGACACGTTTCTGTCCGTAGACATTGACGATGCCAGCGCCGAACTGGGATTCGTTCGTGCCAACGGCGAGGAGGGACTGGACGGGGTCGTAGGCAAGGACGGATATTTGAGAATTGACACCATAGCAAGCGAACTGGAACGGTGAGCAGCATGCCTTTGGGAAAACGCAGGTCCCGACTCACCTCATCTAGCATGAATACCTCAGGCGAGACACCTATGGAGAGATCGTTCGCGATGCCGGCCTGCTTTCCACGAAACAGATGCGCCATGGCTCAAGTGCGGCACGATGGCCTAGCATCACAACCGGTTCTGAAGCAGTACCGGATCGCCTTGTGACAGGGGCCACAGCCGAGATTTATGGTGGTGTAGATGGTGGTCGGAAGCCCAAGGCTGCGGCCGGCCTTCATTGCACGTAACAGGGCTTCGCGGGGAGTCGGATTCTTGATCTGGCAGGTTTGCCGAACGGTCAGGTCTGCTCGGCATCTCCCTCCATGTTCGGAGTCTTAGTGACTTCTCCTTGTGTCGTACTGTGTAGAACCGTTCTCAGCTCGCTCACGGTAGCCAGCACATCGGCCGGCGCTGCCACTTGTGGGCGCCGCGTTCACGACTGTCTTCTGCCTGGGATCGATGGCTCCTCGTGCCCAGCGCGAGTCACACCCTGTTCCTTTGCACTTACAATTACGGCCAAGAAGAACACGCACAAGGACCGGCTGTCTTACATGCGTTGCGCGCAAGAAACGGTGCGATGAACAAAAACCAGAATGTAGCGCCTGCGTCCGAAATCTCCGTGTATGTGCCTGGCGGCAAGACCAGCCGCAACATGCCCAAGCAGCGAACGACGGTAACAGGGAGCCCTCGGCTAGGCGGTGCATGATATCAGGATCAGAGGACCAGCACATTGGCAGGCTGTCCTCTAAACTTCAAGCTGCTGTTCGTACAGCAAATTCTCCGCGCAAAGATTTCTTTTGCTATCAGCATGGATCTCTCGGCGTCCCATTGCAGTGGAATACCTCGATGTCAACGCTCTTCCAAGACCCCTGGTCGCGTATCCTTCTCGAAAACTTCATGCTTCGGACAGCTGGTGTCCTCGCTGCGAGAAAGACTACAGAGAACCCCTATCTGACTTGTGTGCTCCCGCGAGCATTATCTGACGAGCTGATTCTCCATTGCGTCCTGGCCTTGAGTGCTACCCATCGAGCTCATGAAGATGCCACCACCTTTGATTACGAAAGTCTCAACAGCAGACATTACGTCTTGGCCCTCCGCCAGCTAAGGCGAGATTTGTCCAAGGCTATGGATGCCAGCGCCGAGGAAAAATTGCGTCTACTTCTAGCCACAAATTTGTTGGCTACCCTTGAGGTCAGTCATTCTGGTTTCATTGATTGCCGCGTATCAGTAGTGACGTTGTCAGGCCGTAGGGGGCAACACACACGGTGCTGCGTTTTACCACCTCCACGCCAGTCAGCCTTTTTTGCCGGCCGCATTTACCGCGCCCTTGAAATCAACTCAAGCTGAGCTAGTATCCTTCTTGGCTGAATCACACGCTTACATGTGTCTGGTTGCCAATATTACCTTTCCCAGCGATGAGGTCGCCCAAAGTCTATTGACAGATCCTTTTCTCTCCTCACTGGAGCATCTTCGTGCGGAAGGAACGTACGGTGTAATGTTTGGCTGTGCGCATGGTCTGTTTCAGCTCATTCCGAGCATCTGCAACCTGGCCACAACCCGAATACAAGAAAAACAACACGGGGTGGCATCCTCTGACACTCTAGCTCTTTATTATCACCTTGAACATCAGATTCGCAGCTGGCGAGTCCCTTCCGATCTCTCGGTTCAAGGTGAATGGTATGACCAACTGTCGGCGGCAGCGGAAATCTACCGTCATGCTTTGCTAATCTTTACACACACGGCATATGAGTGCTCCCCGACAGCCACCGAAGAGACGATGAGTAAACTGCAGCCTGAAATCGACGCGGTCTTCCCTCTGGCCCAGCAACTGTTCTCTTATGGGAGTTTCCCTCCGATGGCGACCATTATGCTTTGGCCAGCCATGGTCTTGGGCTCATGTCTCCGGCGTTTGGAAGATCGGAGATTACTGCGGGAAGTTCTATTGGACTTCCCTCTGAGAATGGGAATAGTCAGGCAGGCTGCGGCGTTACTGGACTTACTCTGGGATGATGCAGCTGACGATCAATTGTTTGGGCCACTGGGTTTGCACGTTGTCATGGCAAAGAACGGAATTAGCTTCTGCATGGCTTAATTCTTGTAGCTGCCGGAGATGCCGCGTTGCGCTTCTGGCAACTGTGCGAACTGGCGAAACACGACATCTCTGCAAAGGAACGGTTGGCAAGGCCGAAGTACTGATCCGAAACAGGTAAAGGTTGCTGACACTCCCACCAACGCCTCCCGCGCCGATATATCTTACCGCCGTAATCCAATCTAGCCGATCCCTGCTCATCTATCGACCAATCCGGCTTGGTGGAGCCCCGTACCCCGTCCTGTCATAAATACGAGGCACTGTTCGTTTGCCCTCGTGCTCAACCTCCCTGAAGCCAGCGCTGGGTAATATCAACCTTTCACTCTGGGTGTAACATTTGAACTGCCTGGCTTCACATCGTCTTTCCGAATCTCAGTTTTAACAAGAACCATGACAGAATACGACGTCATCGTTGTTGGTGCTGGATATGCTGGCCTCTCTGCGGCCAAGACCCTCAAAGAGGCAGGAAAGAGTGTCGTGGTTCTTGAAGCCCGTAATCGCATAGGTGGTCGGGTATGGACCAAATCCTTCGATGACGGCAGTTACGAGGATTACGGCGGCATGTTTCTCGGAGTACAACAGCCTCTCATGTACGGACTCGCCAGTGAATTCGGTGTCCACACCTTCGATGTGCCGGAGGGGAAATCGGTATTTTACTACAAAGGAAAAGCCAGAAAATACTCCGGTCTCATTCCCCCATTAGCGCCCTGGGCCTTGGTCGACGTGGGACTGCTCGTCCGGAAGTTCGAGTCCATGGCCCGCGTGGTGGATCTGGAGAAACCGTGGAACACGCCGAATGCACGCGAGTTGGACCAGATTACCGTCGAAGACTTTATGCGGCGCCAATGCTGGACGTCGGCAGGGAAAGACGTCTTCAGGGTTGCTGTTGAGCTTGTGTGGGGCACCGTTCCCTCCCAGATCAGTCTTCTACATGCGCTGTGGTACTGCAAGGCCGGAATCAGCTTGACGGTTCTAGGGTCTATTGACAACGGCGCCCAGCAACAACTCGCTCTGGGTGGAGGGCAAGCCATCGCCAACAAAATCCATGAACTTTTGGGGGCTTCAGTCCGCCTGGAAGAACCGGTCACCCATGTGGATCAGACCAACGACCAGGCCGTCACTGTGCGCACCCGGAACGCAACATATACTGGCAAGAGAGTCATCTTTGCCATTCCTCCGCCATTGTTGCTGAAGGTCGAGTTTGAACCTCAGCTGCCAGTGCAGAAGACGCAGCTACTAATGCGGATGCCAATGGGCGCTTATTGGAAGATCTTTGCCGTCTACCCCAGGCCGTTCTGGCATGGCTCTGGCTTACGGGGTGAAGGCGTGAGCCCAGACGGTATAGCTGCGTTGATCAACGACGTTTCTCAAGAGGATCGCAGCCGAGGGATGTTGATGGCTTTTGTTGTTGGGACCAAAGCCTACAAATTCGCAGCGATGGACGAGAAGACTCGGCGGGAGGCGGTTCTGGAGCAATTGAAGGCCTGCTACGGCGAACAGGCTGCCAGTCCCGTCAAGATGTCCATCCACAGTATGATGAACGAGCCGTGGTCCTCTGGCTGCCCCGTGGCAAGTGTCGCTCCTGGCATGTGGACTAGTCTAGGCGAATGGGTGCGAAAGCCGATAGACCGACTATATTGGGCTGGCACTGAGACTGCAACGTCTTGGTCGGGATACATGGAAGGCGCGGTGCAATCTGGTCAACGAGCTGCAAAGGAAGTTCTCCTCTCTTTGAAGTGAACGGTGAACAGTGAACAGTGAACAGTGAACACAACATAATAGCCCGAATTGATTGATTGATTGATTGATTGATTGATGGACTGAACAGTACCAAGCACAAATAGCAAGCCACAAATGCAAGGCTCGGGGCCGGTGAAATAGATGATACGAGTACTAGTTAACTAACTAGACACTTTTGGTAAGCTACCTAGAATACTTGCAGTAGGGTCCACTATCTCAGTAGTCTGCGCCAGTCGCCTCGCCGGGCCCGGATCACTCACTCACTGGTTGATGTTGACCCCCCTCTGCATCAGAATCTGAACGGCAGGCATCGAGTCGGACATGATCTCGCATCGTTTCAGCTCGATGCCCCCGTGCGCCGCGGCATCCGTCTTGACGTAGACGAACCGAAAGGCCGAGGGGATCTTGACGTCCCACTCCCGACCCTGTAGGTCTTTGACCTTCTTCTGTTGCTGCTGCCGCTCGCCGGAAGACTTCTCGTCCCCCCCAACGCAGTTGGCGTAGAAGTTGGCCTGGCCCAGCATTTCCCACCCGTCGTCCGTCTCCCAGCACACGAGGAGGTAGGGCTCGTGCAGCTCGCTCGTGAAGAAGCCGTACATGGCCTTGACCTGCTCCCAGGCGGGCTCGTGGCCCCGGACCTCGGTCCCGTCCGACTTGACGAGCGAAAAGTCGTCCGAGTGCCAGTCGGTCCGGGCCTCTTCCCAGCCTCCGCGCCGGTTGAAGTTCAGCGTGAACTCCTCCATCCACTTCATCGCCGGGTGCGCCCTGGTCTCGTCGTCCCATGTCCCGCGGTGGATGAAAGCGGGCTTGGTCGGGAATGCTGATGACGATGACATGATGACAATGGTTGGTTGGTGTTGGGGTAGACAGAGCTAGCTTGCTCGCTTGCTTGCTTGCTTGCTTCAGATTCTGATCGATCGATGATGACTTTGATACCGCACCCCGTGGCCCCTCCCGAATTCGTTACTTCAAGGTATGTAAAGTGGTAAGTTAAGTAGTCGTAAGTAGTAGTAAGTAAGCAGTGAAAATGGTACCGACGAGACACACACCTACACATGTACACATGCAACGAACAATGGGAAAACCACCAGAAAGCCAGATGAGCTCAGCTCAGCTCAGCTCACCCTTTATATACCCTACCTGCCTAACCTACCTGCTCCCTGCTCACCCTCTCCCACCCCCACCACAAAAGCATAACCCCCCCTGGTTCCAAAACCAAAACACGAGACTCACTCAGCTGAAAAGCCTTGGTTGTACTTTTTTCCTCTTCTTTGTTTTTTTTTTTCAGCTCCAAGCAGCGGAGACCAGGAGAGCCAGGGGACCATGGATGGGGGCCATGTATGGGACCGGGGACCAGGGACTTGACTGGCAGCAAGTCATTGAATTTGTATGATTCATGGACACTGGTGCGCCGCAATCTGATTCGACGTCTTGCCGTATATTTTGAATTCGTGGCTGGCGTTCCAGCCGCAAGACAATGGATCTCCCGGTATCCAGTCAGTCAGTCGGTCAGTCAGTCAGTGTCGATACGATACAAACACGACAGGAAAAGACGTCGGTGGTGGACGAACAGGAGCAGTAAGTACTCCGTACAAGCCAGTGGTACGTTTCCCCGCAGTTCGACACGCGCCCATCAATCCATCTCCCGCTCCTGTCTAACCACTTTCCGCAGGCGTTCCAAAGTCAAAAAGGAAGACCCTGATGGTCTAGACCCCCAAGTTCGAAAGTCGGGCGTCGGGCGTGAGAAAGCGAAGAAACCAGCTGAGTTGATGAGGTCGATGGCGATGACAGGGGCCCAAAAGGTTCGTGATTCAGTTTCAGCTTGACAGCGCGCAACTCAGTTAACTCGGTCCGCTGCGTCTTCAACAGTGCTAAGCTTGCTTCAGTCATTGTCTGATGACGGACCTGAAATGTTACGTCTGTAGCAAAGGGGACGCGAAGGGCCACAAGGGGACGAAAACCTTGGTAGAATGAAATCTGTTCAAGTGATATCCAGCCTGTTTCATACATGAGTCCAGACCAAATCATTACACATTAGCTACTTCGTATAACACGCACTGGCATTGCTCGACGTGTCTTTCGCATAGAGAGACAAAACTCCCCAGGAGACTCCTGCCATTCTATTATTTTTGCTTTGGTCGAAAAGAGATACTGTACACAAGACTGTAAAAACTGTTGCGACTACATCTCATCGCTTCCGGGTCATAATCTTGGTGATGGCATGCCGAATGATGATGCCGGCTTTTTCAACTTCTTTCTTGGTCAGGCCTATCGTGACACAGACCTTTAAAGCCGGCATCTGCATATAAATATCCGTTTTTGCCCCTGACGGACCGGCAGGGAGACTCTTTACCCGGGTGATCAGGACATTCTGAGTCAGGCACTACGTCCAGGATTAGTTCTTCGCGTGCTCGTGCCATGCGATAGAAGCCACTCACCTCGTCGACGATATCCTGCAGGATCTGCTGCTGATCCTCCAAGCTCAGCCTTCTGGCAGTGATGACCTCAGGCTTCAAGATCAACAGCATTATAGGATTCTCCACGGCGCTCGTACAGTACATCCAGTCACTTCTGGGGTGTAGTTGTGCCCACATGGTCCTGATGTTGTCCTTGAGTTGTGCGAAAAGTTCAGGCTGTGTCTGAAGCATCATGAGCGTTTCACTGGCCGTCACTGCAGAAATAGCAGGTAGTGCTGCGGAGAAGGTGTACGAAGCAGCCGACAGACGCTGATGCTCAACGACCTCGTCTGAGCCGGCGCAGAAGCCGCCCGCAGCGGACAGCGGACCTGCCATCGAACCTACAATCATATCTACTTCGGCAGCGTCGACGTGCTGGTGCTCCGTGATGCCTCTTCCGCTGCGGCCCAAAATACCGAATGACCAGGTTTCGTCCAGAATCAGACGGAACTTGTATTTGAGCTTCAGCTCGATCTGCAACATCGTCAGTTACCGCGCCATCTGCGTCTCGACCTGTCCACTTACAATTTTCGGGAGATCAACCATGTCACCAACATTTTCAAACAGACCCTCGGTGATAATGAAGCGGCGCGTCAAGGGCTTCTTTGCTTGTTCTTTCGTAACCTTTGCCAGGACTCGTTGCAAATCTTCCATGTCATTGTGCTCGTACCATCTCACCGTACTCCTAGAAATCTGAATGCCCTTACGAATAGCAAAATTGACGGCCTTGTCGGCAACAATGATGTCACCTCGCTTCGAGAATGCAGGAATGACACTGGAGATCGTCGAGAACGCCTGCGCATAGATGATGCAAGCAGTCGTGCCCAGGAAAGCGGCAATGTCGGCTTCAATCTTCATGTGCACATCTTGCGTCCCGTAAAATCCAGGCGGTCCACACGGCCCGACTCCATAGGTTCTCAGGGTCTGTATGGCCCGCTCCTTGAGTGTTTCGTTCGAGACAAAGTTGTAGAAATTGTAAGAAGCTAAATTCGTTACCGTGCGGCCGTTGGCGAGTTTGACCCGCGGGCCACTCGGACTAGAACAGAGATGCGGTCAGCGCATGGCAGCATAAACCAGGTGGGTGTATGGACGAACTCACCCAACTATCACGGGTCTCTTCTCTAGTTCGGCCTCTTCAAATGGCGTCGATTTTGCGACCAGAGGCTCCGGCGTCCATTCATCCACGAGGTCGTCGATTTCCTGCGCCACGGTAAGAGGTTGGCCAAATCAACGGTACCGTCCAGTTTCCTCGCACTCACCTCTTCCGACAGCTTGACATAATTCGGCTTGGTCGAGTATTTCGGCGCGAGGAGGTATCGGATCGCAAACAGGACGAGGAAGAGTTCGACTGCGGAGCGGACGGGATCGTTCTGGTAACTGGACTGGACGTAGCGCAGGAAGATGGCAGATCCAGGGATTTTGTGGAATTGTTCAGACGCGGCATTTGCCAAGTGCGCAAGATAAACTTGAGGCTCTTGAGAGTCCATGATGGCCAGGCATGCAGCGTAGATGTGGGTGTGTAGTGCACGACAAAGTCGACGAGGTTAAACCGTTCGTCTCAACGCGGGCGTGTCGGCATCGGGCCACTTTTAATAATTATTAGTGTCAGGGGCAGCCACCACTTTAGTTAGGCGACACGGCATAATGTTATTGTCTGACAAAAGATCTTGAGACCCCTTCTGGTGTAGTGGCTCCCAAAGGCTGTCCAGTCTGACAAAAACTGTCATGCAGACGAATATACCCACAGCGCATAGTGGTGGCCTTATCCTGTACCTTGAACTTTCGCAGTCATGTCCATTACTAGGTACAGAAGGCTTTCGCTCTCGGACCAAATTCTACGCTCTGGGATGGTAAGAAGCAGGGATACAGTAGGATAGCCTCGACAAGACCTCTCTCCCACTCTGTGCAAACTATGACTACTATAAGGACTACGCATCAGAGACTCGGTACCGAATACAGTGGATGCACCAGCGTGAGGACAGCAGTTGGTGGCCGTTGTCAAGCCATACACAGTTCACTCTCATAGCATCGTAGCAACAAATGCAAAATCTCCATTGATTCTCATGTACAGTACGAGTATGTCTAAAGAACAAGATATGCCTCAATGTCACAACTCCATGTCCCCAGGATCGCCGCCAGAAAAGACAGCCTGCAGAGCTCACTTTTCTGACAGCTGCTTGTCTATGCCATTTCATTCATTAATTTTGTTGCAACAATGAGCGACAAAGGTTCAGAGTTTTGTTGTTGCAAGTGAGCCTGAACCGAATCTTCCTCTACTACTCCATTGAAGAATGCTGCCATAACCAAATTTACCATCTCACAAATCACCTACCACCACCACCAAACGTGAAGGGATTATTGCCAGAGGCACTCGAGGCTGCAGCAGTGGCACCGCCTCCAGCCGTTGCGGTTGCAGCTGCGCCATTGCCGAAGTTGTGGAGAGCAGATCCGGTAATAAGGTTGCCCCTCGTATCGTTATTGTTTTGCCCTGTAGGCTGGAGGAGATCCATTGGGATCGATGGCAGATTGTTGATATATTTGCGGACAAATACGGGGCCAATGATCAAGACGAGGAACAGGATCAGGAGGGCGAAGTACAAGATTGCGTAGCGGATAACACGACGCTTGCGCAGACGAGACTGCTTGATTGAGTAGATAGGCGGTCTGATTTGACGACTACAGGGTTGTTAGTAGGGTTAATAATAAGGGGGACCGAGATGACATACCTAGGTCGCAACCAGAAGAGCATGACCGAATGGAACTTGTCAATGTAGGGCACGCAAAGAGCCGGTAACATGATGAACATGATGGTATGTCCGAGGATAAAGTCTGCCGCAAAGAAACCGAGCTCGGTGATCTTGCAGAGGAACTCACGTCCCGGCTGGGACATTGAGTGCCAACCCATTGAGTACCATTTTCCGGTCCACCAGGCGATGTTGGACGTATCGTTCTTGAACTCTCGGGTCAACGCGAGGGCGATGATGAGCTTGAATATGAAGCGCTGGAGGGCAATGACGGCAATCATACCGAGCAAGGCCTTTGCGAAAATCCAGCCTTCCAAGAAGAACATGACTTCCCAGAATATGAACAGAGAGATGACGGCAACGGCGTGCGCAATAGCGGCAAGAACGGAGCCAAACTTCTTGCAGCACATGCTCAGCACAGGACCCATGCAGCAGGCCATGCCAAATAGAACAGCCAGGGTACCTGCGTTGATGGCGATAGGAGCGAAAGCCACCAATGCCACTCTGATAAGCGAGTTTGTCGGGGGATCCGGGTCAAGAACACCCGTCTGTGCATTGATAAAGAGATAGGGAACGAGAGTCGCAGCGACAAGGACCAAAGGACCAATGACCTCGCTGAAGAAAATGCTGGTGAAATGTGCGCGGGGAACATCACCGGACAATTTCTCCGATGGCGCACCCAGAGCCTTGCGTTTGAATCCAGTCAGACGTGTACGGGACAGGCGGCAGAAAGCGATCCATGAAGACGCGTGCGAACGAGAATTGCCGCGAGACAGCCATCGCAGGTAGTCGCGGTAGTCGATGAAGAAGTCGGTCCAAGCAAATTGGTGAGGGTTGAAGATGAAAGGTGAGATTACAAGACCGAGAATGGACACCCAGAACCACAAGAGAGCGGCGTTCCAGACCGTGATGGTTCCAAAGAGCAACATCATCAAGGACCGCGCACCAACGTAGATTGATGGACCAGCAAACCGTGAGTAGAGGACACCGAAGGGAATCCGAGCAGTTGCAAATCCACGACCGGTACCGATATAACGAGCACCACCAAAAGACAAATCCTGCTGAATAGAGCTGGCATAAATTTGACAGACAAACACCTCGAAAATGGGAGATGCAGATGCGAAGTGCTTGGCCAGACGGGTTGCAGCACGCCAGAATCCACGCTCCGTCAATTCTTGTACAACCAGAGGTACGAAAGCAATGAAGAAGACAATGAAGATGGAGAGAACGCAACGCTCGACCCATCCCTGGATAGGAATCAAGTTTGTGCATCCGGTAGGTTTGAGAGGATCCGTAGGTGGGGTGTTGCGGTTGTAGTGGCAGACAATCGTCTCATGTCTCAGAGCACCCAGGTTGATCAAAACGATCATGAAGAGCTGCACCGACAACATGATAAACATATTGTTGATGTGGAAACCAGGATGAGCATAGTAGAATGAGAGGAAACGGTCCAAGGGTAGTTGGGTACCGAGATAGTAGTACTCCCTGGACAACATCTGCTCACCCATACCAGTACCAATCTTGGTCGTAAAGTTCAAGATGGAGCCAAAACCAAGATCACGACCCTTGCCGCACTGGTAGTATTCACAATGTTTGATACGACCACCACGAATGAGGGCGTTCATGCCTGCGTAGATATCTTCGTTTAGATGGAGACCCTTTTGCGCCTTCGAGACGCCGCCACGTGTAGTCATGAAGATGCCGTTCAGGAAATCAGGATGGCCGTAATGGAGCTTGCCACCGATCTGGGCCAATGTACGAGCAAACAGAGTACCGAAGGTTTGTTCCTTTCCAGCAGCGACGTCACCTAGGACACCAATATTCTCCGAGAAGATATACTCGCGGGCACCAAGAATGGCAACAGGGTTGGTCTTTGGTGGAGTGACTCCGGGTGTATATGGTGAGACATTATCTGTAGTCATTTCCTCGAATTCGGCCAAGACGCTTCGAATCTTCAAGCATTCTTCCAGATAGTTGTCCTGGTTGGCATCGATGAGCTGGATGTATTCACCGCGATAGAAGATGATGGCGTGGTTCTGGTTGTCCGATTTACCATCTCCCAGAATTGGATTACCGGAAAGCTGGACCCTGAACTTGGGTCGGCGCATACCGTTCTCGAGGAGTTCCGAGTGACCGTCAATCAGAGCAGAGTACAAGCGAGGTTCCTCACCCTCATTTTGTGGAGGCTCTTCATCCAAGTAAGCAATCTGAAGATCGGGATACGCGCGGAGCAAAAACTCGGTGTTTTCACGCTCTTCTTTCTTGAACTTCGCGTAGCGTTGCATCGACACTACGATCTTGAACTTGCGACGAGCCATGCGTTCCAACTCGCGCTCGAGTTTATCGGAATTACCACCAAACATCTGGACGACCTCCGGGTTCTCGACACGGTACAGGAGCTTGATCGCGCGGCTGTAGTTCATGAAGCCCGAAACCGTGCGGTAGAGTGTTTGAGACCGCAGAGATGCCCAGATACGAGTACGGAGAGTGTATTCCGGAGCAGCAGACTTAAAACCAATGCAATAGAAAGGCAAGTCATCGATCTTGCTCTTCGCCGTGTCTTTCTCGGACTTCTCGTAGTCGCCATTGAATTGAGAGGTCTCGTCCGCAAGAATCTTGGTGTCCTTGACGAAGCAGTCCCATTCGTGCGGGTGAAGTTGCTTGAGATATTCCAGAAGGGTGACACGAGAGTAAGGCTCGTCCTCACGGATGATCTCCCGAAGAGACAGCAAGATCTTTTCGCCGTAGTGAGGAATAAGGACCGTGAAAGTAGGCATGTTGTCAACCGGGAGAGGCTCTGGGATCGGCGTCGACAGTGACTGCGCAAAGAAAGAGATACGGCGTTCAGCCTCACTTTGCGATGGGAAGAATTCGGTCTTGAAGGAGTGATCTTCTTGCGATACAAAGAAGGTTGGGGCTCTCAGGGTGCGCTTGCCCTCTTGCTCAGAAGGAACTTGGTGGTACAGGAGCTTTTGGACGTGATCAATGGCCAATAGGTGTTCTCTGTACATGGAGATGACAATTGCATTCCAGACTTGGGAGATCAAGACTTTTGGCTTGTACTTGATTTCCATGTCGGTTGTTGCCAAGACCTTGGAATAGATACGCTTGGGAAGTCGAGAGAAGATGTTTCTCCAGGGCGTCCAGATCGAAACACCCAGGTAGAAGGATCGTGCGACAGAGAAGACGCAGTTCCAAATGATGTACCAGAGATAAGTATCCAAGAAGAAAAGAATCAAGTCGGTGAAGAACATGATTCCGAGCAATATCTTGGGCTGATACTTGCAAAGGTAGTCCTTGAGGATCTTATCACCCTGGCATCGGGAAATCTTGGTGTAGGTCAGGATCTTGATAGGGTCTCTGAAAGAGAGTGTCAAGAAGAAGTATGACTCAGCCAATTTGGCGGCGAACACCATGATCCAGAGACCATACGACATCCACATGTCGTTACCCTTGAGGCGGGGATACGACGCAGTGAAAGTTTGGCTTGCAACATATTGGCGAGAATTGCGAGTCAAGTAGCTGCCGAAAAGACCTCCAAGGGGCATGATGGCGAAGAAAAAGAAGGTCGCCAGAGCCACGAGGAATTGGACAACACCCAAAATCAATGAAACCTTGGAAGTTTGCGAGATACCGAAGATATACACACTTGGCGCGATATTGATGGCGAAAACGCCAATCAGGAATAGGAGCCGTTTAGTGAGATGCTGCGCACCTGCCCATCTGCGCGGAACGTAGGACCATTCGATAAGGGTTGCAATGATCTGGATCAAAGACGCGACGGTTCCACCCAAGGCAACTGCAGACCATTGAGCAGCACCATGGGGTTTGTTGTTCAGCTGCTGCTGGTAATTGTGGGTGTACAAGGCGGGAGCATTGAAGGCAGTGTAGAACCAGAAAGTGGTCAAATGAATGACCCAGATACGGTTGAAGTTGACCATCAAGTGGAACCACGACCTGGTCTCCTTGTAGGTCTTGAAGAAAACCTTCTTCCAGTTGACCTCTTGAAGCTTGAGGTATCGCTCAGCCGGAGGGAGATCGACGATGCGCGACTTGTCGTTCATCACGATCCTTTCAATACCTTCAGGGTACCAGAAAAGCTGATTTATATCGTCGTAACCAATGACTTTGTTATGGTCACGTTCTCGTCGGACGTACTTGCCATCAATAATCTCGTAGCACTGGTCTCTAATGTACGTGTACAGCGGCGTGATGACATTGTTGAGGTAGGTGAATTCTTCAACTGGCTCCACGCGGTTTTGCGCAGCAGGAGAATGCAGATAGTCGTCTGCACACTTGAAGATGAAGCAGAGACACTCAGGCATGAATCGAACCTGGTTAGCTTCACCCCAGCACAGCAGGTAGAGAGCGATCTGGCGGGCTCTATCATGCTGGGACATCTTATTCATTCGTGTTTTCCAGCGATATTCAGCTGCCTCCAAGGAGTTGTCACCCTCCAAGGCTTCCAAGGTCTGCTCCTCGTTTTGAGGATTCTCTTTAGCCTTTTTTGCCGCCGCTTTGCGGGCCTTGCGGGTGCGACGATTGGCCTTGCCAAGGTTCATGTTGGCGAAGCCGACTGCATCGTCAAGATCCAGGTGGGCGGCAAAGTACCATCGGCGGTAGTTGGCATTTTCGCCTCCAATGTAGTCGGCGTGAAGCGAGAGTAGCGCTTGGTTCGGTGTCATGCGAGATGCTCTAGAATCCAACAGAGTCATCATGTGATCATACATGTTGCGCATACTGTCTCGTTGGAATCCAAACTTGGCAGTCAAATCAAGGAATATGTCTTCGATTTCCTCCTTTGAAAGGGGAATCTGTGCATCTGAAGTCCAGGCTGGATATGGCTCGCGCGAACGTTGACCAGCGGGCAAGGCGTTGTTATAGTCCATCCCATAGATAGGTGTCGACGCTCCCGAAGAACGATTACCACCATAAGAGATTTGCGAGGACGGGGGTCTGTAGCCACGGCCACCCTGGTTGTCATAGCCGCTGTTGTATCGTTCGTCCCCTCGGCCGTAGTAATCCATCTCAGCAGCACGAGCCATATCGGACCTCATTGTGAAATCACTGAAGGTTTCGGAGTCTTCCTCTGAGTCATGACCACGACGCCTCGGTCGCTGGCCTTGGTACTGTTGCTGCCCTGCAGCTCCTTGATCGTAGTACTGGCCGTCGTAATAGTCATCTTGATAACCTTGGTGGCCTTCATAGTATCCGCCGTCGTTGTGGTAAGGATTCGAGGCATCGGCGTTGTAGTATCCACTGCACCAAGTTAGTGGGACGCATGTTCTAGTTTGTGTCTTGTCCTTACGATTCATCGTAATATCCCTCGCCGCCATGCTGCTGCTGGGCGTAGTCGTGATGATCGTTGTAGCCGTGCTCATCCTGGTAATAGGCATCGTTGCCTTGATGATGGCCGTAGCCATCATCATAGCCACCCTGTTGTGGATGGCCAGACATAATTTGGAATGGTATCTGCAGTCAAACCGTCAACACCAACTTGATTCTCCGGGGTTCCAGCCCAGGTGGTTGCAGCATCTCACCAACCTTAAACCAGTCCCATTAAAAATTGCTCAGCAGGTAAAAGATTCCCGTGTGCAGCGACTTTTCCGCGGTGTAATTGCTTGTATTATTACGAGATACTGGAAAGAACAACGAGCGAGTGTCTTGGTCAGGGGGTCGGAGACGTAGAGATATGGTCGAGCCGTCCAAAATCGCGAAACGAGGACTTTTCGAGGCCGTGCGTAAATGGAACGAATGCACAGACTGAAGGTTGACGAGCCGTACAAACGTCGTCGAAAACGCAGGTGAGAAAGACGTGCACAAAGGGTGTTTGGTGCAGGTGAGGATTGTTGTGAAACGAGCGAAAGGAGGAGTGGTGGTTGCTCAGCCAATGCAGGTGCGCGTCCGCGGCAGGCGTGGCTAGCAAGCTAACGACGCCAGTCTCCCCAGCACTTCTTGCGTGGGCGTTGCAGGAAGAAGCCCCTTTGCACCTGCCTTTCTCGCAGCGATCGAAGCGAGGTCCGGTAGAGGCGAAGTAGGCAACGAGCGGTTTGTAGTACAAAAGTAAAAAAGAAATGAGGCTGGTTCGAGGGAAAAAAGCGACGACAAAGAGAGCCTGGAAAAAAGCAGGCTTTGGGAGGAGGGAGACGCACCCAGGGAGCTTGGGCGAGTTGGGGGTAGTTTGCTGGCTGCGTGTTTCGGGATTAGGGGCCGCAGAGGGGGCGTGCCAGTGCGCAGGACAGAAATTTGGATGGCTGCGAGCGAGTCGGAAGGCCACACTAGGCCTTTGGCGAGTGGGCTTTTTGATTTCGGGTGGGCAGGGCAAAGCAAAGGCCCAGGCAGGGGCAGCTGGCGAAATCAAGGCTTGCCCTGTTCCGGCCAGGATTTGACAGCAGCTTGTCAAAGCCAAACAAGGGGCAGCGGCCGGGGAGCTGAAGCTCACAGCGTCGACAGCCCAAGGCGCGCCACTGCTCACGGAGAACGAGTTGTGCGGTCCACGGATCTTCAATTTTGGATGGAGCTGTTGGAGCACTACGGAGTATTGCAGACTCCCTTGGTTCCATGCCTCGCCCTCTCCGGTCCTTGCAATTCGCTCTGGCACAACTGATCGCGGCGCCATCTCCCCGTCATCAATTGATTCATCGACCTGGTCCTTTGTCTTGCATCGCCATCGCTTATGCTTTCACGGACTGACTTTCCGCCCCGGTGCTATCATTACTATCTCTGGCGCCCGCCGCACATCAGATGCCCATTTCGTGGCTGGGATCAGCTTTATCCTGTGGCTATGCATCCAAACCGAAGAATTCGCATCTGCATCCTCTGGGAGCACCTTACTGTATAGACAATAAACAAAACTACCAGTCGTGAACCGCCCTGACACCAGCATGGCAGCGCATATAACGCAACCCCCCGCACCGCTCGAGACGATCCTCAAATCCCCCTGGTCACACAGGCAGTGTTTCAAAGAGGAGGTGTGCTGCGTTGCAGATCCTGAGGTACGTTTTGGACTTATCATAGGCTACTGTAGGGAACATGCAGATTCGCCCTCAACAGAGAAGCTGATCGGGCTTGTAAGTGCGCAACCACTCCGTACAGAGCATGAGATGGTGATATTATTGCCTCCCTACGGAGTCTATATCTCCGTACGGACTCCATGGAGCGTCCATCCAACCGTCATAAAGACGAGTCCTAGCGGGCGGACTTTCTTAACGTGTCTTTGCTGTACCCTTGGAGGAATGACGCGGCTCACAAGATACGGCGCGTTCGTCGTCCGTTGCCCGATCTTGTCCTGCCTTCAACGAGCTTTCGCAGACAGTCTTGACATTTATTTCTAAGCCAGTGCTTGCAATCTCCCACCTTGTTCAGCAACACACGTCTCAGGGCCTGATGCCACGCGTTGCTCATTTGAAGCGATGGTCTGACAGCTCGCCATGGTCACCCGGCACGATCCGGACATTCCACTTCGTCGCTTGGAAATCCCCAACAACTCGCCTTGATCTGACTCTTCTGGTGCAGCCATGGTGAACACTGAAATCCGTCCTATGGGTTCGATAGTTTCGGTTGCTAGGAACATTTCTTTTCTTCCATCGTCCCACTGTGGCTGCGAGACCGAGAAGCTCGCATCATCCATTTTGTGGGCCTGTAAACGCCATTGACGCGAATGGAAATCCGCATCGTTGTGTCACTGCCAATTGTGGCCAGGAAATAATGTGTCGATGACCACTTGAAGCATCCGAACAGCGTAAAATCTACTTCTAGCTAACTTTACCCATCTGCCCATGAAGGCGTGTTTACGAATCAGAGCTGAGAGCTGCCGAATCCTGTGAGTCTTCTGAAGCCCTCTGCCTAGACTGTCCGGCGCATGTTGGTCGACCAAGGCCTAAAGGTCATCATCCCCCGGGCAGTGAACACTGGGATCATGAAAGTGAAACAAGCTTTGATGGGAATCAAATAGCCCAAAGACCGGCGCGGCGTGGCGAATGGCTATTTAAAGTTGACGAGGCCCATGTCGTTCGTTGTTTGGTGGAATCATAACGGCCCTGCTCCCTGTCTCTCAGATTATCGTTTCTGGGTTTGCGTTATTCCAACTTATACAATAGCCGGGCGTAGGGACTTGTGGGCATCTGGATAAGAGGTTCCACTGCCAATCATGCTCGGACCTTTTCAGCATCCACCGCCGGGTCCAATTTCAAGGATGAACGAATGGAGATCAAGGACGATCTCATCCACGCCAACCGCCCTGACTGCTTAAAACTCGAGGCCGAGACAACTGGCTACAAGGAGTGTCTGGAGACTGCGAGACAAACTCTTCGGCAGACCATGCCACCATGCAACCATAATCTGGCTTGGTGAGACATGCATAGAATTTTCTCATCGATCATTACGGGTTGGACAACCTCGTGGCAAATGAACGGCCACAGGGGTTTGTGATACTCATTTATCCGTCTAATGATCCTGCAACTCATAAGTCCGAGCTCATCCCTTGCCCTGTTCCCATCGACACATTATTTTGTGCATTGTACGGACTATGCTGCCCAGAAGATCAGGGATAAGACGGAAGAGCCGCTCATGGTGTGCGCTGCAGCCACAAAGAGTCCATTTGGTTATTGGTGCGCTGCAAAGGCACAGCATGCTTCATCGTATGGGTTTTTGCCCACACCAGAGTTGTCCCAGGACTCGGACAGTCGGCTCTCACACGTTGTAGTGAACAGCTTCAACCCGAGAAGAAGACAACAAAGCCAAAGCACAATCGTGGTAGGGAAGACAGGACGCGTGTCGCTCGACCGAAAAGGAGCGGGAAATGCTCAGAGAAACTGATCTGCGCATAGGGGATGGCCAATGGCGATTCACCGGTAAAAGTCTGAGCGCTCTTTGAGGGTAGCATCCTCTCCCTAGAGGCACAGCTATGTACTCGTAGGCCGTAGGGGGTTGATTGTTACCATAGAGAGAGTGGATGGGTGGACTTCGGGTCCTCGGTGAACTGCTAGCAGCTGGCAACGGCCACTACAACAGAGGTGTTTTGGACCGTCCACGTTAGGCGTGTCGCATGCCTGGACCTCGAGCAGACACTTGCTTGAACGCCGTCACTCCCGCGCCTGCGACACGTTTGCACCTAAATTGGGACTGTGGTTTTGTGTATTATGATCCTCAATCCCTGAGTCCCTTGAGAGTGTTTCGTCTTGGTTTCTTCTCTTCAAGCACCATCAACACATCACTAGGTGTAGATTCCAGTCGCAGGCTTCGTTTACTGCCGACTGCTACGGGTTTTGTTTCTCGCACTCTTTCTGAATCCTATCTTGTCGTCTTTCATTCCTGCCTTTGTTAGGCAAGGGCAGATCATTTCCCGCGCATTTTGGTCCATCAGACTCAAAACCTCCCTTGTTCGTGACGTTGCAGAGTCGACCGTGAACCAAAACACCATTCGTTTCGATATCTCACCACTTTCACCAAAATGAAGGGCTTCACGTCAGTTGCTTTGGCAGGAGCCGCTCTGTTCCTCACTGCAAAAGCAGACGTAGACCCTATTGTGATCAAGGTACATTCGGCTGCGCCAACATGTTCCAAGCCGATGACGGCCATCCGCTGACTCCTGTCCGACTTTCAGGGCTCCAAATTCTTCTATAAAACCAACGGAACCCAGTTCTACATGCGAGGCGTTGCGTATCAACAGGACTACCTTGGAAACGTGAGATCGCCTAGCATTCCCTTGGACGGATTCCACTGACCAGTCTCTTCAGGGCACCACCTCGGGTTCATCTGGTGGTTCCGACAGTTATATTGACCCCCTTGCCGACCCTGACTCTTGCAAGAGAGACATTCCTTACCTCGTGGCTCTGCGAACCAACGTCATCCGTACTTATGCGATCGATCCCACGAAGAACCATGACGAATGCATGTCAGCGTTGGCTGACGCCGGCATCTATGTCATTTCCGACTTGTCTGCTCCCGGCCAGTCCATCAACCGTGACACTCCTTCGTGGAATGATGACCTCTACGGACGTTACACCTCGGTTGTGGATGCCCTGGCGAACTACACAAACACCTTGGGATTCTTTGCGGGCAATGAAGTCTCAAACAATAGTACCAACACCGACGCCAGCGCTTTTGTCAAGGCAGCTGTACGGGATATGAAGGCATACATCAAGCAAAAGAACTACAGACCTTTGGGTGTTGGTTACGCGACGAACGATGATGCAGACATCCGCGTAAACTTGGCCGACTACTTCGACTGCGGCGACCGTTCCCAGGCGATTGACTTCTGGGGCTACAACATCTACTCTTGGTGCGGTGACTCTAGCTATACCGAGTCGGGCTACGATGAGCGCACCGCGGAGTTCTCGTCGTACAATGTTCCCGTCTTCTTCGCCGAGTATGGTTGCAATACTGTCCAGCCTCGCAAGTTTACTGAAGTTGGCGCGTTGTATGGCCCTCAAATGTCCCCCGTCTGGTCTGGTGGAATTGTCTACATGTACTTCCAGGAAGCGAACGACTACGGTGAGCAAGTCGTGACCCTCCACCCTCTCCGCAGCTAATGTCTGGCTAGGTCTCGTCAGTGTCGATGGCAACTCGGTCAGCACCTTGGACGACTTTAACTATCTATCTTCCGAACTGGCCTCGGTCAACCCAACTGGAGTGAACTCCGCCAGCTACAACCCAACCAACACCGCTGCCCAGGCTTGCCCAACTGTCGGCAGCGATTGGCAAGCGTCGTCCGATCTTCCTCCTACGCCAAACCAGGAACTTTGCCAATGCATGTACAATGCTCTGAGCTGTGTTCCAGACAACGTCTCTGGTGACGGCATTGGTGAGCTGTTTGGCGTAGTGTGTGGTTTGGGTGAAGGAACTTGCGACGGAATCACAGCGAATGGCACCGAGGGACATTACGGCGCGTACGAGATGTGCGACCCTACTCAACAACTTGCCTTCGCACTCAACAACTACTACCAACAACAACTGACGGCTGGCAACGGCGCATCGGCTTGCGACTTTTCAGGATCTGCGAAAACGCAGTCTCCTGCCACTCCAACCGGCACTTGCGCGGAATTGATCAGCCAGGCTGGTAGTGCAGGCACTGGCACAGTCACATCGCAACCAAGTGGCACCGGTGCCTCTGGTTCTGGTTCTGGCTCCGGCTCCGGCAGCGGTGGCAGTTCAAGCAGCTCCAGTGCCGGTATACCTGGCTTTTCCGCACCAGCCCACGTTGGCCTCCTGCAAGTTGTGTCCTTCCTCACGGTTGCATTTGTGTCGGGGGCTGGTATGATCTTGTTGTAGGTGATGGGGCAGTTTCAAGGTGGACATGTCTTCATTAGTGAACCGCGTCCCTATGGAACCCCAGGGTCTACTCTAGGTGGGCTTAGGCACAACTTGACCACATGCAAGCATGTAATCTCAGGGCATTGGGAGCCGGCTAGCGTTGCGTTTGGTTTGTTTAATTTGTAACTGAAAAGAATTGAAATTCAATTGACAGATCATAATGAAGTCTCGCTTTGCATGATCACGGCAATGGTAGGCAGTGCTTCGCAATACATGGAATTGCATTGGATGCTTCATGGGAGCCTCGCAGCCTCGCAGCCTCGTGGCCTCGTGGCCTTGGGGTCGGGTGAATGTCGGTTGACATCAGGCCATCGTGGGACTGAAGACGGTCCTCAAATCAACGACATACTATCACTCCGCGGACTCTTGAACAGATCCTGATACTCGGTCCAGGTGGCATTGTGTCTTGAAGCAGTGCTGCTCGTAGTGCATAATTATTGGAGATGGTTTCGGACAGGCATCAGTCCACCTGTGCTGCCTGGTGAAAGAGGCGCCTCCAATTTTTTATTTAAAGTTATCTTTTGCACCGACAAAACGAAACGAGTCTCTGATAGTCACACGCGCACCCACAAGCCGACAAACATAGCGGTACCGTGGCCCATTCATTGCTCTCCTGGATATTGTTCCCAAGTCAGGAACTACCTCGCCAGTTCCCTAGCCTCTGAATCCGACCAGGGCAACAAGCATGTCGACCACGTATGGCGTCCGAGAACTGTATGGAGGTGCAGCGGCAGTAGAGTTGCCGACGGAATTCATCGATTCGAGGTAAATTACGCCCCATCGCCATGTTTGTCTACACACACCCGCATCTAGTCTGCGACGACTGCAAGAGTTTTGTCGTACACCCGGGAGAAGGGGAAACTCGACGAGGTTGCAATGCTGTCCCGGGCACGCTGGGTCTGACCATGATCCGTCCTACTGGTCCTCTACTCTCGCGGACGGGTCACTCAGTACGCCCGGTCAAGTATACTACTTGCTACCTTTCCCCTGTCCTTGCAAGCAGCCGTACACACATACATGTACCTAGACATGTCATGCATTGACTGCGCCGCAAAAATCCTACCGCCCCCAGAAGAACATTCGCTGACGATTCCGACGACAGTGACATCCGCCAGATCCCCGACCATCAAGAAGTCTTCCTCTCGCCCACGACGCTCATGTCTGTGATTTTCGAACTGAACGACTACGTCCAACCACCGCCAGCCCCGGGTTCTGGGTCTGGCCAACAACACCCTTTGACGAACGGCGCCGTGTTGACACAAGACGCCATCGACGCCAACGCAGCAAAGTACCACTTCACAGACGTGATCGCGCCACCGGACACTTTGAGGTCGCCGCTACAGACGCCGGAGAGGATCGCCATGCACCACCCGAGTCTGTCTGGGTTTCCGACGTTCGTGGCCGCCGGAACCATCGACAGCGTGGATCCCCGGTCTCGACGAGGGGGGGGAGGGGGAAACCCGTCGTCGTCGTCGAACTCGGCACACAACACCGTATACCAACTCCAGTTACTCGTGCGGATGAAGAATTACGCCACGGATCTTTGTGTGCGCATCAACGTGCCCATGAAGGAGATTGCACTGGACGAAGGCGAGGTGGAGGCCGAGGTGGTGTTTGCCAGAGAGTTGCTCGAGAGGGTTGTGGCCACCTTGGAAGTCCGTGACTTCGGCCTCTTCGGTGCTGCTGCTTAAATTAAGTATTTGGGGTGCGGGAGGAGGGGGGGTTTGGGAGACTGAGTGAACGAGCATTTCTGGAATGGCATTACACGACACTTACGAATGAGACGAGGGGGGGGAAGGGGAGGGAGGAAAGCAAGGGCAAAGCACTACGAAACGGGGAACGAAGGGTGAGTGGTACGGAGTGTGGGTGTGTGGGATAACCTGACACGACACGTTTGCCATCGATGACCCTGCTTCCTTCAATCGTCGTCTGTGCCCGATTATGGTCAGAGAGCATTGTCTCTCCCTCTCCCTTATCGGGTTTCGGTACGATACGATACGATGTCAGGAGGAAATCAACTTGGGCGGAGCCGAAAATGAATGCGAGCGTGGTGAGGGGGAGAGGAGAGGGGACAACGACAACAAACCACCCCCAAGACGTACGGGATCTGTTCCACTGGATCATGGAGACGTGGTGCGGCGCAAGAGGGCCGGGGAGGGTCGGTGCAGGGAATGGTAACTGGTATGTCATGGCATGGCATGCTTTGTCGTAGCATCGTGCGATGTCATATGCCGTCTATGGTTTGGTATGGTCTGGATGAAGAGGCTGGCTGGCCGGCTTCTCCCTGTCGAGTCGAGAGAGATACAGGTATCTAACCGGGACGTGGATTCGAGTGTACCTGTACCTTTTCATCGACTCGACGACGTTCACGCCACTCCCGTTTGCCGGTGGGAATTGCGGGTATAAGTTCCCGGCAGAGGTTCAGGCACGCCTACTTGCCCTGGGGTAGGTATGCAGGTACCCAAGGGTACATATGTAGGTATATAGGTATGTAGAAATATAGCTCAGCAATGCCACGTAAACTTCCGGAGGCCGATATCTCACCGAAACATCAACAACTTGCAAAAAAAATACACGGAGAGTAGAGCAATCAGCCACCATTGGGCTGATTTATTTTTGATATTGGAAAAGGGAGAAAAAACAAAATCAACGTTATCTTGAACCTCTGACCTGTCTCGAGATAGGATTGGGACTTCACTCAGGTACCTATGGGCATCCAAAGAAAACCAGGTACCGACCGATCATCCATGGCACAGTCAATACCCAATATTTTTAATCAAGACTCTCGACAAGGATCCGTCCATGTGCATAATGCGTCTCGGGTCTTCTGAAATCGAACCCCGAAACCTTTGCCGGACTGATGTACACAATGTATGTATGTCCCCAACGCATGCGATGCAGGTAATTATCAATCGGTCTGGTTTCCAATATTCGACAACTCAACCAAAACCCATTACATGCAACATGATAAAATCGACCAACGCCAGTAACCGTGGAGTCGTGCCGTTTGTTCTGTTGTACAAAGACGACAAGACCGTGTCAATCCTCTTCAATCAGTGGTCTTCGACGGAGCAGTCGACTTCTCCCTTTTTCTTCTTAATCACTCAGTTCGACGTAGTCAATCATCCGTCCCACAGTGCCGGTGCTGTCACTCCCAGCACTCATTCTCGAACTGGAATTCGAACTTGTCGTACTGTCCGTGCTGCCTTCTCTTCCCTTTTTCACCGGGGCGTCCAACAGTTTCTTGCGCGGACTGGCTCTGGGCTTCGGGCGTACCTGGACCAGACGACCTTTGCATTTCCCACAGCGATGCTTCTCCGGGTCAATACTCTTGCTGTGCCGGCCGTATTCTGCGCCGCAGCCTTCGTCTTCTTCGATGTTGAGGAAGGCCATTGCCGCTGAACGCTCTCTCCCGGCACACACCCACAGGTACTTGTGGTTGATCACATAGCTGTGCTTCGTAGTGACCTCGACCTGACGCCAGATCTCGACTTGGCTCTTCCTCAGATGACAAGTCACTTTCGCCGCCCACTGTTTGAATGAGGCTCCATGTGGCTGGTCACGGACGTTGCTGATCATGAAGTTTGTCAGGTGACAAAACTCGTGAGCAACCGTGTTGACGAGGCGATCCTCACAGTCGATGATCTTCTCGGCAAGTTCGATGCTAGCAAAATGCTGCACTTTCACGCCAGGAACACTAACCTCTCCTCCCTTGATTGGTGACCCGGACAACTTCGTCACAGTGCGCTTCCAGTTTGCTCGGCCCGCAGTCGATCGAAGGGTCTTGGACCAAATGATTTTCACTCCGCCGGTGCTTGCAGCTAGTCTTCCGAGTTGTGAATCAGCCACACCCACGTCAAGTTCCCTCAGAAGGTCAATGGCGAGCTGGACTTTGCTACTGTCGAAGTTTCTCTTTCTTGACATCGCTGCTCGCTTCTCCTCGGCTTGACGCTTCTTTTCCTCCTTTTCGGGGCTCTTGGTGGGCGACCGTCCTTTACCCCCGGCCTTTCGAGGCGATGTACAAGGACTCGGAAAGGAATCTGAAATCGTCATATCTTCGTCCTGATCTTCTTCAGAATCGGACCAGATCTGGTACCTTGCAAGGCCAACTTTCTTTGGAGACGTTGCCGGAGCCTTCTTTGGTGAGTACTCGTCGATCCATTCATTGACCGTATTATGGTCCCAAAAAGCATCAGTGCTTTGACGATGAGGCGACCGAGGGATCAATTGTCGTTTGGATGGAGATAGCAACTTCGAAGGTGACTTCAACTTCACTGGAGACTTGGGTGGAGTGGCTGGTGGTGTCTTGACTTCATTGTTAGCTGGAATCTCTGAAGGAACCTGATCTTCCGTCTTCTCCATTGCACTAACACCCGCAAGCTGAGGCGTATCTATGAGACTAGGTTTCTCAGATGGCGGTGCCAGCTTGATCGGGGCGTCGAAGACATTAATCGTGCCTGTGAAGGTCGGAGGCTTCTTGGAATCGATAAACTGAGGTGAGTTGATGGGCTGAGCCGTGGTTGATATTAATTTAGGTGAAGTGAGAGGCGAAGTAGTAAGGTCGATGACTTCGACTATCTTCTCTTTCACTTCATTTGTGTCTTCCTTCAGCCGCATGTTTCGGAGGGCATCAGCCAGTCCACCGTTAATTCTATTCTCCTTTTCAGAATACGAGCCCTCCTCAGGCTCTCTTCGTTGGAGACTTCGTCGACCTCGGTGTAGCCTCTTTCGAGGTGATGCTCGTCGAGGTTGTTGGGTGGGTGCTACCCAGTCGTCGTCGGCCTCGGATGCTGAAGTTCCATAGTAGCTCAAGTCCGCATTGTCATCAACGATGAAGCCACTAAGGTCTGTATCCTCATCTTCGTCTTCTTCATCCATCGAGCTTTCGACGTCGTCATTGCATCGTGCTTCTTTCAGCACAAATCTGCTCGCAAGGCTCCCTGCTGCTTTCTGCTTACGGGTTTTCTCTGGAGCTGACCTTCTAGCTGCCTCCGTTATGCGCGACATTCTAGACATGCTTCCTGCATCATTGCTCTGCAGTCGGTGCGTATCCAACACCAACCTCGACACAGTCTGCTCCTCCTGGTCCTCCCCTTCCCCCATCGCCACCGATTTCTGTGGAAGCCGCAAGGAAGCAACATGCGTTAGTCTAAGACTCGATTGAGGACTTGCAGCCGACCGGCGATTGTTGGATGTGAGGAGCATCTCCGTAGTAGACGAATTTCGAGGAAGATTCGGGATCGCATCAACAATTGAGGCCGCTTTCGGAGGCTTGGTTCGTTTTGCGGGAGATCGGCCAGAAGTTTGATGAGACTCTAGATGAATTTGCGGTTCTTGTATAAGACTCTTTACTGTAGTGTCCTTCTTATGGGGTGATCTGGACTCGCAAACTGCAGGTCCAGCTTTCTTTCGTGGTGATCTTCGCACCGAGGCATTCGTGCTCGTGGCCATGAGTGGTCGAGGAGCGACAATGGCCGCAAGATCAGGCAAGTCATCGTCGGATAGGTACAGCGACATTTGTGTGTGATTCTGCGTCTATGGCTCATTCAACTACACGCTCCTTGATCTGTAGAGAGCCGTCGTCGACTCGGCTGGTTGAAATGCAGCCCGATGTAAAGCCGGCGATCTGTTTACTGTCTGTCTCCGCAGCAACCACATGTGATCACGTGCACCGTCCCTCAACACCCTCCAAGTCCCTGGCAACAACTGGGGCTAAAACTACCACGGACTGTCGACTGCTTGTGCTGGAACAAGAAAGACTCATCGGCGGGGGCAATGTTGCAATTGTCACAGGCATCATCACAGTTTCTCGATTGCACAGACAAGATATTTACCGCCAAACGCGTCAACAGTGTCGCCTATCTTGCAGCTTTGTTCCCATCCAAACTTCCCACCACTCTCTGCCACTTTGGGAAGACCGTCAATTCTCGTCAGATCTCCAGCCTCATACTGGGTTGTCCAGCTATCTCGCCCTTGGTCCCATTTTTCTCTTCGTGCGCAAAAACCCTCCATTCCTACCGGTCCTTCTTCGCCGCCCTTCAACCCCAAGAAATCACCTCCCACTCTCCCAAGAAATGTTCGTCCGTCTGTGCTGCGAAGGATCCAAGCATAGGCAAAGATCTCGGTCGACGATGCAGACAAAGTCCTCCACACTTCCTCATAGGGGGTCAATTGGTTGGTTTCGGGATTGACCATGCTTCCTGTCTCTACACTGTCCGTGTCTTCGGATCCAGGCTTGAAGCTGCCTACGTCGGGCTCCGTATATCCTCTTGAGTCGATCCAATGCGTCCATTGGCAGGTTACTGGCCGGGGGATCAGTCAAATCAGCCGTCAATTGCAGATATATATATGTAGAGATGATGTTTCGCTGGTTGCTGGGAAGTCAATGACTCACATGGCTCTTGGGACAGGATCAGTCTCTCTCCGGCCATTGCCCAGTCGATAGTCCCATCTGACTTTGTAATACGCAAATCGACGTACCAGCCGCCAACACTCATGACCAATGTGTCCGTGGGTTCCGACGGTTCTCCAGGGACCCAGCGTATACTGACACGAGTAGACAATCTCGACGACATGGCGACTATCTGTGTCCTAGCGACGTCTCGAGCTCTGAAATTCCGACGACGCAATGTCTTTTGTGCACTGGCTAATCCCTGATGTGTTGATCTGTGGTGATAGGAAGTGCAGTCCTTCCTCGGGTTAACCAGCAACAGAGAGACAGCTTCACATGTTTGTTCTTGTAGCGAAGCTGGTAAAACGATACACCAACCAACCACGCGCATCTCCGAGGAAAAAGCGTCGCTTCATCATTCCCCTTTTGGTTTGGTGTAGGGATAAGGATGAGCTGAGGCGAACGCGGACATTTAGTCACTTCCTTTATACATCAATTCTTGAATTCACTATTTCCCCCCTCTCCGTCGAGCAAAACTGTACACTCTGAAGATGATTAGGATGACAATGTGTCCACTTGCGACTTTTCCCCAACAGCGCGATCTTCGAGAAGGATGACACCTGCACCTCGATCCTGGAACGGATGTTCTCGATGCAAGCAGCGACGGCAGAAATGTGATGAATCGTCCCCCAAGTGTGCCCGATGCACGAGGGACGGAGCAGACTGCATATACGAGAAACGGCTCAGATTCGGTGGACGCCCTTTCGTCCGGTCTCGGTTTGGATCTTGTCTATCGCAGAGTGGCTCCGGAGATGGAGCTCGAAGAATTGGTAACTTAGCGATAGGCCCCGGTACCAACCGACCATACTGATTACGATCATAGCCACGTCCGACGGAGGGTTTGTCTACTCTTCAAACCACTTGACAGCTACGGCGCCAGCTACGCCCTCCAACACGGAGGCCAGCTCAACACCAGACAACTCGTTCTCGTCCAGTCGGCAGCAACTCTCATTAATGCAGTCTGCCCAAGCTCCCAGTCGGAGCGGCCTCGATCTTACAGTCCCTATATCTGTTGACCCACTGTCCTTCATGGCCTCAAATAACCGTCACTTGCTTCAATACTTCATGCACAATGCTTCTCAAGCCCTGGCGACCCACAGCCTAGTACACCGAGAAGTCTGTGAAGTAATTATCCCTATGGCTGTCGCGAACCCAGCTCTACTCCATGCGACCCTCGCCCTCGCCGCCATCCATCTAAACTCCTTTATGTCCAACTCTGACCATAGGCCCAGAGATGAAGGAAGTGACGTTGTGGCTCATTTAACTACCACCAGCATCGCACACTTACGGAGGGAGCTTCAGCAACCTGTGGGAGGCTCTCCGGGACCACAGCTAGCAACTATCCGTACCTTGTTCTTGTGTGAAGCTATCTCTGGTTCACCAACCCTCAGTACCTGGAGATCCCATTTCTTAGGCGCAAAAGCGCTTTTCTCGTCCATGGAACGGCAAAAGGATATCCGGGAATTCCAGAAGGACGCCTCTTTGCCGTTCCTACGGCGCTGGTACAATATCACGGAGGCGCTTGTGGCCCTCACACCCGAGGGCCTGGAGGAGGATATGCAAGGCTCCTTAGGACCTCGTAGCCTAGGTGATCCGAGTGATACTCCGATCTGTATTGACGCATACACTGGCTGCACAGATGACCTTGCGAAAGCTCTGAGAGAGATAGGAGCACTGGCATGGGAAAGACGTCGTGCAACTCGACCACCTAACCAACCTTCAAAGCTTTCCGAAGCAGACTTTCTGCGTAAGGCTGATGGTCTCGAAATATTGATCAACCGCATGATCATCCGTGACAGGTCGGGAACAGCAATATCCAATGTTCCAGAGCCACATGGTCTATCGCTCAAACAGTTTGAGGAGTTTCTTCTCTGTAATGAGGCTTACCAGCACACTGCGCTCATACACATTCACCGACAGATACGATTGCTTTCTTCCGATTCTTCGCTGGTCCAAGACTGCGTCAAGAGGATCATTGACTGCGTCAGCAGAATTAAGCCTGCCGCAACACTCTCGCCACTGACTTTACTTACCACTCCGCTCTTCACTGCTGGTTGTGAGGCTCGTGGCTCTGATCGTACCAAGATCACCCTGCTGTTAAAAGAAATGTACAATCATCTGCATCTCCCTAACATGAAACAGGCATTGGAGGTACTTGAAGACTTCTGGCTAGCATCAGCAGATGGCAAAACAAGCTGGGAAAGCTTTTCGAGTACGTTGACTCTCTCTTCTCATTGACACAGATTTGACAATTGACAAATTCTAGCTGCACGTGGTTGGGACTTTCTGCCATACTGATATTGAGCCGACATAGCCGTCGTGATCTCCACGCGCCCCTATGGCTTGTGCATATCCCTACGACTTCTCTGGCTCAGCATTTTCCCTCCTTAGGCCAATTATGGGCTCATCAGACGTCAAAACTATTGGCTTGTTCCACTGCCGACCATGGAGAATCAAATATGTCAGTGGTAGACAAACTGCACAAATGATAGCTTGTGTGCCGAAGCACCAGCCATACCCTATCACAGATTTGAGTCAATCAAGAAGTCTAGAAGACGAGACCTGGGCATCACTTACCAACAGCATTGGTCCAATCATAGATGTACCAAGGGACGATAAAGGCCGACATCTGTCCGAGTTATTGGCAAAGCTTTGAAGGAGCAAGAGTTGGACTAGACTTACGTTGATAACCACTGAGTAAAACGTGATGACCTCGATGGCGTGCTCGGGGTAACTGTCGACAATATAGGTTGTCAATGTGGTGTTGCCGGCCTGGAGCCCAACGGCAAAAAGGAAAAGGGCAATCTGGCCAGTGATCCAATGCCAGCTTTTTTCCACCGAAGCTCCCCAGATGGCCAACCCGATGGCCGACAACAGGGCACCAGGATAGCCAAGCCAAAGCCGCATCTCTGGTTTCCGAATACCACCGTTCCTCTGCGACAAGCGAGCTACGATATAGTCGCTCAATCGTCCAGAGCAGAAGAGTTCCCCAAATATCACGCCAATTAGAGGTCCCGTGAAGAACAATCCTTGGATCTGAATCTTGTACTCATAGTACGCAGCCGGAATCATCGAGAGCAAAGCGACAATCCTTAGGATCACTTAGTGCCCACTTCATACGTCGATTGGGTTGTGAGAGCAACATACCACCAATAATGGAGAAAAATGTAACCACAAACACTCACCGCAAGTCTGGGATACGCCCAGAGCTTGCAAAAGGTTATCAATGTCTCCCATGGTTTTGGATGGGCGACACCCGGAATTTTGCGAATATTCTGCATTTCATCAGCAGTCGAACTTTTAGGTGAGATTCGGATCAGTCTCACTAGCCAGGGAAGTTGTTTGGTTCTTTTCATATCAAGAGTTGAGCCTCCGTCATGAATCTCGGATGCACCATGTTGGCGCTCATACTCGACGACGACACTACGAGGATATTGTGTCTCTGGCAGGAAGAGCACCTCCCAGACGAGAAGGAAGGCGAATGCCATCGTGACATGATATGCTACCCAGTATTGATCAACGGTGGCTATAAATCCACCGACTGCGAAAAGTCAGCACAGGCCGAGCCGCGAGATTCAGAGACATACTCAAACCACCAAGTACGCTCCCGATATTTGCGGCCATTGCCCATAAGCCGATACGGAAGCCTCTTTCGTGCTCCCAGGAGACGTCGTTGATGATGCTTAAGCCGACATTTGCTGCTGGCCCGGCGGCGAAGCCTTGGAAAAATCTGGCGGCCATATATTGGCCAATCGTTTGGCCTTTGATTGAAGTACAGCCACTTGCGAGCACTGCCATTGAAGTTGAGATAATAGTAACGATCCGCCGTCCGTATGTTTCAGCCAGCGAAGACGTCACGAGCGGACCAAAGGCCAGACCAAATGCGGATATGCCGAATGACCAGTTCACTTGGTTGTAGGACGCATCGAATTGCTCTTCCAACAGTGAAAAGGATGGGACAGGAGCCGTTGTGAGGTACGTCAACAGGAAGTAAAAGAAGCAAACAATTGCAATGATGTTGTACTTCATGAGTCTGGACCAGTTCAGCGGGTCAAGCACGTCGTTGGTTGGGGCCGGCACTTTGGGCTTCGCAGCTGTCACCTCGGACGACTGGAGGTTGTCACCCCTAGCAGATATGGCGGAGGTATTATCTAGGGGGATAGCCATCTTGGTAGGCATATCGGGGATAGTTTGAATATGGACGTGGTTGAGAAGTGTGCGGTTTGAAGCGCTGCGTGGCCATCTACATGCCTTATATGTACTATCCTGTCGCGTGGGCATTGGCGCGGCTTCATGTCTACTAGATAAGATTCCCTGTTCGACTTCATATCGCTTGGTTAAGCATAGATAGTCTTGGACGGACGGAATGGTCGTTGACTCCTCTTGATCGGGACTGCCTGCTATTCCCAACAAGGAAAGTCGGGGAGACGGCATTCAGTGTGGTCGAGTATTCGTATCCGCTCGAGATAGATCCTGTGCACAGTGTTTGGGCGCTAGTTCAGACGGAGAAGGACGATGCGATGGATAAGATAACGACGAGCATCGACATGTTTATCTAACCATTGATCTACCACAGGCCCCGGCCGAACTTCGAAGTCGACACTGCATTCTGTCGCCTCATCCTTCTCGGTTTGGCTCTTGCTTATTATTCCAGCGCTTTGACGTTGTTGCCGGCGAGGGTCTCTACGAAATTGTTTCGCCCAAAGCTTCCCCTTTTGCTGAGAACACCTTGCCGTTGGACCATTCCGAATCAAGGCGTCCTGGTAAGAGTCTGCCAGGGCATATGATAGAACTATTTATTGTTTTTGGCATATACTCGCGGCTCATGATATAAAAGCCTATCAGCAACGACAAAGTTGGACGGCCTCAATATCCTCACACCGTCTGAACTTGGTCGGAGACATTCACGCGCCATCGACTCATAGAAGGTGAAACCCCCAGTGGAGGGATAAGTCAGAACTATCTACCATCATGCTCATTATCGGAGCCCTGTGGCTTCTGCCATACCTACTTATCATTGCCGGACTCATCAGCACCATATCCAAGATACGGTCGCCACTGGCCAAAGTCCCAGGTCCGTGGTACACGATCTTCACCTCATTTGTTCTCAAGTACAAGGAATTCACCCATGGACGACGACTTTATATCCATGAATTGCATCAGAGATACGGCCCCGTGGTCCGTTTGTCACCCGATGAAGTGTCCTTCGCCACGGTCGACGCAATCAAAGAAATCTACATGTCTGGTGGCAGTGGGTACGACAAGACTCCATTCTACTCGCTTTTCACTCAGTTCAACACGCGAACCTTGTTTTCAACTCTTATTCGAGGTGACGTACGTACCAAGGTCAATAATATTGGTACCTGGGAGTTGATGGACTGACAATCAACCAGCATAGTTACATGAAGAGATATCTTGCAGATCGCTACGCTAATAGCAACGTCATGAAGCCTGACATCTTACTTGGGATCTCGGACCATGCCAAAGATTTTTTGAGTCAATGTACCAAGGCATGCTCTTCGCAGGGCTATGCCGATATCTATGTGAGTTAAAGAAGCGTCTTGAAGTGGGATGCCACTCACTAGTGTTTTGGTACTGATCTGTCTTTCAAGGCCTTCCTGCACTGTTTCGCACTTGACGGCGTAACCCATCAGCTTTTCCATCCGCACGGCACGCATGCCAACAGAGACGAAAAAGATTACCGCCTGATGAAAGAACTTTCCTACCACGACAGCCTGAAAAGTATGATCATCCATCACCGAGCTTAGCGAACTGGTACATCTAGCCTCTGAGTTGTTTCTGACCATTGCAATATTTCAACAGGCAACGTGGCACTCTATTACATGCCGTGGGCGTCGAAGATTATCCATTACCTCAACCCCCCCAAGCCGGCGCCGTTGTCGAACGATTACGTCCTGAGCGCGAGTGCCGCTTCCGACCCTTCTCCATTCAGCCTCCTGTCCAAACTCCAAGCCCAGGCAAAAGCGACCGACATGCCGGCCTACGCCGTTCCTGCAGAATGTAAAGATCACCTGGCTGCTGGCGTCGACACCACAGGAGACGGACTATGTTTCCTGATGCATTACCTGTCGTTGCCGAACCCCCAATCGCAGAACGTACAATCACTTCTGCGTGAAGAGTTGGTGCAGAATCCCACAACTCCGTTTGACCAGTTGCCGTATCTGGATGCGGTTATCAAAGAAGCTCTCCGATGCTTCCCGCCCATCCCCATGTCGTTCCCTCGCTGTGTACCACAGGAGGGCAGCGTGATCGACGGCTACTTCATGCCCGGCGGCACGATTGTGAGCTGCCAGCCTTACACGATCCACAAGGATCCTAACGTCTTTCCTCGCCCGCTGGAATTCCAACCGGGTCGCTGGCTCGATACCGATGCGCAGGCTGTCGCGGAAAGGAATCGTTGGTTCTTTGCCTTTGGCGTTGGCGGGAGAGGTTGCCTGGGAAGACAGTAAGTCGTGTGGTTGTCGTTTTCTTTACCCGTCGTCTCCTTCTTCTTCTTCTTCTTCTTCTTCTTCTCCTGTTTGTACCTTCTTGTATTCGTGGTTTGAGATGTGCAGCTGACACCGTGTTGTTAATCTGTACAGCCTGGCGATTGCAGAGATGAAGATTCTCCTTCGTGAAGTCTATTCGCGATACCGAACGTCTGTCTCACCTCTGATGAATAGCGATATGGATATGGAGGATCAGATCATCGCCAGTCGCCCTAAAGGGCAGTGCTGCAAGATTGTCTTTGAGAAACTTGAAAATTAGGTTAGAGTAGGGGTAGTAGTAATATTGTCCTACTCGTTACCAAGTTGGCTGTGGGCAGTACGTAGTAAAGTAAGTAGTATTTCGCCGCAGTACTACCTACTGCTTACGATACATGCATGACATAAGCCTAGAGACTGATTCCATCCCTCCCCTGGGTTCAGTGGAGTTGAATGTGGACCAGACATAGAGAGCATATAGTGAGTGCTAGTAAATATCGACAGAGTCAAGTTAGTTTTTGACGACATTTCTATTTAGACGATACTACTAGCAACTTACGATACTACTACTTAGTAAACTACCTAAGAACTGTTTGTTCGTAGTACATACATATGTAGTTAAAGTGGTACTTGCTTGATTTTCATTCTTACGGTGACCGTATGTATATACAGGTGACCTCCCCCAAGCTTTGAGAATGGTGTGATAATCCCAACACAAGATTGATGATGTGATCATTATGATTGCTAGTAGTGAGTGGTACGTACATGTATGGTCTTCTAGTGCTAGATACCGTCAGAGGTCTGTCCGAGACAGAGTAACCTGAAGCTGACTCGAGAGTCTGGACATTAACTAGTAAAATATGCAAACTGCTGTTTAACCTATTTGGGAAGTTTGGGTATTGTGTTTTTAGACCGGATAAAAATTGATCTAGGTCGACGAAAGAGTCAATAGCGCGAGAACAAAAAACCGAGTCGGTCTAATACTAACTCGTAGTTGGTGAACAGGTTTAGCTCGCCACCTGTTCCTTTTGAGCATTCCAGATGGCTTCCCACACTGCCAGCCCTCGAGCCCAGTCCCGATCCGTAGATCCTTCGACGACGTGGCCTCGTCTGTCCAAAAGCCGCACTCGATCCTCTCCGCCCGCTCCGCCCCATCGTACGTCCTCCTCGCCGTACAAAAATCGATCAAAGGGCTCCAGAAATTGTAGAGCCGCGGCTCGTTCCTCGGGAGAAAAGCCCGCTCGGAATCCGGACGCCCACCAGATCGGTATGTCTGAAGCGTGGCAGACGCTGAGACCGGGCCGAATCCAGCGCCCGGAGTCTTTCCAGCGGTATTCGATCCTGTACCTGTGGACATTCGACGCGGGCAGACCGGAATGGGGCGCCGGCGGGTGAAGCAGCAGATGCGTCAAGCCTCGAACGGAAGCGTGGACCTGTCCGTCGGCGACCATGCGGCCAAAGGCCTCTGTCCAGGCGGCCGAATCCGAACGATGCGTCTCCTCCGAAACACCGTGCGCTCTGACCAAGGCCCGCGCCACGGCGTGCGGATAGTAGTTTTCCAACTGCACAACCAGGTCCGAAAAGTCCGTGACCGGTTTCGAGAGCGCGTAGAGGGCATGCTCGTCGAGGACGTCGCCTAGGACGATCGAGACGTCGTGCTCGGCCAGCTTCGAAGTGAAACGGCCCGAGTGGAGGGAAGAGAGGAACGTGGAGCTGACGAACGCGTCGTCGGTCGAGGCCCGAAATGTATGGTATTTGAGACGGGAGAAGCTGGCGATCAACTCTGCGGCAGGAATCCGACGGAGCAGAGCCACTTTCTCGGGCGCTGAAAGGCCCAGGGAGATATCGTGCACTCGGCAGAGCGAGGCGAATTGCTCGGTCAGAAAGGTCGAGTTGGTCGAGTGAGGCTGGATTGCGATGGCGTTGGACCACAGATAGACACGCTTGATGATCCGACGATCGGCAGGTAGGTAGGTGTCGTGGTGCAGCTGGAGGAGAGCCGAGTACGACCCTGCCGAAAGGCCACCGACGGCGATGTTGTCCGGATCCCCCGAGAACAGGGAGATATTGGCGTGGGTCCATTCCAGAGCCGCACGCTGGTCCCAGAGGCCAAAGTTCCCCGACATTGCTTCAGGAATCGCCGCGCTCAGATCGCGGCCTGCGAGAAAGCCAAAGACGTTCAACCGGTAGGTGGGCGCCACAACAATCCTCGGCCGGGAATGCACGAACAGATCAAATGGGTCGTGGTCGTGGGTCTGGGAAGCGTTGCCGACCTGCAACCATCCGCCATGAATCTGGAATTGCACCGGCCAACCTCCTTCTGGCGGCTTTCCTGCCGGCACCCAGATGTTCAGGTACAGACAGTCTTCGTCCTCGACGTTGGATATTGGCGGCGCAGCGGATTTATTGTCCACGAGGGCAAGGGTGTGGCTGCTTGTCGGCTGCGGACATACAGGGCCAAACTGTGTGTAGTCCCCTGGAGCGCCGCTCGTGTCGTTAAATGACCATCGCTCTGGCAGTGGCTGAGGCCGGCGCCATCTGAGGTCTCCCACTGGCGGCTGTGCGTATGGCACGCGGGTGTATCGACGGTATACAGGCTCGCCGGTTTGAGCAGCAGTGAACTCCAGGCCTCGGAGTTTCCCTCTCTCGGTTTGCAAGATGTGAGGCTGAATCGACGATTGTGTCGCTCCCATGTCAGCGGATGGGAGGGTAGAATAAGAGGTGCAAGTGCTTGGGAACTGCTAGAAGTCCCTCAGTCAACGACAGTGAATTGTTTATATTGGTTGAATACGATATGCATTTCATCCAGAAGTTTGAACGTCATGCCGATTACCTACAATACGAGGGCTCAAGTTGTCTCCTCTCGGGCCGCCGCTTCGACGCTAGGCCTGAAATGGAGCTGAATTTCCCTATTTGGGATAACTGCAGGATATGAAGAATATGTACATGGAAGCCGGCTGTGAGGTGGCGGTCGCGTGAGATGGACAAACTTTTCCACTTTGATGTAGTTAGTTAGTACGCTTCACAATTGAAGGTACTGCTGCCGAAGAGGGAACAGCCCCGCCTAGGTTCGCTGAGAATTGTCAATACATGGTCAAAACAATCTCCCAAAGATCGCTCGACATCATGGCCATGTAGGACCTACAATGCTGGTACCAACTGGGTGTCTCAGTGGAATCTTATATTGTGCTCTCAAAGGTATAGAATTCTATATTCTACTTGGTCTATTCTATTCAATGCTCCAAGGCTCATCGCGATTTCGAATGTATGGTGTCAATCCTGCAAGATCCCTTTCCACCTCCGCCTTGACTTTTCCGTTGCCCAAAAATCCCCAAATGTTGACTTGGTTATAACGGAACATGTAGTGCTCCCATCGAACAATCTCGAGCGTTTTGAGATAATGTAGTGACTACAATCACAATGATGAGTTAACTCTTCTTTGTCAGGTATCCAAATGGGACGACTATTACTTACGGATCCACCCCAGATCCACAGTTTGCCACCGGGAATGTTGTTTTTGTACCAACTGGATAGAGAGATCTGATCAGTATGACAATCATGCATGTGGAAGTCGACGTCGTTTCCTCTCTCTCACCTTTTGCAGTCCTGGTTCCAAACAGATCGTTGATGCCATCTGTCGGTACGCTCGTACAGCTCGAGAACAGGCTCCCTTCGAACCTCCAAGGCCCGAATGTCTTCAGTCTGGATTCGACGCAGACACTGGAGGATGTAGTCGATGCATACTTCTTGTGCATTCAACGCGGTTCCCGTGGCCCAGTTGCCACGAACCCCGTTGATGGTGAAATAGTTGGGGAATTTCGGCACTGCCATTGCCAGGTAGACGACCGGTTCCGGATCGAATTCCTGGTGCATATCGGCGCCGTCAACCCCGAAGACCTTGAATGAGGGTTTGAAGGAGACATCAAAGCCGGTGGCGCACACAATCAGGTCCACTTCATGTAATTTTCCGTTCTGGTCCACCAGGCCATTGGTGACGATTTTGGAAATCTCGTCATAAACGATGGTGACATTGCTTCGGACAAGGGCTTCGAGGTAGCCAGCCCCAGGGCTTAGACGCCGGCATCCCGGTGCCCAGGAAGGGATGAGCCTTTTCTTCAACTCTTCGTGGCCAGGTCCGATTCTCTGTATCATTTGCTCCTGCATTATCCGCTGGGCCTCTTGGGACGCTTTGGAACCGGTCAAGTAGAGGTCGAACTGGGACGTAAATTGCGCTTCCAGCCCTTTGCGATAAGCCAAGAACTCTTCAGGATGTTTTTTGAAACGTTCCTTTTCCGAGTCGGTGTAGCTGTGGTTCAACGTTATCGGCTGGTCGGTAGCCCCTGCATCGGCCACGGCTTTCTCGTTAGCATTGGCCTGTACGACCATGTCTGCCGCGATAGGAGGACTGATCCATGTGGCCGATCTCATGAACGTAAGCAGACGTTTTGCTTTCGGTTGGATCTGTGGCACAATCTGAATTGCTGATGATCCCGTCCCTATTACTGCCACGGTCTTGTCCTTGTACGAGACCGACGTATCCCAGTCAGCACTATGTAGAAGGGTGCCTTGGAAACTGTGCAGCCCTTTAATCTCAGGCCATTTCCATTTGTTCAGGTTTCCAGTGGCGTTGATCAAAACATGGCACCAATCCTCGAAGCGTTTGCCATTCGTTTCCAGTTCGATCTGATAGCAACCTCGCTCTTCGATCCATTCAGCCCGTTGGACCTTTGTGCCGAAGCGAATATACGGAAGGAGATGGTACTTTTCAGCAAACCTAACAAAGTATTGTTGAATTTCTGGACCCGATGCGTAGAACTGAGACCAGTCGGGATTTGGTTCGAAGGAGTAAGTGTAAACATGTGCTGGCCTTCAAGGAATATCCTGTCAATCTTGGCTCTCTCGAGGACAAGAAACAACTGAGGAAGGGACTTACACGTCACAGGCACATCCAGGATACCGATTTTCGTACCTTGGAAGAAAATGTCAGTATATTCCAGCACCAGCGCTTTATCGAGGCATTGTCTGACTTACCATGTGCCTCCAACTTCCGGGTTCCTATTCTCGTCAGCCGTCATCAAATGCGCAGAGCCGTAGCCGTACTCACTTCTCATAAATGGTCAGGTCAAAGTCCCGCATTTGCTTCTGCATCTTATAAGCCAAAAGTAAGCCGGCAGCCCCAGCTCCCACACAGATGATCCGAAGCCGGCGAGGCTGGGAATGCCATTGCTCTCCGAGTGGAAGGTCTACGTCACCCATTGCGTCTCTGGCTCTGCAAGTGAAGTTTGTAAGTTTGCGTATGAAAGACTATGGTAGAATGGCTGCCGTGCAAAGACACAAATATTTATATAACCCTGGGGACTCGGTGGCCCTCCTCAGATATCGAGTAGTCCAGGACGACATTGTCTGAAGATCGTCCTGTATCACTTTCCACAGACTCGAACAGGAACCGATGGGAGGCCAGTAGCGTGCCACAAATCTCATGGCTTTCGCCACAAGACTCGAAATGAACAGTCAACCCTACATTCGGGATGTCGCGAAGGTCAGTCACAAGCTACGATACCGGCAATTATTTCCCTGTTATGGTTCTGGCCTTGAAGACCATTTCAGACCCCAATGGCAACTACAAGCCGACGGTGATAAGAACATGTGAGAAGTCAAAATAGTGCCCCGATCTGTGTTTATACTGGCCGTCACCTGATCTTGGATGGGGGATACCCGAACGGTGCCTGACTTTCCAAAAAGGGCCGAGTCCCACTCTTTTTCAATGATCAACAAATCCGGAGATAACAATCATAGAGTTCTTGGGACGCTTGGGTGGTGGTGGAGGTATTTGTCTTAAGGTGATATAAGAGTGGTATTCAAAATATCAGACAAACTTCAAGTTCCTACCAAAATCAAGTCTCATCAAGTACCTATCATGTCTTCTTTGCAAACTCGGCGGGTCGTGACAGGTGCGTTTACTATCACAGTGGTCAGAACAACGTCAATCTAACAAGAGCGCAATCACAGGCCACTCCCCGGAAGGGAAAGCCATCTTTGAGGCAGATGAGATATTGCTGTCCCTAAATCTATTGACGGGGAAACCAATCTCCGGCAGTATTGCAGGTATTGCCAACATCTACAAGACCGAGAACTGGCCTGCGGCATTGAATGTGCCTTTCGTCGACTACTACAACAAGCCTCTTGGTCTCACGGACGAGTCAGGCGTTATCTGCCGGGTTATCCACTTCCCCCCCGTCAAAGACCCAGCCGAAGACAAGCTTAATATCCTCCATCGAACCCAGAGCCTTGACTTTGGGGTGGTGCTTCAGGGTGAGATCCAACTAGAACTCGACGATGGTGAGAAGCGATCTTTAAAGCGAGGGGATGTGGTTGTGCAAAGAGGGACTATACATGTTACGTCTAGCTTCTCCCCGACTGTCTACGACTGAGAGATTGCTGACCGACTACATACAGGACTGGAAAAACGTGTCCGACCAATACTGTGTGATGTTATTCGTACTTGTTCCGGCCGAACTGGCTAGAGTTCCGGAGACGGGGAAGACATTGGAGCCCATCTTGCCTCCGATGCCATCTGGTGAAAGCGAATAGATAATCGCCTAGGACCAGCCACTGAAGTTAGGAGATACTAATAGGATACGGTCGATACATATACACAAAACAATACCGCCTCTAGATAGGCATACTGCAATCTTTCCGCTTTAAACTAGAGCAACCCGTTCCATCAGCGCAAAAGTGAAAAAACATAAGCCAAAAGGACAGATAAAAAAGGATCTTAATTAACAACAATCCCAACTTCAACTATGAAATGGATTACCTGCTCCATTATCATTCTGCCATACCAGTGGACAGCGCACAACAATATTTACCTCAGTGGTCACAAGTGGTGGCCAAGGAACCATGTATGGATCCCCTTTAGAGACCACACAGCTGCTTCGATCCAACATATCGAAGTGATTGGACCTTAGTAGGGAGTCTCTTGACAGGGTCTTGGCTCGATGTATCAAAGTTTTATTTGGGATAAGCTGTCTAGAATGTTCTTCTATGTATTGATGTTCCGAATCTGGTCTCCGAACCACTTCAGGACGACCTGATTAACAAACGCCGTTGCTCCCACATGACAATGTGCGTCGGCACCCTCTTCGGCGGTGAATTTCCTCCAAGTCGCCTTCTCACCCAGGGCCTCTGCCACCATTTGAGGCTGATCAGCTTCGACAAAGATGTCGTGTTGTGCATCGCCAACGAATGTAGGGCACTGGATGTTTCCGGCGATGCCCTCAAGAGTCATCTTCTTGGCTCGCTGAAGGACTTCATAGGTTGATGTGTTGAATGTCCAGTTGATCTGATTGACCATCCATCTCACATGGGTCGAATGCTGCATTTGTTCTTCGAGACTCTGATAGAAGGCTTCCTTCGTGCCGTCCTTTTCGTGCTGAATGGGTTGCGGCCCAATTACCGAAGCCACTGCTTCATAGACGGAGAAGATGCCGTCAATCAAGATCACAGCAGCAAGCCGGTGTTCAAAAGCCGCTGCACGTGCCGCCAGAAACCCTCCCAGAGAGTTTCCCAACAGCCCAATGCGCTTGACGTCCACAAACGGGAGCGTTTCAGCATAGTCCACGACAGGAGTCACTACCCTTTCCCATTCTGGAATAAAGCCAATGTTTTGTTGACGGCGGACTGTACATTGACCCGGTCCCTCGTACAATATGACGTGGTAACCTCGCTCCAGGGCCTGGAAGCCGTGGAAATGCAGCATTTCCTCCATGGAGCCGTCTAGACCGTTCCCAATGATCAATACCGGGCGCGGCTGGCTGTCCATCGACGCGCGCAAAACAATGATTGGTACTTGGAAGCCGTCCGCCTGCAAAGTTCGGCGCTCTGCCGGGATCTCCATCACGCTTGTGGCTTTGTCGAAGCATTTCGTCCACTCCTCCCAAGCCAAAGTCAGCCTGGGGTCGTCTGGGTTTCCATGGAGGAAAAACTGAGCTGCGAAGAAATATCTCGATGCCCGAAGGTAAGCATCACGCAAGGAGATGCGGTCGTGTTGATCTTCGGGCTGGACCGACGACTTGGCCCAAAGAGCAAGATCGTAGAAATTCTGCCACCAGCTTTCAAAGTCGCCGGGGATGAGCTTCTCACACACATTCAGGATTTCGGCGACATCTGCACCGTAGCCCCGGACTGATGCCAGGATTCGAAGGAGTTCGAAGTGAAAGTTTTTGTCTGAATTGAGGCGCCACATCGTTGGGAGTTGCGAGCAGATTGCACGTTGGCTTTGGGTAAAACACCGACTTCATCCTGAAATGCGTTTGATTTATAGTGAAGTGTGAACGGACTGGTCCCGCGGATCAACCATAGACCTTCCTACTCATCCATCTTCTGCGAGCTCTTCAATCCGCGATATGGACATTTGATACAAGTATCCTGGTCCCGGGAAGATGTAGATGTGGGGGCCCGGGTCCACTACGTTAGTTTCCAGCTTCGACTAGACCTGTTCGGTGACTGACTGTCCAGGTTGGTCCTAGTGTAGAGGTGCTTATCTCTGCTTCTTGGCCCACGGGTCTGGAACTCGACACAACGTCAACCCTCGTTTGTCATCGCTCGCTCATCTTTGCTATTCCATCCACATCCAGACTACCTTAGGACACACACCCTTTTGGAGTCGTTGGTTCTCGTCGCTGCAGTCATTGCGTCTTCAGAGATGGACTTCCCGGCAAAATCAAGATTCACATTCATCTCCGACTCCCGGGGGCAGGCTGCTCAAGAAGCGATCAAAGTCCACGTCTTGCGGCAACGCGGATGGCGGATTCAGAAAAGTAAAAGTGGCTCCAAGCATCGTGCAACAAAGCGTGGGACGCTAGGAGGTGAGCTTCTGCTGTGGGATTTTAATCCTGAACCCGCAAAAGACCACTTGCCTCCTGCTCTCAGTGTGCCGCCATCTCCGTTGGAGGATTCCGCTGTCAATGTGCCTGATTCGACTCAGCAAGTGGCTTCATGTGGTCATTCAAGCACAAATCTGTCAAGTGCAGATCTTCTTTCAAGCCCTCTGCCAGGCGAAACGGCTGAATCAACAGAGAACGAAACACAATTGGTTCAACAACCTTCCACACCAGAAGATATTGTCATTGAATACTGTGAGTAACCTTTTTTGGTGCACAAGAGAGTAAAGGCCCACTAACCACACGGCCTCAGATCTGTATTGCAATGGCCCTTCCAAGGTTCCGCGAGCATTCCTTGCTAGTTTCCGAAAGAGTAAGGCATCATTCAGCGCCTTTCTTGCGGCATCCTCCTCGGTCTTCTCGTATCAACGAGGCACGGAACCTCCATTGGAGATCGATGTTCTAGAGAACCTGGCTGTACGTGAAGTCATGGAGCAGCTAGCGGTGTCACCATCTGCACTGAGTCCTGGAACGATAGTGGCTGTAGCTTTGCTCGCCAATCTCCAGGAATGGCGAAATGATCCCAGGCTGGCCCGCTTGCACTGGAACGGTCTCAAGCAAATCATTGACAGCAACGGCGGCGTAAGCCATCTCCGAGTCCAGGAGGACATACATACATTCCTCTTTTGGGTGGAAGCGCTTGTATGCAATGGCGAAACTCTGCCTCTTGGTCAGACATTGCCATCCTCCACCCACTCTGAGGAGGGGCAGACGCTCTTGAAGGAAGAGCTAGCTGCATTTCTAGAACGGATCAGCAGCCATATGGCAAGTCTCGACCCCGGCTTCTGCTGCTCGGTGGTTCCATTACCCGATGCAATTACTGAGGTCCTCCATCGGCCATGCCCCAACCGAGCCGATCGTTATCTCTTTGCCAAATGGCAGAGAGCGAAGCTTGCAAGCCTCTTCTACTTTGCAGCTCTATCCTTGCAGAGCTCCATGGGCATAGCAGACAGCTATGTGCTGCAAACTATTATAACAGAAGTTTCGCAGCGGGGCAAAGAAAATCCAGTTTGTCCTCAGGAGCTCTACCACATCATTCTCTGTAAAAGTGTCCAGCCTCACCTTTGCCACCTGAGTTGGTTAGTCTCCAGACTTATGTGTGCCTCCAAACGACTAGAGCGAAGAGATCTTAACACCTGCTATCGTCTTCTTTCAGCCGCCGTCGGCTTTTCAGACAAGTCAGAGACGCTGGACATGGTCTTGGACGAATCGCGCTGGCTATCTTCCCAACTCGCATCAAGAGATTTCATGCAGACCTTTCCCGAGGTGGCGGAGTGAGAGATTATGATTATTCTCAGGAACATGCGTCTACTATCTCCTTCGAGACTTTGATCCCATCAGGCACGGGGTCTTGGTATATTTGACAACCGAGCTTTCGAGAACTTTCAATGAGGCCGTTGATGAATACCGAACCGACCGCGTTGAAGTCTCCTCGCTCTACGGCCTTTATACTTGTCGGGTAGTATTCGGGAAGCCTGGAAAATGTGCAAATTAAATTGCATGGATGTCGCCACCAACCCTTCTGATCGAGAGCACTTTAAGCAAGCTTTGTATCGATCGCTGCAGCAATCCGCGGTCACGGGAGATAGCGTCCTTGGGCTCGACTAGCTACCATGAGCGGAATGATGTCCTGCCAGACTTGGGGCGACAGCGAGGCAGGATTTTGATCAGTTGGAAGCTTAATCCTACAAGAAGTTCAGTATGATGGGGGTTTGTCTACTCCTTATCCCAGCTCTCAGAATGGCTTCTGTCCAAGGACCGAGGCTGGTAGAAAATATGGCCAGAAGCTTCTCTCCGTCTTTGCCCAGAGATAAGCTCGTATTGTTCTGCAAGATAAGCCATTCCCTTTCGAGTTTTTCAGACCCAAAATTGGTATAGCAATGCGGTAAAGGACACTAACAAACTAGTCTACACAAGTACCTATCTCCACCCACATCCCAAGATACGAACCTCAGCTTTGATCTTGGAAGGTTGCCAAACGGTTTCTACCAAGCTGTCGAGATATCGTGAAGAATCAATACCCGAGAAGTTATTGAATGGATACGGTCGTTATCATCCCTTGTTTGGGACGGTACTATTCCGCCCTTATCTGAGGAAACAGAGACGATGCGCCAAGTGTGGTCTGAAAAACGGACGTCAAACAATTATAGAGAGAACATTTAACAAGACAACATCCCCCCGATGCTCGTTCATTGAAAGGGAACACAGCTTCACTTGTGTGTGTTTCTCTTAAGCAGAGTTCGGCAGAGGTCTATTCGAATCATATACTCGGACAGCCATCAACAACTCATCGCTACCATGGCGGAGAAAAAGCTTGAAAGCAACGAACAGATTGTTGCGACTCAATCCTACAATGGCGAGGTGCTCGAGGACATTGCTCCATACGACGAAAAGAAGCTCGTACGACGGATTGATCTTTTGTAGGACTCCTATCCTCCTCAATGCGCGCACCTCCAGGACAATACGACATGAGGGTGGTGGATGGCTAATGAATTGTCTCGTAGCATGCTGCCACTCTTAGCCAGCCTCCCCTTTTTCAATTACTTGGACAAGTCGTCCCTCAGCTTTGCGTCCATCATGGGAATCATCCAAGATCTGGTACGATGCTCTGAACCACAGGTCGTTTCATGCCGACACTAACGACGGTATCGTCTAGTCCTTGACGACAAACCAGTACTCCTGGGCCAATAGCATATTCTACTTTGGGTATTTGGCCTTTACATGGGTTGCCTCTTGGCTTTTCGTTCGACTGCCGATCGGTAAATACGTTGCGTCAACTCTGTGAGCAAGGCCCGAAGAGAAAGATTTTACTGTCTGGGCGAGCGACTGACAATAGCTCTCCAGAATCGCCTGGGCTGTTCTCCTCTCGTTGATAGCTGCCTGTTCGAACTTTACCGGCTTGATGATCGTCCGCTTCTTCCTCGGAGCCGCAGAAGCATCGATTATTCCAGGATGCAGTTTACTGACGGGCATGTGGTACAAGAGAGAAGAGCACCCTCTCCGTCACGGGGCCTGGTTCTTTGGCACATCGCTAGGTGTCATGTGCGGCGGTCTACTTGCCTACGCCATTGCTCACATTTCGGGGGGCATTGGCCCCTGGAAGGTTTGTCAACCCGCCTTGTGCCCGATTGGAGATCTGAACCTGACCTGCCTTCCAGTGGCTGTTCATCATCTTTGGCCTCGCAACCTTGGTCTGGGCGATCTTCCTGTTGTGGGCGCTTCCTGACACCCCGAAGAACGCCCGGTTCCTATCGCCAGAACAGCGAGTGCAAGCCATAAGTCGAGTCCGAGAAAATCGACAAGGTTTGAAGAATAACCAATTCAAGTGGTACCAAGTCCGGGAATGCCTCTTGGATCTCAACGTCTGGCTGCCGGCTCTGATCAGCTGCACCTTGAGTATAACAAACGGTGCATTGAATGCTGTGGGTCCCCCATTCTCGAGTACAGTTTCGCAAAGGCCGAGGGCTAACATCTACCTACCTCTACAGTTCGTCCCAACCATCTTGGTCAGCTTTGGCTTTGATCGGCTGCAGGCATACCTTTTCAACATTGCCATTGGAGGCATCCACGGTCTCTTCATCTTGGTTGCCTCGTATACCTGCACCCGCTGGGCCAACACACGTTGCTACGTGCTGTTCGCCGTCACTTCCGTCAGGTAGCGTCTCCCTCGGTGGCCCCCAGTGCCGATGCAACTAACTGAGTCTGCCAGTCTGATGGGTAGCCTTATCGTGCGATTGTGCTCTACGACAGGAGTTCGACTATTTGGATTCTTTTGTTACTTTGCCTACGTCCCTGGCCTCTCCATCTCCCTGTCGCTCATTGCTTCGAACACAGCCGGGTTCACCAAAAGGAGCGTCGGCACTTCACTCTATACGATAATGTACTGCGCTGGGAATATCGCTGGTCCCTTTCTCTTTCAGGCTAAAGATGCCCCGGAGTATCTGGTAAGCATCAAGCCAACCTCCAAGTTTATTCACGGCCGTCTCGTTGAGATAGCTGACCGAGCAATTACAGGGCGGGTACAATGGTATCATAGGATGCTTCGTTGCTACTCTCGTCTTCATCGTCATGATTCCGGTCATCGTCATCCGCAGGAACCGTCGCCGCGATCAAGTGCAGGGTCGTCCCGCAAACGCTCCTGCGAGCCATGAGGGTGATCAGCCGCTTCCTGAACTGAATGATAAGACTGACGGGGAGAATCTCGATTTTCGTTATGTCTATTAGAGCATCACCTCGGAAGAGCTACAGGGACGGGAATTCTTCAGGCCATGACATGAACAGTATGTGCAGCCGATGGGAAGTTATAGGTATAGTATATTGTGTGGTTGGGGCATACGGAGTCCTATAAAGAGGATACGGCTGGGGTAAGGACAGAATGGGCGCCGGGCGTGCTTGAGAGTCTTAGAGGGTTTAAGATGCAGGGACCGGTACATAGGTGCTTGACTCAGTGCTGTCTTAGTCGCACTCGCTACATGAGCATCACGTTCCAGTCCGCTAATTTTCAGCTGGTTTAGTGTCGAGTTAACACGGTGTCACAAGTACAGGATACGGTCGCGGAGGGGTGTGGAAAATCATGCTATATGCCTAGTATTCCTGTTGCATAATAGCGGAAATTCCTGTCCTTTTGTTATGTTACGCTCCACCGAGGGTGCCACAACACGTACGGTTTCTTGAACGGTGGGAAGTAGAGGAGGCGATGTCACTGAGAGCGTAGTAGTTGAGCGAGTACCAGAGCTAAGTGATCACAACCGAAACCTATGGGTATGATTTTGAACGAAGTTGGCTATGTAGTAAACCTATGAAATGATCGGGTAAGTATAGTTTCCAGGTTTATCGTCAAGATCAGTGTTGGTCAGTGGTGCTCAGCAGGGCTCAATCTGATCAATGTCAGACTAGTTACATCCCAACCACCTTGGACATATCACCTACTCTATGTATCATAGTACTATATAGTGATCATATCCCCTGGGACCCAGTCAGATCCAACAGAGGTTCTTTCACCCTTGGTCTTGCTCCCACTAACCCGATAATCAACGCCGACCACGCTGATTCCCCTGATTAAAGCCGGAGCGCACCGGTTACTAATCCTGGCCTTCAGTATTGTCGCCCTGACGTTCTGCAGCCCTGTCTTTGGTTGGCCTGCCATCTTCCTTGGTCGATGGTCAGCCTGCCGACCAGGTCGACTCGGAGCATCTGTTAAACTTTCAGACCGCAATTACACCCGCCCAAACTAGACCTTCTCACATGTTATCATGGCGGTGGCGAGGCGGTCGATGTCTCAACCGGTTGCAACCATACCCTGCGTCATGCCCATTCGCGATCAGGCTTTCAAAGTCGTACAGTCTGTCCACGAAGTAACGTGCATCCCAAAAAGGAAGTTCAGAACCCGAAGAGGGTAAGCTGATCTTCAATGTCTTGGCCGGGATCCGCCTTTGACAGCCAGAAACTTCTATTGTTCTCTCTTCATTCGTTCGAGGTCCACTTCAGGCGCAATGTGAGTTGAGTTGGTGTTCTTCGCCTCAGCCACAAAATGCATACCTACATCTTGAAGGACATTTGAGGCATTTTGCAGCCTATATCTTTGACCAAGTACAAAGGAATGACTCGCACCTGTCTCCAACCACCACGACACTCTGTGTGATCAACAGCACCATAATGTCATCTATCAAAAAGACCATTGTCGTTGTCGGCGCGACGGGCAACCAGGGAGGTTCGGTGGCACGCACGTTCCTCGCCCAGCCTCAATGGCATGTTCGATGCCTCACCCGAAACCCTTCCTCCAAAGCATCCCAGACTCTTCGCAGTCTCGGGGCTGAGGTGGTACAGGGAGATCTCTCCAGCCGGGACTCGTTGCGTCGCGCTTTCGAAGGGGCCAACGCTATCTACGCGAACACCGATTTCTGGGCCATATACACCAATCCTGACACGGCAGGCCGGAGCGCGGCTGCGGGGAAAACGAGCAGTCAGTTCGCATTCGATTCTGAAGTCTCGCACGGCACCAACGTCGCCGAAGCCGCCGCGAGTATCGACACCCTGGAGCGCTTCATCTACTCGGCATTGGCGCCGGTAAAGAAGGCGTCCAACGGGAAATATCTTCATTCCTACCACTGGGACTCCAAGGCGGCCATCGTCGAGTACGTTGAGACCCGGCACCCGCTTCTCGCCGCGAAAATGTCCGTCATCTACCTGGGTGCCTACGCGAACAACCCGTTGCTTTACCCACGTTGGGATGAGGACTCGCGGAAATACGGCTTCACTTTGCCCATGTCACTGGATGCGAAGATGCCAATCATTGACGCAGCAGAGTCTACGGGACCATTTGTGATGGCGCTGGTGGAGACCGAGGACGCTGGGAAGAGATTGTTGGCGTACGATACGGACAGCTATCTCCATCTCCACGAGTTGGTGGACTTATGGACCAGGATCATCGGACAGCCCGTCAGCTTTACGTCCGTCACCGTCGAGACCATGAACCAGCAATCCGGTATTCCGCTTGAAGTTCTGGACGGCCCTGCATTCATATCCGAATTTGGCTACATGAGCGGTGTCGAAGGTGATATCATTGAACCACCTCACCTTAAGGCCAAGGTCAAGACCAAATCGTTTGAGGATTGGGTGAAGAGTCGAGACTGGAAGGAGATTCTGGATCAAGGAAAGCGTGCTTTGAAGACGGTGGAGGGGAAATAATGTGCTGATAGAGTTTATCCATTCACAGGATGACCCTGGTCGCTAACGTTTGAGACGAGAGCTTGAGCGGTGCGTGAGGCAGTCAGGTTATCACTGCTGTCTGCAAGATCGTGAAGATGGTGGTGGCTTATCAGTGAATTGACGGGGGTCGACGATGTCGGTGCATTTCCCGATGTGGAACTCAGTTTCCTTTTCCAATCTCCTCTGTTTTCTGTTTCCTTTCCCACCCTGGCCAGCTCTCAAGAAGTCAATTCGGTCGACAATTCTATCGAGAAGACAGAAAATACTAATAGTAATAGATATACCAATGGCCGCTCGCCAACACTATCATCAGTTCGCCCCGTGCTTTCTGACAGTAGTTGTACTAACTAATTGAGCCTGTGTTCTGATCCCACTTCCAACATTAACATCCACTCATTAACCCACGGAACGACATGTCCGACGCCCAAGAAGTCACTATCGATGATGTCGAACTTGAAGCTCAAGGCTACGAGCGCGAGATGCCCAGGCAGTTCTCTTTGTTCTCGCTCATGGCCTTGTCGTATGCACTTCTAGCTACCTGGAACGGGTTTGGGAGGTGCGTCGATGGCGACATTGTACATGAGAAGGTATTTGGGAGAGACGCTGACGCAAGGGCATAAAGCGCCATGGGAATAGGGCTGAACGAAGCCGGCGCTGCAGGGACCATCTACTCGCTCATCATCGCAGCGGTTTTGACGGGGACCATTGCAGTAGGCATGGCAGAACTTGCGTCGGCCTACCCTACTGCTGGCGCGCAGTATTACTGGTCTTTCATGGTGTCCTCTCCTGAGTGGGCACCGTTCGCATCGTACCTGTAAGTTGCGTGTTTTCAGTCATGTCTCTTGCCTCACCAGAAGTCTGCTCATACATTGCTGCCGCGCTAGGTCCGCGTCCGTGAGCACACTGGGCTGGTGGCTCGGTCTGGGGAGCGTTTGTCAATTCATTGCCGCCATGATCCTCGGTATGGTCAAGCTTTGCCACGATGACTACGTCGTCGAGGACTGGCACACATGGCTGTGTTATGTCGGCGTCATCTGGACTGCGTGCACTTTGGTCATTGTCGGATCTCGCATCCTGCCTGCTTTCAACAGCTTTATGAGTGAGCGAAACCCTCCCATGTTACCTCCATTATTGGTTATGTTGGTGCTGATGAAATACCCAAGTGTACTTTTCTTTTGTTGCGCTGATCGCCACGTTCGTCACCATCCTCGCATGTGCTGCTCCAAACTATCAGTCGGGAGCCTGGGTCTTCTCAACGACCACAAATGCCACGGGCTGGAAGAGCGACGGGTTCGCGTTCGTCCTCGCCATTCTAAATGCCCTCTATGGGTTCTTGGGCGTGGATTCAGGTGCCCACATGTGTGAGGAGATCCCAAATCCCACCGTCAATGTGCCCAAGGTCATTGTGCGTAATAGTCATTATATCGGGCTCTGTTCCCACCTTTCACTGACTTTCAACAGGTCTATCCAGTCATCATTGGCTTTGTTTCCAGTAGGGAACCTCTTACCTCCCATTCTCTACTGCATACTAATTCCATGGTACAGCGTTGCCTTTCTCGATTGGGTGCATGTATGTGATTACGGACCTAGACGCAGTATTGAACACCGACACTGGACTTCCGTTGATGGAGCTCTACTACCAGGCGACGGGAAGTAAGGCGGCAACGGTTGTCCTGATGAGTGCATTTGCAGTGTGCATGTTCGGAGCTGCGTGTGCCAACATCACAAGTTCCAGCAGGCAGATGTGGGCCGCGTCAAGGGACAACTGCTATCCCTTTTCCAAATACTGGAAGCAGATCCATCCCAAGTGGCACATGCCTCGAAACGTGGTGTGCTTGACAGGTACATTGGTGTCGGTAAGATCGTGCACACCCTTCTCTCGCGCAGGCGATATTGGTCGGGCTGACACACGGCCTGCGCCCAGCTGTACGGCCTGATATTTCTGGGCTCGTCCACCGTGTTCTCCTCAATGGTAGGCGCGTGCATCGTCTTCATGACCACGTCATACGTCATACCACAAGGCATACTGGCATGGAGAGGGAGAAAAAAGATACTGCCGGAGAGACCGTTAAATCTGGGAGGATGGGGTCTGCCTGTGAATGTGCTTGCTTGTGCGTGGGTCGTTGGCATCGACGTTCTCTTCTGCTTCCCTCCCGTGATGCCGGTGACGAAGAACAACATGAATTGGATCAGGTAAGTCTTGTGTGGACTTCAGTATAGCGCAGCGTATCATCCATCTGGACTCACTAACATGGATACATCCCAGTGTCGTCACCGTCGGGCTCTGCTCGTATATCTTCATAGCCTGGCATGTTTCCCAAAAGAAGGTCTTCAAGGGTCCTAGAGTTGATCTCCCGCGATTGCGAAGACTCCGCGAAGAGACCCGCCGCCATAAGACGGTCGTGTCAATCGAAGGTGCTTCAATTGACGAGGTGCCAGTTGAACGATCGCCCGGCAAGGTGTCAGGTACGAAAGAGGCATGACGAGCGCCGTGTAGATGCAGTTGTACTCTCTGACTTTGTGTCCGTATCGAAATGGGGGAGACTGAGGTTCGAGCTTCTGTTGCATCCGATCTTTTCAATGAGCTTCTAGAAGGTTAATGGCACCGGGCAGATCCGATTGTAGCATGTCTTCGGTAGAAGGAAACAAAGCGTCTTTTTGGAGAGGCCGTTCGAATACTAGAACATATTGTCTGCACTGTCCTCGAGGAATGAGCGGAGTCTATTTGTCTCGTGGGAGCGAAGGAGAAGCTGATATGAAATTTGCTGCTGATGTCGAGTTTACAAAAAACAAACTGAGAGCTGCGGGCATTCTAATCAGAGCTAGCGGTCTATCTATACACTACTAACACTGGGACAACGTAGGAAATTAATGTTCTCCATGTCTCGCCTCCTGGAGTCTCAGCAAAGTAGACTTAGGGCATGCCATACCTCGATAGAGAAGGAGAAAGCACGTATGTCTCTTTTACTCTCTGTCAAAAAGAGGGATGGTCTTGGTCATGTAGACCCTGCCTCTTTGTTACCCCAAGTCGCACGTCCAGGGCAAACAAGCCTACGAACGATCGGCCACCCCTGATGCATTGATATCCCTGGAAGGAAAATCAACAGTGGTGGTGTTGACAGACCGAGTTCAACCGGTGCCACGGGCGCGATTTACCAGGTGTCAATGACTGACGTTCAGGCGAATGCTGGTATCGAATCCTCAGTGACTAAGTTGTGATTGGACAATTCCCCACTCCGAAAGGGGAAGGCGAGCTGAAAAGGGAAATGCTTCTAGCTCAGAGGAAGAGGAGGTGGACTACGCTCTCAGACTTAGACTTTTGTGATCAGCGAGACCGGAACCGGTCCTGTCCCTCGAGGCAAGCACTGATAGCTGATCTGTTAACAACACGCTCGATGGACTCGATTTTCCAGAAAAAGAAACAGAGAATCAGGAACAGCAGTGCAGGATAAAACGCCAACACCATGGACCGACCGAGTTCTTAGCTGCCTGGCTTTTCTATACTATTATAGTTCCAATTCCTCTGCCTGTTCTCGATCTATACGACAACATCCCGAGTCTCTCCTCAAACCGTCATCATCATCATCTTCTTCTTCTTCAAAAAACATCGCTCCCCTCTCGGCGTCATGGCGCCTGCAGTACTGATCGGTGAGTTGAGCGACACCGCCGCCGATGGATTCTCCAAGGCCGACACTACATCCAAACCACTCAAGTCTTCAAAGTCACCGCTGCCGGAGGTGATGGAGCTGGACAGTGCCTCGGCGACGGTTGAGGATGTTGTCGCCGCACTCAAAGTCGCCGGTGGAGTCATCGTGCGCAACTTTCTACGTTCAGAGGAGGTAAACCGCATACTGGAAGACGTCAATCCATACCTGGAAGCGGACAAGCCTTGGGATGGTAGGGGGGTTCTCAAGTCAGCTACACCAGTCCGATTATACCGTCTGACTTTCTACTGTACAGGAGACTTCTTCCCACCGGAAACTCGCCGAGCTTTTGGCATGATGGGCAAGTCCCGCACGTTTGCCACGTCGATCGTCGGAAGTCCCCTTTGGCTGGGCGTCACCGATGCGCTGCTCACGAGCCACAGCAAATACAACTGGGTTGGTGACGCTGGCAAACACGCGACGACGACGCGAAGAACATACAAGCTGACTGGGGTCACTCGTACAGGTCGGCGACAACAACGAAGAGAGCATCAGTGCCCCCCAAGTCCACAACACCATCGTCTTCCGTATCGGACCTGGTGCAAGAGCTCAAGCCCTCCATCGCGACGACGGCCCTCATTACCCAGACCATCGTGCTGTCCCCGAACACGTTCTCGGAAGAGACAGTGGCATTGGGCTGTTCGTGGCAGGTACCAAGGCCACCAAAGCCAACGGTGAGTCAATCAATGTGTCGAGCCGGGTTCGCTGCTGAAACGCATTGCTTTGAAGGTGCCACTCGTTTTATTCCCGGGTCGCATCTGTGGGATTACCGAGAAGGTCCGCCGAGGGAAGACCAGATCGTCCAACCGGAACTCAATCCAGGCGACGCTTTCATGATGCTGTCGGGGTGCTTCCACGGAGGGTCGGCCAACACGACAGAGGACGAATATCGCATTCTTCTCTCGACATTCAGTACCAGGGGTTGGCTGCGGCAAGAAGAGAATCAATATCTGTCGAACAGCATTGAGTCGATCAAGGACCTCCCTCCAGCCCTTCAAGAGCGCATGGGGTATGGTTTGAGTCGACCATTTCTGGGATGGGTAGAACTCAAAAGCCCCATGTTGTTGCTCCATCCAGAGTCTTCAAAACATCAGAAGGATCTCTGGGGATCGTAGCGGGGTAGATCCCATCGTATAGGGCGTGTCCATTGGAGTCATTGCAGAACAGGGCCTCGAACATTGGCTGCTTTCCTAGAGTCTCTATGACCGTCGGTAGTGTTCTTCATCATGTCATTGCCAGGTCAGCGCTCCATCAACTGTAGTTTGTTGGTCATCCAAAGCAGAACCGTGTTTTGGGATTTTGTGACTTTTGCTTAGAGTCGATGACAGAACCCCACCAGACCCCAGCATTATCAGCAGAGCCGGCCGCTTCGGCCCATACCTCTTCAAGCAGAGAAGCCGCAGTGGTAAACAACTGGTAGCCAGAATGCCTACTCCAATAACCGCAGTAGTCCCTGATGCTCTGCCGCAGGAACTGATCCGTGGTCTCGGAACCAGCCCAGAATAGCGCAAGTAGCACTTGTCTCTGCACGGGTGCCGTGTGGCGGCACGCGTTCACATGTTCAATGGCGAGTCTCGCATGGTAAGCGAGTTTCCGAGGTGGCGGTTCGTGCCGTTTCCAATAGAAGACTCGGGTGATATAAATCAAAAGACCATACCGCCATACCTCAGAACAGTGGTACACATCCTGTTGGCGGTGCATCTGCTCCTCGGACATGCTGTCGTCATATTCGAGGACGACATTCTTCCAGTTGACTATGGACTGCCGGATCTCGTCCACCACTGACATATCAAACCTGGTCCACCGCATTGACAATGCCTTTTCATTCTCCTCTGCCAGGGCTGCTAGCTGTACCAGAGGAACTACAAGCTCCCTCGGACAGCCGGTGACATCGAAGAAGCTCCAGGAAGTTTTGAGTTCTAAAGCTAAAAGTGACTCGAGGTATGAGTACGGGAGCATGCAGCCTTCTCGCGAAAGGAGACCGATAGTTGCATCCCACCTGTGGGTCAAAGAAGTTCAGCTTCAACTTTAACCAGATGTGTTGGATACTTACCACAGAAGCATTACGACTTGGGCTTGGGCCCTTGGATCCTTTTCCCACATCTGATGTCCACCTGATATGCTAAGCAGCTTCTGAGCATCAGAGATGTATGAGAGCCAGTCTCCCAGACCCGACTGTGAAGCCTATTCCTGACGGTTAGAGGCCTGCCGTGGTACTAAACTACATGGCAACTTGAAGAAGACATACATTCAGAGTGAACAGAACCAGCGTTGTGTCCAGGAGCCGCACTCCTTGAGATCCGTGATAAACATCAAGCTCGTGGCGATACAGCTGTGTGGCGGTGTTTTGGTGATTGACAACGTCTGGAGACGGTGGTGATCCTTCAGCGGTCGATTGTCGGCTTGTATGGTAACAAGAAACTGCCAAGATGGCGTGCAGTAGAAAGCGAGACCCTTGAGAAGTGTGCGAGCGGCATCTGAACGGATTGCTTGGAATGTCTCCGCTCAGAGGCATCACGCAATACTCTTGATCATCTGGTTATATCAGCTCCTGTGGGGACTGCACATGCGTGAAAGGACTCACACTTATCAAGAAGTGTTCCGAACTTCTCAAACAAGCCTTCATAGAGAATCATTCCATTGAGCGGTGGGAAAATTGACGTTGAATTCGTCGGAGAGGGAAAAGGGAGACATTGTGTTTCAGCCGGATCGTTCAGCCAGGTGAGATCCAAGATACTGTTCATATTGGTGCCTGAGGACGATCCTGTAGCGTCTTGAGGTCCCAGAACGTAAGAATCAGACAGGACAGATCCGGGCTGCGCAGCCATCGACGGATCTTCGTAGCTTGTGAGTGTCATGTCCAAATGGTCGCTCATATGGACAGTTTTAGAATAATCAGGCGTAGGGCATTGACTGGGGGTAGGGTACCACCTCCATGGGCCAAGGCTGTCGAGTCCAAGGTCAGGCGGGCAGTCCATGTCGGAGGGATCGGCCGTGCAACGAGGTTCGATGCCAATATTGGTCACACTGACAGCGGCTACAGGATTCACCAAAGTGTTCAGCAGCGAGTATCACGAATTTTCGGGGCATCGGTCTTACCTGGGCTAGCAGAAGTCTCATTTTGATGGATGTGATTATCAGCAAGTCCAACTTCCGGTGATTTGGTTCGCTCGAAAGATGCCTGGGCTGGGATTTCATTTCCTTGAGAGCATTGTGGAGGGCTGGATAGTCTAGACGAATGCCGATTTGGGCGTTTCCGATTTAGAGATTCGTTGGCCACGAATTTGAACTGCTGAGGTGCTTTAGAACAATGTCGTTTTCCCCCGAGCTTTGGTTGTCCGGCCATTTTGAGCGACAGTGGTTCGAGATAGAAACGATCCTCTGCTTGATCCAGTATCCGTGTTTCTTTTCGGACTGCGGTATTCTTGGGGGTCCATGACAGTTGCATAGGGAATCCACCGCATTTGATGCCAATAGCCAGGCATGGTGAACATTGTGGCCTCCTCCTGTCGCAAGTGCGATGTTGGGCAGCGCACGTATGGCAATCTGTTTTGGCAAAAGCCAGCGAGTTGGTGCGGGCTTGAGAAGTCGCGGGAGCCATTCACAGCCACGGGATGCATCTCAGATGGCGATTTCCACAAGCAGCAGCTTTTGTAGAAGCTGGGATTTCGATTGACGACTTGTTCGCTGAGTTGAAGACGAAGAAACCTTGGTGTTGCGCACCTGTGGCCGATGTGCTCCCCGCATTATCGATAAGCACTCAGAGTTTTGGGCTTGCTAGGCTTATCTTATCGCCCCTAGAACTTCCACTTTAGGCCTCGCCTGCGGTTTCGGGTTTAGGCAAGAGACAAGTTAAAGAGGGCCTGCGTTAGTGGATGTTGTCCCCGCAAGCTAACCTCGGGTACCGAAGGTTAAGGTACGTACAGCCTAAGGCAATAAGGGGGGAGGGGTGGTTGTCACGGGCTATGCGTGATGAGGGCGAACTGAGATCTAGAATGTGTTGATTCTGCTATAAAATATAGACTCGGTAAGAGTAACAAGGCGATAGGCGCCTGCCGCAGTCACACCCACGGGACCCGCACGTGACCAGTGCCTTGGCAGTGGTTATGTCTTCGGTCCATAGTCTCGAACGATCTAACACCGTCCTTCGTCCTTTCTCTCCCCGGTATGAAGCTACCGGAGTTGCTAAAGTGTTTAAGTCAAGTCGCACATCACTTTTGTCATACAATCATTCTCGGGACCTCTAAAGTAGGTCCCTCGGCGCCCGCTCAATGACTGCTTGATATAGCTCGCTTTCCTATCCCAGTTAGTCCGACAAAAAAGATACTTGGAACAAGTTCCGTCGCTTCGTTCGATCTCACGAGTGAGACGAAAATGCGAAGGCATGGTACTATCTAGTTTCAGAGCGTTATTCGAACTTGTTTAACCAGCTTCACTCGAGATCATTTTATTTTTGGGCTTGACCTCAACCATGGCAAGCACTGCAAAAAATCCGCGAGCCATCGAAGCCGCAAAATCACTCCATCACGTCCCGTGGTGCGAAGACTACGAACGAATGATCTCCGGCATGGCGTTAGTCTCTTGTTATGTGACGCGGTTTATACTGATCATCATTCAGCTATAGTCAGTTCGCACCTGAATTGAGCGATGGTAGGCTTCGAGCACGGCGGCTGGCCAAGAAGTACAGCGACTACTTCCCAGACGACGCAACTTCGCAAAGCCTGGCCGAGGACCGTCAAAAAATGCTCGAGGTGGCCTTTGGCAAGATTGGGCCGAACGCGACAGTAGAGGGGCCCTACGCGGTGGACTACGGCAGCAACATTTCAATTGGGGCCGATTTCTACGCAAACTTCAAGTGAGTTGCTCACATGGCAAAAGCAGCTCGAGACTGACGTCGACATGCGCCAGTCTGGTCATCTTGGACTGCGGCCTCGTCACAATTGGCGATCGAGTCTTCCTTGGTCCATCTGTGGCCATCTTCTCGGCAACGCATGAGACAGACGTGCAGTCGCGACGGGATGGGATAGACTTTTCCAGAGAGGTGACGATTGGGAACGACTGCTGGATCGGTGGGGGGACCATCATACTTCCCGGCGTCACGATCGGAGACGGGTGTACTGTCGGGTGCGGCAGTGTAGTGACCAGAGACATTCCACCCTTCAGTGTGGCCGTCGGATCACCGGCGAGAGTCATAAAAACGGTTGCGCATGTAGAAGAGCTCAAAAGGGGAGTATCGATATTCCAGAACCGACATGTGGACGGCGATACTAGTTTCGGGGCGCTTGATCAGGCACGAACAAGGACGCTTGACAGTGTGCAGAGTGAGGCTGGGGAAAAAGAACCATCGAGGATCATATAAAAGATGCAGATATACCCAAGAGGACGGAGAAGTCTCAAGTGGGAATTACATAAGCACATGTGACACCGCTCGACCTCTCCCGATCGAAGTAAACAGCTCCACCCAATTTTTTCTCTGAGATTTCAAGAGTCCAACAGTGTTCGTCTACTACTGCTACTACCGCTATTACCGCTACTACCACCACTACTAATAATACAATTCCAAATCGATTCGTCAATCACCAAAGAGTAGTCTCCACCATTGACACTCATATGCATTCTTGCCTGAACTTGAGGTCGCAGGACAGTGGCTGGCGGCGTTCGAGCGACAAGCCATGTCCCGCGAACTCGGCGACAGGCTGACAATTATCTTGACAACATCTCCTACCCCTTCAATTCCGTCTACAGAACTGATTCGTGGTGTTCTCCGGTCTCTTGCTCCCAGCTTGTCCACTGTCCCGCTCATCATCACTTTTGATGGCTTCACGATATGTCAAAACGACAAGTACCTCGACGGACGACTGAAGAAGGGCCAAATCCCCCAGCAGATGGCAGAAGCTTATCCCTCGTATATCGCGAATGTCAAACGATTATTCTCGCAAACAGACGTGCCAGTGGTCCAGGAAGCAGCCATGGATCATCCCAAGTGGAGACCACCGATCGTCAGCAGAGCAATAGAAGGAGAGCGGTCTGTGACGTTTATCCAACACCGACGCCGCCAGGGGTTCGCACTAAGCGTCGTGAGTGCGCTCAAACATTGTACCACGCCTTTCGTCCTGGTTCTGCAACACGATTGGGTCTTTGAGGTCGAGCCGCCGATCCAGCAACTGCTCACCGCGCTGCGAGACGAGCCGGACGTGAACTACATCACGTTCGTGGCGAGGAAGTCCACACGATACGAGCTGACCATGGGCAATTCAAACGTCCGGCTTCGTGCTGTCTTTGACGCCGCCAAAGCCATGAGGCGTGGTTCGCCGCTCCAGTCGGATCTTGTTCCCTGCCTCCACTTCTACGATAGGCCTCATCTCATTTCAGTCGCCAAGTATTACGAGATTCTCGACGCGTATCCGAAGCTGCGCAAGGGGGACTTTTTCGAGGATGCAATCGGGACGAGGTTCTCACACTCAATCAGTGGTGCATGCTCGAATGAGGACGCCATCCAGGCGTGGAAGAGGATCGGAACGTGGATGTACGCTCCTGACGGCGGTTTGTCACGGGCCGTTCGTCATACTTCTGGACGCACTACGTTGGCGGAAGAACAAGAAAAGGCTCGGAAGCAGGCGTACATCACGGAGAATCTACTAGCAAAGCTAGAAGGCCGCGAGCCGCGACATGCTGCTCCACTTGTTGACGCTCGTAATTCTGAACGAGTATCTGGCTAATTTCTCGTCGTCGGCCTCAGCTCACAACAGTTCCGCCCTTGACGCCATTTCGCTGCCGAGCAAGAATCTGACATCAAGCCTCTAGAATTGACGACCGTTTTGAGGGAGGAGGAACCAAGTAACGGTTCGCCGAGAATTGGAACGGTGCAGCCTTGTGTGAAATTACGCAGCGAAATACAAAGACTCTACTGAACAGCACATGACTTCGCCCTGCGACCTTTGCGTGTTCCTATGTACAGGTTCGTCGCTCTTCACGATTTCTCGGTGGCATCCATCTTTACAACACCTGGACACTCCTTGGGCGCTCACTGAAGGAATACACTGATCAGCAATGTCCGAGGAAATCTGATTCCCTCTGGAGTTGTTGCAACCCGCATATGATGTGCCCTCGATGAATCATCCACGCGGTCCTAGTGTACTAGACCCTCGGCCATGAGTTGGTTGACGTACTTCCAATAGCGAGGGACGCTGGTCTTCCGAAGTCCCTTGCCAAATTTGATGAAGAGGAAGACGAGGCAAATCTGCGCCATCGCAACAAACGCTGCCAGAATGAAGGCGTTCTGGTAGCCCATACCTTCCATCCAAGGGGTAACTCTGTCTCAATATTAGAATCTCGGATCATCTTGTAACGGGAGTTCAAGGGCCAAAGCAACGTACCCGTAGCTGACGGCGAAGCTCATGGTATTCCTGATCAGGATCACCGTGACAATGGCATCTCCGCTCATGTCCTTATAGGAGTCGATGCAGTAGCTGATCGGGAGTTGGCAGCCGATCGTGATGGCACAGCCCAACATGCCCATGGCGAAGACCAGACCGAACCAGTGGATATGATGTGCTGCACCGATCCCCCAGATCAAAAATCCTCCAGGAATGAGAATGAGGAGACTGATGTAGAGCCACAGTCGGTGCTCTGGCTCCATAATACCATTGTTCCTTCGCGCCTTCCACAGAATGAACTTGTCTCCTAATGGGCCAGAGAAATAAGCCCTGGTTGTTCTCGTCAGTCAAGCTTCCTGGAAATTGTTGAGACAGGATCAAAGGTGGCTCACCCAATGAAGACGCCAATGAGACATGCAACGTAAGAGACGCCCACCATGCTCGGGGAAAAGTTGTATGGCGGGCTCGACAGAATCACCGACGAGGTTCCGTTGAGAATGTTGAAGTAGCAGACGATCGAGCCATACATGAACCCCGAGAAGGCGATGACGGGGAACGAAGCGAAAATCAATGGACGGAGGATCATTCCCTTGAAGTTGGCCTTTCCACGCAATGGGTCTGACCGGTAGATTGCCAGCTTTTGCCAATAAGACCTTGTTCCAGCCGGCTGCTCCAAGACATGACCTTCTTCGACCGTGCTTTCAACAGTCGGCGTTGCAGCCTCTTTTGATGGCAAAGGGCTACCGGGGCCTTTCTCGTACACGGGGTCGCTGTCGTATTCTTCGACGCCGCCATCAGGCTCGATTGAAGTCAGCGGTTGGCGATGGAAATTGGTCTCTTCCATGAAGAAAAAGAGAATCAGAAAGCCCGCGCCATTGAAAATGGCACACCAATGCTAATATCCCGCCGTTAGTATCGCTGATCACCATCGTTCGTCCAGTTGTAAGTAGTTGTGACTTACTAAAACCCATTTCCAACCCTGTCCGTCACTGATGAAGCCTGAGATAATGGGGGCAAAGAAATTACTTCCCGCCAGGAAGAGCGCATAAACGCCCACGTAGGCCCCTCTCTCGTGTGCAAAGAACTAATATGTATCTTGTAAGGATATAACCTGGCTAATATGAAGAGGTAGAACGGGACTTACGACGTCTGCAACCGAAATCTCGCAGAGGCACTCGATGACGCAGCCAAAGAACCCTTGGAGACATTTGTTGGCAATCCATTTGCCGGTTGTAAGACAATGAGGGGCCCAGAGCATCATTCCCTGTGCGGGCAGCAGTTAACATTTGCAGCAATTGATATGATGGGATTGACAGGGCCTCTAGGTTCTTACCATAGTCCCGAGGGTTGAGAACAGGTAGATCGGGCGTTTTCCATATTGCATGGCCAGAGGTTGCAATATGAGGCAGCCCCAGCCAAGAGTCAGGAACATATATCCCGTTCCTTCAACCAAAGTGCTGATACTGAGCCCGCTGTCCGCCGAGATTGGGCCCAGTACTGAGTATATGGCAGCTGAGGCAATCCCAACGACCAAGATATACCTAAAAATCGAGCGCATTAGAGACAAACATCACGAAGACAAAGTACAGAGGGGTAGGAGGAGACGTACGTGCAGAGAGAGAACATGAACAGCAACTTTCTGCGAGGACTCCAGTTCAAGGGATCATCGGGGTCTTTTGAAGGCGTGGGAACCAGCACAACATCTTCTTGCTTGCCCTTTGCGTGCGCCGTGCGAATGGTCCCGTCCAAGTCGACAAGATGGACTGTCCCAGGGATAAAGTCCGGCGCCCCGACGGTGTGGTGTACTTGTGGTGTCATAATTGTTCAATGTACGGGGGTTCTGCTTCGAATGTAAGACGCAGCAGCGTAAGTGAGCCACGGTATCAAGGTAGGCTCTCAAGTCAGGGAGGCAGGGAGAAAGGTAGATCTGGGAGCGAACAACTGGATGTGTTGCCTGGTTGTCTCTCAGGGAACTGTTTGATCTTTAAGTACTATCGAGGGTCTTAGCGTATCAGTCATATCTCATAAAGGACAATCCCAACGAGCGCCTAGAATGACAGTCAACAACATAATTGTGGATGGCTAAGTTTTAGGGAGAAGATAAGAAGGGTCGATACGGCCAGCGAATGAAGACGGATGTCCCAAGGATAGTGTTTCCCTCCATGGAGATAACTGAACTGGTAATCTAGACTGTGGTTTTCGTCCTTGGCCTGCCAGATAATGGTCTCGTATCGCCACTTCAACATGTCGTTGTAGAGACGATGTCTCTGCCTTTATACGCCCGTCCAATCAGAGAATATTGCGGGTGCACAGGCCATATCCGCCAGAAGCAGCCAATGAAGAGTATTTGCGGGACTAGTTCACCCCAAACAGGATAAGTCCGGGGTTCTAACCAGCACACTAACTACCTAGGGCCACTAAGTTGCCCGTCTGGCTCCCGTCTTTGTAGATAACCGATCCAAGCCCTCTTCACATACTAGCTACTCGACATACATCCTGGCACAAGTTCGACTTGAGGAAACAAACTTCCCTCTCGACCGACGATAAGCACGCTTCAACATGGTTGTCTTGATAACGTTTCACTCTACTCCTATCTACGCCATCCCTTGCAGGGCTCAGCAAGGGGGTCGAACATGCACATTGATAGGGTGTGTGAAACGGCATGCAACACCGAGCCACGCTCAATCACGACCCTTTCCCGCTATTTCCACTCATTGGCCCGAGGTTACTTGGGGTTGGGATAGACCCACCGACTAGGAGCCTCTCTCTGTCGCCCGTGTGCATTTGTGACCGCAACGACCTTTATAAAGAGTAGATGTGACGAGTGATACGGCCTCCCTGTCAAAAGTCCTTCACCTCGCTCATCAAATCCTGCAAAGACACAGACACAATGGTTAAAGAATTGTGGCAAACCAAGGCTGATAAATGCCGAAAAATCCTCAATGACTCGCTCAATCCCGCATGGCTCCTCCCCGAGGATGAGTTACCCACTGCCGATGTTCTTGACGTCTCTGGGTTCGCCGAAACATCCAAACTGTTGACTCCGAAGGAGCTATCTATCACAAAGCTCACTGCCGCTGAGCTGGTTGCCCAGATGTCCTCTGGCAGTCTCACCGCCGTGGAGACAGTCACGGCGTTTTTGAAACGCGCACATCTCGGCCACCAACTACTCAACTTCGCCACTGAATTCCTCGTAGAGGAGGCACTGGCGCGCGCCGCTGAACTGGATGCCCACTTCAAAACTACTGGAAAACTCGTCGGCCCGCTTCATGGAGTTCCAATCTCTGTGAAAGAGCACATTGGCCTCAAAGGTCGTATCTGTCACTCGGCCTACATAACCTGGACCGATAATATTCCCACGGAAGACGCACTCCTGGTCAGAATTTTGAAAGCTGCCGGAGCTGTTATCCATGTCAGGACCAACGAGCCTCAAAGCCTGATGGTATGTGACACCAAGCATCTCTGTCTTTCAACAGCCAAAAACTGACTACTTCCTCTAAGCATGCCGACACCAATAACGTGATTTATGGCCCCACATGCAACCCTTACAATCGCAAGCTCACGTCTGGAGGTTCCAGCGGAGGAGAAGGGGCATCCATCGGCTTCCGTTGCGCAGCCATCGGGATCGGCACCGATATTGGAGGCTCCGTTCGCATTCCCGCGGCGTTTTGCGGTGTCTTTGGACTTCGCACGACAGCTCTCCGAAACCCTTACAAGGGCATCCTGTTGGCCGGGGAAGGACAAGAAAGTATTCGCTGTGTTGTTTCACCCTTGACCAACAGTGTCGACGATATCAACCTAGTCCAGAAAGTCATTCTCGATGCGGAGCCCTGGGACGAGGAAACGTCTTTGTGTCCTCTTCCATGGAAGATGATCAAGCCCTACTCACCTGGGCAGATCACTGTTGGTATCATGTGGGACGATGGGTACGTTGGATTTGCATCCCCCGTGCCGTTCTTTGTTTTCTTTTGTTTTTCTCGACTCAGAAACTGATACTGTATCTGTTCAGCGTGGCGCACCCACACCCTCCCATTACCCGTGGCTTACAGTATGCCAAATCCAAGCTCGAAGCCGCGGGCGTCAAAGTTGTTGACTTTGAAGCCTACGAGCATGCGCGCGGGTGGGATATCCTGTCGCAGCTCTACTTTCCTGATGCAGCAAAGACTCAGAAAGATCTACTCGCCGAGGGAGGCGAACCCGTACTCCCTCTGACCGAGTGGGCATTCAGCGTGGCCAAACCAGAGCCGATCAGCGTGACTGACAACTGGGTGCTGAACGCCCGGCGGGAGGCATATCGTGAGGAGTAAGTATATTTTCTTCCTTCCTTATTTCCACATTTCCCCCGGGGCTGATCAGGCCTTCCCCAACCTGTTTGGGCGCTAAAATGCATGCAGCTATCACCGCGTCATGAAAGAGCGTGGAGTGGATTTTATTATTTGTCCAGCGGCTCCAGGCGTTGCTGCCGAGTTGAATAAAGGCAAATACTGGCTGTACACTTCAATCTGGAACATTCTGGATCAGCCGGCGGTTTCAATCCCTACTGGACTGAAGGCAGATCCAAGTATCGATCTGGTCGAGGCTGAGTATAAGCCCCGGTCTGCAGAGGACGAGCGCGAGTACAACAGATGTGAGTTGAGACATCCCCGCGTCTTTGTATGTGATAATCTATCGGAAGATCCACTAACCGCTTCGTAGACACCCCTGAACTGTACACTGGCGCACCAATTGCTTTGCAGGTTGTCGGCAAGCATTTCCGGGATGAGGAAGTTGTTGCTGCGGCAGACTTGATCTCGAAAATAGTCCAAGGCTAGTTTAATTCGTCGACTTGAGAGCTACAGAGGTAGTTACTAGTCTCTTCTTCCAGTTATTTAGCTGCTGAATAGTGGGTGTAGGAGCACACAGGTATTCCTCGCACGAGTACCTATCCCCTGAACCTTTGAGATTTTGTCCAAGGCCGTGCATACACACCCATATTCAGTAGTCCATGTCTCTCCATATAGGTGTATAGCAATGTGATACCGCAGTCTCTCCATGCAGATCAGCCTTGCTTCGAGTGGGTGGGGCCCTAGGGGTTCGTCCAACTGTGGATGTTAAGCTCCAGGGAACTGACCCTGATAAGAGCCTACTGGGCTCACCGGGCCAGACCTCTCGAACCGCGTCCCAGGACGGGTAACTGGTTATCTAACTTGGTGAGCCTCCGTGCCCCGCACGTAGATAAAGACGGTTCAGACCCCTCCCGGCCTGGGGATCCTTTATCTTTACAGAGAGCCGCCGCCGCCGCTGCTGACGGTGTTGTTATTTACCGCTGAAGGTAAAGCTAATGTCTTGACAACATCCTGGATGACGATTTAATGTCACTCCCCATCATGACAAAAGCAAAGTTGAGGACCAAAATCGGCTGCTTGACCTGTATGTTCCCCGCCACCAGCTGTCAGACGTGGAATCTTTGACTAAACACCGAATGGTGCTGCTCCTGCTCCTGCTCAGGCCGAAAGCGAAAACTGAAATGTGACGAGTCAAGACCCTGCTGTTTGAATTGCACCTTTTCCAGGCGTCTCTGTGTCTGGCCCACGCCTGCCGAGCTGTATGATCGTCGGAATCGACGACGCTCGGAAGACGGGGTCCCAAAATCGGCGACAGGTGGCGACAACGACGTTAACGACGTCCAGAACTCCAGCAACCTTCTTCAGCCAGGGGATTGTTACAACTTGGACTCTACCTGGCTCATTGTGTCATCGCCCCAGCCCCGTACTTCCATCTCCTCGGAATGCGACAACTCGCTACTGTGTTACTACACGGACTCTTTCCTCTCGGTCATTCTCTTGCCCACGACGAAACCTAGCGACTACGACTCCTTCCGGTCGTACACCTTGATGCTCGCGCTTGAATGCCAAAGTGTCAAACACGCCGTCATGTCCAGCAGCGCAGCGAACAAGTACATGCTCACGGGGGAAGACCACTTCCGACGGCTGTCGCTCGAGCACTACGCCCAGGCGGTGAAAGAGGTCAACCATGCCTTGGCTAATATTGACTATTCCCGCGAGAGCTGGGCAGATCCACTCCTCATCAGCGTTGCTTACTTGTACATCCACGCGGTATGTTCTGCAGAATATTCTCCGCCCAACCGTCAATTGGTGAGTACTGACACTGACGATACTTGTGTGTTTAGTTCTGGGGACCCGACGCAGACAAGGACGCCGCCAAACACGTTCTGGGGATGCAGCAATTGTTCAAGCTGCGATATACTGGGAATACTTCTCCGGTGTGCGTGGACCGACCATTCGACCGTATCATGGTCGAAAGCGCCCTGTATCATTCGTTTCTGCTCGCCATGCGAAATCCATTCGCGTTGGATTTTCACATCGACAGCTTCTTCCTGTCTAAAACGCTCGATCTGCTCGAGTTCGAGGTGTACGTCGATCCCGCCGAGTCCGCGAAGAGCCCAGTCATAGGTGCCCCGCCGTCGATATACCGCCTGACCTTGGAGATTTCTCGCATGTTCAACTCTGGCTCACTGGACGACGCCGAAGAGTTCACGAGGATCCGGAGCACCATGGACTACTGGGAACAGCTCCTTGATAGCGAGGCCTCGATCTTTCGAGATTCCGAATTCGGGGATGCTGTCGAATTGTACATCCTCGCCGCGTCCCTGCTTCTTGACTGGATATCGGAGCTTCCCCACGGAGCAGGCCCCATCACTTTGACCGCCTTGTCGATGCTGGGTCGCTCGACCACGGTCGCGTTGGACGGTAAACCTCGGCATCGATGGCAGGTTGCTCGCGCTCTCTCCGTTCTTCGGCGGCCGGACACAAAACACTACTGGACCTGGTGCTTCTTGAGCTCTTGGCCACTCCTCGTATTCGGATACGCGGTCGAGGACGTTGAGAGCATGGACCTTGTAAAAGAAGTCCTGAACGAGTCGCGCCATTGCATTGGATATGCTGAGATGGAGCGGATCGAGAGAGAGTTGGAAGGGGTATGGAAGATTCGGTTGCAGGAAAACTGTCACCGCGAGTTCCTGCCCGACGCCATGTCATTACAGGGCCAGAAGATATACGCGTTGACTTGACAGGAGTGGAGGCGTCCAAATTACTGCTCACCGCCCATGTGGACGTCCACAAGGCCGAAATACGCACCCACAACGAGTGCTGCAGAGCATAGCGGATCCGAACGGTGGCAAGAAGCCAGGGGCCGCCATGATGCCTAAGGGTTGGCTTCTTCCTAGAGAACATAGATCCATGCCATGTACAACGTCGGCCCAGCCTCGACGAACATCACCTTGAACACCACATGATGTGTCTCTGATACGACGCACCCAAGCAACTATTGAAGGAATGCGAGGAGGTTGTGGCTTGAGAGCGCCGAAACACAAGCGTCGAGGTAGCATCCTGAGGCCTTATCAGTTCAGGGTCCATTCCAGGTCCTTTCCAAGCGCCCCCAACGATGACCATAATGAGACGAAGCTTCTGGATACGCCGCCCCCCAAAATGCTCCTGTGACGGGGTTCGTGGAGATTCATGAGTACATTGGGATGATCCCAAGGGTGATCTTGACGAAGGTGAATTGGGAGACTTGACACGAATCATTTCCATTTCCTCTCCCTGTTCAGCCCTCCTGGCCTGAGAGAGCCCGGGGTTCAATATCTCAACGGAATATCAAACAATGCAGACTACTCGACGCGTCAATGCTTGAAGACTTCTTTCTCGGCGTCTCGAGTGTCTCCAAGCGACCCTCATTTGCCGCAGAGCTTTTGTCACAACATCTGGAGCAACCGTGTCGATGAAAGCAAGTAGTACCTGGTCACACCGGACCTTTCCGTCCTTGTTGCCCAGTTGTGTAATGTTGGAGAAAACTACACTTGTTTACTCTCTTTCTGAGCAGAGTCAAACGCGGGTTCCACCGGAGAGGACCACAGAGAAGGTGGTGGCCTCGATATCGAGTGACATTGGGAGTGAAGCAGATCGCTTGAGGGGCCAGAAAATCGATGATGCAGATGTTGCGAATGTTTGATTATTGAATTATTCTTTGCATAGAGCATCAAACGGCCGCTGAAAAAGTAATACGTGGAAAGACATTACGATTAAATGCTAAGAAGTATATTCTCGTATAAATGAACAGAGAGTGACCAGTTATGCTCTCGACTGAATGTCGTCAAATGGTTCTGAGGAATTCGCAGCATTGGCGACGTTGCCGGGTAACATGCTCGACCACGCTTGGATATCTAGATATGATTGTCCTCAGGCACAGTCCTCATAGATCCATTCTGATCTGTCTTCAGATATCAGATAGATATGCCGTTGCCACCGTCCCAAGACATCCTGGGTAGTCAGTCACCATCCACGGAGCCGAGGAGCCCATGACTAATGACGAAGGCCACCGATTTTGAGGCTCGTCAAAAATTCTTTCGCACAAGACGCGAGGGTGTCTCGTTGACGGCGCCTTCAGATTTTCGTGGCAAGACGTCGAATTCTATCACCCAGTTTGGGCATCCCCAGCCTGGAGACGGAGGATTGGCGTTATACTCCAACAACACAACGTGATATATCTCTGTCGATCATGCGACATAGTGCGATGTCAGACTAAGGTCGTATCAGGGAGAGAGAACGGCTTCGAAGATCCGTCTTGTTTGTTACGAGAGAGGAGTCTGGCCGACGACCCGGTATGCCCTAGGGCGCCGGACACGAGGACTGGATGGTCTCGGTTAGATGTCAGAGCGTACCGTCAACATGACCCCAGAGATGGAACATGCTGACATCTCTGGAACCCATGAAAGTGCACGATTGGTGCTCCAAAGCCGTAAGTGAATCGTAGGATCAGCAGAAAAGGCAGGTGGTGGATTTCTGACGGATATACAGTCGACATGTATTCTCAAGAGACGCTATCGCTTTGTTGCAAGAAGACTTTCGAACGACCACCTTCTGCGAATATCACACGTTCTCGTCTCCTCTGATCACATTGACCATTTCATAACTGGGTCCCGAGTCCACATTCCGGCCCCTGCCATAGGCACCACGCACGTTGTCGCCTGGCGTGTCTAACGATGTCTTCGCTGGAACCGTTCCGAAGGAGATGGGCCGAAGCTCACGATACCGACACGCCCACATGCCCAAAATGATTGTGACCGCGGTACTGGCAGCTTCCAGTCCCCACCAAAGCAGATTCGTCGGCAGAGACCTCGTGTAGAACGAGGTCGCCAGGAGATGGATGAAGTGTATTGTCAACGCGAAATCAGGGACGAGTTTCGATCGAGCAACCATCACCATAATAGGCATTACTCTGCCGAGCGTCAGCACATAAACCCAGATTGACCTGAATCTGAGGGAGACTTTACATTATGAGGCCATCGACCACCCAGAGAAATCCGACAGTCCAGCCAACAGTGTTGTCGCCCCTGACGATCTGCCAGTCGAAAAGAAGACCTAGGGAGAAGCCTTGACCGAGAACGAGAGTTGTAAACAGTATCAGAACGAACGCGGCGCTGTAGTAGGACAGCTGTAGAAGGATGATGGAGCGGATGATTTTGAGAGGAGGGAGTTCTGTGAGAGCGCCAGCGCGAGGTGGCTTTCTGCGTCGAGGCGGCATTCGCCTGGTGCTATGGGCGACGTGGGAATACGCGTACCAGGTGTGCAGACCTCAGCATGACTGTTGCATTGTGACCTGAAAATCTCTCTGGACACAGCTTTAGGGAGCGAAACTTGTATCTTTCAGAACAGGTGTCAGGAAGAAGTTTATCCTGCGCCTTGTCAGTCTTGTAAATAGACGTTGATACGGAGACAGGCGCCTCGTTTCTCCAAATCCACTCCAATTTTTGTAAAGCCTCGAAGTCAATTGACTGAAGGAAGAGCACAATAATTAACCCGTTTCGTGACGACGACGCTGGCCCTGAGAACGAGTCGAAGCACCATCACCTGACGCGAACGATCTTCTCAACCCGGCTTCCTATACCTGTGCTCGATATTATGGGCTGGGGCTTGCCGACATGGCTCGGTGGGAGCCCTGCACCCGCGCCGCCAGCACGACCGAAGTCCAGCGACGGAGGCTTCGTCGCCCCGGATCGAAATTCGCGAGAGCTGTGTTACGAGTCCAGAGATAATTTCTTCACCTGCCTAGACAAGAATGACATACTCGATGCAATCAAGGAAGATGACAAAGCCCGAAAAGTGTGTGCCAAAGAAGTGACCGACTTTGAAAGAGACTGCGCAAGAACTTGGGTCAGTATATCCAGAGGCCTCTCGTCGTGGCCGCCAGGTTGACAGATGTCTGCATTAGATCAAATACTTCAAGGAAAAAAGAGTAATGGAATACACACGAGATCGAACCCTGGAAAAGATACAACAGGACGATGCGAAGATGGCTGCCAAAGCCAAAACCGAAAGAAGAGGCGGGTCCTGGTTTGGATGAAGACCTTGCACTGTGGCTTCGGAATGCAAAGCGTACCAGCGGCGACGACGTGATTGTCTGTTGCCGAAGAGATGGCCTTCAGACTGCAGATAACCGACAATACCCTCATGGGTACCACATCTCAAGCGGGTGCTTACCGCCGTGGGGGACCAGAGCTCACTGCATTCCTGCATGAGCTGTGGCGGATGTACAGAAGAGATGGCGTGGGGATATGTATACAACTGTACATTTAAGACACAAGGGATGCAATGAAATGGTACGACCATTGATCAACATGGATTCTGCTGTTGGAATGGCCGCTACGCAATCTTCACTCATGTATGAAACTCGAGGAAGTTGTTCGAAACTCTGACATTCAAACATTTGGACCTTGGACTCGTGTTGACGAAGTCCATTCACCGTCCCAGAGGGCCTACCACACTTTGCACCATGACTGCAGCTTCTCGTTCCCAATTTCCCACAGGTTCCTCCCCATTCGCAGTCGCCCTGGCATCTCCTAAAACCACAGTCTTTGGCATCCTAGAACCCCGGAGAACGCAATCGCGTATCTCGGCTTTTACAGTGTCGCGTTGACTTTTGAGCGTGCGCGCAGATACCCCACCTCGATTCAAGATCTCGGACACCCGAGATGATAGCGAAGATGCCAGGGACCTCCAGAAATAGGAGGGCAGAGAGGCTGTATCGAGAGCATTGAGGAGGAGGGTGAGGAATGTTTCCGAAGACGATTCGTTCGTAGGTGCTGCGGTATCATCCTCCTCACCACTGTCGCTTTCCTCGACACTTGCGCTTTCTTTTGCTTGGAGTAACGGATGTTCCGGGGGCGATATCCCGCGGAGTAACACCTCCAGGGCCACCACATTCTGGCAACGAGCACTGGCCTCCAGTAGCGCTCTATCCAGCATCGGCAGCTGCCCCAAAGCTCGGCCGATGGTGGCTGAACTCGATGTGATAGCCGTCTGTAGGTAGCTTTGCAAGGCACGCAGTAGATATTCTGGCTCGAAATCTTTCCTGCTCATTTTCTCACCGTCAATTCTGGGTGCAGGAGAGAGCAAGTAGAGGATGTGAGTGGCACTTGAGAAACGTGCACGACTTTGCTCGGCTTCCCGAAAGGTAGGACCTGCCGTGGCTCCCCCAGCTGCGTGTGTTGAAGAAGATAACGTGCTCATTGAAAATTCGCGTACGACTCGTCGAGCAAAATCCAGTATCTTTGCCTCTCCATCCTCAAACACCTTGCCACGCAAGGTCTTGACCATGTTGACACGGCCCAGTTGGGCGCCATCGGATCCGCTCATTGCATCGCGCAAAGCAAGAATCAGAAGTGTCGCTCTGACTAGGCTACTGTGGTCTTCCTTGCCCAGCTTACCAGGGGCACCGAGTCCGGAATCAGCGAGTATGGTGTCGAACTGGCGTGCAAGTCCGAGGATTCGTTGTACAGCGCGGCCTAATTGGATGGCTTCAAGACTCCGTTGAGCGGTCAACTTTGCGTCAACCGCTCGTTGATGGCGGACAAGGACCTCGTTCTCGAGCCGCGCGTAACTCTCAGTAAGTCGCCTTCGCTCTTCCTCGACCTTGCCCAAGATGCGCTGAGCAGCTGCATTTTGGGTAGACGTGTATGTCAGAATGTCGAGAGCAGAACGAGATGTCAAAGTATGAATGTGTGAATCTATTTCCTGGAGATCAAAGAGAACGCGAGACAAAGGTGTTGTGAGGTCGATGGTTGGATCAGACGGGTTGTTGGTAGCAAGGACGAGATTGTTGGCATGTTGATGGGGCGAAAAGTCATTGGAGGTGATGTAGTCGAGATCGATGTAGGTTGATGTCGTTCGTCCGCTTCCTCCAGCGGTTTGTGTGGCCATGACGACTCGAGATAGACCTCTCGTGGTGGTGGTGTTGGCGACAATATCACAACATTGCGGTCGAGATAATGCCTTCTAGGAGCAGCCTTGTGAACTTTAATCCGCCGCAAACGGTCCAATGATAGACACCGAGACGAGCCTCAAACCGGAGAATTGATGTACTTGTCAAAGAGAGTGCGCGCAATTTATTGGCAGAGTAAACTGAATGATGGATTTTTAGACGCGAATTATGGAGTACGTGATCATTGAATTTCTGATTTGACAGTGTGAGTAGAGCACAGTAGATCCTCCACAAGGCAAGGCTGAAGCCTTTGCACTCGGTGAGGCCATAGGTGCAACAAGGCTCCAGAATACGGAGCCTGCAGACACTCGCCTGTTGCCTCTATTGCAGGTAAGGCACCCTTGACCCCGGGCCCGCCCGCCATTCCATCGTCCCAGCCACAAGATTAAGCGCTCAATGAGAGGCTGACAACGACAATGATGCTACCGAAGATGGTGCAGTACACCGTATACAGGCACAAGGCGCACTGCGAGGGCTGCCACACCCCATCAATGTTGCAAAGTATCCGTAAGGAAATGATGCGGGTACCCGACAGGGCGCCGGAATTCAAGGGACAAGCGTGAACGCCTCCAAAGTCGGTGCCTGGTGATGGTTTGTGCTGTCTCAGCCTGTGCCTGAGCCCAAGGTCAATCCCTCCGCATTTAGTCGGATCTGTGCCTGGGACTAATTCTGAGCGTCCACATGCGAGGGGCGTGCGTGAAAAATCGACTCCGAAACAACCCGGATGAACGAACGGACATGAACTCCCGCCGAGTACGGCTGGCCAGTGGGCACCAAAATGTATGCGAATACAACTGCGGGGCATTCGTAGGACTTTTCTAAGGCACCGGAACGCGCAATCGGTTCGAAGGATGAGTCAGGCTGGTGTACTACGTATCCCTCTGCGTGGCGAGGATGAGACGGCAACGTCGGCCTGGATGACACGGTCGAAGGCACCGACGCGGCATGTGCCATCTGGACGATTGGCGAGAGAAAGGGGGAAAAGTCTGGCGAAGACCGCCGGGGTACCCTTCAAAATCATATGTGCAGTATGCAGGTTGGTGGGCGAACATGGTGCGCTGTTGGCAGTGGCGTCGGTCACGAGTTGGCCGGCGATAATGGTACTGTACAAAAGAGGCCCATGGTGAGGTTCTTTCGAGGTGCTAGGGCCTAGAGAGATGCGAGCGATGTTGACTTTGTGCCGCCCTGACTGGTGGCCGAGCGGATCGTGCAGGGGTTGATCATGGATCTCCCAAGGGCTGACGCTGCTGGGAACTGGGCTAGATGAGGCTAAGAGCAAGGCTCGCGGCAGAGTGGCCAGTGCATACTCCGTCCGGTCCACGGATATTGGCAGCCATTTATTAATTGTATCAGACTCGAGGATGCTGAGGACGCCGGAGTCTGGCTTCCGCGGCTGAGGCCGTGCTTTGGACGTGGTGTTTGTGGGATGCAATGTCTGCGGTGACAGAGTCGAGCCCTGGTGCCCGTGTCGTCCCAGGATTTCGGGGCCCGTTGGCCAGGGACGAGATACAGTTGTTCAGAGTGCCCGTACTGCCCTCGTATCGCCAGCGAGGGGCGCACGGTGGCGAGGAGACGCACCGCGTGGCTCGCTGATTGAAATCGAGCCGCTCCAGGCATCCCGCATCGACAAGCAGGAACGGCCGAGTCACCGACCAGCTGCCCCTCTCTCTGCCACTAGGTCAACTAAATAACCTGGGCACGACTTGCCCTGCGGCCCCTCGACTCTGGCCACTCCTGGCACATCCTTTCTTCATTGTGACGGCAGTGACGGCTGGCGTTCCTTGCTAAACCGTCTCTTGCCTATCGCCTGCGCTGCTGCACATTGCGTTCTTCATTCCGTGCTGCTGCACATGCACCTCTTGTCTGCTTCTCCTTCTAGCCTCAGACCATCCAACTCATCTCATCTGGGCCGTCTTGTTCTCTATCTCATCATCATCCTCGCTCGTCAAGGCAATCGCCCTGCTACATCCCGCCCTCCCGACGCCGTAGCCTCACTCGACTTCAGGCCCCTCGGATCTGTGCCTCTGCCATCGACACCACCCTGTCCCACGGTCCCTGTCCCCAGGCCTCTATCTTGATCCACATATCCGAGAGTCTGTACTGCCGCCCAATAGGATCAACTATCTTTGCGTGTGAGGTCAAGCATACGGGCATCGTGACGCTGCGTGCTACCGTCGACATCGGGGCAAGACTTCATTGAGCCTTGAACAGCGAGGAGAAACACCTCCGCCTACGACTCCGGCAACTCTCGCCCGTCGCCTGAATCTGTGGACCCGACAGCGGAAGTCGCATGGATCGTTGGCGTGCGCAGCCTTCTCTTTAGATACCCTTCCTGTCCATAACGCGACTATTCTCTACATTGTCCAGTGCCCCAATTCCCTCGGCGGGGCCACGCGGGTCCAGATACTCGAAAACCATCTCTTCTGCAGTGATCCGGATGAGTTCCCATGCTGTGGCGTGAGCCGCGACTCCCTGACACTGCGCCATAGCATATCCTCCTCGTTCCTCACCTACGATGGCGGCTCTCAGTCTCGTGTTGAGCGAGACTATGTCGCCGAAAGACAGAATGGAAGAGATGGACACACCTACAACCCCTCGGCCGACTCGATATACATCGGCCATATTAGAGGAGAACAATGTCGTAAACGATACTCACTCCTCCCACCCCGGAGACAATTCTTCTAGCCAAATCTACGACGGCAGTGCCCGTGGGCATCGGCACAGCGACACAAGCAGGAGAAATAGTGCGGGTGCCGCAACAAGTGCTCTGGATGTGGACGACGACGATGAGGAAGACAATGATCCGCACGGTTCGGACCACGAGGGCGAACCAGGAGACGCCGATTCTGCCTGGAGAAAGAAGAAGGGCCAAAGGTTTTTCTGTACCGGCTACCCCCCCTGCAACCTCAGCTTTACTAGAAGTGAGCATTTGGCTCGCCACATCCGAAAACATACTGGCGAGCGACCCTTCCAATGCCACTGTAATCGAAGATTCTCCAGATTGGACAACTTGCGCCAGCATGCGCAGACGGTGCATGTTAACGAAGAGATCCCCACCGACTCATTGGCGGCTACGGGCACTCGATTCCAGCGTCAGATACGAACCGATCGCGTCCGCCCTACTGGTCGACCACGAACAGGAACTGCAGGGAGTACTGGTGGTCACAGTCGAGGACACAGTCGAAACCTTTCAACGTCTAGTGTGGGTTCGACCTCTTCCAATTATAGTATTGTGACAGATGCGAAGCGACGACCGCCGCCTCTCCTCATGGCTGGCGATGGAAGTGGAAGACCTCTAGGGCTCGAGCCGCCTCAAACACCGCCGGCTCAATATCGTGGGTACAATCCGAGCTCTCCTGGCGGCCTGAGTACACCAACATCCGCTCAATTTTCTGCCACGCCTGGCAGTCCAGGTTTCATGTCATCTTTGGGGTCGCCAACGTCGTCAAACTCCCGCCATGGAGGATTTTTCGCTTCTGCTCCTCATGCCCGCCGATTGTCGGTACCATCTACATCCAGTCCCTACCAGCAGCAATATCCGCCGGGCTATCCTCTGACATACATAAATCAGATGGGTCCGGCGAGTTCACATGGGTCCTCAAATTCCAGCATGTTGACGAGCCCTACTTCGAGCTCCTTCCCCATGTCTCCCGGACAACATATGCCGCCCGGAGAAGACTGGCGGAGGCGCACCTGGCATCCTTCTACGATGCCGGCTGCCAACTTCAACTACAACCGTCCTGCCACAAGTGGGCTAACATACTCTCAAACTCCAGATGCTCCTCAACCCGCGCATGCCCAACATGCCACTGCCGCTGCCGGCCAAGCACCCCGACTCCCGGGCATTGAAAGCTTCGATCATGTGCAACACCGCTCATACACGCCTCCCCGCCGTAACCCTAGTCCCATGCAGATTGATCCCAATCTCACTGATTCCAACCCACCTTCCTCGTTGACCCAACAAGAACCTCAGCCTCGGCCCGGGCATGTATCCTGGGAAGGGCCTCGTCCCAGCCAGTACCCGGAGCCTGAAGAACAACCCCCCGCCAGACATCAAGTTGCGAGCTCTTGGGGCCAGCAAACTATCAACGAAATTCAAAGGGTAGGCGTCCCAAGACAGGCGGACATGGGCCCTCCCTCAGTCTCAGTGACTTTCAGACCGCAACAACAGATGGCCCAGGAAGCCCTTGAGACTCAACCATCTGCAAATCGGCTCAAAAGACAGGGCTGGTATCAGCGACCTGTATCTGCCGCACGAACTTCCCCGGAAGACTCTAGCAGTAGCGACGGAGTGCCCACTCCTGGGATGACGGCTGTCGAGGTACATCCAATGATTATGCATAGCAGTGGCTACGTGGAGCCACAGCACGCCGCTTTACCCGCAGATGGCCATCAGAATGTTTGTGTTCTCTTCTGCAGGTTGTTCTGACTTTTGCTGACTTGTACAGGTTTGTCTTGCACCCGCTGCATATATCGAAAATAGTCGGCACAGCGGAAGCTCGTCTTTCGGTGATCGGTCCGGCCGAGGCGGCGAGTTGAACAGATTAGAGGCTCTCGTCGCCGTTGCGACGAGTGCCGACAACGGAGCACGCTAAGCATAACGAGTTCGACTTGGAGGATGCATGGCTACTCGATCTGTTTGATCGATCCCATTCCATCAATCAACTTATTGGCCTCACTACAGCCTATGGTGGCAACTATTGAGACGCAGTTCTTCTGATCATCGCATATTGGCAAATCATGACGGCCTAACGAGAGAGATACCCCTAACGACCAACTTTTCGAGCCGACCGCTTTTTTTACGGATGTGTTATGATCTACCTTATTCATGTTTGGATGCGCGCATACGGGTTATGATTTTGAAATTCTGCAAGCGGGCGTTCGGAAATGCAGAGACGTGTGTTTTGCCTGGTAGCACTTGCTCGACTTTTGCGGGTGCTTCACAGGATGCATAATACCCCTCTTTCATTCATGAAACTGTGTTATTGAGATGTTTCTGAGTTGCTGGGCACAGGCAATGGTCCTTGACCCATGATGACGATGACAATGACGGGATTCTTGAAATTCATGCTGCAAGGATGGGTTCAGTTTTGATTTCTTGCACTTATAGCATTACGGGCAGTTACGCAGCACTTAATGAACATGCTTCTACTCAACTTGACAGTGAGCGCCGACTCTTTGACGGGAATTGATAATGAATATGGGGAGATCGGGATCTGAACGCCTTCTACGGAGTACGTGAAATAATAACTCGCCCAACGAAAGAGGACGACACTCGGCGCCAAGACCATCGACTTCGTGTGACCCCGACCACGACGTGCGGTAGCTGTAACTCAACATCGTCTTTCATGCCGACTATGATAATGTCATTGCAGTTCATCCTCGCCCTGTGTGGACGGCGGCTTCGTCTTGACTTGAGCTACCTTTGCTCGAGCAAGGTTCGGTCTTCTCATGGACCATGGGGAAATGATCATTGTGAAATCAGCATCCCTCCAATTCATTTGAACAGGGCTTCTTGCTTCGCGGAGGACATCCACTTGTGAAGAGTCACGGCGGAGCTCTGGGATGCCTTGGTGGTATGACAGAGAGGCTGCCGACACGCAATAAAACCGTCTCCTTTACACCCTGAATCTCCGTTGCAGAGGAAGAGTTAGATGAAAGTACCATCCTCATCTGGCCTGTGTTACATTTTGCTGCACCGAAGCTTCTCATGCAGGTACCCATCCAATTTGGAAGCAGATCATCTGGAGCCAGATGCTTCCGTGCTGATACTGGGGACGGACTGGTGGAGACGACACTGACAGATGCGGGAGAGCAAACATTCTCACTGCAACCGGCGCAGTCTTCCTTGAGCGACATGACTTCAAGTGGCTTCGAAGGCGGTCTTTGCTGAATCTCTCGCCAGGGATGTGGCTGAAACCGGTTAGTAGAACGATTGAGTTGCACTGAGCATGTTGTGCAGCAGGAAGATCATGCTCCGCTCCGGGCAGCTTCGCCCACGTGCAGTTTCAACATCAGTAAGCCCGTTACTGGGCGAGACTCTCACATGGACAGGGCAGCTGCCGAGAGCTGTATGGAGCTCACAACCGACGAAGTTGATGGGATTTGCACATTTCCGAGGTGGCTTCTGGGTAGAGCTTGAATATGCCGGAGCAGGGAATGCTTGACACGGGCTGTTGGCATGGCAGGGAAGATGCGTGAGGTAAGACCATGGCCAGGCATAGACGATGCTGTTGGCAAGCAAGAAGGGAGAGTATTTCCAGACGCACCTGGCCGTATCGTGCGATATGGTATGGCTTCTCGGTGGCGAAGAGGATCCTAACCAACTGTGACCATTGTTGATATTGATATTGACGACATCACCGCGCTTCAGCAAGGCTGATGGCCGCTCCCTGTTCAAGGCCCCGGCAAGGCCCCGGGGCATCCAATGTCTAGCAGTAATACGGTTGCACAGTGTAAGTCCGACGAGAAAAAAAGTGGCGAAAGGAGATTGAGGACAAAAGCGGTTTCTTTAGAATTGTCTGCGGTGACCATGAGTTACTTGAATCTTCGCTCCTTCCAAATCGACGTGTTCGGCCTCTCATTTTCTTCTCACTTACGACTGTACTCTCTCCCGTTTCCTTTCCTCTCCCACCACCATTCGGTTCGTTCCCTTTCAACACTCGTTATCGTCGCCTGGTAGTCATGATGATTCATGTCGCTATCGCTCTCTTCGGCGCCATGGCGGGCTTCGCTGCAGCTGGAGTTCTACCGGCGAGAGAGTAAGTGAAGTGAAAGAGCAACGAGGTTGGTCTTGCTAACGTCAACAGAGTGGCAGCATGCTCTACTGCAACCGTCTATGGCACCGTGTTCGCGACCGTCTACGTTCATGATGTTGTCACCATCACCCACACCATTACCAATCCGCCTCCGACCGTAACGATCGTTGAGCAAGATCCAGGGTCGAAGTTGAGCTTCATCGCCTCGTACGACACTGAAAGCGTCATCGAACAGAGCCAACTCTTGCCCGTTTCTGCTCACCCAGATCCCAAGCCCACCGTCGTCACTGAAATGGTCCAGGTTCCGGGATTCGAGGCCACTGAGATCTCGTACCGTGGAAAGACTGGCACTGTTTTCTACATACACGGGACTGGAGGCAGTGTCGAGCCCACAAGCCCCATTATAGTCGAAGTCACCACCTTCACTATCCTGCCGACCTTCGCGACTAGACCGCCGAGTGTAGCAAATCAGGCCAAGGCTGCAGCCACCTCGAATTCTACCTTGCACATGGCATTTACAAGCTCTTCAAATGGTTGGAATTACACAAACTCGAATTCATCAATGTGGCCGGCTGCTTCTGGCCATGGTGGAGCTGTCCCAACTGAAGAAGCTACTTCGACGGTCACTGTCACGAACACAGTAGCCACGGTCACACGAGTGGTGGCTAGCACCGCAGTCGCATCATACGGACACGGGCCAGAGCCATATGGCTACCCACCACCAGATACAGCCCACCCTGTCGAGAAAAGACAAACATGTTTGTGGGTAAGTGCAACCATTGGCGGTCAGGAGGTCGGTTGGTGCAACAATTGGGATGGTGCTGCAACTTTTTCCTACACGTCTTGGGAGACGACCAGTGAGTAGCATTTTCGAAGCATTGAATAAGAATACTGACTGGAATTGCAGTATTCCCAACCTATGTTCCAGGAGTTGGCCCGGTTGACACTTCAACATCATCCTCGCCGCCAACAACTTCGCTGCCGAGCAGCGTAAGACCATCTACTACGCATGGTAGCTCTTCATCAAAGCCAGCCTCAGTTACTGTTTCGCCAGTACCAACCACAGCAGTACCAGCTCCGGCTACCTGTGGACAGACTGGTCCATTCATCATTTCGGTAAGCCCTGTCTATACCTTGCTGTTGGTGGTGGCCGGAGGTTGATCATTTCCAGTTCGATGACCTTCCAGTCTTATCAGTGTTCAACAATAATACCGCTGGATTTCCAGAAATCTTCAATCCCTATGAGCATTTCTTCTGGGGCGATGGCTGGACTTATGTTCCTCCGCCAACAGAACCTTTCTCACCACATGATGGCACTCGACTAGCTCAATTCATTCCGTCATTGGCAAACAAGGATATAGGGTCTCCCAGTGCTGGCTTGATACCTCCTAGCTCCTTTGGTGCTGGTCCTCGAGCAGCTGACTCTGCGTACTGGTTCAGTGCGGCAACCGCTTGGGTGGCATGCGATACGGCCAATGTGACTTGTGATTTTGTTGCTACGGCGTATCAATGGGATATCGCGACACAGAGCGAGGTAGTCGTCGCAACTCAGCACTTTAACGTCCCACCTTGTCACGGGTTTGTCGATTGTCGCCTGACTGAGATTCGCTTCAACTATCTCTTCTATAAGATGACTACTCTGTCGTTTTATGCCAATGTTGAAGGCAAGATCAGTATCTTCTGGCTTGACAGCCTATCTCTCGACTGGTATGACAACTCTTGCGAGGCTGGACTCAAACGCATTTCATCTCGCAAGCGTTGAATTCCTGCTTGAAACTTGATACATGAGACGTGGGGTCTGGTCAAAGGAACATGATGGGAGTTTATTTGTCATAGGTGGCCCGATTGCAGGAGGCCCGGTCTCTAGAGAGGAAAATCTCCATACTAATGTGCCACTGACAAGGTACCACTTGTTAAGATGGCTCATGGGCGTCCGTTGTACGATTGATATCAACCATATTCTAGTACCAATGAGACTACCTGATTCCGAGCTGCGTATCCGTGGCCTTGCTAGAACAAGACATCTTTGTCGACAGGATGGTCTTACAAGTCATCGCTTCTAGACTTCAAGTCTCTTGAAATAGGTTTGGCCACTGTAGGACATGCAAAGTGTGGCCTTGGAGGATTCGAGTCGGGTGGGGGGAGAAGACGACGACGGAGGGGAACCATCCTGCGTCGAGGTCCATATCCGTCAACAAAACTAAAGTTTCACTAGGGACACAGTACGGGATACGGAGTACTTTTCGCACTGGGCATGTTCGACATCGAGTCCGTTCGGAGAATTATAGTTATGCATGCACGGTCGATCAGGCGCGCGGGATACGTGTTTCCAAGTATGCGTGTATACAACGTACGTACATACCTAGTTAGGGTGGGGTGTGTTGTACCTCTGTATTCACGGTTCCCTTTCTCCCTCCCAGGTATACAGTACGAAAAGTGTGTCACGGTATGCTTTTTTTTCCTTCTGGAGCGAGGTGCAGTAGCTTGAGACGGTAGCTCCAAGGTATGATCGTCGCGACTATGTATGTAGGTATTATACTCCGTACGAACAAATGTTCCTGTATAGCTGGGTGAGGTCAGTTACCGAGGATGACTGGTATGGTTGGGCCGCCCCGGGAGGGGGGGGGGGTTGCTAGCTAACTGACTAACCAGTTAGTCGGGTGTGATTTGACCGACCGTAGGTCTCTTTTGCCGTCCGATAACAATGCGCAGTTGTATGTGCGGAGTACGTGCTGCCCCCGCTCCCGACCCGTGGTTTTATCTGCAGGTGCACAGCAATAAGTACGGCCGGTGTCGGTGGCATGTTCACGAGGTACAACATACATACATGAGATAGGGTGGCCTGAAGTGCCTGAGGTACTGCCTCGTGTTGGGTACCTAAACTACCTACTGTACCTGCTCTGTACCCTCTAACCCTGTACTCTCTACTCCCTGCGCCCTGCTCCGGAGATACATGCAAAGATCGTGTACAGAGCATACAGAGTGTGTATAGAAAGGGTATCAAAATTTTCATTCATTTCGTTCTTTTCTCCCAAGAAAGGTAGTTCAAACTCCACCTTCGCCCGCCCTTTACTTACTCGTACACCGAACACTCAGGTCCCCTGCCCTTGCCTTTGCCCTCGATCCTGGTGATACAATATACACATCGAGTTAAACTAGCAAAAGAATGCCTGCCCTTGTCGCACCGTGAGACAGACATAGGAACCGAAAACACGCCAAAAATGCAACGCCAGGGTTCTTGACAGGCATCCTTTGGGACAAGGATACCCAAAAGAGTCAAGGCTAGTCTAGAAAGGATAAGTAAGGGTGGAGCCTCAAGGGCGGTCGGTATCGAAGAGTCGAAGGATGAGGGCGAAGCGTCGAGGTGCTCCGAACAGGTGGAGCCACGACCGTTAGACTAGGTGTATTTGACTCGAAACCATTCCCCCATCCCTGCGTATCCCGGATATCCGTACGGAGAACTCGCAAGTGTGATTGTGACTTCATAGTCCGTACTTGTCTAACCGAAGCCGGGGAAGGCTCCAAATGGGAAACCACCTCCTCCAGCACCACCGGGCCCCCCTCCTCCGGTAGAGAATTTGAATTGTCTCTGGCCACCACCGCCAGGGAATCCACCCTGTTGGAAGAAGAATTGTTGCTGTCCACCTGCACCGAAGGGACTCCCTTGGAACGGATTGCCACCCTGGTTGGAATGTGGATCGTTGGGGTCTTCACCTCTATCAAAACGGGCTTTCAGTTCAGGATCGCTGAGAACCTCGTAAGCTTCGTTGACAGCCGCCATTTTCTTCTCGGCTACTTCTTTGCTCAGGCCCTTGGCGGCTGCCTTGTCCGGGTGGAAGTTCTTCGTCGCGGTGCGGTATGCCTTCTTTATGGTACGCTCGTCAGCGTCGCGCGATACTCCGAGGACCTTATAGTAGTCTTTTGTCTTGCTCCGCTTCAGCGCGACCTGGGCATCGTTCAATTTCTGATTGATCGTGTTGCCAGCGTCAGGATAGTTATCACGCGCTGTGTTGAGGGTTGAGATGGCAGCTTCGTAGGCCTCAGACTCCATGTGTCGTGCCGCTTGAAACAACAGTCCATAGAGTGAATCAGGGACCTCCGTGCAATACTTCGTCGCCTTGGCCAGGTTGTTGATGGCCATGTAGGCTTCGCACGTCTGTTCAACATGTGTCATGTACAAGTCTGCAGGGGCTTTGGCATGAATGATGCCATCGGTGCGGTGTGTATGAATGTTTGACTGGATTTCGGACAGGAGGCCAGGTTCATCATCACCCTTGCCGACCAGGATTTTGGCGGCCGAATTGTACTGGCGTTTCTCCATTAGGCCTTTGACATTGTCAATGTCTTTCAGTAGACGTTTCTCTTCGCGGAAGAGTGCTTTGCAAGGCTTCGAGTCGGGGTCTGAGTGGAGACATTTTTTGATTTGCGAGAGGCCACGCTCCGTGTCACCTAGGCTGTAGAACATCATGGCTGAGATTTGGAGGTGAGGTTCGACCAAGCCTGGATGGATCTGGAGGACGTGTGCGAGGTCACTCAGCCCTTCTTGCACCTCACCTCTTTCAAAGCGACATCTTGCGCGAAGTTGTCGGAGAGAGAGTGCCGTTCCAGCAGTCATGATGGCTATGCCTGCTTGGTTAATACACGCCTCCCAGTCCTGCTTCTTCTCCGCCTCCACGGCGAGATATGCCGCCCCTTCTGCTTCTTCCAGTTGCGCGAGCTCTTCGGCTCCTTTACTACCAAGAGCGAGATAGTCTTCCCTCGCCGCCACCCAGTCTGCGTTTCTTGCCTTGATCTTGGCCCTTTGTAGCAACGCCCCCTCGAAACCCGGCCTCAGCTTCAACACGGCATCAAAATCGGCACTCGCTTGCGCATTCCGCCCCAAGGAAAGATATGTCGCTCCTCGTTGAAAGACCGTGATATAGTCTGAGGGATCTTTTGATACGGCAGCATCGAAATAGGCAAGGGCTTCGCTATTTGCCCCTCGTGCTCGTGCCGCCTTGCCTGACGCAACAAGAGATGCTGCGGTGGCATCGGAAGGTATGTCGACCGTCTCACCAGAACAAAGAGACGTAAAAGCGAGCCCTAGGAGGGCCGTGAGGAAGGCAAGGCGCTGCAATCGGAGGATCATCGTTGCATTCTGTGTGCTGTTGGTAGGCCACGGAGTGGATCTATTACAAAAGGTAAACGAATGTATAAGCACAGGGAGGTGAAGTCAGAAATAAAGAGAACGTGAAGTGTCAGAGGTCGTCGTCGCTGAATGAATCAATCTGGCCTTTTGGTTGGTGACGGGCGCATTCATTGGGACTTTCTCGGAACGCAGCCTCTTGCCGCCGCTTTACTAGAACCTTCTTCATCCTCGAATGGACCCAGAGCGGCGAGTCCGTGTACCCAACATCAACATTCAGAGACACCAGGACAGAGGATTGTGTCCGTGTCAAGCAAACATGATAGGAGGGCGTATCCATCAATCAGAATAATCTTTTGCTATGGTGTAGACGCCGTCGAGTCGGAATGATCGCGAAGGTCGGTTATCTAGCTGGTATCAACCATGCCTTCGGCAGTCCCCATTGAGAATGCAACTTCAGTCCTACAGGAAGGCTCACCGCACCGTTCGCGGCGCGTCTCTCTGCGCGTCTTGAATCGAAATATCGGCCGAGTTGTTCTGGGAAATCTTGCCTTTGATACATGGTACTACTCACCGTACCCTGACAATATAGTCCTTGGGCCCGACACATCAACTGCCAAATACACGCCAGGGTCTGCCGCGGACTTGCGCCAGGCTACCGCACATGCCGACGGTGCAGGACAGCCACAGTGCGAGCGTTTGTATGTATGTCCATGCTGCTTCCTCTACACTCCCAAGGAGCATGATTTTGCGCAGCACTTGGCAATTCATCGAACGCGACGCGAACAGGGCCTTGAGACCCAACCGCTGCCGGAGTCGGCGGTGAAAGTGTACGAATGGGAGGGCCACGCCGTCTGGGAAATTGATGGCGAACGAGAAAAATTATACTGTCAGAATCTCTCACTGTTTGGCAAATTGTTTCTGGAGCAGAAATCTGTGTTTTTCGACACAAGCGGCTTCAAGTATTATGTGTTGACCTACACGAAACCCGAGCCCAGTATACCGGTGACAAAGGGCAGAGGTCGGAAACGAAGTTCGTCAGTGCTCGAGGATGATGTCTTGTACCAGAGCCAAGTGCTGGGTTTCTTCTCCAAGGAGAATTTGTCGTGGGACGGTAACAATCTAGCATGTATCCTGGTCTTTCCACCTTTCCAGCACCGACAACTGGGACAGTTGCTGATGTCCGTCTCATACAAACTGAGTGGATGGGAATGGGAAGGAGGGGTGATTGGAGGGCCCGAAAAACCCCTGAGTGCGATGGGCCGCAAGAGCTATCTGAGGTTCTGGTCGGAGCGACTTGCACGGTTTTTCATGGGGCAAAGCGCCGATGCGGACGCCAAAAAGGTGTTTCACCAGAGAAAGAAGACCATCCATCCAAGGAGAGAAGAGATGACGGTCAAAGAAATCGGAGAGCGGACAGGGATGCTGGGCGAAGATGTCGTTGCTGCCTTGAACGAGATGGGCATTCTCAAAGTGGTCCCCTCCAAACGGAAAAACAGGACATCAAGCGAAATGAACGGAAACAACGCCCACGGCGAGGCGGAGGCGGAGCAAGAGATGGCCACCATGGTTATCAACAGGTCGAAAGTGGTCGAGTGGGCCGCAGAGCACAATGTCAACCTGACCAGCCCTGTCCGTGAGGAAGGATTTTTGGGCGAATGGGCGTTGAGTGATGTCGACGAGTCTGGCGTTAGTGACGCGGAAGACGCAAATGGCAATGGAACTCTGGCATAGCGATTGACCATCGATTCATCCGGCAACGATTGACCAGAACAATCTTGACCGTGCAGGCGACGGTGGCGATAAACGTACAGCACAATAGTACATACTCTTCCAGCTCCCCAGGGTTGACTGGTGTGAAACTTGGAAGTCTTGGTAGTCTTTGACGGGTAGTTTCACTGTACGATAGTGTATCCCAAGGCAGCTTAGTGGGTTGGAATTGGCTTATCTGCATGGTACGGAGTAGAGTGCAAGAACATGCAGAGGTACGAACCGAGGCCTCCCGGGGATATGGCAGCGATGCTTGTCCAGCCCTCCGTCGAGCTTGATCTGCGACCCTTTGATGGACAGACTAAGGTACTTTCGGTCTAAGAAAATCATTTTAGGCAAACACGGCGGAGCTTGAGGCCGCTGGTGAAGCTATTTGTACTGTAAATCCTCCGAATGTCCCACTCGGACCAAAAATCTTCAGAACACTATGTCAAGATCGGCGAGAACATAACCGTCCACAGCGGAATGATTAGCCCTGCCTCTCTGTGCCGAGTATAGTGTGACGGGAGGTGCGCGGCAGCGGTTCCTCCCCTGAGCACGCCAGCCAGGGTTTCTTTTGGGCATCGCCTCCATGGGTATAATCAATCCGCCAGCTTCGAAAAGCCTGGGACAAGCGAGGGAAGACCGTTTGCAGTCTGACATCCTAGCTGCAGACTGACCTGGCTTCAATGTCACATCACCAGTACTCCTAGATAGTCCTAGACATGAAGCAGGGTGGCGAATCCTTCGGCTCCATCACGAGGAGAGACTTGGTTGTCAGCATGTCCTGTTGAGAACTCCTCAGTTGATTGTGCAACCTTGGAGTTGGAACATGACACAGGATGAGTTCGAATCTCACCAATCAACAGCAATCCTGTCCTCCGTCAACTCAGTCGGAATGTCCTGGATGGCTAAGGAAAGATCCGCTATCTTTCCGGTGGCATCATTCCAACATACATACTGTATGTGAAATCATCTTGAACGTGATGAAGACCTTGGGGCTTTTCATGTGTTTCACAGTGGGGGCTGTAGCTTTGGCAGAAGGGCCTCTAGATTATCACTTATCAGAGACGAGACTGGTATCTCGGGGGGCGTAGTCCGCGTTTGCTGTGGTGACACAGTTCTTGAAGTTGTACGGAGTACATAGCTCGAATCGCTCTACGGTACACAATCGGCCTAGTCGTGCTTGTACGTCCTGTATAGGCCAGTCCAGCTCCCAGCCTCCAGAGAAGCAACAGTGATCGTCTCTGAAAGATCAACTCCTCTTGCTGTGTTAGTTCTTCGAGGTGCGACTCGCCTCGAGGGTTAAGTAAGGCTCCAACCCGGCTAGAGCAGACTTTTCAGACAGTCCATCAAGGTGACCAGTGATGGCACCGGTCTCAAAAACAACCGAATCCGCGGTAACTTTGGTCGGTTAGTGATGACAATAAAATGTTACGCGCGACTGTGCGATTTGCGGATTCCCCTGCGTCCGACTCCAGCTCTTCCGGAAGGGCTTAGGTCAAGTCAGGGGTCGAAGAAATAGATATTGTACCCATATCCCTGCTGACGGAAGCTTCTTTGGGTAAGGTCTTTGTTCTGCGTGCAGGAACACCGCATCCCCATCCCTGCAAGTGCTGCAGCGCTTTCCTGGAGAGAATTTTGCAGAGTTTTCCGGCGAAACGCGGCTGCCGTCGTCACTCCACATGCTTGGAGTTCTTTGATTTGGTGTCGTGTCAAAGTCCCAATAGACGGAGGGGAATGGAGTGTTGGTCAATAAACACAAGAACAACAAAAATACACAAACAACTCGGAGAAACACTCTGATCCCTGAGAAAGGAGAAGATCCGCCTCGAGTCACGACGACGCGTGCACTTCCGGCCCGAGTGCGCGGGACCAAAAATACCTTTGCAGAATAAATAAGCAACAAACAAAGGCAAAACAATTCAATCAGGCAGGCCCGCCTGGTGTTCACAACTCGGCGATGCCATCATCATGCAAGTCGTCTCAGACGAGGTTTAGCCTCGCTGCTGCGTCCAGCAGCAACTGTGACAGATGTGAGGGGTGTTGCTGAAGTGCTTCACATGTTGATCCGGCTGATTCACCCTGCCAGGACCAAGTGCGCCCGTTGAAATCGCTTGAGGGCTAAAGTGGAGCTAGACAGGGGTTGCTTTGATACAAGCCGAATGGACAACAAGTTGCGAGCTTGCGGGTAGCGCGACGAGCTACCGTCTTCCAGCCACGGGGGTCACCGGCCCCTACGCGTTAGGTTAGGGTTCAGGGTTTGCTGTGGCCAGGCGACGACTGACTAGGATATTTGTACCCCTAGTGCTGGGTTCCATACCGAGGGCCCTGTCGCTCGTAGTCTAGCAGGGCAAGCAATAGTCTGGTCACCGAGCCATGTTGACGGCTGAGCGTGATGATTTCGGAAGACAAGGTCGGATATTGATTGCTTCGCCTACCAAGTATCAAGGCCAACTGTGGTGTCAGCGGCATGTGGTCGAGTAACGCGAATCTGAGCAGATCAACAACCCAAACTCAAGACGCGCACGGGATGCTGGGGCTAAAGGCGGGAGGCTGAGTGATGTGGAAATATCGAGGCGTCGACGTGCCGTTGAGGCGGGCTGTGATATCGAGAGGGACGGAGAGTTCGCGTAGAGAAAGGGATGGATGTGGTATCCTTGTGGTAGTTCCTGGTGGTGGCAGGCCTCGTAATGCTAGCAACAGGCCTTCGAGACGCTGTAACAGCTAACAAGCATGCCAACTCTGAGACTCGGAAGCTGAATTTCCCTGGTGTTTTGACTAGTCGACTCGATAGAGGCGTTGACGGCAATGCTGGTAGCGCAGCCGTAGCTGGTGACGGAGAATTGTATCCTCGCTGACTCTGAGCTCTCGACCCTGGTCCGTTGTTGTTCGGGAACTAACAAGTAATAACCCAGTCAGTCACCCTTGCTGAGCATCCACACAGCCAATGTACAGTACACTATTCTCCAGGCACTTGTACTTTTACTCGACAAATTCCAGCTTCCACCTCCCGGACACCTACATCTACACCACCTCTACCCATAGGTACCCTGCTGTATTATTCACTCCCTCGCTCACTCTCGCATTGCTCGCCTTGTTTCTTGTCGTCGATTGCTTTGCGTCTCGACGCAGTCCATCCCTCCTTCACACCTCGCTCGCTTCCGAAAGCGCCCCATTGTCCTCGATTCAACCTCAGCTTGACAGCGGCCGTCAGTCCTTAGCTCACCTTCTTGCACAAGCCGCAGTACCACAGTCCAAATCTCCTGAAACTCAGTGAACGGCTTCTTTTCGGAGACTTCTCCAAGATCCCTCTCCAGACGCACGGCTCACTGTTTGTCCCTCCCTCTCACGAGTCACAAGGTCATACAGAGTCCGTGTGTTGTTGACAAATTGCCGAGTTGTTGATAAACAAGTGGACGTGTCTCAGGTGTTACTGCACACCAATGGTTCAAGAGTAGGACTGGACTGACCCGACTTGTCGGTCTTCTGGAATTGAACTCCTTGCAACCCCTTTCATAGGAAAGGTCACCGCGAAGGCCTCCTACAATTCCCCAACCCTACGTCCGCGCGAGGAAGAAATTTGCTACAGTCTCTACATGATGGCTTCGCCCGACATGGAAAAACATTCGCAGGGTGCGGCCTATCCCTGGGTCCTCGAGCATCTGCTGGCCTACCCTGGCACATATGAAATCCCCTTGAGAACGATGTACACCCTTAATGCCACAACTCAGAATCAGCCTCAATCACCCCCGCTACCGTCTAAAGCAGTACCTGGCAATGCCTTTCCACGGAAAGTTTCCGATGCCGCCGAAGAGCAACAGAACATGACGACCATGACTGCTGCGGCGCAGTTGCGGGCAAACCTGATGGCTCACATCTCCCAGCAACCTTCTCAGCCAACCTCTCTTCCCCCCAGCTTCATTACCAGTTTCGTTCGTCGATGCTTCCCGCCGGAACTCGATCAAGTCGACTTTCCGCAAGCTCTGACGGCCATGGACTACCTCAAGGACTTGGAGGTCCGACGGAGGCGAGAAGTGGTTGCGGCATTTGATAAGCTAGGAATTGACCAAGAAGACATCAGCCACCGGGACAAATTGGCGCGCAAGTATCCGGGCGTACTCAGGTGGGTCATGGATATCGAGGAGAAGGAGCGCAAGGTTGAAGCTCTTTACACCCAAGTATACATTGGTCTGAGACGATGGACCCTCATCAACGAGCTCTCCTTGACTCCCTTCAACAAAGCAAACTGCATTGCCATGCTCAACACTCTCTACCCTCCCGTGGGACTCCAGAACAAGCACTTCGTCCAACCAACAGCTCAGTTGACTTCTCAGGTCCTGGCATCGCAGAGCGCCATGTTCTTCAAATACATCACGGCCGTCGAACAGAAAGGCACAGCAGTCCTCGGCACGTTGATGGATCAGAACAAGCAACCTGGAGATGCCACCGGATGGACTCATCTCCGGACCACCGTGGACAACTACCTTCGCATGGCAAACAGTGTGATTGATGAGTGCTACGACATCACCGGACGTGGGTGCCAGTCTCCCACCGCTGCCTCCTTCTCCTCGATTGATCTGGAGGATGAAGGACGACGTAAGGTTGACTCTGGTATCTCATTTACTTCCACCAGCTCGTCGAACCGCAACTCAGGTCAGAGTCACGTCACCAGACCGAGCACGAGCAGCAGCTTCAGCACTGGAAGTCGCAACCATAGCCGTCAGGTATCCAAAGACAAGGAACTACCCGAGAAGCCCTTACCGCCGCCAAAGGATGACGACCCAACGGTGACTCAGAAGCCAGGAGGATCTACAATGGAACGCATCGCTCGCGAACTTCGAAAGATCAAAAGTCGCAAGGATATCAAAGACGACGCCCGACCCCGGACTGCTGCGGTACAGCCAGTTGGCGCGACATCGCCAACAACGGAGCAATACCCTGCGGCTCCCTCTAGGGATCGTGGGTTGAGCTTCAAACGCAGCTTGAGGCGAATGAGGTCGAATTCTGGTTTCACCGAGAACACCACCATTCGCCCCCTCAGCCGCAACAACGAACCTACTATTCAAGAAGTGCCCGCCTTCGATGCGGATGAAATGAAGAGAAGAAGACAAGACTGGGAGAGCCAGCAGACGGTGAGGAATCAGGCCTCACATGCGAACATGAATGTATGAACTCTCGGTGTCGGATCGGAGTCTACGTCTTGACCGTTAGACGGCACGGCGATGGCGGGCCTCCTCGATGCTGACAAGGAGCATGAACACGCAAGCATTGTAACAGTCAATGGGTGTGCACGTTGACACGAAACTTTTTTGAATTGGGAATAGGCGCAAACGGTTGCGGCTACTGCTACCGCACATATTGAAACCATTATTGGACCGGGAAACTGACGGGTTTCTGGAGTAAATGTTTAATGACACGGCATGAAGAATGACGACGGCAAAAGGCACATGCTTTTAGATGTGTTTTTGATTTTTGAGCCTCGCAGCAACCTGTTGGTATTGATTTGGTGCCCACAAAGGTAAATCATCGGGCTCCCACGAGCGAAAAGGAAGAGGGCTTTTGCTTTGCTCTATAGCAATTGGCGTTGGACTGAATCGACAGTTTCACGATCAGTTAGTACTCGGATTTTTCCTCCCCGGAGGAAACGCCCCAGGCAATTGGTACTGCTTTTGAATCTGAATGTAACCATTTCCTCTTTGACATGACTTCAGTACATATTATAATAGGCGTAATAGGCTTCGAACTCGGTCTCCTGGTATTGACCACACAGACCGTACGTAGAAGTACGAGGACGGTGTACCTGATCGTCACAGGCTGCGGGGTCGTGGGCCAAATTTTGTCGTTGGCGGGAAACTGAACACCAAGAGCTACGCATAGAATGAATCTGTTCGCTTTGTAAATTTACTGTTGGATACACCGACTCTTGACGTTGGAAGAATTCTGGGTGGCTCACAACATTTCGAAAGCCTCGTCCTAGCAACCGTTTTTTTAATTTTCCTCGCATCGATAAGGGTGTTCCCGAAAATCACTTTTCCGTCCTTTCTCACCCGCCTGTCCGCTTCCTCTATATCTGGCCCGTACCTAGGGAGAACCATTTATTGACCTTCCGCCTGCGTCCTCCACGAGTGCCCCCGAACGACCCAGTCCTTTTTATCACACAGAGCGCCGCTCCTTGGTCTCAAGACAAGGCCACCGATCCACAAATACAAGCAGGGATAAGTTGTCGAAAAAAGGTTTGAAGGTTGAACTTTCGCATAACGATCGACGGGCCATCTTTGGAATCGGATGTTTATTTGAGAGAGAACCCGGACGAGGTCCAGACACATAAACGCACAAGCAAAACAAAAGAAGGGGGGAAATCAAAAGCAAAAGCAAAAGAGAGAGAGAGAGATAGAAACCAAAATGGAAACGACAACGACTACGACGAACCCTCGAGGCATACCCTCGTTCCCCTTCATGAACAACGTCAACGACTACGTCAAGAGTCTATCGGACGTGGAATCCACGCTCACGCGGTTCCAGGAGATGGTGTCCAAGTACACGTTCATGCAGCAAAACGTCGACCGACGAGCGGCGGGTCTGAGGGAGAAACTGCCCGAGATGAAACGGACATTGGAAGTGGTTAGGTTTCTGAAGAAGAAGCGTGCGTCGGCAGCGGCCGCGACAGACGACGACGACGACGACGAATTGGACGACCGGGGTCTGGACGAGTTGGATCTGGACGGCGGAAAGAAGAAGGGCGGGGAGATCGAGACGACCTTCTCGCTGCAGGACACGCTGTACGCCAGAGCGACCATCAAGCCGGCCGAGATCGACGAGGTGTACCTCTGGCTCGGGGCCAACGTCATGGTGGCGTACCCGCTCGACGAGGCCGACGAGCTGCTGGCCGGCAAGCTCGACAAGGCCAAAGAGTCGCTCGCCGCCGCCGAGGAGGACCTCGAGTTCCTGCGCGTGCAGATCACGACCCTCGAGGTCGCCATCGCCAGAGTCCACAACTGGGACGTGGGCGAGAAGCGGAAGCTGCGCAGTCAGGGCGTCAAACTGGGCGACGACGAGGCCGACGATGACGGTGGAGCCACAGGGAAAGATTGATCTCTCTGATCTGAGATGGTCTGCTGGTTTCTCTTTCTCCTTCTCTTTCTCTCCAGAGACGACGTTTTTTTGAACATTCCTCAAAAAGTTTTCAAAAGTTCCTAACTTACCAGACATACGATGTGAGTCCGCGAATATGGGTATGAGAAGGGTTTTAAAAGAATACTCACTCGTGCGGAGCACCCTGATCAAATTGACCGCGTCGACGTGACATGCATCCAACCTCCGATGAATTGCCACCCTGTCGAAACCAACGTAAGCGCGACGACGACGGCGACGACGACGGACAAAGTTCCTTCGACACACACACACACACACACACACACACACACACACACACACACACACACACACACAGAGGGGAAAAAAAACAGCAGTCCTAGTCCTAGTGTGAAGCCGGAAGCGAGGACCGGCAGGCAGGAAACACCACCAAAGGACCTCACAAGTTATGGATCTGCTATACAGAGCACAGATTTGCCCCCGACGACTTCGCGAAATGGTCGTGACGTTGACGACAAAATGGAGAAGAGATGAAACACCCCGATTTGCCTCGATTGCTAAACCCATTGAGAAAACAATCGGGGGGGAACGAGTCAGGGTGAGAAACAGAACGCCGGGGCTGTCCGCTCGCTGTATGAATGAAATCACAAGTCGAGACCTGTGTCTCGCGAGCGTAGTTAGAGTTATTAAACTCCGTTGCTACCTAATGGACGCTCGTACGAGAATGATATCTGCGAGTACAAGTTCTGACTACCCATAAACCATGTCCATCTTGAAACCTTCATACGCGGAAATTGTACTTTTTAAGTGTCGAAACCCCTGATAGAAGTGGTTCTCTTCTTCATAGCAAATGCCGACTCACGGGTTCAGAAAGCACGTATTCTAGTCTACTACTAGAACCATGCAACACCATGAGTCAAGGAGGTGTGGTTGGGAATCACGAACTGCTCATCTTCGGCATGCTCCTTCATTAACACATATCATCATCCGCGCTACTTATTCGCCTCGTCGTAGTCATACAAAAATATACTCATGTGCAGTAAAATTATCCCATCCCGCCGGGTAATCACAATGCACAACTCATAAGGTCATTAATCATACAGATAGATCTCCTTCGTGGCCGTCAGACATTTCCATGCCGTCGTTAAGGGGGTTCAATATCGTCAAGTCACCATAGTCTCGTGTAAAAGGTCTCGCCAGCTCAACCTGGATCGGCCAGTTGTAGTATCTGCATATCATCACTGTTGTCCTGCTCCATCACGGCATCCAGAAACACCGTCAAACGATTGTTTCTTGATGGTTGTGGTGTTTCGTCGTGAAGGTATTGACAATGGTCCAGGGCCGAGGGCTGATCGACCGTATCTAGCTCAAGTGGCTGGGTGAGACCACTCACGCCACAGCTCTCGGTGCACGAAGGCTCATGGCGGAAGTCTCTTGCCGCAGGGGTAGGTGAGCTATGACTTCGACGTCGGCGAATGTTATGTTCGGGTGGTCGCGGTTCAAGTCCAGATGCAAACGCACGAGTTTGAGCCTGATCATCTTGCCCTGACGACTGACCGATTGTCTCCTCTTCCGACTGTTGCGTACCTGGTCGTTGTGATTGATCATCGTCTTCCGTACCACGTTGCCGCGATCGCTTTTGATCTTCCGTCTCGCGCAACATTTCTGCGGGCCCTTTGACGATGGCTCCACCAACAGCGAGCATGATGGCGACACTGAATTTGCCCCAAAGATACAATGATTGACCCCAACCAGAGCCTGTTGATTTGGCCAGAGACTCATTGGCTTCACAAGTCGGATCATTACCACAGGCAGTACCATTTGGCGTGTCGGAGGAGGCTACAAGTTCGTCTGGCTTTGCATCCGTGTCGACTGTCACAGCAGTATTCTCACAATGCTTTATGGCTATGCTCTCACCATCATATTGTTCCCAATCCCATTCGGACTCTTCATAGCCAATACTACGATGCCCAAGGAACAATCCAAGAACCCACCAACTGAGTTTTCCAAAAGTCCCCCAGTTGACTCGCCATGCATTTGCAATAACACGACGAGCAAGTGCAAGTGGATCTTTTCTGAAGCTCCGGATGTAAGAGGTGTACCTCGTCAATGTCGCATATACAGTGCGGATGGTCATGGCCGCCAACGTCCGCGAGCCTATATTTCGCTGCTTGAGAAGCTCGAGTGGGTGTCGTGGACGCGCGGTGTTGCGAACTCGCTTTGGCAAGTGCCGTTCCCGATCTGTGTTGTCAATGACTTCCCGCTCGATAATAATGGGGTCTGTGGTTAGAGACTGTTTCGTTCTCTCAGGCATGCTGGCTCTCTTCAAAGCCTTCTCACGAGCCTTGAAGCTCCCTGAGATCCTGTCCTTGTTGCCCAAGATGGATTTGTGACGTTGCCGAGGGTTTAATGGTGACTCGTCGTAGTATGATGGAGAGTGTGTTGGCCCAAGTGGCATGTCATACTGCGTCGAAAACAAGGGACGTGGAATGTCAACATCGTGTCCCAAATGTCTCCGTGCAGCAATGTTCGGACGATCTGAATCCCCTGCGAGGACACTTGTCATGGGGTTATCTCCGCCATCAACATCAGCCTCGTATGCAGAATCTTCACCTTCGGAGGTTGAGATAGAGGTTCGCAGCAGCCAAGAGTCAACCCGCGGACATGACTTGGAGGTGCCGGAGGCTGGGACCTTAACAGTCATCTCGATGTCGCTGGTCTTTACTGGCGTGTTGTATTCTGCCCCATCAGAGCCTTGAGTGAGTTTAGCAAGAGCCTCATTTATAGCCTCGGAGCGGGAACGCTCTTCATGCTCGTCAAAAACCTCGTCCAAACTCTGAAATGAAGGCCCCGGTTGACCAACAGTTTCACTAATGGGGCTGATTGGAGAGCTGGTTCCTATGAAGTCTCCAGTCGTGCTACGGGAGTCCGTGGCATGATGTTTCCGCGGTACATCGGACGGCCCGCACGGCAACGACGAGGGTAACATCCTCTTGGGAGAAGTCATTGGCGATGTCGAAGGCATATTCCCATTGTCAGCAGTGAAAGTGGATAAGAGCAGAGGCTTCAGTTGAGTAGAGCCGGGCATAAACCTCCTTGGTCTTCGTTTCGAAGGTTGGCGTACCGGTAGCGATGGTCTGACGTCCGAATGAGGTGTCGATTCTGAGCTGCTCGAGACTTGAGAGACGTTGGTCATGTGTCGAGAGTGCGAATTCGTGAGCCGGGGGCAGGAAGTGCTAGATTCGGATCGAACCGAGCCCGTATCATCGGGGACTTTGGGAGAGGCTCCAGTGGTGCCAAAAGCAGATGCAGCATCTGGTGAGGACCCAGCATTGAAAGGGAAGTAGTCGGCAATTGGAAGAGCGGGCGAGATGACAACTGATTGTGGCCTACTCATTGGTGTTCGTGCCGGAGGAGAGGATGGTGCCCGAGGGATGATCATCGACATGGGTCGTGCACTTCGTCTGCGAGGAGTGGGAAGTTCGAAGTGGTGCTGTGCCTTCGTAGGTGAGAGTGCCAGTAATTGAGTCAAGACTTCATTCCGCTTCATCATGTCAAGGTTGGTGGCTGCTAGACTTGCTTTCTCTTCTTCCACCCTGTCAAGTCTCGCTCTGAGAACTTCGAAAGTGGTCTGATCGGCCCTCTTCTCCTCCCTGTCAATTTCCAGGTCTTGAATGAGGGCTTGCTTAAGCGCCACCTCATCCTCGAGATCCTTAATCTTTCTCTTCAATTGCAGTTCAGTCGCTGCTGCCCTCTCCACGGTGTCTTGTAACTCAAGTTCAAATGATGTCCTCATGACGTCCATCTCCTTTTTGAGCCGCTCGTTCTCATCTTTGGCCTTTTTCAACTTTTCCTTCCACGAGGTATTGGTCGTGGGAGAATACATGGCGTCCTTGACCATCTGCAACTCGTTTTCAATGTGATCGATGTACTCCTCCGAGTTGAATCGAGGTTTGGCATGAGAGCTTCGGCGATGAGAGCCACTCCGAATGGAGCGAAAGGACGGGGAATCCTTACGAGGCGATGTCCTGTGGAGATTGACCGAGACCTCTCTAAGGCCCATGGCGGTAGACTCTGGGGTTGACCGAGATCCAGTCACTGAAGGTGTCTGAAATTCACTTGGTGGGTCCTGGTATATGGAAGGCGTATGCTGCTTTCCACTGTCGACGCTATTCGTACTCGGGTTATCTTGGAAGACGGGGATTGGGGCTCTTCTCTGGGCACTTCGTTCACGGTAACCGGACGAATTCGTGATCTCGTTTAGAATAGAGGATCTTGGTGACACGCTGCTCATATCCTGCGATCGCTCTGCGGCCTCTGCGGCATCCTGGCGCTTGGCCATTCGAGGCGTCGTGTAGTAGGGGTTTTCGATCTCGGTGGGCTTTCCAAGGCGAGGGAAGGGTATGGAGATACCGTTCATCGACAATGTCTGAGCGGAAAATCTTGCATGTCGAGTGTTCAACAGGCGTTGCTGGCGATTGTGAGGAACCGAAAGAGGGCTTGTATGATTTGTTTGTTGCTCATACAGGCCGAGAGCGGTGGTGGACCGAGGACGTACGAGGGTAGCGGCCGGTGAACGAGGATGAGCATGGGCTGCATCATCCATGGCTTAGTGATCCGGTCATGGGTCTCTCACAGACGAAGTGGTTCGGCAGCAGGAAGGCATACCACAGGCGGTGTTTGGGCACTGGTTGAGGATACAAGTAACAGACGGCGGTAGGACGTGAATGCTGGCATTCCACACTCGCGCTGCGAAAATAAAGCAAGCGAGGCAAGTTCTGAAAGCGAAAGAATGTTGGGAGAAGTAAACAAGGCAGTGAAGGAGAGACGACGAAGCCACGTGAAGTTGATGGAATCGAACAACGGCACGAGAGAAGTAGAAGCAAGAACGAAGCTGCACGGAGCAAAGCAAAGGAACGCAAAGCAGGAAGAAGAAGGACGGGCAGAAAGTCGAATCCGCGATGTTTACGTTTTGCTCAATGGGGCACGAACCTCCCGTCACCCGCAATTGCAGCTGTCAATTTTCGATTCTCCCCGAAGTCATCAACTTTAAAAACTTTGCAGCAGATGTGAATGGCCTGATGCAGGGATCAGCAGTTAGACCGAGGCAAGAATCAGTTCCCACTTGCAGTCCCTAGGCACCTACAGTAGGTAGTTATTATTACAGTATTGTATGTACGGAGGACCTTGGGTACCTCTGTAGTGCTAATTCTTTGTCCCTGGTACCCGGTCGACCCAGTACGCGGACCAGGCTGACCATGCTAAGTACCTACCTACAGCCTACAGGTACCTTAGGTACATAATGCTGCCTTACAGTAAAAGTACAGTACAGTACAGGTACATAGCCTTGTAAACCCTCTTGGCAGCCTCGTCGGCCATTATCACGTGTGGGCAGCTACTGACGGTACTAACTACAGGTAGTTGAGGTTAGAGCTCCTGTTAACTAGTACTACTACTGTACTAATACTAATTATGTACTCTGTACTACGATGTACAAACAACTCCCCCCGGCCCCGTCTTCTTCCTTCGTCAGCCGAGAGACACCGAACCACCTCACCTTGCACGCGATTGTTTATATCTGTCCGAGTATTCCGTACAATCACCGGCGTCCACCATAACATGTGCTCGCAGCAAGGCTCAGCTGACCGTCCAGTGCCATGTCAACAACAATCTCTGTCGTGTTGGGCCCACGGACCGTCACTTTCGGTCAATGCGTCTTTATGTCCACACACTGACCCCTTTACCCCATGAATATGCGGCTCTTTGTCACTCCTTGTCTGGTGTTACTATTCTCTACCTGCCCATGAATGGCTTGATACGACCTTCTTCACAATGATGTTGGCTTTACACAACGATTCCGTTGGGCAAACAATGGCTCTTACAATGTCCGTTTACCGGCAAGGCAAGTATATTGCAAGTTGGGAGCGAGAAGTCATACTCCCAATGTTCTTCCACAAACACGCCTGAACCTGAATCTACCCCCTGTTTTTGAGCCCAACAAAACCCCCTTCGATCTTTGCTATCGTTCCATGCCCGATTCAACATGTGCAAAGCCATCCGCTATCGCTTTCTCAAATGCCTCGAATTGCCTCTGCATGCCCGCGGTTGCTGGCAAGGCGACGGATCCATAGACAAAATAGTCTATGAGCTCTGTGACTATGCCAAGGGCAAGGTACCAGATAAACAGCCTTATGTTGTAGGCTATCCCCCCGACCAGAAAGCCTACAATTTTTTCAGAATCCCCCATTGCCCTGTCGTATGTGAAGAGCGTGAAGTTGATCTTCTCTGTGTCCAATGCCAGAAGAGGCTCTTCCAGGATGGTCGCTCTGAGAGACCTGACCCCTGGGCAGAAGCTTACGACTTACTTTCAGATCCACAACACGAATTCACCTGGCATGTCCCCTATATGCCATGGCAGAATCCCTTCTTTCGTGAGGTCAACTGGAATCCAGTGGAGAGACCCGCGCCTCTCGACGAGCCTCCTTTCAGCCCCAGAAACGGAGCAGACTATGTCCATCCAGAAGTCGGAGTGCTGAACCCAAACGATACTCCCACTAGATGGCAATCGGCCGACGGACGTGTGGTCGTCCTGCTGGACACGTCCGAAGATAAAGAGTATAGAATGACTGAATGGCCTGTGGAAATTAGCGGGAAAGCAGAGGAGCTTATCGCATGGGAGTGGAAGCAACAATGCCTACTGATGAAACAACAGCAGCAGCAGCAGCAGCAGCAACAGCAACAGCAACAACAACAACCACAACAGCCACAATGGCGCCCTAGAGACGCTTCCGAAACATCATCCAGTGATTCATCGTCGAGTCAACAATCAGGCCGAGGGGCCATCCGAGTTGGTTTCAATGCGTGCGAATCTGGTGCTGCGCCGGCTGACATCAATCAAAGTCGACAACACCTCCAGATCCATGCCCACCCACGTGCCGAGCTTGATCCAATCTTTGATTCGTTGTGTCAACTATTGCTGCAACCGGTTCCAGCCGTCACTTCTCAAATCCCATCACAGACGACAGGAGTCGTTGCACCGCCGGCCCCGACAACGGCAACTCAACCAAGTCCACCGAGACTCACGCGTGGTCGGTTGTTGTCTTCCACATGTACCCGGCTGCCCAGTATTCCAGGCTGGGAACCGGACTCGCCCAGCAAGAGAAGCCGCGAATCAAGCGTGGACACTGACACCGCTAGTAGATCGTCCAAGCGTCGGAGACTCGATACTGACAAGCCGCCAAACAGTTCCCACGATGCACCTCAAGATCCTCAGCCCCTGCCCTCGCAATCTTCCAGGAGTGCTGTCGATCGGCCCAAGATCATCTTAAGATTACGAAATCCCAATGCCGGGGCAAGAAAGCCGTCACAGCCCAGACCAGTTAAGATCAGACTGATTGTGACCAATCGGTCACGACCCCAGACCTCTGACGCCGCGCAAGGTAAGAACACGGGCATCTTCAGACCAGGCCTGCCACGCTTGAGGGTTTTCATCCCTCCCGCTCCGACCGGTACCATTGTTCAGCAGTTTCCTCCCCAGGGACTGCCAGCCAGCGGATACGTACCGGGCACCGACATTCGAGTGGGTCCTGTAGACAACAATGTCCGCACGCGGCCCTCCCCAGACATACCATCCATCTCGTCGATCTCCTCTGGAGAAAGCAGCAGCAGCAGCAGCAGCAGGACTGTGGGCGACGGGTCTACACCTTCCGGCAAACCATCAGTAGGAAGCGGCTCTGAAGCTGAAGACGAGGACGAATCGACAGCCTCTTCTTCACATGCTTCCGCTTCCAGGACCACTGGCACGAGTAGCACCGCGAGCCCGTCCCACGTGACCAGCGTCGAGACGCCATGTCCGAAGCCCAAACCTGTCAAAATCCTCCTCAAGCTCGTCTTGAAGCCCTTGGGGGTGACGAGGAACAGCACAGGCCAGCAGAGACGTTCTCATTCCTCGCGTCCCGCCGCGCCTCGAGCCCCAATGGGTAGTCCCTTGCACGTGTCCACTGGCCTAACAACGCGAGCCCGAGCTCGAGCACAGCGAGCCGCGCGAGGTCCGATGACGAGAGCCAGACTGCGAGCGTTGCAGGCAGCCGGGGTCTAGTACCAATTATCCTAGCTGGTACTCGTGCGAGCAACTGTGCTCGTGATGATAGAGTTGTCACGGATTGAGACTTTACGACGTGAAAGGAAATGACAGCGGCGATCAACTGGTCAACACTCGTTCACGTACGAAGGGTGTGTCTATGTGTGCAATTGTTTATAGTAGCACCCGTATTGGATCTGCAGTACCCACTCGTTTGGCTTCCCATGCCATTCTTAACTCGAGGCTGGCTCTCTCGATCTGCGGAGACGTCACCACGCACCGCAAGGGTTACGACTCCGAATGGGTTATGACTGCCCGTCACCGCCACGAATGAAGTCGATGTCGGGAAAGGGGTTTGGGGGGGGAGGAGTGAGAGAGAACGGGGGTCCGTCTCTGTCGACGTGAACGAAGCGTGAAAGCCATCGTCGGCCTCGACTTGTATTGTACAGACTTCTTTCTTGTCAATGAGTGGGTTGAGTGAGTCATGTGTGATCGACAGTGGACGGCCATACAGTCAGTCGGTCCGTCGGTCGGTCGGTATATTTTGAGGAACAAATCTAATCTCTCCATTGAAATTGTCCCTCGTATTTTGAAATGGCAACCAAAAAACATCTCCCAGATGATCACATTTCTTTTCTTTTTTTAAAAAAATTAGTTCTATACGAGTTCCAACTGAGAAAAGCAATTGCTGTGATAAATAATAACTGGCGCTCGTGGACATGGACCCCACTTAATGAGCGACTTCCCAATCTCATATTGTAACTGCACTGACCCCCCCCTGGATCACTGCGATGATAGATGTCACTTCCATCACCACCACCATACGAGATTTGTGCTCGTACTGGCATGTCACATCTACAATGTCCAGACCAGTAAGTAACTCAGAACATCAACCAGGCAACTAGTGTATCGGCTTGGACTGTCTCACGCCTCTGTTCTACTTCGTCACAATCTGGAGTGATGGTCTTTATGTTGAAAGAAAAGAAATTACGCTGCTCGTGATCAGAAGATGCAGAAGAGCGAAAACAGCTACTTCAAGAGCCCATACAACATGCAACTTCTAGTTGCATCAAGTAGCTATTCTCATGTGTCAGCGGAAAGTGTACCAAAACACCCATGTGCCAGGGATCCTGCTCCAAAAGCGCTGTTTCGTCTTTGCAGAGGAGTGTTGTCGTTGATCAGCGCGAAACAGTCCGTAGAACACCATAGTGGACTCCCTCGCAAAAAACTTCAGGCTCGTCTTCCAGATCCAAAACCCCACGAGCTCGAGTAAAACAAGAAACAAATCAACAGCCAGGTATCATCGAGCGTGCGCTCTCTCGCCTTCTCAACACCATTCCGAGAAGAAGAAGAGCAAGGTGACTAATGTAGCCTGGCTTTCTTGCCGGCGTAGGTATTGAACTCCGTTCAACGTCAGTCGTTAACTCACTGGCTCATTCGTTTGTTAATCATCATGGTCATCATCATCATCATCATCAAGAATAATAAACACCTCTGTTTGAGGCGTTGATGTCGGATCTGCTTCACCAGACACATTGGAGAGTAGGTCTGATGCTCCCGCTGCATGAGCATGGGAATTGGGTGCTTGCATGTCGTTTCTGGGTTTTACTTTGGCCTGTACTGATGGATCAACCTTGGTTTCCCAGCTACCATCCCGAGATACCACAATCGCCTTCACATCCAGGCTGTCGGTCGCATCCAAAGCCTTCCTGACATTGGTCAGAAAGCCATCAATGACCAGCATTTGAGGCCTGGCGTCTTTCTTGCAAATAGGACATTTCCATTGGTCTGGTTTCGTTACACCGCCGTGGTTTGTACGACTATCGAGATATGCGTCAAGATCGAAGCATTCACGATGCCGGCACGCTCTACTGCGAGTTGGGGTTGACCAAATACATGACATAAATGGGTCCACTAGATCAATGCTGATGTATGACTGTGCAACGACCAGGTCTGCGTCGTCGGTGCCATCCGGGTGGGATTGAAGTGTCGCGACGATTGACGCCATAACGTCTGCCGCATCAGCCTGTCCGACCATTGACCGAACTACCTCTCTGTCAGCCACTGTGATGACTTCAATTGCCATCAAATAGCTCATTGAACGCTCTCTTGGATCGAAATTGATGCAGATTACCACCTCGTTAACTCCTTCCTGGAAGTAGTCGGTCACGTCGGCCGGAATATCAGCACCATGGTGGGCTCTCCGTCGGAAATCAATGCCCATGTTGTCATTGACCGAGGCGGATAGGTGGCGTGGCCATTGAGTTGGTAGCGTGATATATTCCGATTCGGCAATATTCTGCAAATCTTGGTTGTTGTCTGATCCTATGCATTTCAACCTAAACTGAGTACTGCCATTGACAATCTTTCGATGAGCTGTGAAGGAGTCGCCGACCACTTCTTCGCTCTGCGCCTTTCTTGCCCAATACTGTTCTGGCACCTCAAAGGTCCATTCAGCCATAGGTGAATCGACGTTGAGAAGCTTTGATCGAGTGATGATAGTCTCCACGTATTGGTACCACTTACTCTGGGGGACGCCATCCAAAGAGTTGACTTTGTCCATAGGTGGGGTGTGCAGATCAGCTTGATGAAGCGCGTAACGATCTGGCTCCGGAGTAGCAAGGATAGGTAAAGTTACATTTCCGTCTCGGCCCATGAAGGCGTCACGAGGTCTCGCTTGTCGCACCGCCGTCACGGGAATCATTTGAGGCACATGTGCTCCACGTTGAGCCTGGACATGACCGTCGCCTCCCCCTTGAGGTACAATGCTAGTGCGGTTGCGAGGTTGATGACCGGTATTCTGATGGATAGTAAACGTCTGAGTTGGGAGAATACAGGAGTTCAGCATAGCTTGGGCTGGGGTCATCACAGCACCCATGGTTGGAGCCTGACCTTGAGGTACTGTAAAAGGAAGCTGTTCTGTGTGGCTAGCGCGGATGGGCCCAGCGACATCGGAGAGTAGTCCAGGTTGTAAAGAGCCGATAGAAGCTTGCTGATAGAACAAGGGGGCCGCTGGCTCTGGGACAGGGACTGGTGATAGCTGTACTGTCCTGGATGCCAAGGCAGAAACCTGATTACTCTCACCTTGACGCGGTAATGATTGACCTTGGAGCCCAGGTTGCCCGGCAAAATATCTTGCCATGGTGCTCATATACTGTCTCAAGAAATCGGCTGCTGGTTTTGTGACTTGACTTCCGTTTGCCGCCACAAGTTCTTCAACCGAAAGAGTGGTCTGCGCAGGATCTTTCAAAGCCTGCTCAAACAATTCCGAGGCGATGGTGCTCCAACGCGCGTCAGCAGTACGTAAGCGGACAAACATCTTGTAAATGGTCGCTTGGAGAACCACAGATGGGAGCTTCAGGAAATATTTGAGCTGAATTGGACAAGGAGGGCCCTCTGCTCTGGAAAACACATTCCAAGTTGTGGTCCAATCCTGCACCAGAGTAGACAGAAACCGCTTGACTGGGCTCACCTGACTAGCCAGAACCAAGGCTTGTGGAGTAGGAGTAGGAGTTAGGCAGTGATTTGCAGGCACTGGGAACCGGGAGAATAACTCAGCTACTGCCGGACTCAAGTAACGATTGCCAAATAGCAAGTGTTGCTGTAAGTTCATAAGACCCGATACATGGCTCTGGTCTAGACCGAGTTGTGAGACAACCTGAGGTTGTCCAGAAGACCAGGAACAAAAGAAAAGATGCATGACTATGAAGAAAACATCATTCACCCTGCAAGCCTCTCCCAACATAGAGATGCGCTGTCGGTCGACCGCGTTAACGGTTCCAATCCTGGCAAGTGCAGACTCGAACTGCATGGTCAGGATGTTGGTGCCGGGCGTAATAGGTGAATTGAGGGGCGTAGGTAGTTGTGAAGAGGCGGCTGATTTATCAGACGAGATCATTGTCCTGGAATCCCGTCGATTTGTGATCTCAGAAGCTTTTCGACGTCTTTTACCCAGTCTGTGAACAGAACTATGGCTCGGGGCACCATTGGCATGTTCGCCAGAAGTGGTCGACGGAGGGAGTGGAGATGGATCGCTTCTGCCAGCTGGGCTCGATGATGTCGGATTGTCTGTAGGCATAGTGGTTCTTCTCGTGTACAGTCGCCGTGCTTGAACTTTGGCTTGCGAGATGGACTGTTGAAGAGGTCCAGCCCGAAGAAATCTCAAGAGACTGGTTTCGACTTCGCTTCACTTGGGAACCGAATAATCGCTGTAAAGGAATTGGAGGAGTGTAGGTTGAGGAAAAGAGTGCTCTGCCGCAGTATTCCAACTCTGCTAGTGACGTGCTGCAACGAGGGCTTCGTGACAGAGAATTCCAAGCAAATTTAGGTAGTCACCATGGGCTTTCCAGATTTCTTAAAAGATATTTCCTGGCATTCTTCGGTGTATGGCAATGACAAGAATTACAGAGAAAGGCAGGATCGTGGAAGGAGGCGTGACCGGCATCTGGTATGCTTGTCCTCGAGGTCGCAGGAGCGAAAGCAAAAGAGCAAGGGGAGGGGAGGAGAGACGTAGGAGAAAGGCTTGGAAGTAGGAGGTTCTATGCGAGTAAAGCTGCCTGGCAATCGGTGAATCATGGACAAGGCTGTTTGCAAAAGAATAAAGACCTTACTGCTCATGCGGTGAAATGGCATTGTAGCATCAATTGACCAGGGTGTCGCGCTCAAGCGAAAGGCGGTTGTCGAGACGGGCGGTTAGCAAGCAAACATGCAAACTCCTCGCTCGGAAGTCACACCTACACAATGTGGCAGTGCTTTTTCGAGTGCTTGCGTGGATATGGTTGCTTGTGCGGTCGTGGAGGATTGGTGATGGTGAATGAAATGTCTGGTGAGCGCACCCTCTCTCGATAATGGTCACAGACACCAGGGTCAGAGTCAGAGTCCGAACTAGTCCGTACACGTACGAGTGTACCAGGTAGGCGAGCCTAGTCTCTGCGCGAGAGCGCTTTGGTGGAGCTGGACAGTCGTTACAAGTCGAAGGTGGTTTGAATAGTGCGGAGACAGTGAGGCTGGTGTTGTAGTTCTGGTACAGGGGTGATCACTGATCCGTAGTCCCCCCTGGGGCGCCGGCGGCCGAAAGGCTCTGAGAAAACGATTTGCACAGACTCTGACACCCAATAAATCATGCACTACTGCTAACTAGGCCCCGTAGATAAACTGCCAGGCCTTTTGCTGCTAGCACCCAACAGTCCTCGTGCCCAGGAACGTGCAAACTGGCCCTGTGGAAGTGAAGCACGCCAGGTGTAGATGTGACACCTGCAAGCTGCTGTATGTACATAGTGTTCGCTCGCGAATCTTCTATCTGTACTTGACTTCTTCCATGTTGCGGCTACGTTCTTTCTGATCCTTGTGTGGTCCCTGCTGCAAACTGGACGTGTGTCACCCTCAACCCAATCTGCAGTATCACCCAACACTGCGGCACCGGCAGCCACCAGATCCATTACGCGCAGCACAGCGAAACCATACCAGACCAACTCACTGTCCTCTACACACATCTCCCTGTACCACAGTGCTCGCATTACCTCTGTTCCTCCCTCGAGTTCCTATATCGACCCGACCGCCATCGAGAGCCATGCGAATGCCCACCCCTGCTCCCCTATCCCGTCGATCGAAGGCAAACACGGGCTAAAACTTCCATGAAATTCATCAAGAACAACGCTCGGGTTCTGTTGCGCTTGACCACTCAGCGAAACAACGTAACTGAGCCACAATGGCGCTTCCTGCTCAACAACGACACCAGGCCGCTTTGCAGCCGGGCGACTTCTTGGTGGTCATCCGTGCGTCTAAGATCTTCTCTAGTTGGAATCCTAGCTAACAGGGTAACTTGGTAATAGACGATTTCGATGCGCGAAGTCCTGATGAATTGACCCTTCGAAAATCAGATCATATCCAGCTTGTTGAGCTGGATGACGGCTTCGGGGATGGCTGGTTTCTGGGAAGACACCTTGGACGTGAGGCAACGGGCTTGTTTCCAGGTGGTAGGTTCAAATCACTCGTAACAGATGGCCAGGCAAATTAATATACGGGCAGTCTATACCGCCAAACTCCCTCGAAACTTCTCTCCTGTTGGCCTCCCACCGACGAGAAGCCCTCCCTTAGCCGCAGAACATTCTCCGTACAAATCAGTCGAGCTTGAGGGTAACTCGCAATTCATGGGCTCGGCTTCCCAAGCTTCTTCGTTTCTCTCGAGAACCTCGATGCCTCCCTCTCCCTCATACATCCAGCGTAGCATCGGTCAAACGCTCGCAGGGTCAAACGGTGGCGAAGAAAGCCCGGTTATGAACGAGACTCTTAGCGTTATAGAGGAACACATAACCGACCTGAGCACTCCTCGCCAAAGCCTAGCCCCTCCCCAACCTATTATGGAGGACTCTGAAAGCGATTATGGCAGCCACATTGATCGCGCGTCCTTCATCGCTGGGCCTGAGACAGACAGCGAAGATAACACACCCTTGCTCGAGGCAGAAGTCAAGCAGTGGGATGCCAAAGAGACGGCAGAATTTTTAAGAGGGATCGGGGTAGATCCCAAACACTGCGATATTTTCGAGGAACAGGAAATCACTGGTGACGTTCTACTGGAAATGGATCAGTCCTTCATCCACATGAAGGAATACGATTTTGGTGTCATGGGTCGCCGCCTGAAGACGTGGCACAAGATCAGGGATTTCCAGAATCGGATTCGAACCACAAACGTCTCGCAAAAGAGTGGGCTTCGACAGGCGAACTCGACGGAGGATGCCCCGAGGATGCCTACGCGTGTCATGTCGGGCAACACAATTCTGCCCAGGATTCCGAGTCTCATGGACGAACGAGGGCTTACACTCCGTCAGTCGCAGCAGCCTCAGGCGAGCAGTCACACTGCTGGCGCATCCCCAGAACCGCCCGTAACACCTTCATTCGCACGCCCACAGTTGGGATCCAGCACTCCGCCATCTCCATGGAGATCTTCCATGGCTACCGAAAGTCCGACGAGGCCTTCCGCAGCGTCAATCCGTGAAATGAACCACTCTCGTCGACATTCTTCCATAGACTTCGCCAAGAACAGTGTGTCTGATTATGCACCCTCGTCCTCTCGAAACACTCTGCCTCGTCCCCACGGGAAAAAGGCTTCTCTGGACAGGGACTGGTCCATGAGCAACGCAACGACCGCAGATGCTGGCGAAAGCACTCCATCGCTCAAAGTGAGCACGGCTGCAGATACTATGGATTTGAGCACGACACCGCCTTTCCTGGGTGATACTTCTACTGTCGATCTTGATCGAGGCTACTTCAGTGGCAACGAGGTCGATAACAGGAAAACCCGTAATACGTTGAGGAAAAGGGAAGGCGCAGACAGCGCCAGCCATTCTCGTCAGTCGAGCGCAATGGATGACTCGAAGCAATCAAATCGAACTTCGAAAAGGCATTCCCGGCTCAGTAGCCTCGACTCCAGTCGCAATCCAACTTTGGTCTCGTCGGCCGCTAAAGCATATCATAGCAGTTCATACAAGGGACGATTCCGATCAGCAAGTGCGCGTAATCTGATTCCGCAGCGGTCACCAGTGGTCACCACGTCACCAACGGTTACAAATCTCGAGGATGATAGTCTCTCAAATGTTTCATCTCCACGAGGGATAAGCGCGACCACGTCACCAGCTGTACCGGCTTCTGCCCCATTTACGACAAGCCAGAAAGCTCGGAGGTTATTGGGTCTGCGTGCTGCTTCGGAAGCGGTAACAGGAAGCGAGAAAGAAGCTGCTGACATGACAAACATTACTTCCGAGCCGCTGAAGGAGAGTCCTCTGGCTTCGCCATCGGGCTCTCAAACGCCCTCCGCCACATCACGTAGCTTTGACATGGACAATACGGATGCCTCGTCGAAAGGCACTACCGAACACCTGGGCCCGCTCCTACACACCAAAACAGTGGTACGAACGAATCCCAAAACGAAACGACAAACGAGTGCATACACCAGAGGTCTACTCCAAATCTCGCCGGCAGAAGCTCGCAAATTTTGTGACCACTCTGGCTGGATGAAGAAAAGATCAGCAGGTCTCATAGGACAGTGGAAGCCTCGACTGTTTGTTCTTCGTGGTCGAAGGCTTTCCTACTATTACTCTGAAGATGACACTGAGGAAAAGGGCATCATCGACATATCAGGGCACAAGGTACTGGTCGCTAACTCAGACCCCATAGCCACCCTTCAAGCCACTATCAGCGCTTCGACACCATCCATAGGATCTTCATCCTCTCTCGCCGAGAAGTCACCAGACGCGACTCGCGGATCTGGTGGCGGCACCCCGTTTTTCTTCAAGCTTGTTCCACCTAAAGTCGGCGTCTCAAGAGCCGTCCAATTCACTAAACCAGCGGTTCACGTTTTCCAGGTCGACAACATTAGTGAAGGCAGGAAGTGGATGGGTGAAATTCTGAAAGCCACCATCGAGCATGACCTTACGAGCTTTGAGACCACGAACCGACAGAAAACAATCAGTTTGTCAAAGGCGAGGGCCAGAAAAGAACGACCTCCTGCTCTCAAAGGAACAGAAGGGCTTGGAGAAACGACGGCCGAATTAGCCGAGAAACCAACACCTCTTCAGGAGAAAGACCCCAATGAGGCTGGCCTTAATATACAAGGGCTCAACTTCAGTGAATCCCAGATCAACCTGTCGCTGACACCTGGCCTATCAAGCGCCCCTAAATCTAGCCACGAGGATGATGAGAGTCAGAGGACATGACGAATTATGGATTGGATAGCGAGTTATAATAGTATATGTAAATACTCTCGGTAGAAGAACAAACTACCCTAATGTCGTACCTTGGCCGTGTTTCTCAGCCTTTTCAGACGTTGGTGTTCGATGTTGTAGTTCGAATCGTATTTCCCTGGAAACATGATGCGAGGAACGGAGTGCTCTGGACTTGGACTGATGTCTGTTAAATGGATGTTGGTGGGCACTAGTAAATTAGGCGCATTGTCTCCCCTGAAGGTTCTACGCGTCTCCTCACGACAACAGCGAGGGCGTGTGTATTTATTTATGCTTATTGTTTTTGGATGTGCAGGCGCATCTTCGTCCTCCATCGTTTTTTCGTGCTTCGATGTACATCCTTGGAGTCGCAGGGAGGTTGCTGCGCATCCTTCTACCTTTGGCCGTTTCTTTGACGCTTTATTTGTATTTATACCCTGCCTTCCACGGCTGCGTGTTCCCAGTCCAGGATGCTTCCACGACCACGGCCTTCGCCGAGACTCTCCAACAACATCGGCCGCTTAGACACGCCCTAGATGCGAGTGTTCTGCCTTCGGTTCCTTTCCGATTACTTGTACTCGCTGATCCTCAGTTAGAGGGAGACAGCTCGCTGCCGAAACCTGAAGATGCGTTCCTACGAAAGTTAGAACGCCGCTGGGCCACGATACGCGCAACCGAAAGCCACGACCTTAACTCTCAAATCCTTGAGCATGTACGAGGTATACTGCTCGAGGATTTTCCGACGACTTTGCAGGCTATTCGAAAACAACTGGATCTCCTCGGCAACGATTACTATCTGGGCCACATCTATCGAAGCCTACATTGGTGGACCAAGCCTAGTCACGTAACGGTGCTCGGAGACCTGATCGGGAGCCAATGGGTCACTGACGAGGAGTTTGAATGGAGAGGGTGGAGATATTGGAATCGAGTCTTTGCCTCTGGACGAAGAATAAGCGACAACATAACGAGCTCAAGTCACGAAAAGGAGGAACATGTTTTCGAGACAAGAGACGTTAGTTGGACGAGAAACATCATCAATATTGCGGGAAATCACGATGTTGGTTATGCCGGAGAGATATCTCAGGGCAGGATGGATCGCTTCGAACGGGTATTTGGAAAAGCCAACTGGGATGTCAGATTCCGCTATCCTGACGGTGATATCCCCAGAGACGTGACCACCACAACGCCTTCCTTACACCTGATCGTGCTGAACAGCTTGATCCTTGATTCGCCAGCGCTCTCAGACGAACTCCAAAGTGAAACATTCGGCTTTATCAACAGACTGATTTCGGATCGTTTGCGACCAGTCGAAGATAGTTCCTCGTTCACACTTCTTCTAACACATCTTCCTCTTCATAAAAAGGAGGGTGTATGTGTGGATGCTCCATACTTTGACTACTGGGGAAATGATGACGGTGGTGGTGTGTATAAACCACATGGACTCAGAGAGCAGAATCATCTTAGCACCGAAGCAAGCCAGCACGGCACTCTCGAAACCATTTTCGGAATGACTGGTAACATCGATGCGCCAGCACAGGGCAAGGGAAGGCATGGGATAATATTGACTGGGCATGACCATGAAGGATGTGATGTCTGGCACTATATCCCTTCCAACACGACTTGGTCTAGCTCGACAGAGAATGTTGAAGATAGGAAAGCGGCATGGGATGCAGTACGTTGGGATCAGGTCAACAAAAACAGTTCATACACTGGAGTGCGGGAGATCACGCTGCGAAGTATGATGGGGGATTACGGTGGCAACGCAGGTCTCCTCAGTGCCTGGTATGATTTCTCGACCGAAGAATGGAAGTACGATATCTCCAGGTGTGGCTTGAATGTCAAAGTCTGGTGGGCTGTGCATGTCGTTGATTTGCTTGCGATTGCTTTCTCTCTGCTGTGGATGGTCGACCTTATTACTCGCGCCTTGTTCCCTGCAGGTCGCAAACATGTCCAACATCCTTCACTTGTGCAGAAGACGCAGGCAGATCATGTGGCTTCGTCAATAGCAACGACCTCAACTCCAACGAGCAAGTTCAACAGGGAGACACTAAAGGCAGACATGAAGCCAAAATGAGAATGAACGCAGAACACAGATCGTACACAGCTCCCGGGTACCCTTGGTCACCTCGGGATGAAACGATTCCTCAATATTGTGGCTCGGGAGCAAAGCTACTCTGTCACTATCATATTCTGATGTCGATTTTGACAACTTCTACTCTGTTGAATTCTTGATTGCTCGAGAATACCCGATATTTTAGAAAGCGCCCGCCCAACTCTATCAATTCAAGAAGCCAGCTGTCTAGCTAAAGATCTCGCGATGGTCATCATTGTCGAAGAAGCCTCAGAATGTTGGAACTTTACCGTTCCTTTAAAGACCTGTTACCTATTCAACCGTTCCCCAGAATCGAATCAGCGAAAAATCTCTCTGCAGATGTTAGGGGCCCACGAGTCCATCTACAGCGATTCATTTCGCTGCTCACAAAAAAGCGATCAACGCGACCCTACCACCAGTGATTGTATCAACGCGAGTGTATGCAGAGCATGAATCACTTACGCAAGCACAGAAGTCGCGTCGCGTGTGACTGAGCCGATGATACCCTTTCGGCCCTTCACTATCAAGAGGTGGCAGTATCAGGTAGAGTTTTCAGGCAGTGATGGGTGCTTCCATTGAGTTCACTCAACAACATTTGATTGTTCACAACCGCCTCTTCCCTTTCATATTTCATTCGTCACATATTCTCTCACACTAGTCATATTCTTGCTCCGCGACAACTATCATCATCTTCTTGGAACCCTCACAGAGATTCTGCACTTGTCTGAACTTTACATCACCGTGCAGTGCAGTCGATCAGGATGGTTACCTTTATTCTATTCAACCCTGAACTTGAGAGTCCAATATCGTATCTATGGGGACAAGGCCAATACGAAGTCTGTGTTGAATGTGTTCGTGCTCACGAATGCCGTACTTGCAATGGCGAGACCAAGACGACTTTCAAGTTGTGTGAGATTCATCGCGATATGTGAGTTTGGTGATTTGCTTTGTTCGTTTTAGTATTGCTCTTCGATTCACTTGTCTGTTATCAATACTGTACTATCTGAGATGACCTTATCAAGGCTGCCTCAGAAAGTACGATGTTCGCTGTACTGCACGAAGTTTACTTTGTGCTACACTACATCCTCAAGGCTCATGTCGCTCCCGACCAAACTAAGCATGGACTGACAAACATATATCAAAGTGATGAAGAGGCGTACGATGCTGACACGCTGAATTACATTCGCGACACAATCTACCCGCTGTACTCTACCGTCCCCGAAGCGAAGGAAGAACGAAAGTCGATCTTGAAGCATGTCAAAGTCAGCACCGTGAGTCGACCCAAACCGCTTTGGCGCCGAAAAGACCCGACTCCCAGCAACATCACCTACACCAGGAACAACAAGACAGAGGTCGAGGATGATGACGACAACGACTCTCTCCCAATTCCAGTCGTCACCTACGTCCATGGAAAAGGCTGCGTCTTTTCAGATAGTCCTGACGTGGTCATCAAACCGGCCGACTTCGTCAAAGCAATCGATGACCTTGCAAAGACCAGACACGACGAATTGGCCAAGATGCTTGAGGCGAAAACCAGTCAATCTGAACAGGTCCCATACACAGAAGGTGGCAGAACCCGTGCTGTATCAACTTGGACTTCGTCTTCGGATACAGAGTCCTCGAGCAACTCCGCTTCTTCAACCCATGGCAGCACTGTTTCGGAAACAAGTACAACCTCACCCACCTGCACCTCTACGGCATCGTGGGAGGAGGGTAGCGAAAGCAAGAGCGTCTACTACGAGAGACGCAAGGCTGAAAAGGCAAAGGAAGATGCGGAGCTCGTTGACCTCATGGCTCGCCTGGTAGCCGAAGAAACCACGACTCGTGTCCGCAATGAAATGGGCCGGCTCCAAGCATGCATGGCAACCAGCAGCCTCACCAAGGGGTTGTACTTTAAACGCTGCAACGGCATGTTCAGGAACGCGCTGGATGATGAGCTGTTGTTGCTGGTGCCAGGTGCATCCTCAGCTTCGGCTTCGGCTTCGGCTTCACATGTCTCCAATACGTCTACAGTCCAGAAAGGAACCGAGGCCACCAAATTCAAGAGTGATAAGTCCGAGAGTTCCAAGATGTCAACTGTGGCTACTGCTACCACTAGTACTACGACCGTTGACCTCGCCGCTACGGTCGGCGGTGTCGCTGAGATTGCTCCTGGCGCCACCAAGGTCGAGACCTGCGTCGGTGCATGCACGCTCTCAGGAGCAGGCTACGCTCTCCTCGCACACGAAGAAAACGTCCCGACCTCCCCGACGTCGTCGACCTACGGAGATGGCGACACCGACAGTGATGACAACAACGGAGAAAAGGACATGGCCACCTTCTTCGCCGCCGTCGAACACGTGCGTGCCAACCCGCAGCTCTTCAAGTTCACCACGCCGATCCTGATGAGCCGCGAAGCACTCGTGCGTGACGGCAAGGTCGAAGCCACCAGTCTCGAAGAGACAAGCTGGTTCTTCAACAACCTCCAGCGACGCGTTCGACTTGCACCGTCGTCAGTCGAGGAGTAAGTTGCAGTGACCAGGAGTGGTGGACGGGAGGAAGAGAAAAGCGCCTGCTTCTACACGAATCTTGCACTACGCACGCAAAAACCTGCTTTTACTCGAAGTTGCTTCTACTCAAACGAAACGTGCAACCAGTCGATCAGACTGACCATTCTCAATCAAAAGAAATTGAAAACACCATTCATTCATCCATCCCTCCGGATTGTTATTTGTCGTCAACTATGAATCGGCACAAATCCACATCAACATCATAACATTCCTTGCTCACTCACGTCCTCACGATGCTATTGGGATCATGGAGACGACACCATGCTTCTTGCGAGACGAAAGGGGAATGAAAAGAGAATTGGGTATCCGCACGTACTGCAAATGCCGCCTCCGTCTTTTGTTTGCTCTGGCACCTGCATTGGATTCGCTACCTACTTACCTGATGGTGCCCGCCCATCCACCCGTACGTCCACCGCTTGGTCACCCACATACATACCTCCCTACGTACGTACCTACTACTTGCCTAGGTACTTCGTCGCGGTTGGTGCTTTTGGAAACGAAAAGGATCCGAGACGACTCGAGTGCCATAGACGGAACAGGACAAGGAAACAAAAAAAGGACAAAAGTAAAGAGAGAAAAGAAACACAGAAACTAAGAAGAAACACGCAAAATACAAGAGAAGTTCATCATCGATCGATTCATCCATACTCATACCCACACCGGTCACCAATTGAGTTCACTGAAGGTCAAACTCGGAAATCCTCAGTGCTCAACTCAGGAGCCAGGAGACGAGTAGTCGAGTGCCTTTATCCAACTCAAAAGTCGACTGGCTTGGTTTATCGGCTTAGAGAAAATGGGAATACCTTTAGAATACGTGATCCACGCAAAGGCGTACCTCGTACAGTATTACAGTACGTTGCAGTGCAGTGCGTATCAAACGAATGAAAAGTCTGTCTACATGAAATCGCGCGATATTAGGCGTCCGTCATTGCCCCAGGATCGCTCTTTTGCCTTTTTGTCTTTAATTGAAGACGTCGGTTGACCCTTAAGCTTCTACCGCTGTCCTTTAGACGATGTGTATACCTCGCGCGTCCGTCTCGTCTTATCCTCTTCAGTATCACGAAACAAAGTCAGGGAATTCAATCTTATGGTCCCATCGGGCGTCACGAACGTGGTAGGCAAACTCACTGCTCCATCGGAAAAGAACACACAAGGCTCAACAAACTTGCAGAACGATGAACCGATCTCTGATATTGCTATTTCTCCAGTCTTTTGTCTAAAAGTAGTAGCTGACATAATCGGGTTCGCACCAGACACAGATGTATGCTGTATCATCTGCTATTTGAACTATTCGTACGGGGGAAACATCAGTTGGGGGGTAGGTGGGAAGAAAAGATTGGTTTTTTGGAATGCTAGTGCATTTGAGCCATTGTTTCCCAATTGTCGCAAAGCCTGAGAGACCACATCGGTCCACTGTCCCGATTGCCAACATGGGAACATCACCGTGACACCATTTCCAGCTTAAGCATCAGTCTTCTCGGCTTCAGTGGGGGCGGCGGCACCCTCGGTCTCCTTTGGCGCTTCACTTGATTGACCAGCTGGCTCTTGTGGTTCAGCCTCAGAAGAAGTCCAGAGGGTCTGTATTCTGTCAGAAACATGAAGAACGCAACCGAATCACGTGGACTTACCAGGTTGTCCCGCAGCAATTGCATGATCAATGTGGAGTCCTTGTAGCTTTCCTCGCTCAAGGTGTCAAGCTCAGCAATGGCATCATCAAAAGCCTGCTTTGCAAGGTGGCATGCCTGGTCGGGAGAGTTGAGAATCTCATAGTAGAAGACGGAGAAGTTCAGGGCAAGACCAAGTCGGATCGGGTGGGTAGGAGCGAGATCGGTCTGAGCAACCTCAGTGGCTGCCTTGTAAGCTTCGAGAGACTTGTCGGCCGACTCCTTTCGCTTTTCGGCGGTGGCGAATTCAGCGAGGTAGCGGTGGTAATCTCCCTTCCTGGTCGAAGGGGTCAGATGGGTCTTGGTCAAAATAACAAGAAACTTACATCTTGTGGTAGAAGACCTTGGACTCGCCAGATTGGGCCGAGGGGATCAGATGCTGATCAAGGACCTCGAGGATATCTTCGCAGATCTTCCCGAGCTCCTTCTCGATCGTCTGACGGTATTCCTTGATGAGTTTGACCTGCTGCTCATTGCCTTTGGATTCCTCCTTTTGCTCGATAGATGTGACGATTCTCCAAGAGGCTCGGCGAGCGCCGATGACGTTCTTGTAGGCGACAGAAAGAAGATTCCGCTCTTCAACAGAGAGTTCTTGGTCTGCAGAAGCAACGACCTTCATGTTCTCGACCATTTCTGACTTCTGTTAGCTATGAATCGACACGACAAAGGCAGAAAAAGCTCACCTTCATAGCGCTCAGCTTGCTCTGCGAGCTTTGCCAAGTAGACTGATTCCTCGACACCCATGTTTGATGTTGGTTCCGTGGATTGATTTACACTAAGAAACACCTGTCAGACTAATGATTAGCGAATTCTGTCCACAACTGCAAGTAAGAGCACGTGTAACGGGTTGAAAAAGCACTGAACGAATGCTGCCGCGATAAACAAGGGCCAGAAAATGATGCACGATAGCTTCCTCAACATCCGCGATCAGGACGTCTGCACAAATCTCGAGATTGGGGCTGTGGGAGTCGACGGCCAGGATTGACGTCAACCAGGCGCTTGTGTTGAGATCTGAAGGAATCGCGCTCGATAACTAGAGACAGACACCTTGCAAAGACGACGAGGGATCTCGAGCGATAACATGCTTGCCTCGTCGGCCTGGGCTGATGTTCGCAGGTACCACAGCGCAAGTGAGGAACCTGTCGTCGCGGCTGAAGACGTGGGGTACACGGGTACGCAGGTGCTGCCCCTGGGGCACACGCGGCAGAGAGCAGGGAGAAGAGCTTACCGTCGACAAGGAATGGAAGAACGAGCGAGAGTCGGTGCGAGGGCGGACTCGAGAGATAGAAGATTTTGGAGGAAATGGATGTGTTGACGTTGGTGGGTGGTTCTCGGGTTGTGTTGTGGTAAGAAAGGGCAAGATCAATTCAAACGAGACTAGAGACTTGTGCGCAGGCAGTGACAACGCTTGTGGGAGGGTGAGAATGAGGGAAGGAGCAAAGGGGGGGCCAACACCTGCTAAAAGCCCGCCATTCCCCTTCCGGAATGGCGTCATCTGTCCACCTCCCAGTATCAAATTGCGCTGAGGCGTTTCGCTCAATCTCCAGCTTGTGGCTGGCCAATGTTTCACCTCGACGTGTCTGTTTCATGTCGTCGAGAGCCTGAACGATGTCATCCCATTGTATCGACGTATTCCATACTGCCTATACTCGTGTTGATGGATTTGCTCCCTTTAGCGACGGATAGTTGGATGACAGTGAAATGATATCAAACGGCTCATTTCGCCACCACATGATACTGAGTGTGCTCGAGCTTCATGCGCTTTTCAATTCTCTACATACATCTCTCTAGATATTTACAATGCCTCCTATCTTGCTACATCAAGTCGGCTTTAAACTCATACTCGCCCATGCTACGTAGAGGTAGCTACCGGATGTGCTCTGGTCACGTGAGATTCTCGGCAGGCTTCGACTCTCGTCATAGCGTCTGCACCAGCTTGCTGCAGCAACGCTAGGCGAGCTTCTTCCGCAGGCCGAACTTCAAACAACCACCCATCTGCACATCGTCGTTGTTTCCTTGCTACCCTACCGTCAACTCCCAGACCAGTCAATCATCATGTTGCGAACTCAAGTCGTCAAGCTCGCAAGAGCAAATCCTGCTACCCGCCGCTCCTTTTCGGTTGCCTCCATCCGTGCCAGTGAAGGCGATACCGGTGCTCCAAGATCGAGCATGACCCAAGGGTAATACATCCTCATTTGCTACGAACGGTCGAGTATCGAGGACCCTAGAACTGACCGTCGTTTCGCTTTCTATAGGGACTCATGGCAAAAGCGTGAGCAAGCCAACGAAGCCAAGTATATCCGGGACAAAGAGATTGAATCGTAAGCTCTTTCTTGCCTCTTCCTCCCCCCGGCACCCAGCCAAGTAAATCGCAAACCAAATCCTAATCCCGGTGCCTATTCTAGTTTGAGAAAACTCAAGGAGCGTCTTGCCGACCAAAGAGCCCACCTCGAAGAACTGGAAAAGCACATCAACACCTTGGAGAGCGAGCGTACGTGAAGATACCCCTCAACCATCCAGATTCCACGAAGATGGACTGACACCATGGCGGAAAGGCATTGATTTGGACGAGAGATCAAAGAAATAAGTGTCTGGATGGACATTGAATCACCCCTCAACCTGGGAATTGATTTTGGGATTGCTCTGCTTTGTACAGATATGAAAGCCCCCAGACTGTCTTCAAATACCAATCAATAAGTCGCGATGCGCCTGCCACTTCGCTTTTGTTTGCTCCGTCTGACCCAGACTCAACCCTCACACATGTTTGCAGAAGCCTCTTACCAATCGTTTATGACTCTGTACGAGCACAATCCAAGCTGACATGAAAAAACGTCTAAAAACTCGCTCGTACTTGACAAGCTGTTGGACCTTGCCTGTTCAGTAAGGCTTTTCCGTATCATCGAATACCGTCACCCATGGTCAGACAACCCGGACTCTACCTTCTGCCCATGTAGCTGCGATAAAAGTCTTGGACAGCCGTGCCGCTACCTTGACTCATAGATCCGTTCAGGTATCCAAGGTTACTGGCCGACTTCTGTGCTGCCGCCACCTTTTGCTGCAGAGCAGTCGTTCCCTGGTCAATAGTCTGCAGTTGCATGAGATGCGAGTTGAGGATTTTGACAATCTGGGTGATCTGCAAATAATCAGTCGTGCAACAGCGAAAGTGCTATAGAATGTGCTTACGGGCTCGTCTGCCTTGCCATTCTTACTCAGGCTTGCATTCGCAGCATTGACCTCTTCGATCATACTGCCCAAGTCGCGTTCCATTTCATCCAGTTTCTCTCCAAGCTTTTCGGCCAGCTTGTATGTCCGCTCTCTTTCCTGATCTGGCCCTCCTAGTTCGGTCGGAGTTGCACTATCTTTGGCAAGCATCTCATCGATGTCAGTTTCGTATTTGGTCAGCCAGCTCTCGAGCTCGCTCTGTTGATTCTCAACGGCTGCAAGTTGCATGTCGACGCTCATAGTCTGTCTCTCGCATGTTCGCGTCCGGACATAGAGCTTGTCAATCTTAGAAGAGTTATCCACAATGATCTGATCCCAGCGAGCAATAGTCTCGGCCTGATCCCTGAACTCTTTGGAATACCGAGACATGTCAGTCGCCCACCGTGTCAAAACTTCATCCATTGTTTTATTTCGTAGTCGAGATTGAGCTGGAGGGAGGGGGCCTGTGGTGGATGTCTGAGCTCCAATAGTGCTCTGTCCGGACGCTTGCGCTGTGCCAGTGGCGGCGGGCTGAGCAGCAGAGGTAGTGCTAGCTGGGCCAAAAGAGAAAGAGGAGGCAGCGGGAGCTGCTGTCGTTGTAGGTTGAGACGTAGCTGCGGTTGTGGCAGGTCCAAATGAAAACCCTTTTGCAGCCGATGCAGATGTTGCCGTAGCGCTAGTCGTAGTTGCAGCACCAGTCGTCGCAGCGGGTGTAGAATTACCTCCGCCGAGGTTGAGACCACCAAACAGCGGCTTGGATGTGGCAGCAGAGGTCGTTTGTGCCGGTGCAGAAGAAGCTTGTGTTGAAGATGGACCGAAAGAGAATGCTGGCTTAGTCGCAGGCGCTGCATCGGTTGCCGCTGCTGGGATTGCTGGCTTCGAGAATAGGTTTGTGCTGCTATCTTTCGCAGGGGCTGCACCGAACAATGAGGGTGTAGTCCCCGGGGCAGGAGGCTGCGAAGTCGCAGGTGGCTGGACCGTTGATGCTGTTGCTGAGGGTCCGAAAGAGAACGCCGGCTTCGGCGCATCAGAGGTGGTGGCCGAGGCGGGTGTAGAAGATGGAGTTGTTTCTGCTGGCTTTGGAGCACCAAAACTGAAGCCACCAGTGGCCGGCTTGGACCCAAATAAACCGCCTGATGGTGCTGCTGACTCTGGCGCTGGAGCTGATGGAGCGCTGGCAGGAGCGTCGGGTTTTGTGAAACTGAATGGTGTTTTGGCTGCGCCATCAGCGGGTTTCGCTCCGAAAAGACCGACACCGCCAGTGCTTGCTCCAAATGTTGAGCCAGAAGGAGGGGGTCCAGCAGGAGTCGTTGAAGGATTGCCAAAACTGAAAGTAGTGTTTGTGCCGCCGGTCGCAGGCGTTGTCGACCCAAACAATGAAGGCGCGCTTGTCGAGGGTGTGGAAGTCTTGTCTGGGGTGCTGAACGAAAAGGTAGGCTTTGCACTGTCACCACCTTGTGTCTCTTCAGGCTTTTTGGCACCGAAGAGACCTCCAGATGACGGCGCACTTCCAGCACCTGCACCAAAGAGACCAGATGCTGCGGGCTTGTTGTCTGTTGATCCAGCAGCTCCAAACAGACTTGGGGCAGCGGTGCCAGATGAAGGTTGCTGTCCACCAAAATTGAAGCCCGTTGTATTGGTGCCTGAGGTGCCGCTGGCAAAGATTCCACCACCACTGGCAGGTTTATTTGCTGTGCCGAACAATGATTGCCCGCTTCCTCCCCCAGATGAAGCGGGAGGGTTAAAGTTGAAAGCCATTTCGGAAAGTTGCTAATGCAAGAGGTATTTCACGGACGAGGAGAGGGTTCGCAGGCTATCATAGCCGGAATGACAGTGTTCTGGAGAGAAGCCTCTGCTGGTCTGAGTATCGGAAGTGGCTCGGTGACTGCTACCTTCTACTGGAGAAAAGAGGATTGTTCAGTGTGGAAGTCGTAGTGTCAATGACAATGCGTTGGACGCGTTTAGGCGCGGAGACAAAAAGTTGAATGGTCGCGGAGTAGCGCAGTCTGCAGTGCTCCAAACGTGGAATGCGAAAGCGACGCACGACAACTGCACCTCGCCTCCGACCTCCGCTCACTCATCCTCTCCTTCTTGTCGGCCTCTTCACGCCCTCCACCTCAAAAGCGATCCAAGCATTGCACAAAGTGCATCTACGATGTCTGGATCGCATTCGAGATCTCTGTCACGAACAAGTTTGGAGGTTCCCAGGAAGAGTATTGAATTGGTTGATCCCGGTGCACATGAACGTAAGACGGGGCCGCCTCTACCTCCCCTACGTATGGGCTAACTAGCAATCGCAGTATCCTCAGAAGGGGAAGAAGATCACTTTTCCGACGCCTCGGAAGGCCAAAAACGATCGAGACCAGTGACTCCTGTCTCTCCCATTCCAAGGACTCGCATAGAGAAAGTCGATGACGAGCCAAGTTACGGCGAGGTCCCTGGGACTCCTGCATATGACAAGCGAGCCCTAGATGCGGTGCCTGATGAGGTAGAGATACTCTCCCCGAACAGGAGTCGGGGAGTTTCCATTGAACGCCCAACCACACCTGGGGGCACTCTCATACCGCGAACTGTTGTCGAGAAGCTCGACCCCGAATCGCCCAGTTATGGCGAGGTCCCGGGCACTCCAGCATATCAACAAAGACAAATGGATGCCGCTCCCGACGTTATCCTGAAGACGCCCGATCCGACAAAGAGACGGCCGATCGAAGATGACACACAGCGAGAACGTCCCCCTTCTAATGTTGCAGTACCTGAAACAATCGTCTTCAGAGTAGATTCCGAGCCTGCGCACGGCGAGGTACCTGGGACAGAGGCATACAAGAAGCGGGCTCTTGATGCGGCACCCGACATTGTGGAAAAGAAGAGTGATGAATCAGGTAATTCTAGTGTCTAAAGATAGCTTAGCAGGGCCATTGACCTGATTCAGGGTCACCATCAAAGGATAGCCCGTTGAAGCAGTCCAGACGAAGATCCACACTTCAAAATAACAGTAACGAAAGTAATGATTTCGGAGACGATTTTGACGATTTCGAGGAAGGTGGACAGGCAGGAGCAGATGACGACTTTGGGGACTTCGATGATGAGTTTCAGGAACCTGAAGTTGAAGCTGAAGATGCTACGGCATCGCCTGTATCTACCTCTCAATCCAATCAAATACCTCCCCAACCCTTTGTGAGTTTGATTCTCTCTACACGATTCTCACAACCTAGCTGATGACATGCCTCGATGCTACAGCCTTTGATCGACTTCAGCAAGCTCTCGTCTGTTCCAGAGCTATTCGCTGTTACGCAGGCTCACCTGGATGCCATGTTTCCCTCTTCTACAACCGAAAAGCTCTCATTTATAACACAACAAGAACCCGTTCCAGACGACTCACCGATTTTTCCCTCCGACAGATCACGCTCCCTCTGGAAACAACTGATAACTCCTCCACCACTTCAGTCGCCCAATTGGACACAGTCAAGGATACGACGGCTCTTCTTGATCAGCCTTGGTGTTCCCGTCGACCTGGACGAAATCCTTCCACCTTCAAAGCAGAAGAAACTCATCCTCCCCGATATTAACCTGGAACCTTCTTCACGACAGTCAGAATCTGACAGAACACTAGGATCCGTGGCTCGGCTGAAAGCCCGAGCAGCCAATGACTCTACAGGCTCAGTGGACAGTACACAATCTGGATCTGCTAAAGAACGACGGTCTAGGAGACCGAAAGGCCCGCCACCACCTCCCGAATTAGACTTGATGGCCGTGAAGCGTCTGTGTGCGACAACGGACGAGAAATTGGACGGCTTAACGGACGAGGAAATGAAGGATCACGTGAAAGAGCTACAGGACGTCACTGAAAGGACTTTGGAACTTTTAGAGTATTGGCTCAAGCGGCGGGATGGCTTGCGGAAGGAGAAAGAAGCCTTCGAAGAAGTCATTGAGAATCTCGTCAGACATGCGAGGAGAGTGAGGAAGTAGCCAGAAAAATCAAAGCAGTTGTCCTGGCGTCTTTTCCACTGACAAACCCTCTTGCAACTATCGCTGTGACCTTGCATTTTGCAGCAGTCTAGAGCCCAAAATGCTTCAATCCGAGTCAGCAACTTTTTTACAGAACGACGGAAGTGAACTTCCCAGTAAATCATCTTGGTGTTCTCCCGATGAACTTAGTCGACTGGTCACATGGAATTTGGACCTAGGTTTGTTCGTCTTGGTGCTCCGGAAGTCCATTTCCTAACAGGTGCTGGTCAAGCTGCTTTTGGTCCCTTGCACATGGGTCAAGTCAAAGAGAATGTCCCTCTCGAATTGCAATGTGTCAGAGTGTGGCCTCTCACTGCATGTAATTCCATTGCTCATTTAAGTTACACCATCCAGCATACTGGAGGATGTCTCGACCTCCACTCTGAGCATCCACCCTGGTTCCTCGTTTGGTGGTTTGCTGTCACTGACGGAAGTATACCTCCCAGAATTCGATGTTGAGTGACTAAAATTGAGTCTCGATTCCACTTTAGGTAGGAGATGGGTACGAATATGGGAGGTTTAGTTTATTGTGAGGTTAATTTATCCCATGGGAGCGCGGCATACATTGGTCATCATCGCTGTCGGATGCTCCGAAGTCTTAGGCACCTTTCGCACGAGTCAAGAGTAACGAACCATCTGCTTTTCGTAGGTTGTTGCTCACTGAACATGAATGCAGAGCGCTGCGGACTTGACAATGCTGAACTCTACCTGGCTGTCTGAGCATCGATGCAATCCCTCTCAGACTGCCTAATTCCGAGTTCAAATGACGATATCATCCGAGCGATGGGCCACCAAACATACTACCAGAAGACAGTGAAATGACACAGAGATAATGCCACAGCCTAGTGAGATATTATCTTTCGAAGGTTATCCCTGACAATTATTAGTCAAATGAATCTACGCGCAATTCTCGGGTTTCAGTGCACTCATGCTCTTCTACGATCAACTGTATATGACCCCTTGAAGTTGGGATCAGGAGACCTTCATCCTCAGCGTTTGATTCTACCTTTGTCTCCTTCGTGGCCGGATGAGGACGTGCCGGATGATTCAAATCGTAGGCCCGGAGTCGTCGGATTCAGAAGAAAGAATCAAGACCACCACTCTTGAACAATGCCACCAGAAGTGTCGACACCTTCGGCAAATCCATTGAAAAGACCTCGACAAGATCCTGTGTCCTGCCAGTTTTGCAGGTCCAAAAAGCTAAAATGCGATCGCCAGCAGCCATGTTCCAACTGCACCACCAGAGGGCTGCCTTGTAATGGCCAGGCTCAACCCCGTCGTGAGAATGGGTCGCCCTCGGCTGAAATCGATAACTTGTCCATTCTGGCGAGATTAAAAAGGCTCGAAGACATTGTTATGGGTTCCCCCAAACAGGATCCTGCTATTCCGACAGACCCGCTCAGCGGGCTACCTTCAAGGCCAAGTTCAACTTTTGCCTGTCTATCTCCGCCTTCTGAGTATGAAGAAGCAGTCCACAATTTGGAAGAGGCTGGAACCCGAGAGACGCACTGGCCCACGTTGGGAGCTAGTGATATCGAATTCCAGATCTTGGGAACCAAAGAAATGGCCAGCACTCCTGGTGTTACTCAAGGGGTTACTTCAAAGCGACCCAACTATCAAATGCCGGTGAAGTGCGTGATGCTCCCACCCAAAGAAGAGGCTGACATGCTCCTTGAGTACTACGTTAAGCATGTTGACGACCTTCAGCATGTTGTCTTCGTGTCACATTTACGCACCCTCATGGAGAAATTCTATGCAAACTTGCACCAGCGGCTATCCATCGCTTATGGCCAACTTGCACTTCTCCTAACTGTTTTCGCGAGTTCGGCAGCTATGTTTTCTCATGTCTCTTGTAACAAAGTTGCTCAATTTCCACCGTCGAGCGCTGCCCATGCCTCATTGGTCTGGGCAAACTCGGCTTTGCAGGTCATGGGATGCCCTCGGCGTACGGCGGCTGGTGGATTGGAAGAAGTTCAAGCGGCTATTCTCATGGCATTTCTACTTTACCATGTTGAGGGCTTTTCTGCGAGGTCGCGACGCTTGTTGGCAGGTGCTCTCTCAACGGCGCGCGACATGGGCCTACATAAACTCGACGCTACATCTGGCCCCTCGTCAAATTCACTCAGAGCGGCTGACCCCGTTGACCTCGAGATCCAACGACGTGTCTGGTGGCATGTGGTTTCGACTGACTGGTAAGCGCGCATATCTACTGTTTCCCAACCATTGAGTTGTTGTAACATTGCGATAGGCTTCTAGGTCTCTGTGGAGGGCCCCAAGAAGGCACATATTTTATCCATCCTAGGCAGTTTCGCGTCAATTTGCCTCTCAATATCAACGACAGTGATCTTGTGTACGGCCGCCCACTTGTCGGTCGACCGTCATCGGAGCCAACAACCATGTCGTACTACATACAACGGATAAAACTTGCGGACATCTGTCGCAGCGTTATCGATGTTATGCCCCTGTTCAGCGTGTCGGTCACCAGCATAGATTACCAACAGATCATTGAATTAGATGGCAAGTTTGAAGCATTCTTGAACGATCTGCCCACTTTCTTTAAAGTCGACGAGAAAAGTCGACGTGAAAGTGAAGCCATCACACGCAAGAATTCATACATCAAAGTTCAGCGCTACTCTTTGGGCATGGTAGCACGGACTCGACGTTGCAAGTTACACCAACCGTTTCTCATACGACGTTCAGTTGAGAGTCACTACACATACTCGCGAGAGATATCACTGACTTCGGCGAGGTGTGTCATCCAGCTCAGGAGAATGGCTGAAGAGGAGTTCGACTCTACAGCTCTTGCTCACGCCAAGATGACTGGAGTGGTCTACCATGTCTTCATGGCGACTATTGTACTGGTGATGGACCTGTGTTTCAATAGAAGCGAAGGTGACGATGACAAACGAAAGGCCGAAGTCACCGAAGCCTGTACAATCCTGGAGGAGGCTGCAGGCCAGTCGAGTTTGGCTAGGGAATTTCTTGATTCCCTCATGGACATACTACGCAAGCACAAGGTTCATCTGCACCCCATACACCCAGAAGCTGCCTCGAAAACTAAGATCAAACAAACCCCTTCGCAGAACGCACCCAGCTTCGCAGTTCCCCAAGCTGAAGTTTTGCACAATTTCTTTCCAGCACAGGACACAGGACGAAACTACATGTCTGATTTTGATTCCATTTGGGAGGACTATATCCAACTCGGGCCAAACATGGATATGCCAGAATGGGATAATCTGTTCGCTGACCTCGATTCGAGGTTCACGGACTCGGAAACAGTGAGGCGGGCTCCGGACCTCTCGCATAATGTGCCCGGGAATGGTTTCTAGCATATCGGCCCGTGACGATAACGATGTCATTTTTTGGGACTTGACGGAAGGACCTATGGGTAAAGAACATAACACAATCTCAGCACATTGAATCTGGTGTAAGAGTCTGTTTCCCCAACTGCGAGTAGATGGGTAGAGGGGGACCTGTGTGTGTCTGGTAGGCTCAAGGGCTCTCAGCCTTGCGAGCCTTGCAGGGTCTGATCTTTAGAGCGGCGGGATATTGCTTGGCGTGCCAGGCTGGCTTCTGATTCGCAATCACCTTGATGAGGCTCTGGCGAATGCGTAGGTCGACTGTGTAAACTGTTGACAAAGAACGCTTCAATTCGCCTTTCAACCAGGAAACAAACCTTTCAATCCAGGACTGCTTTTGCGTTGGACAATATTGAATCCAGTCCACGGTTAAACCCGCCACATCTCCCCTCAAGGTCTCTTCTCTCGCCCTTGTCATCGACCAAAATTCAAGCCATCCACGTCCAGTTTCCTCACAATGCCTGCAGCTACGGGCCATAACACAAGTCTCGACCTCATCTTGCACTCTCTCCAGCAGTCGCTAAGCCATGGCGACCCTTCACAAGCTCAGTCACAACTCCAGAAAGCGAAGTTAGCCCTTCTACAACAGAATGCACTCATCCCCTCTCAGCAGACGCCCGTTCCGACCCTAGCGACAGCCCGCTCCATACTCGAGGCCGGTGCTCTTCTGTCAATACGCTCGCGAGATCCAGACTCATTCATCCGATACTACTCACAACTTCAGCCCTTCTACGACTTCCCCGGCCTCCAATCCAATCCTTCTCAAAATCGGTCCAAGATCACCGGACTTTACCTGCTCCTGCTATTGAGTCAGGGTGACTATGCAGGGTTCCATACCCTCCTTGAATCTCTGATTGTGGCGGAAGGCTCCAACGGTGCCTCAAGAGTGGAAGAAGACCAATACATCAAATACCCCATCGACCTTGAGCGAAGTCTCATGGAGGGTAGCTACGATCAGGTATGGAGGAAAACCAATGGCCGGGACGTGCCTGGCGAGGAGTTTGCCCTCTTCTCTGATGTGAGTAAAACCTCTGACGCATACTCTGCGATCTCTGACACCTGAACTAGATCTTGATCAACACTATCCGGCTCGAAATCGCCTCATGCGCTGCTCGGTCCTATCCATCGCTCCCCATTGCTTCGGCCAAGAATCTCCTCTTCCTCGATTCCGAAGGTGCGGTCATGGATTTCGCGAGCGAACAGGGGTGGAGCCTAGAGGAAGGCCGGATATACTTCCCTGGTTTGGAGGAGGCGAAGAAGGAGGATGATGGGGACCAGAAAGAAGTGATCAATCACATGGTCGAATATGCTCGTGAATTGGAGATGATTGTCTAGACATGGAATTGTGTTTTTGCCATTGGTCTCGATCAACACATGCACCCTTTTGTGTTCATGGTGCGGAAAGCAAACCTTGAAGGCGACACAGCAGGTGCATAGTTATCAGAGACAGTGTCATACCTGGCGTCTTTCGCCGGCCGTCATGATAGCCCCCTGTTCCAAAACCACTCTAATATTACAATCATGGGTGGATGATCCAACATTTTCTAGCTCGTGTTCGAATGCCGCCCCCCCTTTGAAGGTACATCTCCCATCAATGCCCGCTGCTTGGTAACTGTACGCTTACTGAGATAATCGACCTTGAACTGTGGCCAGAGTCTGACCTTGGTGCTCCGCCTTGAAATGGTCGACAAAAGTCCAAGTGCATATCTTCATGTCATAAAAGCTGGTGCTGACGATAGTATACGAAGGCGGCTGCGGCGGCGCCGGGTGATTGGAGACCGATTTTGGTTTCTCTTCTTCTGTCGGTGATTCGAGAATTGCGTCGCAGCAGTAGACCATGCTCTCATGTCCAGCGCGGAATGTAGTCAGAACATCTATTGTCCAGGACTCCGATGCACCCGGGGCGTACGTTAACCGCAGAACGGCGGCGCCTCCATGCATCAACGATACCAGGATCAGGGTGTGGTGTCGTAGATGTCGATCCTGGGCGCGCCCTTCTGTCGTCGTGTACTGATCGAGCACCTTCAGCCTCCACACACCGCCTCCGAGACTTGTTTCCGTGACGAACGTGGCGCGACGCGAAGTGTGATCAATCTCGAAAACTCGAAGGCCTTCGTCGTAGCTTCCCGTAACCAACGGCACAAAGAAGTCACCATTCGACGCAGGATCGGCGTCGTCCTTCTTGTTCGATTTTGTTCTGAGAGGCGGAAGAGGCAGAATGGCAACGACGCCAGCGGTATGGTTCCGCCTGTCCTTCCACAGTTGCATTGCACTGAGTTCGGAGATGTGTGATGGAGAGGCGGAGGCGGAGGCTGAGGCTGGCGCCATCAGCTGCTCGGACAGTTCGCTGGGTGATAACAAGTCGATTGCCGATGCGATCAGCGCACTGTCATCCCCTCCGCTCAGGATCATGTGTGTTACGGTGCCTTGGTCTTCCGTGTCTCCTGAGCCCGGCAGCGTGAGACTCGCAACCGTCCACGCCTCGAGTTCATGCTTGTGTACATCCGTGATCGCGACGGGCGGCGCCGCCAGATCCTGGCCCACGCGTTGGTCGTAGAGATCCTTGATGCGCGGAACGGAGGCGTAGACTATCTTCGTCTCGCCAAACGATGTCACTGCCGCAAAACAGATGCCTTGCACGTCGCTTATGCCGAGCACGCCCTTCGTGGGGACGCCGGGCAACCAAGCGAACTGCGTCACCAAGGGTGACAGGCCGTGTTCGTCGGGTTCCGACACGGTAACGCTGCCGAGCGGGAGCAGCTTGGTGATGACACGCCGGCCAAGAACGTCGCCGTGCTTGATGAAGCGGAAGAGATGGACTTTGCCGGTCGAGGTCGCGGCGCCGAAGAGCGTCCCGTCGGAGGGGTGGAAGTGGATGTCAACTATTGCCTCGGGAAATGCCATGCGGTCGAGCTGCGGCGGGAGCATGCCGGCGTATCTGGGCCGGAAGTCGGAGGACACCGTGAGGACCTGGATGCTGCCCTGTCGTGTTTGGGAGGGATATGAGCGCGGTGCGTCGGGCTTGACGAGCGAATAGGTTCCTATCACCATGTACTCGGGGTGGGCAGGGCAGATGGCCACAGTGTCGATTTCCTGGTCCGCCGTGCGGGTCGTGTAGGCGATATCTGGAGACGATGACATTGTGTCGACTGCAGTACGGCGACGCGAATGAGACCGAGTCAGGGTGTGTCGATTGCGGTGCGAGCGGTGCCGTTCAATGTTGCCACGGGCAGCCTGCATGAGGTCGTTTAGAGAGCGCGGTGGAGGCATGGTGCAAATTGACATGAACAGAAGGACTGGAGAGGTAGATAATAGATCATCTGCATTCATGGCATTACGGAACTTACGGAGACGTTTTGGTGTCCACGCTACCTCGATGTACTCGGAAGAGAGTGAGGTGTCGTTGTCATATGCGCTGCAAGTCGGTCGGGGTGCGGCAGAACGCCATCTTGTGAATGCTCACCGGCAATATAATTCACTGAAACCTGCATGGGCGTCTTCCGCACAACCAACTTGGTCGAGTCAGCTCCTTGGAGAGGTGCAGGCCATGAACGCATGTACTGCCAACACAGAAAACAAATTTTCAATCGAGGCGAGGCTGAGGGCTCTGATGCGGTTCGCCGACCACTTCTTCGAAGTGTGCACACAGTGGCCTGAGCGACTCGATTCCAATTGCAAGACAACAAACATCCAGTATCCGAGTGTCCTCGTACAAATTGTCTCGCTCGACCTCGACGGATGCCGCTCTTCTAGGTTCCTCAGTTGACACTCCGTACGAGAGGTGAGATGCCCTTCTCAGCCTTGTCACGTGCGAATCTCCTGGACCAGCCGCCGGGGGCCAAAACACGGAGCGTGTCAAGGTGTCAATTTGTCTGTCAAGATCCTTCAACCTGCCGCGTCCCCTTGAAGTTAACGCGAAGACTCTGCCAAAGATCCTCCCAGGCCTCGCCGTTTGACCGCGTCGTGGGACTTGTCTCGATGCTGTCAGAGCTCTGTCCAATTTCTCTGAAGCTATGTCCTCTCGCTGAGACGGGCTTCGACAGCCGGCCACGTTAGGTTCAACGTCATCCTCAGGCCAATGGCGACGCCTTTTGCCCTCAAACACGGCCCTTTAGCTGCGCATAGACAGTTTTTTGAAGTCTGTAAGTCTCGAGGCTGGCGAACGCGAGGCAGGAGTATTTGAAGTCGACAAACTCCCTTGAAGATGTGACTTTTTCGTTCCTCACGACCCTCTCTTCTCTCGTCCTTCTGAGTACTCGTCCCGTCCCTAGCAGTTCAAAATGTCTCGCATCCCTCTATCTCTCGTGTTCTCTCTGGCTCTGGCGAGCCTTGGTCAGGCGCAGGTCGCCTGGTAAGTACTTACCTGGGGACAACGCTTTTAGTTGAATGAGGCTCGCTAACCTCGTTCAGCAACCTTGCAGGCCTATACGCTCGACTTCTCGACGATACAGCACTTGCAAACACGTTTTGTGCCGAGTTCAGAGACGAGACTGTTAACTCAAAGAACTTTTTGATTCAGTTCGGTACGAATTGCGAGGCGTATAGAGAAGAAATCAGCATGGGGTGCTGGTTGTTCGGTACCACAACGCACATGAGCCCACGAATTACTCCCACGGTGACGGTGACGGTGTCTGAGACAGTCACGGACATCCGAAGCGCTGGACTTTGTACCCCATCGGTCAAGATGGTGACTGTGTCTGAGACCGTCACGGACGTCCGAAGTGCTGGAATTTGTACACCATCGGTCCAAACCGTGACGGTGTCCGAATCTCAGCGACAACAACAGCCAACGGATCTTCCTGTCGTTGAATCGAGCGGTCTATCCCTTCACGGACCGCAAGTACCCATTGTCATGGACAAGGAGAGCACCCCTGACCCTCTCCACGCGGCATCGAGCTTCCTCACAACACCTACGATGAGCCCTTACTCTACGCTGACGCCAGCATCCGTCGTTATACCATTATCCTCCGTGCTCACCACAACGTTGAGCACAGTTTATCAGTCCTCCATATCCTCACTGGCGCCTCAAGCCCCAACGTTGTCGACGGAGAGGTATGCTGTTGTGGCACCGTCACCTTCCGTCATCGATCGGCACGTATTCAGCCCGCTGGGTGATTTGGTCATCGACGAGGCATCTTCTGCAGTTCTTGGAGCCTTGGCTATCCCCCACGACGCAAAGTCCGAAGCTGATACATCCATGACCCTTGTGAATCTGGCCGACGGATCCACGGACACGTGCGTGCACATAAAGGGCTCATGGAGGCCCCTCTATACCAACGCGGTTTACGAGTGTGTCGCAAAGACTCGGGCTCCAGACTTTGACACGTCCAACTACCCGATCGCATCTACTGGACTGAGTCTCACAGCTGCGGATGGGTCGTCGTCAATTACCAATAGCCGCGCCTTTGGACCTCAAGCTGAGGGAGATTACGAAGAGGCAGTCCTGTCCTTGTTTGTCACCAAGGACAAGACCTACACGGTGGAATTTTGGGCTTGCGGGTCCGGCAAGACTCTGGTGATTGGAGAGTTGAGCTGTACTTATTATGCCTAGTCGGGGACAGAAAAATGCATCATTTCTTGGGACTGGCTTCCGAGGAAATAATGTCGAGCAACCTTTTGGACAATGGTGGAGATGTGTACAATAGTATCGTTGAAGATGAACATGAGATGGGTTTGGCGGTACGGTAAGATGTCCAAGTCCCAGCTATCTCACGCTGTCATTGTGTATATTGGAATCATAGAATAATTGACGAGCGTTCCGAATCTTGAAACCTACGGCCATTTTTGAGAGGTTGGGAAGGGTCGCTCTTTGGTAGAGTAGGCTAAATTTAATTACTACACAGGCTGAAGAGAAACACGTTGTCTCTGAGCCATTTGAAGGTACGTTTCTCATTGTCCTGTCGTGGCTGGTTGAATGGGCACTTGTCTACCTTGAGCCTGGTCGAGCCTTAGTGTTTCAGCCTGGTGCTGAACGATCATGATCATCAAGCGACAACGTCCGGTTCGCTCACTTCCTACTTTCCACACACGCTCTCTGGAAGAAATCGTCAACATACGCAAACGAATTCTTCGTTCGGGTGTCGTGCCTTGGTCTTGTTTCCGCCATGTAGGCTTTCCATCGTATCTGCGTATTTACGGGTCGACCGAGCGCGAAAATGCCTGTCCAGGGTACCTTGTCAGATTTCCTGACTGCCTCCAGTGAGAAATGGACTCCAGTACCGGACGACCTGTTTAGCGAGGAGTCAGACTTCCACGGTAAGTTTTCCTTACGCTTTTTCATCCGTCGAGATCTCCGTGAATTCTCCTGTGACGGTCATTAAGGTCAGAGCAGGCGACGCCGCTTCAACTGCGTACTACAACAATCTTGCAGCAGCGTATGATCCTCGAAACTACTGGAAAGTCCATGCCTGGAACATTCAAGTCAAAGCTGAAAAGGCCAAACAGTCGCAGAAGAAGGCAGACGAAGTTCGAGCCAAAGAAGAACAAGAACAGAAAGCAGCATCCAGCGCGGATGTCCCGGTTGACCATGGAAATGAAGCAAGCAATTCAAAGATCAAACACGAAGACACCGCACTGCTTAGCCATGACGATGAACAACCTGACAAAATGGACGTCGAAACGCCTCTCCCTCCACCTGATAACCCTGAGCAGCCAACGGCGGACGGTGACGCAGCCCCAAACAATTCCAAACCCTACAACTTCTATGAAGGAATCGACCTGGCCAAACAACTCTCGGAATCGCTCGCGGACTTCCTGCACCGACTGCAGCCGTCTCAGACCTCGTCTTCCCGCGGTCGCTGGATCTATATCGCGAACCCCTACCCGCCACTCAAAATGGCATCGTCTGGCAAGCTCGTCACGGACGCCGAAGCCCGCGACGTCGCGACGTTTCGCCAGGTCGGCACCCGGCTGCTCGACGACTTCCTCTCAGCAAAGGAACGAGTCGAGTCCCAAAACCCTGGGAAAGCAGCTGCCACGATCACGCGCATGCTCCGTCCGGACCGAGAGCATCTTGAGTCCGGCATCCGCGAGCTCGCGCGCGAAAGTAACATCACAACAGGCAAATGGATGCTCTTCCCGTCGGCCGACGACGTTGACCGGACCTGGTCCCTCGTCGCACGGGGAACGTGGGAAGGTACCTTGGGAATCAGTGCCAAAGTGGCCGCGGCCCCCGACGCGGAAACTACCAGTGCCAGCGCCGGTGTCGGTGGCAAGGACAGGGACAAAGAGTCCAGGTTGATTTGCGTCTACACGTACGACTTCGCAGACAGGGACGACGTGAAGCGTGTTCTTTTGGGCCTGAAGAAACTTGGACTTTTGAATGGCGATGCCAACGGCGGGGGCGGTGGTGGGAGCATGAACAAGAACAACGCCGCCGCCACCGCCGCCGCCCGGGCCATTTACTACAAGTGCGATGCCTACACTCATCTCGACATCTCGAGTGGCAACGAGTACAAGCTCAAGGCGAGCATGTATAGTAGTCGCGACATGCTAGGTGGGTCTTGAGAGCGGTGGATGGATGGATGGGTGGATGGCTGGACGGATATTGGGTCTGTTCTCCCCGTCAATGTCGACACGGCGATCGGCACACTCATGCATGGCTGACATCTAGCCCTTCCTCTATCCAGACATGAAAGAAGACATGACGAAGGTATGAACAACAGCCGAAGTTTTACGAGTCCGTCAATGGTTTACGAACGAGCACGACACGCTTATGAGGCACCGATGGTTACGATCAACACCGGGAGTTCACGAGTCTACTCGTCAACGGCCAGGTGGATTCGGGAGGAGTTAGGTTTCAAGTGGCAGAATGTCCTGTTGGTTGTTTCTTCCTTCCATACGGAGTTAGAGTGTTACCCGTCTCGACTTGTGGGTGTTCAGATGCGATGCGATACGAGAGCGCATGCAGATGCAGATGCAGATGCGAGCATCAGGAGCGAGGTGGTTACCATTGTGTTTGTGTTTGTGTCTGTTGTCCGAGATCACCTCGTAACCTACCTCTATATTTCACGATACCCCATCACGCATGACGCGCAGCGCAACTAGTTTGACAAATGTGGATTTCCATATGTATGCAGTACATACAGCAGGCTGAGGTGCCCAGGTACCCAGGTACCCAGGTAGATACACTAACTAGTGCCTTTCATCAGAGACGAATCAAACGAGCAGACGTAACGAGCGGCGGGTCGAGATACTGATCGTTTCAAATCAAGGCGCACCGGAACTGAATGACCAGATGGATAGATATGCAAAATCGAAATCGATTGTGACTGTGTGTGTGTGTGTGTGTCTCTCTCTCACGACTCAATATCGAATCTGGTTCCGCACCAGGATGAAAAGCGGCCGAAAATACGCTGACGATGAGCCCCTTTTGCTACCTGCACCACCACTACCTGTGTCTTCATAACGCATCTCGCCTCGTTGCACACACAGACATTCACTTCCAGTGTCGACTCTATTCCTGTGCTGCTCTGTTCCGGTGCCACCATGCTAAAAAAAAAGGGATATGCGGGTATGTACCTAGAAATATGCAAGTACCGAGTCGTGAAGCAAAAAGGGACCCGTAGGAGGCCCTTTCATTTCTTGCCTTTGGCACCCTTCTTCGCACCGCTGGCCCCTAGGGCAGCTTCACGCCTCTTTGCCTCGCGCTCGTCTCGCTCCTTCTCACGCGCATCCCGTTCTTCGTTTTCAGCCTGTTTCCGCGCCGCGGCAGCCTCTCGCTGTTCCCGAATGAGCCTGAGCCGCGCAAGGTCGGCTCTCGCTTCATCCGTCTTGCCTTCGGCGTGCAGCTTCTGGTACCGTTCCTTGGCCTGCTGAGCGGCGATGGCCTCCTTCTCCCGCCTGCTCAGGTTCTCCTTGTCCGTCTTCTTGGGCTGTTCGCCGCTCGGGCCGGTGGCTGCACGGGCCATGGACCGGGCCTTTTGGGTGTGGTTGGGATTCGCGGGCATGTCCTCCTCGTCGTCGTCCTCGCTCTCCTCCTCTTCAGAGTCGCTGGGCATGTCTCCAACAGCGGCGACCTTCTTGTTCTTCCTCGCGATCGCTGCCTGTTTCTTTAGCCGGGCGGCTTCCTTGCGTTGTTCGCGGGTCAATTCGCCCGAGGCTGGCTGAGCCGTGGACGATGGCCCTCCCTCTTCGCCCGAAGACTCTTCCTCTGATGATTCTTCCTCCTCTTCTTCGGAAGACGACTCTGCCGCATCCGCGGGGTCTCGCCACATGCCCATCTGGTTGCCTTCACGGTCGAGGGGTTGCAGGTCTCGCGAAAAATGCTTGCCGCCTGGGTAGATCCAAGTTAGTAGAGTGCGGGCATATAACACGGCGACAACAAGAGAGCGGCATTCGTACCTCCTCGGGTGGGCTTGGAGAATTTGCCCCCTCTTCCTCTTGGTGGCATCTTGTCGAGGTTGGGTTGCCGGGTCTCTGTGTGCTTGGAGGGGTAGGATTTGCAGGTGGGGGTTTTGGTGAAATGAAAGTTGGCTGCAAGAGAACGCCTCAACTGTTGGTGTGGTAGCCCTAAAGGTCCATGTTATCAGTATGTACAACTCTTTCTGCACCGTGGCCAAGAAGGGACAAAGAGCGGTGGCATTTGGTTTCAACGAAAGATTCTTTGTGTCCAAGCGCAGATCGTATGACGTCGACGAGTGGCAGGGACTTACGCAAGACACGAAGCACAGGTGGTGCTGGACAGGACTATTCTTCTCGTGAGGTTAGGCCGAGGGAGAGGAGGGAGGAAGAGAGAGGCAGAGAACCGGAACAGATTCTTGGACAATCAAAACTTGTTGGTTGCAGTATTCAACCTGTGACTCTGAGTTGTCCCTGCGCCATCTGGGCCAATTAGAGACGAGGTGAATTAAAGGCCTGCAGCACATGAGGCTGCGAGGCTGCGAGGCTGCGAGGCTGCGAGGCTGCGTCCCTGAGAACCACCAACACGGGAGACAACGACGACGACGACGACGACGGCTCCGTAACTCGTGTTCCTGTTACGAGGAAGCAACTTAAGCAAATAGTGAATATGTACCAGTGTACCTTGCCTCTGTACTTCTCGCGAAGCTGATTGTGATACCTCACCTTACCCACCCACACAGGTAGACTTGGATAACACCACTCATACACTCTGCCAGGTCCATAGGTATATTGGGCGTGGCACATCAAGTCGACCGTCTCTATACACAAAACTAAACTATCAGGAGCTTTTCAAATCGAAGGAGTCGGGACCTTGCCTTGAGAAATGTATTAACATATCTGTTTTATCTCGCTCCACACATTCTATCCTGCCATGCATGCTAGAAAAAGCCGTGTTCTCAATACTTCATCATGACATCCAGCACTATCCTGTAGACAGTCGATAGTTCAACCCAAGGTGAGCTTGAAACAGGAACCAAGCCAGGTCCAATAACTTCAAGACCACCGTCTCTGCTCGCTTTCTACTGTCCAAAACCAAAAACAAAAAGTCTTCGCTGGTCAGCAGCACAACGAGCATCAGAGTCCAGGGGGAATGTGTCAGCTCGACTGTGCCTTTTTACGCCAATCGTTGGAATCAAGTGCCGTCTCTTATAAATTCTCCTGTTTGTTAAGCGCAGCAATACTGGCGATAACATCACTTGGTTCTAGCAGATGCCATGTAGCAAGGGTTCTTTTGCTACTAGCGCCAACGGTACATGCAAAGACATGGTCCTTTGGCAATTCGGTCTTCAAGAGGGCACGAAACATGTCTAGGCAAGACAGTCAGTATATGGTTTTCCATGGCGAAAACGCACCGCTAAGCTTGTACTTACCTTCATCTGTCTGGTCATCTCCTAAGCAAAGGACAAATTCCGGCGGATCTCCGCTCTCATAGCCGTATTCATTGATCAAACGGCTGGCGATGAACCCCTTGTTTACGAATTGCGGACGCACCTCCAGGTTTGCTTTGCCGGACATGACCTCAACCTCCCAGTTTTTCATCACGTTATCCTCGAGGGCCTTCCGGCATTCTCGAGCCTGAAAAGCGCCAAAGTCTGGGTCGGCTTGCCTGTAGTGCCAGGTCAAAGCGACCCGCTTCTTCTCGATCCACGAGCCCTGGGTGCGCTCGGTGTAGTACCTGAAAATGTCCATAACCTCATTCTGCCACCCCATATCCATTGAGGATGCAAGGTTCTCCCAGACTTCGGAGCCCGGACGTCGCATAAAGCAACCGTGTTCAGCGCTGAGACCAAGCTCACTAATGTGGCCCATCCACTCCTCAAGAAATGATGCATCCCGACCAGAAATGATCCAGACATTGTTTCGAGGATCTGCAGCAAGTGCCTTTAAAGTGCGTAAAACCTTGTCCGAAGGGATGGCGGCGTTTGGGTCCTTTACGATGGGTGTCAACGTTCCGTCGTAATCGAACATGAACAAGCGCTTTTTGGCAGCCCGGTATTGCGAAATCATGCGATTGCGGTCCAGGGCAGGGGTAAGATCATTTTGCGTTAGAGAGGTAAGGTTTATAAGCAGCCGTGTCAAGAAGCTCTTCGTCCAGGTCGAGACGGTATGTGTCGTAACATAGTTGTATAGTTTCTCGTGGTCATGTCTCTTTTGGGATTCGGGCATTTCAAGCGCCTCCTTGAGGGCGTCTGCCACCCTTCCAAGATCCCATGGGTTGATGTGAATAGCATTGCTCAAGCTGGCAGCGGTCCCAGAGAATTCGGACAAGATCAGAGGTCCGAAATGATTTCTCTGACAGATGACATATTCGAGACTGGTGGTGTTCATGCCATCTCTGACACTTGTGATAAGTCCAACGTCGGCGATTCGAAGGAGGGCAAAGTACTCTTGAGAAGAGAGATACTGTGGATAGTGTTGGACTGGAGAATGACTCAGCGAGCCGAATTTGCCGTTTATTCTGGATACAAGATTCGATATCTTGAGCTCGAACTTGTGAGCGCCGTCAACCTTGTCCTCCATCACACTGGTGGGACTGGTGACTTGAATGAGCACAACTTTGTCGCGCCATTCTGGGTACCTTTCCAAGAACATCTCAAATGCCATCAGTTTCTGTGACACTCCTCTGACGGTGTCGAGTCTGTCGCGACCGACAATTATTTTCTTGCCGGCATACATTTGTTTCAATGCTTTCATGTTCTCCTCTATCACCGGATCCTTGAACGCTGCTCCTTGCACAGAGGCCACATCAATGCCGATGGGGAAGACGTCCACTGCAACGTGAGCACCATAGGCGTCCACTCCGGCAGAGCTCGACTCGAAACCCAAGATGCGTTTGCAACACGAATTAAAGTGTCGCGAGAAACTGTAGGATTGGAAGCCAATCATGGTAGCTCCCAAAGCTCCTGTCAAGACTTCTTTTCTACGCGGCAAGCAACGCATGTATTCGCTGCTGGGAAACGGAATGTGAAGGAAGAAGCCAATGTAAATATTCGGGATCCGTTGTCGCAGCATGCTGGGCAACATCATCAGGTGGTAGTCGTGGATCCAGACAATATCTCCCGGTTGGTAGATCTGTAAAATCCTATCGGCAAAAGCTTGGTTCATCTGGAGGTAGTCGTTCCACGAGGCTTTCTCTGCACGCCCGTCATCTGGACCATGCTGGCGGTAGTGGAACAGAGTATATAGCTCATGTTCCGCATATCTTCGCCACCTACCCTGGTCTTTGAATACAAATTCATCATCTGCATCTCCCCGGTAATCTGGTAGCCATACCGGCAATGTCCGACCTTTGGGATGATCAGCGAGGACCTTTTCTAGGCGAGTTCTCTCCGCGCGGGAGAGGGAAAGATGCTCTGGGTTTGGGTCGTGCGGGTGCGGGACTGCACCATTGACCGGGTATGGCGCGGCCGATTTGTTAATGGGATTGGAGGCGTGAGTGTTCATATTTGTGGCTGCAGAGGCACTCTCGGACTGCAATATACTCATCGAAGTTTGCTCTGGCTTGTTCTGGATCTCCCCAGTCCAGCCAACCAAGGTATGCTTCCATGGCGACTTCTCAGAAGATAAGTAAGCGAACGAGTCGAACAAAGCAGACGTCCCATGTCGAGTAGACAGACCCCATTCACCTTGACTACCGTGGGTAAGCTGGTAGGGAATGCAAAAAGTGGCGCTGATGACATTGCCGCTCAGCCGTAGAGCAGGATGAGCGGTTCGAGGATCGACGTCGAAGGTGTCGGGACCTTCAGGATTGACAAGGCTGAGTCGGCGGAGACGCTCCTTGCCTGAACCTGCACTTCTTGCCGACTCGATGGGTGATTTCTGTTCCGCCGTGCTTTCTTTTCGAGGCAGCGAGAAATAAGAGGTGGTTGGTAGCGAGGGGTCAGCTGGCTCCACGATGCCAGGTTCCTCTAAAGGCATGGTCTCTTCATCATTAGACCGGCCCGGTTGGCTCTCGCGGTCAGAATGAGTAGCCATGCTGCGTGATTAAGGCCGAGGCGACACTGGCTGATGGGGGGGTGGGTGGCTGACTTGCAATAAGACCGTGTTGGATGTGTTGTTAGGTTGAATGAGCGGGGACAGTGTCCAGGTGTTTCCTCGTTGCTCGCTGGTCGCTGCTCGCCGAACGTGGCGGGGCAGATTGCGAGGACGATGGACACAGCAAGGTCCAGGCGCTGAAATAGCCGTCTAGGACGAACTTATGGCAGAGGACGCTCTAGTGAGTGTTGAGAAGCTATCGAAAGACTGTGCGAGTTTTGCAGAGATGCTCGATGACATGAACGAGAAGGAGCGATCGATGGCGATGACGGGCAGCCTGTGGCCGGAGTGAGTTTCCGGCGAGTGGGAGCTAGCAGATGAATGCTTTTCCAAACGAAATATAGAAAGAAAAGGTGTCAACGGCGCGGCAACCTGGAAAAAATCTGTTGTCCTTATAGTGACATGTTTATAGATGCCGACTAAGCATGTCCACAATGGCGGGGATGAAGGAGAAGGAACATGGAAACGAACGGAATCGAATGATGTGAATATCGGTAGAAATGCGAACGAATTTAATGATGCCACTTGCTTCTTCTCAAGCACATGGGCGGATGATCCGTCAGGCTAGCAATGGCACTGGCGGGTGAGGCCAGATCATACATGAACCAAGCCAGCGAAGGCCCGCAGCTGGCCCAGGCATTTGGTGGGGAGATTGTCGAGATCAGTTCACAGGTGCTGTACGGACTGACCAACACACCGTACACTGTAGGGATCCAACCGTGACTGTAACTCGACAGCCGTGCACAACAACTGCAGACATAGGAATGCGTACTAAGGAGACCAGCCACGCTGCCCAAGGAGCTTCCAGCCAATTCGTCTCCCACGGAGCTGCACATGCTCCGACCTGCTCTCTCTATGGTGCTTTTCACAAGCCAACCCTGATAAACCATCACCTGAGGAGGCACGAGCAAGATCCTTAACACATGTGAGATGCTCGTACACTAATACCAGTCTCAGAGCTCCCAAAGCTCGTTGTATACGCCAGGACGGGCAGCTCAGTACATACCTACCTACCTACTAACTAGGTAGTTCTAGCAACATGTACCTCATTATGTACGTGCCTACTTGAGGCATGTACCTAGTAGGATTTGGTGGTACAATACCTAAGGTCCAGGTACGCAGTGTGTAAAGGCCCCAGGTAGCGAAGGGAGGCCACAGTTATCGGGCTCACTAGGCTTCCTGGAGCCTAGCATAACAGGTTAGTAAGTGGTTACTGCTTAGGCAGCGAGGCTCTCTAGGCCTTGCAAACATCCCGCTCGGCTTTCCTGCTTATCCACCCTCCCGCCGCTAGCATACTCTGCCATCTTTCATCCATCCTCCATTGCCCCATTCGGTCTCTCAAAAATTGTCGCACGTCGTTTGAGTAAACGCTGCCATCTGTTGCTGACCAACTCCGTCCTCCCTCACTAATCTGTCGTCTTGACACTGTACAGAGTACCCCATTCAGCGACCTCTACCCCATCGTCGAGCTTCACCACCTTCATTCACGACTCTCCCATGCTGCATGCTGGCGGCCTGGGTCCCGTCGCGCGCCCTCGCCCTTCGCCGTCACTATGATGTCCGCTCTCTAGAAATAGGACCTGCTGCTGGAGCTAGAACCGCGAAGTCTGCTCGTATCCATCATGCTCGTTCTTTGGCCTCAGGCCTAGCGAAAACCGACGATGGGCCCTTCCAGACCCCCATCCCCAATCCGGCCTTGCGCAATGAGCCCAATGTCGATCTCAACAGCCTGCGAAACACACTCGAAGCCCATCGTGCAGCGAATCGAGCATCAGTCATTCGAAAAATAGACCGGTCAGGCCGATCTATTCCACTGGACATTGGCAGCTTTCTCCCTCGGGGTGTGTATACGCCAGAACATACTGTTCCTCCCTTGCGAAAGAAGAAGGATGAATATGCTATCAAACACATCCAAGGGAAGAAAGGCCCTTCCAGCAGCCACAGTAAAGGCACGTACCGTGATCTTGGTGGTTTGTGGCGTGTCGAGGAGGACAGCGGCACCCTTCCTACGATGACTCGGATGCCATGGTTGGCTCACATTAACCATGTTCAGTCTGCGCCCTGGCCCTCAGCTATCGAGCGCCTAGCTGACGAGATTCGAGCTTTCGAGAAGTATGCTACACCTTCCGAAGAGGAGAAACGTGCAGCCAACCTTGCTCTTGATGAGATCGTCCGAGCCATCCGCATAGCTGATGAGAACCTTGATGTCTCTGTTATTGGCTCGCGGAGGACGGGACTGGATGACCCGCTCTCGGATCTCGATCTGAACGTAACCAACATCCTTTCTCCGGCAACGATGAAGCGATTCAGGACTCCTGTAGAAATCCTGTCCTTGCTGGACAGGGTTTTCAATGGCCACCGACGGTCAATCCAACTGCCCGAGCTACCACTTGATGTGGTCATCAATATCAAACACGCCAGGGTGCCTATTCTGGTGTGTCACCACAGAGGGACTGGGCTTCCCGTACAAATACAGAGCACGCCACGAGCGTTGGACAACACCGAGTACGTGAAGGCTTTTCTTCACGAATATCCGACACTGCGGAGTCTTTACAAGGTTCTGAAACAGACCCTCGCCATGCGGGCGCTTCATCTCGGCAGCCAAGGTGGTCTCACGTCGTACCCGCTTATCATCATGATTGTTGCCGCGCTCAAATTCTGTGAAGGAAGATTTGAGCGCACGGATGTGGCGAGGCAGTTCCTCTTCTTTCTGGATATGTACACAGACATAGACTTCTATGCACAAGGAATTTCCACCCGGCCCCTTGGCTACTTTCCGAAGCATATCAGAGAAAAAGAATTCCAGCAGCGACCACTGCTGAAGGACACACAGTCTCTGGCTCTCTACGCCGAAGAAATCAAGGGCCAACGTCGAATGTCTGTCCAACACCAAAAGAAAGGATATCGCATGACTCTACAGGACCCCGCCGATCCTTCCAACGAGCTTGGAGGTGGTGTCCACCAGATCCGAGATATTCAAGAAACATTCATTTACCTTCGAACGCGGGTCAAGGATGCCATGACAAGATGGGATGCTTTTGAACTCGAACAGGGCTTCTCAGACGAGCACCTTCGAACGCACTCACTATTAGAGTCATGCGTGAGTGGCGACTATAGGGTTTATGAGACTGAGCGAAACGAATTGCGCATGTGTGTCAGGCAATCATAGTGCATGTAAAACCAGATATACAAGATTAGCATGAATATAGTTCGGAACACGACTCCAACTGCTACTGTAGAGAACAAATCAAGAGCTTACCGTCGTCGGCTGGGACGACGAGGCTGCGCCCGTAGTGGCAGCTCGTGCGGAGCCGCGGCTTAGGTAAGGAGGTTGGACGAGAACTTGTTAACGCCGGTTCTGCCTGCGTCCAAGCAAAGACACTGTTGTCACGAAACTCAGTTTAATTCATTGTTGCCCAACTTGTAGCATTTTCTGTTCCTCACGCGCTCTCTCTCCCCAGCATACCAAGATCTTGACTGCTACACCCTCCGTGTCCGAATGAGCAGTCCTCGAATTGCCACGCCTCGTCAATATGGACCGGGGCACTTTGGCGCCACAACGGCCGACAGAAGGCGCGCCGACATTCGTATGCCACGTTTCTTCAAGAGGTCAGCAGTGCACGGCAGGACTCGCAGGAGAATCAGTGGCTGACAACGAAATCGCAGGCTCTTCAAGTTCCCCCAGATGGACTTTGAAATGGCCGTTTGGGAGATGACACATCTTCTCATCGCGCCAAAAAAGGTGTTCAAGTCGATATACTACCACAAGCGTCAGTGGGATGCAGCTTCTGCCATTTCCTTACTGACAATGACTCTAGAGACGAGAAATACGTGGCATCGGCCAGATCCTTCTTTCACCTACCTCCTGTCCTTCTTCCTACTCCTCACGTCCTTCGCCTGGTCTTTAGCATACACGCCCTCGTTCGCATCTGTGGTCAAGCTCGCATTGATGTTTGTCGTTGTGCATTTTCTGGCTGGATCACTGCTTGTGTCGGTCCTGGCATACTATTTGGTTGGCCGCCTCTTAGGTCCAGGCATTGCCGGGCTTCCTGGCCGAAGGCGTCAACCGGGGCTGTTTGGTCCACCTGGAGGATCACGAGGAGCCGAAGTGTTGGAATTTGGATATTGTTTCGATATCTCGATCCGCGCCTTTTTCCCGCCATATGTATTGCTCTACATTATTCAATACATCCTCATGCCGGTGGTCAATCATCAAAACCGAGCGTCGACCTTTTTTGCCAATCTGCTTTACCTAGCAGCCGGCATTTACTGGAGCTTGATAACATTCCTGGGATATAATGCGCTACATTTCCTGCACCACACCCAGTTTCTCCTTTCGCCCATGGTGGCGTGGGTCGTTATATGGCTTATCTGCACAGTCTTGGGCATCAACTTGACGACAGTGGGAACGCGATGGTTGTTTGTGGGCGTACCAAGCTGAGTGCACACCTTCAATCTACTCTCGGAATTGATGTCATGATGAAGGGTCGAGCATTTCCAAAAGCAAGCGGTGCCGTGTATGATTGACTGTATATCTGGTTCTGGTGCTGCAAGACTGCAAGAGGCGCAAATGGACAGCGCGTAGCTGGGTACCTGAAAAATACTTAAGGAACACTATGCTTCCCATCTTGACATTTCCGCACACAGGCTTTGTTATTGTTCGTCTTGTGGATTTGATGTCCTGCATTCGACGTGTCATAGAATCTACGTATACGAGCACCTGACGTAGTTGTGTTAGGCGATACCTGTGTAGCACAGCATCACAACCACCGAGTCCCAATCGTGGCTCGTTTGAAAGCGCCAGAGGTCGATTTGAGCCTAGTCTGATGGTGTGGCGCTCGTCAAGTGGTGCTAATGCAGGTCCAGCGACAGAGGATGTTGTAGCCTGTAAGCACCCCTATACAATACAGGCAATCCTCGGCTCAGGCCTCAGGCCTGGGAAGACCCCTGCCCGTCGTCCGATTGTGCTCTAGACTGTTCCAAGTTGGACATTCGAGAAGAGGGATATCAGGACAACGGACGATATTTCCATGTTGGAAAGCCAAGTGACTTAGTCTAGAAACGTTTGTTCTTCGAGGCACACACCATCAATGCTAGGCCCAACACCATCTCAATGGATTCAGCTGTCTTGTCCCGTGCAACCTGTCAAGTCTCAGGCCGGCCCAATGATCTAGGCAGTTTCATGGGTCGATCCGTCTACGTTTCCAGCCAATGCACCAGGCACTGGAGAGGCATTTGACTTGGTGGTGAAGGGAGGGCGCACCGAATGAGTGACTGATTGACTGAAGGCATAAGTTGACCTCATAATGTAAAGTTCGCAACAGAAATATTTTGTAGAACTGATGGAGACAGTCTTTTCTGACCTCCCAGGGTCGTGGCGCTGCGAGAAAGAGAAGAAGCAACCCCTGCATCTACGAGACCCTGGTAACCCCTATCCTTGCTTCACACCTACAACAAGTTGAGTTAGTACCTCGCCTTGACCCACCGAAAGGGAACGACCAGGAATCCCGTATGCGTGCGACTTTTTGAATCTCCTCCCCCTCTCCAGGTCAGTTGCAACTTGTTGAAGGGGCCAGCCTCACTGCACCCCGGAGTACATTAACGTTGCATCCACTCCTCTGCCAGCACATCCTTGACCCTGAACAACGAAGCTTCTCTGGCCGATAGTCTCACTGTATAGAGCTTCGACACGCTGTCTCTCCGCGACATGTGCAACGACATTGTCCGACCGACCCCAAGTCGTGCGACAACGACAAACAACCTCCGCTCTTAGTTGTCTCAGACTGTTCTTGCAATACGCTGATGTCCTCAGTAGACGCAATTGCGTGCCAGCGGACCAGATTCTGTGCGCAACATGACAACAGTTCGATCCCATTCATCCCCAACGATACCCCAAAGTCCGCATACCCGTTCATCGAAACATTCTGCACCCCGAGGACCTCACAGACAGTCCTCGAATTCCATACCGTCGTCACCCTCTTCGCAGTTTTATTCAGAGACTGCGGAGCATCCACCAATGGCTTACTCCGGAAGCTTCCTCGCAGAGTCAGCCTCGCCTGCTCACAGCAATGATAACGACGACGCTGAAGACCCTCATGACCTCTCATTCTCTTCCAATCATATCCTCCGTGCCTCTATGGTGGACAACCTTGTCATGTCTCTTGACCAATTTTCTGCTGCTGAGTTTAGCGAAATACCATATACACCGCGAAATAATAGCTACGACACGGCGAGCAGCGTTCGAGGGAGGGGGCACACATTCAGTTCGTCAGTCTCGTCTGAGCCTGATTTACCGGATCTGAGATCTATACCACACCTGTCAGACACGGCTCCTCGCATTCCTCTCCGTCACACTACTCGATATCAGAAGACTGTGCAGAAGCTGCCCAGTATCCGCGGCGAAGACGAGGACTCTGTTCGATCAAAAGTCTACGAAGCTCAGCGAGCGGCCCAGCCAGGCCACGCAAGGAGGCCAAAGAATATCTCAACTGGTGGAAGAAGCAGGGCAAGTAGTTCTTCGTCCAGCATTGACCTTGGTCATGTCACCAGTCTTTCAAGCCATCCAGTGGAGGGAGCGAGTCGACGGTCCCGGAGTTTCGACTTTGGCGCGAGGGACCGTGTCCCGCGTGGCTCCAAACCCCCGAAGACAACTTCCGACATTGTTGCTCCTACCCCAGTAATTTTCTCAGGTCCAGAGTCTCGGAGGGTGCCTACGGTGGACACTGGCAGCACGACCCTGGTGCGGAAGAACAGTACCAAGTCTTCCAAAAGCGCCTATGCAAAGAAGGGACGGTCAGGCACATTGGGTGTGAATGGCGGATGGTCCAGCAACGATCCTGTGCAGACTCTACCAACCGTGAAGAGTGTACCGAGTCTGAGCAATGCTGCATTAGAGCCAAAAGTGAAAGAAGGGTTCGTACATGAGGTTGCCTCGACTCCTCGACCTGGGTTTTTCAGACGCGTTTTTGGTTCCTCAAAGTATCCGTCTGTGCATTCAGAAAGCCATGGTCATACACCAACCACTCTTGCAAAGCAACATCCTGGTCGCGCTACGCCAGTTCAGGATGAACCACTATATCCAACCACACCACCTAATAGACTGGTGCAAAGACCTGTCCGAAGAACCTCCATTGAGCTGTCTGCAAACAAAGAAAACCAGCCTATAGTCGCCAAGAAAACCTCTGCATTCTTCCGAAGGAGGAAGAAGTCTATTTCGAATTCCATACCGCCTCCTCTTCCACTGACACTTGACGCAGAACTCAAAGCAGAACCTGACCAAACAGGTGGATTAAGCCCCGTCAGTAGCCTTAGAGCTTTCATGGATCCTTATCTAATGGAGAAGCCTGTACCAACCTCGGGCCATGGCCGGACCAATTCTATGCAGGGTTTCTATACACCAAATCTCCCGCCTCCTGCCTTTGGGTTGCCACCAGAGTCCACAAATCATCCTAAGCCAGCTGGGCACACTCGGACCGAATCACATAACAGCAATCGAACGCTGAAGTCTCACAACAAGCCTTCAACGCTACGTATCCCTCATCAAGACTCGTTCCTTGCCGACAGCAGCAGCACCGAAGACATATCTAGACGCTCGCCTTATCGTGGTAGCACTCGCTCTGAGAATGACCGAAGTATTGTCCAACCTGAAAAACCGGTACACGAACCGGGCTCTGGAGTTGAGACCGTGACACGGTCGACCTCACTGGCATACCCTACCACGGGCTCTCATCAATCCGCGAGAAAAGGCTCTTGGACCTCCGAGGGTGTGTCTACTGCGTCGTCCACCGCTGCACCACCCACCGGGATTACCACAGGCCATGACAGTAGAACCACCACCGAAACGAAGGGTCCCGGAGCTCTGGTTTTCAACAAAACATCCAAGTGCTCATCTTTCGCGTCAACCTCCGACATTAGCGACTATAGGTCGGCACCAACAACTCCCCTCGTTGTCGAGTCCCCTCGCACCGAGAACCCAGCTGCACCATTTCCACAGATGTTGCAACCAAGCCTACCTGCCATCGACGCTGCGAAAATCAAAGCTAAGCAGATCTTCGATAATGCAGATGATGAGATGGATTCCTCAAGTGCTGGAGCGTGGTTGGGGGAAGATGGCCCTGATCGCCAGTTAGTGAGGCAAGCATACATGGAGCTTTTTGACTGGTCAAATCAAGATATCATCGACGCTCTCCGAGGTCTCTGCGATCGCATAGCTTTGAAAGGAGAGACACAGCAGATGGATCGAATCATGGTATCTTTCGCCCAGAGATGGTGTGACTGCAATCCTTCACACCTGTACAAGTCAAGTGGTAAGTTTGCTTCTCTGCATCAGACACACGATCCAGCTGACTTTACTAGATGTCGTGCACACGATATGCTACTCTATTCTCCTTTTGAACACTGATCTCCACTTAGCCGACATTGGCCAGAAGATGACAAAGGCACAGTTTGTTCGTAATGCTCTTCCAACGATCAAGCGAATCGTTGAAGAGTCAGAAAATAGCAGCACCCCTCGTGGAGCGCCGCCTAAAATGCTCCTTAGCGCTAACTCCGTGGAAGAAATCAATCTTACAGTCCGAGGACTAAGAAGACCCACAGAAAAGACGATTCATGAAGAGGACTCCGATCAAGAAATGACTAACGGCCAACGTGGTTCAGTATTGTATTCTGGATCAGACAGAGCCTGGGAGACGCAGATTGAGACGATCTTGCGCGGACTATACAACTCGATCTCTCAAGAACCGCTACCACTCTACGGTGCTCAAAGCGATTCAAATATGAACGCCAATCAGTCCAACAATTTCTTAACGATTGGGTCGAACGTGCTGCGTCGGAGTCCTAGTGTTCTCAGCAAAGCGCATTCAGAAACCAACCGTAGCCGGTATGGGGAAAGTAAATCTCTAGGGTCGCGGTGGATGACCAAGACCAGATCTCGGCCTCGCCTGCCATCTGCCGCCGGATTTGGTTCTAGTAGAACCAGCGTCGATGAACTGTCGTCAACGTGGAGTCCTTCTATGTCCAGCACGTGGAGTAAAGCGAGCCTTGGGAAGACGTTAACGTCGATGTCGGTCGACTCGTTTGGGACAGAAGTGACACATGGCGACTACCAATCCTCTATCGGGTTCGCGAACGCGTTGAGCCAAGCCATCATCCGTGAAGATCAACTTGAATTGCAGACTGATGACGGACTGAAAGCCGGTTCGCTTCTGGAAGATGATTCACTTGAGCTGTGCGGGGCGCCATGGGCAAAGGAAGGCATTGTCAAACACAAATGCCATCTTGAAGGGGTAGACAAGAGGTCGAAGGACCGAAACTGGAATGACTGCTTCGCAGTCATAGAAAAAGGATGCATGAGACTGTTCTCCTTCTCGTCCAGTGCCAAGTCCGTGAGAAGCAAGTCCCGGGTGACGAAGCCTGGAGCTGTCGTGGGTGGAGGGAATTGGCAAGACAATGCTGAGGAATTGTGGAAGTTTATGCTTCGACATACCATTGCAAGCTCGCTTCCACCTCCCGGGTATTCCAAAGCGCGACCCTATGTCTGGGCGCTCAGTCTCCCGACTGGGGCGGTACATCTCTTTTCCGTCGGAACGCCAGACATTGTCAGGGAATTTGTGTCTACCGCGAACTATTGGAGTGCACGACTGTCCAAGGAACCTATGATGGGCGGCGTCAGCAACATGGAATATGGCTGGAGTGACGGCGTGGTGAACAGAACTGCCATGGCTTCCGAATCCCAACTTGGCTTGAATGCTGCTGTGGTCCCACGTCCTAGCACTCAAATGTCGATGAGAAGCTCCTTGGACCATCCTGGCGGTATACGTAGCAAGTTGCCCGGCGATAAGGTGCACATCAACGACTGGTCGCCACCACAGCAGTCCATGTTTGCTTCTCAGCTTCTTGAGGTGGATCAGCTCAAAGCGTTACAGAACTACGTGAGCAATGTGGAAGATGAACTACAGAAGCACCACGAGCTTCGAGCCATGATGTTGACGGCATTTTCGCCCAAGCATCCCAATTCCGCCAAGGCAATGAGCAACTGGGAAAAGAAGAGCAGCTACCTTTTGCGGGAGATTGTGAAGTTCCGCACATACATTGACACTCTGCAAAACGCCCAGCTAGCGAAAGATCGGATATATAAGATGAGGAAGGAAGAGGAAGAGATGGTAACCCCGTCGAGATCGAGTCGAGGGTGAGGTTATTGAGCGCACACGGCATTGTGGAGTCGAGGCCGTCGTTGGGCTTTGTGTTGTTGCCAACGCGGCAATCGTGGCACCGCAACCTTGGTGGTTAAGGATGATTGACGCATTACAAGGAGTCAGTGTGTAATGGGCGTTGATGTTTGATTGGCGTGGTGGTTTATCGATACCCCTTTTGTGCTTGTTGGTAGGACGACTGCAATATGAATCTGCACACGAGCTCGAACTTGAACCTGAAAACATAAAGGAACAGCCTCGTGTAGGAATAGAGTAGCAGAGTAACGAGGAGGAGTGACTCGTGAGCGAAGCATTATACATACAGGGAGAACTGTCGAGCACTTGTCTACAGAAGTACCTTGGCCCCTCGTACAGTACTTTGTCGTTACTACGGAGTATGGACTCCGGTCGTGTTGATGGGGGGCACCAATTAGGCAAAGCGCTTGGCACGATTTCGACTTCGGGTTTCAGGAGAGCAACAAAACCGCCGACGGTTGACGACTCCAGACCGGCCTAGGATGATCTAGTTGACTCTAAGGGACTTGGTTCACCCGCTCCAGACCCCCTGGGATTCTGATCAAGACTCTACACCTGGGCCTTTGCGAAGCCTTATACCCGTCCACTCTAAACCGGATCTCTCTCGTCCACAGCGACGTCGCAACCGGCCCGTCGCTCTCGTCGTCGTGAAGAGTGACGACGCGACTTCCACCACTACTTTCATCCATCGCACGCGTCCAGAGTCTCCAGGTCTCACCCTATCTCCACACATGTTGTCCGCAACGCTCATAGGCAAACGCTCGAACATCACCGGCCTGCGACGCCGCAAGATCGGCCTCCCAGAATAGTCTCCTGACGCAATCCACCTTTTACCCCGAGCCATGTCTTCATCCATACTATCGAGTCGTCCTCCGACCGTGCGCCGTTCGTCAAGGCTACCTGGCGGTTTTGATGAGGAGGAGGATGAGCATTCGCTGGTTGGCAGTGTCAATGGTGATGAACTCGCGGACTCACAACTAGCCGACTCGTTTCTCCCTGGTCCTCGAGACCCAAGCAGCCTCATGCAAGGTCAGGATGAAAATACAAGTCTAGACCTCCCCGCAAACCGCACACTGGACGAAAGTGAAATGAACAAGAGGTTACTCGATCTTGAGTCCAGCTTTCTACCCGAGCCATCGCAGATAACTGGCCAGGAGTCTGCGAACAATGGCGCTGACGATACCTATCAGTTTGGCGTACCAAATGATAACATAGCAGTGCGCAAAAAGCCACACCCTATCAAGATTACCCACCCCCTCGACGAGCCAGAAAACCATACGGAAGTCGATGCGGTCATTGTCCAATCCCCACTTACACCTTCAGGGGGCTACAAAACGCCAGCCCCCGGCGAGCAGGAGTTCTCCAATGCGAGTGAAGACTTGAATGTGACTCCAGAGGCGCCTAGTACCTCTGCGCTGGAGAATATGTCTTCATCGCCCACGGCGGCAGCGGCAGCGCGGACATTGTCGAGGGTACAATCTCTGGCAACGATGGGGGGTTACGAAACGGCGCGAGAACAGGATGAGGAACCCAGGCCTCGCACAAGGATAGGTCCTGGTCAACACGACAATGATGCAACCCCGCGAAAGAGCAGCACACAGAGCGACCACGAGGGTCGATATCTCGAGGTGCCTGGAGCGAGTGACAGTCAGCAGGACAGTGGGGTGGCCCCTTCTCGTCCCGCAAGACGACCACAATACCTGCACAAACGATCATCTAATGCACGACTTTCGTTTGACTCGATAGCCAGCTCGACTACCGAGGCGAGTGAAGCGACTTTGGCTGCCGACTTTGCTCTCCAATCAGGTGGTGCATTGCCGGATTCGAGTACACAGCGCAAGTCCAGAACGACACTTTCACGACAAGCTAGTCTTGGGAGTATGATGTCCGGTTTGTCCGGTATCAGCGATGATGAACCCCGGACGCAACGGCACGTCAGCGCGACTGATCTAAGCACTTTGGAAGAGGAAAGCCCCAAGTCAAAAGACACCGGTGGCCTATCAACCCCAAAAGCTTCAACATTCAACTTCAACATGCCTACAGACACAGTCATTGCCAACAACGTCCGAGATCTAGAAGTCCCGGGTACTTTTGCTCGTCAGTATCGCCAAGAACGAAGCATGTCGCCTGACAAGAACACTGGTGTCTTCGGACTAACACCCGGACCAAAGAGGGGTCTAACTCTGAAAGAGCACAGAAGCACTGTGGAGAAGCTGGGGAAGGAGAATTTCGATCTGAAGATGAAAATTCACTTCTTGGACCAAGCCCTCCAGAAGAGATCTGAGGACGGTATAAAAGAGATGATCACAGAAAATGTACAATTAAAGTCAGACCGATTACGACTCGAAAAGGATAATCATAATCTCAGGAAACAGGTTCGAGAGCTGCAGAAGAAACTCGAAGAATCCGGTAATAGAGAATCGCCGAATGCTGATCAGGGATATGGTACGGACGAAGAGAGAAGTCCTACGGCAGAAGAAGAGGTGATATATCTCCGTGAAAGAGTGGAGATCAACGAGATTGAAATCGAAAAGCTCCGCTCGGAGAGTCTTGCAAAGGAAACGGAGAAGAGAAGACTGGCTGAAATGGTCAAGTCACTGGGGGATACCAGAGCTGCCACTAGCGATGTCGGTTCACGGGAAGAGCGTGATATGTGGAAGGATATGCTCGAGGCTGAGACGATTGCTCGGGAACAATCCGAAGAAGACAACAAGCGACTGCGTGACGAAATTGCTAAGCTGAGGAGCGAGAATTCTGCCCCAGCACGGTCAAATGGACGCAAGGCTCGCATCGGAGGGTCAGTTGTTTCGCGGTCCAGCAGTGTGGAAGCGGCCGCAAATGCTCAAAACGCCGAGATCGAGCGACTGCGACATGAGGTTTCCGAACTACAGAAGATGATCGGTGCCCAGGCCTCGACCTTGACATCGCGGAACAAAGAAAAAGAACGATTGTATCAAGAGATTGAAGATCTAAAGCTGGGACGAATGGGCGGTCTTCGCAGCGTCGCCGGGGATAGTATATTGGATCGTTCAGCTTCGCGAGCGAGATCACATTCCCGGGCAAGCAATGGTACACGAATGTCGCGACTCAGCGATCAAGAAAGAGAAACTCTGGAGACGCGAATCAATGAACTTCGGGATGAAGTGTCGCAGCTGAAGTTGGAGAACCAAAACATACAAAGCCAGTTTGACGAAGCCCTTGCAGAGCTTGATGCTGTGGATGCACAGGCTCAGGCGGATGCTGACCAGTTCAATGAAGAGCTCCAACTTCTGACACAAGAACGGGACAATGCCTTGCGCGATGCCGAAGAGCAAGATATCGCCTTTCAACAGCTGAAGAACGAAGCGCAGGAGGAAATTGATGGCCTGGGAGACGAACTTGACGCCAAGGTTGAGGAATGTGCGCGGCTCGAGCAAGATCTCAAGGCCCAGGTGGAGAACGTCAAAGCACTGCAGGCTGAGATGCGATCAGCCGGCGAAGGACTCGTTCGGCTTGAAGAAGATGCACAGCAGAATCTCGCTCGCTATCAGTCTGTCCAGGCAGAGCTGGATGACGCAAATCGCGAGCTTGAAAGCCTCGAAAAGACCTGTGCCGAAGCAGAGAGCAAGGTGCAACGACTGACGGTCCAACAAGAAAGTAGTCATAATGAGATTGCCTTCCTTCGCGAAGAGCAAGACGCGGATAAGATCAAGATTGGCGATCTCGAATCGTTACTCAAAAAGGTTCATCTCAACTTGGAATCCGAACGGGACAAGAGCAAAGACCTCGAGCGTCGCATCAACGATGAGAGAGCGCAGCGTGACGCGGTGGCCAATCAGGAAAAACAGGAGGTTCAGCGTGTTATCAACGATCTCAATCGTGAAGCGTCTAGTGCCAAGGACGAACTTCGAAAGGTCCGCAAAGCTCTGTCAGCCCGTGACATCGAGGCAAACACGTACAAGGATCGTCTCGGGGAACTTGAGGAGAGCCTACGGAACATCATTGGAGATCCTAACAGCTCTCGATCTGGCCTAGTTGGCGCTGTCACTAAGATGAGGCGGGAGCTTGACCAGACTACCATTGACCTGGAGACTGTGCGCAGACGCCTCGAGGAGACCGAAAGCCTGCTTGCCGATCGTGACACTCTACTCGAGTCGACAAGCCATGAGTGCAAGAGATTGGCAGATGCGTTTGAGCGGGAAAAGGCCGGCCGGCGTCAAGACAAGCTCGACTTTGAACGGACGAACAAGGGCCATAATTCAACGACGCGGGCACTTTCTTCGGCCTCAGCTAGAGTCGCCGAGCTTGAAGGCATGCGCCAGACGGACCGGAAGAGAGCACTGCAGACCGAGAATCAACTCAAGGAACAACTCACTGAGCGCAACCAGGTCTTGCTAAATCTGTGGAAGAGACTATCGGCCATGTGTGGTCCAGACTGGGCTCACAATAACAGCCTCATCAACGGCAACTTGCCATCACAAGAGGTCGTTGGGAATATTCTTTTCTGGCCGGGGTTTAGTAGGAATCTGCTCCTGGCGGCTAAGCAGGTCGAGGGTATCCTGACCACATTCAGAGACAAAATCAAGCGTGTCGAACGGGAATTATTCAAGGAGTATCAAGCTTTGGAACAAACTCTGGAAGTTCGCACGCGCAAGCTCGAGCGCATCGAGGAGAGTTGGGAGAAGATGAAGGTCAAAATGTCCGAGATGGAAGTACGTGTGCATACACACCCCCATTCGGATCAAGGGTCACGCATACCTACGTCAAGTAGGACGCCAGAGATCAGCAAACTCAAGGGCGAGAATCGACTTCTCAAGGCCGAACTCGCGCTTCTCCAGCAGCAGCAGGCACATCACAATATGCACCAACGACGTGAGCGTAGCGAGCGCAACGATTCGCGTGCGTCAGGGTATTCGATGCCCCTGTCCCCGCATGACGGTCCTGGCCAACTTGACGGCGCCGTCGTTGGCGTACCAGCGCGCAGCTCAAGTATGCGGCGCCACAAGATGGAGTTGCAACGACACCATTCGACTGGCGCGGTGGAGCATCTGGTCGGTCTCAACGGCGATGGTACCGGGATGAGTCTGCGCAGTAACTCGATCAGCAGCCGTGCTAGTGGGTACGCGCAATCCCACCACGAGAAGGAACGAGAACGCGAGAGGGAGCGAGAAAGAGAGCGAGGTTTGATGGTGCCGGCCGGGCCATTCAATGCGCCGGCGAATGGGAATTTCCCACTACCTCCGCCACGAGAGGCGCCCCCGGCGCCGCCAAGCACTGGTACGGCGAGCGCGAGTGGCACCAGTGATATTGCCAGTCAAGGACACCAAGGACCAGGAGGGCAGGAGAAGTGGATCCACCGACTTCGCGAATTGGAAAGACGATTGAAGGCGGAACGAGAAGCACGACTTTTGGACAGAAGCGGTGCGAGAAAGCGACTTGAAGAACGAGATGCGGTGAATGAAGAATTGAGGCGCGAGCTGGAGCGTGAGCGAGTGAAGAAGAGCATCGGCTTTGGTGGAGATGGCGGTGACGCTGCTGGGGTTCAGGGCAGCGGTGGGCCTTTGATGCAACCAAGCCTCATGGCGGGTGAGGGTCAAGTCGCCGATTTCGCAGGGCGAGGGAAGCGTTAGGTTCGTTTGAAGGGGTGGAGAAGGATATGGAACAAGAAGTCGAGGTCGAGGTCGAAGTCCATCTTGACGGGGAAGGACGAGGAAAAGGAGACATTGAGATCTCGGTGTGAATCAAGTTCTTGATATCTACAAGCTGTATGTGTTGGGATGGAGTTGTCCTCGGGGTTTACTATGTGGAGTGTTGGTGTTGGTGTTGGTCCCGATCAGATGTAACACCAGAGGAGTTTGGATCTTTTCCCTTTGGAAGGAGATCGGTATGGCTTTTAAGGATACCACTAAGATCGAGGTCAAGAGGTGTGTGTTTGTCTGTGTATCATTATATCCGGGTACGTGGCAGTCCATTTGCGGGCCACTGGCGAGTGTTTTTTTTCCCTCCAGCATTCCACGGGAAAGTGTGTGTGCTTTGTACAACTATCAAGGGACGAGTGGAAGACTATACTATATACTATTTGATGAATGAATCAAAACCCTTTTGGTCGAGTTTCTAGTTTTACACCTTTTTTCTGTATGCCTGACTTGGTCTTTGCCCTAATGACAGACTGGATGAATGAAGGAAGAGTGTACCCGTACTCCGTAAGCCAAAAGGACAGGAAATGACTATCTATCAGGGTGAACATGTTAAGCACTGGCCCGGAGTCTATAGAGTGTCTGAAATGTATGTGGAGAGAGATATACTGAGGTCCCTAAGGTATGATAGGTAAGTACTCCGTCCTCGGTAGATGATTGCAGGTGTATGTAAACACAACCAGAGGATAAGGTGTTTCCGCATACGGTATAGCATTTAGCCGGATCTTCTGATCGGCTTTTCGCGTAGATACCGTAGAGTCTTTGAGCAGTGTAATATAACCTCGGGTACCTTCAGCCTAGACCTCAGGTACAATAGAGATGATGGAAACACCCTTCTCCGATACGAGTTAGCAAGGTCAGTACCTGGATCTGCCGAGTAGTTAGTAGTCTCGTATTGTACAAGGACAAATAAGCTACTTCTAGTCAGTAGTATCCCGGGCCGGCTGTTTTGGTGGCACCACTGGAAAGAATCGTCTCGACCCTCAATTACAGCAGGGGTATAAAGAAGATTCCACAGATTTTCCGAGATGCACAGATATATTGTACTCGTAACAACTGCACAGACCCTTTCTGAAATTTTTTGCCGTGGGGTAGTGCCTATGAGGGGGAGCTACGCCGAAAAAGCTTGACATCTGTAAGGGCGCCCATAAGAGCGTCTATGGGGATGCTTATGGGGGGGAGGGAGGGTTCTTTAACTATAATCTCTCCCTACAGGTGCCTTGACGAAGCCTAACTAGTTCGGAGGTGAAGTGACTACCTGAACATAACTGAGGAAGGTACCTAGGGCCCCTACAGTAAGCCTAGGGTCCTATAAATCTCGATATAAAGATGAAGATGCAGACATGATTTGGCCCTTGTATGATGTATCTGTACCGAGCTACGTGTGTTCTGATCACTTCCGTAAGGGTCGCTCGTTGTGTCTACAGTTTCGCCGGGGGGCCCTACCTGTAACTCGTATATCTTATTACTTACGTTGAACCCGGACTGTACCCCGGGCGGCTCCATCAGACCAAAGTCGACTCCGAAAGTAACTTCAAAGGGTGGCACGGATGCTCCGAGTAGGACGGAGTACCACTGACTGTACGATTAGTTAGAACGAGTGAAATGATTCCTCCGAATGGTTCGTGGCCGGTGGTGGATTTCTGAATTCTGCGGACTTCGGCAACGTGTGTGTATCATCCGATTTCACAGACTCCCGGTGAGTGTCTCTCTCTCTCTCTCTCTCCCTCTCTCCTCCTCACGCCCCGTTCTCCCTCTCTGAGTCCTTGAAATTGTAACTCCCTAACAAGACGACTGTGTGCACATCTGCTGCCGCAGCCATCCCATTCCGTGCGATTTCTCTATCTCCACTATAGAGTAGAACATGAATTGGCTGCCACTAGCACCTTTCACCATAATCATTACGGAGTAGCTTATCGTTGACCGATCCCTCATCTCTCGTTCCATCTCTTTCCCTCCATGGCTACTACGCGACTGCGCGCTCTGATGGAAGCTTCTCGCTCCACACAACCCTCGCCCCCTCAGTCGCAGCCTCACCAACACGGTCAGTCGCACGGGGGCCCGCAATCGCAATCGCAATCGCCATCGCAGTCACAGCCTCGACCTCAATCACAATCGCAACCGCAACCACCTTCACAATCCCAGTCGCAACATCCACAACCACAGTCACAGTCGCAACAACAGTCTCAGACAAGCGCAACCACCAACCCTTCCACCGCCGACGTCCCGAAGAAATCGGCTTCCGATGGCCCTGACGTCAAACGTCTCCCAGAACAAGCCGAAGAGGAAGAGATCCTGGATGGGGAAGAATTAGAAGAGGAAGAGGAGGAGGAAGAGTACGAGGAGGAAGAGGAAGAGGACGACGAGGACGATTTTGAAAAGTGAGACAAATTACACCCCTCGTTGCCGTTATCTCGTTCTAACAATGTCCCACAGCTTCACCACCTCGGAGATAGTCACCGTCTATGTCGGTCACAAGCGCAAACGCTTCTTCCTTCACCGCGAACTCATCTGCCAGCGATCGCCGTTCATGGAAAAATGTCTCAAAAAGGACGCCTTTGACGAGGGCTACAAGAACGAACTCTACCTCCCCGAAGACGACCCGAAAGCCTTTTCGATCGTCGTCGACTGGATCTACCGAAACAAACTGCCGGCGCGCACAGAACCGGCCTTTGACCTGTGTGATTTGTCGGCGTCGTACTGCATGGCCGACAAGTTTGGCATGGAAGAGCTGCAAAACAGCATCATGGACGTCGTCCGAGCCAGCTTCTCCCGACGCGAGGGCGAAGCATTCAAACCCCCCAACTTTTCGGCTCTGGTGCTGACACACCAATTCGGTCCGCCAAAGTCACCTCTCAAGCGCTTCTATGTCGAACACCTCGTGCATCATATGATGAAGCAGCCAAAGTGGTATCACGAGTTGAAGCGCAATGAACCCAACCGGTCGGATCTGGAAGAGATATACAAGATCCCAGACCTGGTCTCGTACGTTTTCAAGAAGATCTGGCAGTTTCAAGGTGAGCCGTGGAAAGATCCCGCGACCTGGGACAAGTGTTGTTACCATGTTCATGCCACGACCGTGTGCCCGGCTAAAGTGGCCGTCGCGTCGATGGCTCGGACCAAAGAGGGTCTGAGCCAGAGTGTGCGGTTGGGAAGTGGATTACCGGGCATCCATCTCGGTCAGCCACAGAGATCGTGGCCTCCCACTGCGATGGGAGTATGGAATCCAGGTGTTGGTTGGTAGAAGAAACAAGTCATGAATCAGAGTGATGAATGAGGTCTGGTCGCCGGTGGATATACAGTCCCTTTTTTGTTCTCCGTTCCGAATAGGTTCTTTTGAGAAGTTGATATTTGCCTTCATTGCAATGTCATGGCGTGCCGGAATTGAGAATTGGGAAAAACATCTTGCATGGCGTTTGTTGGCGATTGGTTTGACGATGACTTGGGATCTACGATCATGATCTATGGCAGCTGATTTTCTGATTGATTTGAGACTTTTGAAGACTTTGATGAACTCAGGTTTGATGACGGCGTACGCACTCTGCATAGCTCCAGTCTTGATTTGAATAAAGGTCTTAGTATCATTGTTACTACCATCAGTCGTTATACGTTGTGGTGTTTTTTCTTCTGATGATTTTCTGCCCTGACCCAATAACTCTGGGTTATCATAGAGATACCATCACAATAAGATGACCCTAGATTTCACCATAGGGCTTATTTTTGAGGGAGGGTGGGAGAGGGAGAGAGAGAGAGAGAGCAGTCGGACTTCGAGAGAGCATCTAACCAACTCCCTGCCTTGGTCTTGGTGAGCGCCCATTGTACCGAGTTTATCGATGATGGCGCTTCGGGGCGTCGCCGATCGCCCAGTTTAAGATTACGAGGCTTGCGCTTGCTCACTTTTTTCCCTTTTCATCTCGGTATCGTTACCTCTCCCGGTTGCTTGTACTCGTTACACGTGCGACTGTGTTTAAACTTTTATTGTTTGGCATTCCACGGGGGACCGCTTCGCGTGCGCAGCGTTTATTCTGCATTTTTGCGTATGGAGTCTGTCGCATTGACTGATTGATTGATCGATTGCTTTGATTGAAACGAGGGGAAATTTCTCAGCAAGCAAGCACCCAAACACACCGAGACACGAGCAACACCACACCACCACCGCCGCCGCCAAAGAACCAGAGAGAGATAGGCCATCGGGATCTGACCAGTTTCTCGCCCCCTCTATGCGTGTCGAGAATCACAAAGTACTACGAAACCCCAGAGTAGCTCATTGAGGACAAAACGTCCATCATTCAACCCGGATCCGGCTATATTATCCTTCGGTGAGCCTGAGTGTGGGCGTGGACATCGGGCGTGTCGTGTCAAGACGGGAAAGTTTTTTTTTTTGTATTGTTGTACAGCATACCGTAGTTTTGTCTTCGAAGCACGCCACACAGAAACCAAAATGGCAACCGAACACACACCGCTCTTGGGCCGCTACAGCTATGGCGACAGCGACGAGTATCCACCGGCCGCCGTCGACCCCCACGAGCAGTTTTGCATGATGGTAGGCATACCGTCGTCGGCCCCAGACGCCGACCAGCAGCGGCGGTACCAACAGCACCAATCGGTCCCGCGCAAGTCGCTGTACGGGCGCGTGACTCGGCAGCTCAGGCACCAGACGTGGACGTACTACACGACGGCGTCGCTGTCCAACGCGATGCTGCTTTCGCAGGTGGTGCTCGGGGCGGCGCTCACGGCGCTCGGGGCCTCCGAGTCGTCGCACATCCTCATCACCGTCTTTGGGGCCATGAACACCGTCATAGCGGGATTGGTGGCGTATCTCAAGTCGCGCGGCCAGCCGATGCGCGCCCGCATGTACCGTGACGACCTGGAGCGCGTGGTCGACGAGATCGAGAACTCCGAAGTCATGTGGCTGGGCATCTCGCGCCACGTGCATGGCTACGACGAGATAGACACCGACGACGGCCAGGTCAGCGTGCGCAGCGAGGTTGCCAGGCTGACCCGCCTGTACGACCGCGCCGTCAGGAACAACACCATAAACAACCCGGACATGTACATGGCCAACGGCGGCGGCTACGACGGCCACGGGGCACAGTTGAGGTCGAGGCCCGGCGTGGCGCTGCCGCCGCAGCTTCAGGGTGGTGGTGGTGGTGCGGTGGTGCCTATCGCAGCGGCACCTCAGCCGGTTGTCGTGGCGGCCCCGGTGGTTCAGCCCAACTTGCCACAACCGACCACTACTGCACCGGCTCAGAATGAAACTGTTCGTGATCCTGATGAGAGTCCTGCAACGGCTCCACCGAAGCCGAAAGAGGCTGATGACGGCGGCAAGAAGGAACAGTCTAAGAAAGAGACAGACGAAGATAACAAAGACAGCAAGGCAGACAACTCTGGTGGCGATAATGGCACGAGTAGAGAGAAGGACAAGGATGGAGGAAAGGATTCGGCCGAAGATACTAATACTAATAAAAAAGAAGGCGATTCGTCTTCGTCTTCGTCTTCGTCTTTAGCTCCGAAAGGAGGTGCCGCCGATCCATCCCCCGTCGAAGGCAGCTCATCACAACCTCAATCACCACCAACACCTCCTACGGAACATGACCCAGACGCTTCACCAGCAAGTGATCCGAACGTGCCTTTGAAAAAGACCTAAACCCTGACTTTGGAATGGATCCTGGTAACGACTTAATGACTATCTATTTAATTTCATAAGACTCCTACGACGTGTACCTCAAGTATGCAACGTCTCATAGCCTAACTATCCATCAAATCATCTCTCGTTCTTCTTGTTCTATCATTCTCTCCCCTTTTCAACCACCCATTCTCAATAACGGATTAAACGCATCTCTCCATGCCTGCACCCTAGGGACGGCGGTCCCAGCCGCAACCTCTTTGATGTCCTTGGACGGGGTTGACTCCAACACCCGCAGCGTCTCGCTGGTATACTCGTCCAGTTCCATCGGGGTGATGGCATGCCACAGGCGGTTGGCGATGTCCAAATCGGTCCTGACGTACGGCGGGACGATCTCGATGACGTTGAAGTTGGCGTAGTCCTTGAGGGACTGCCGCAGCCCGACCATGAACGAGTGCACGCCTGCCTTGGTGGGCGAGTAGACTGGGAACAAGCCCGCGGGGACGAAAGCGATACCGGAAGACGTCATCATGAACGTGGTCGTCGTGGTCGTGGCCGAGACCGAACGAGAGATCAGGTGCGGGATGAAGTGTCGCGCGAGCACGATGGGCGCCGTCAAGTTGACGGTGATTTCGTCGATGATCTTGTCGTCGCTGAACGTCTCGAGGGACTTGAAGCTGCCCTGGTACTGGATCCCCGCGTTGACCCACACGGTGTCGATGTCCGGGTACGTGGACAGCAACGTCTCGGCGTGCCTGGGGATCGCGGCCAGGTCGCGGTTGTCCATGGCGTAGGTCTCGAGGCCCGGGAGTTCTCGAGCGAGGGACGCGAGGCGATCTTCACGCCGCCCGGTGATGATGACCTGTTTGCCCATTTTGTGGAAGGCTCGGGCAAACGATTCGCCTATGCCTCCCGTGCCGCCAAAGATGAGAATCTTGGACATGGAGGAAGTCATGGTTGCTGGGACTGACGGTGCTTGAGAACGGTACTACAGTGAAGAAGGGTTTGATGCAACCCTCAACAACAAAAGATCAAGTGGGAAGCAAAGCCTGTATACAGACGCAGGATGCAGGATGCAGGATGCTATTGCTGGGGAGGATAGAAGATCTTGCCTGCCTCGGAAAGCGTGAGAGAACGACATCTGTAAAGCACCTGCTTCTTCCTCTTATATACCTCGACTTCTCTTCATGGTCATGTTATGCAGTTGACCGGGGATATCGGCGACGCATCTTCCATGACACGGAGTTTACTGTGCTGGAGAGAGTCTTGTGGTGCTCTCCTCCGTCGCTGGTGGGCAGCATGAGGTATTCGGTAGTGGAAAGTAGACACCAAGTGTGGTAGACGTCTAAACCCTTTTCGGCACCTGTTCAGTGGCTTCCCGGCACTAGACCAATTTGGGGGTGTCCGGGGCTAGTGAGGCTCATGAGAGGTAGGGCCAACGAGGCCACGGTCAGGGCTCCTGAACGATGCGAGAAAACAACCAAGGGGTTTGTTTTGGTGCTTGGTGATCGAGGAGGACGCCAGAGACATCCCCTCGGAGGACCTCACGAAGGAACCCCCGAGAAAATCCAAAGGATATCATTGTGAAGTTCGAATTTTACCCCCAACACCAAGACCCCTAGGAGTTGTCAGGTCAAGGCCACATGGCGATGTGAGTCGGCAGCTTCTCCTAGGCGAGACGGGGCACGGGTTCGAATCGCGGTTCAGTCCAAAACATTATTTGTGACTTTACTTCAACGAGGAGGATTTGGCAACTGATCAACAAACTTGGATTTCTTCTTCAACTTCAACTCCTCAACAAGCGGACTTGGGCAATTGGGCAAAGGTCGACAACTGCAGAGGGCAAGGACAACATAGGAGGAGAAATCTGGGAGAGAAAAAGTTGTATGCGCTGCGGCAGGGGAGATTCCAGGGCGAGTACCATCAACCGTTGCGACCTTCAGTGGACCCGGGATGGGAGGCCTCTGGGGGAAAAAAACCCTTACACGACTGGGGTTTTCTTGACTAGGCTCCTATGGGAGATAAATCCTAGTTTAAGTTTTTGCTTCTCTTCTTTTTTTTTTGTGTACTTCTCTCACAGTCAGTGACTGCTGGTGGACGATCTAAACACCAGACCGGCCACTCATGTTCTGTTGAACCTTTATGCGTCAGGGGGTCTATCGATTCTGTCTGCTCCTCCAGTCACTCCGGCGGATACATCATTGACTACTGATAAGTACGCTTGACGATGTTGTGAATTCATCATTCACCATGCCGTGTAACATGCACGGCTTCCCTCGGCGTCAAAAAGCGCAAGGCATCAGGACATGAAACGCCGCCCGTTTGCCTCTTCTTTTGCGGACGTGAAGCGGTCTGCTTTTTATGAAGGAGCTTTTAAAACAGGCTTGCATGGACCGGCTGGTCCCCAAAGGTGAAACTAAATCATGGTACGTACATCTTCTCTCTCCTTTTGCTACACCGCGGCCCATGGCTCTCTCATACTTGGACACGTTCCCTTTCAACGTCACACAGCCGGCCATCGATGTCTTTCTGGACTCGAAGCAGGACGACGGCCAGATCGCGGGCATCACTTACTGGCAAACGGCCAACGCATACACCGCAATCGCCCTCCACGATGCGTGGTCCAACACGTCCACAAACGCCGATCGGCTGGACGAGCTGGTCGCCATGGTCCAGAACGCCACCGGGGACTGTATTAACGACTACAACGACGACAGCATGTGGTGGGCCATGGGCTTGTTGGAGCTGTACGGGGTCACGCACGACGCACGCCACTTGGCCGTCGTCGAGAATATCTGGAGCCACGTCGTGCCGTCGATGATTGCTCCGGGACAGCTCGTCATCGACAGCGTCGACATGGCCGGCGGAGTCCTGTGGTCGGACCTGAGCGACGAGACGCAGGTCAATTCCATCACGACGGGACTGTTCGCGGAACTCTCGGCGCGTCTGTCGACCCACGCCGAAGATGCGTCGGCGAGGGACTTGCTTCTGGAGTACGCGATTCTGAGCATGGACTGGATCTACCGCTGTCGGTACATCGCGGACGACTATCTCGTTCTGGACCACATCGACATCCGGACCGGGGAGACATTCGACGCCAATCTCACGTATAACACCGGACAGGCGATTGCGGCGTCAGTTGCCATATACGATGCGGCTGTGAAGAACGACACCGGTGGTACGATTACGATAACGGACACAGATACAGATACAGATACGGACACCGGTGGTGGTGGTGGTGCTTCTTCGGCCACGATGCAAATGTACCTGGACCAAGCGCGTCTGATGGCCATGTACTCGATGAACAGAACCAACTGGGTCGACAGGGACGGGACACTGACGGAACGTGACGCGTATCCCGGCCCAGGTGACGATCCGCTGTCGCCGTGGCAGGATGACGATGCCGTTGGGTTCAAGGCCATCTTGCTCAGGAACTTGGTGAAACTGTACAAGGTGTTGAAAAGGGATGGGATAGACGTCGGCCTGCAGGGCGAGATTGCGCAGTTTGTCCGGCATCAATTTTGGAGATTACAGGATCGAGATACCAACGGACGAGGTCAGTATGGGCCTTGGTGGGCAGGGCCGATGGACGCAGTGACCAGTCATAGTCAACTTGCCGCTTTGGACGTCATGGCTGCTATCCATGCTGTGGTGTGATGGGACGTGGTGTGATATGATGCCGAGCTGCGTACCTAACCAGTAGGGCTTAGTAGGGCTGAGAGGGAGAGGGTGAAATGGTTGTTCACGAGGACTTGGAACAAAGGATACAGGTAGATAGAGTTGTGAATACAGAGCGCTCATACAATGCAGCGCAAGGCCATCTACGATTGAAGATGAAGGGTACATGGTGTACACGACATACAATATGTACCCTGGATAGGTGGACACCTCCTCAAGTCTTTATCAATAACTAGCTAGTGTTTTGAGCAATTTCAAATCCCCCCCCCCCTTTCTTACGTTATATATGTGAGGGGCACCTCGTCGCCTAAGACTGCACAAAACCGTATACGATATGAACAAGACATACTGTAGGGCAGAGGATTGGTAATCAAAAGAACCAAAAGCATCTTTTGACGGAGGAACATCGTTCCACTGGGTCGGAGACTATTTTTTGCACCTTGCAATACAAGGCATTCCAGATTAGGCTCTTGCTATCTCCTGTCTCCGCGCTTTCGTCCATTGTCGTCGCCCCGTGCTCCATGTACAGTGCGCAAGTGCAGCAGCGTCCGGGAAACATCACTCGTGGCAAGGTCGAAAGAAAAAAAAAATAAGGGAAATCCCCAGGTACCTGGATAGCTAACCCACGTAGGCATCACATAAGACGACGGTAACATTGGTCGGGTCCCATACGGAGGTACTGGTCTCGTACCAATAACTCCGTGCCTTCTCTTGGATCAACGCTGCAGACCGTAGACCGTAGACCGTAGACCGCGGACCTTGGTAGTTTCGAAGTATGTATGACCTCAGCCGTCTTCCCAAAAGGGTTACTTCGTTCTTATTGGTTGAGATGCTTGATGAATCCACATTATGTCTCCCCCTGATCTCAACTAAACTTTTGTTCTCAGAGGTGACGATGAGAAATGTCATTGGATGTTGACGAATGAGCCGAGAGATGAGATGTTGTGATACCCGTTACGATACAGAGACTTGGCAAATGGCTCCATCATCTACCTGTACATACGAGCACGACGTGACGGAGTTAAAAGTGTTTCGGTGGTGGTAGTAGTGACTTGTCACATTACCTCCTAAGGACTCGGTGCTCGTCGTTAAATTGCGTTCAGCCTAACACGCCGGAGCGGGAAAAAAAAGCATATTGTAGTCTTGTGGTCGCTATGAAGGTGAATTCGAGGAAGAAAGAAAAAGAGGAAGGGAAAGGAAAAGGTATAAAATAGGAAGAAACCCCCTTTTCTCGCTCTGTCCTGGCAAGTAAAGTGGTTTCGTTCTCAATCTGTTTCTTCCTTGACCTCAGGTATCCGTGTCCTTTCAACTCCTTGTCCTGGTCCTCATTCTGGTCGTTGTCGTTATCGTTATCAACGTACGACAACCCAAGGCAGTAAACCCCACAGTCATCAACCACCATGGCCACCGGCGCCACCAACACGACGCGCAAATACACTCCCAAGCTATCAGGAACATCCGTTCTTGTCATCGGCGGCACATCCGGGATCGGGTACGGCGTCGTCGAAGGGCTGATCGAGCACAAGGTGTCCAACGTCTACATTTCGTCGTCGCGCCAGTCCAGGATCGACTCGACCATCGCGCGGCTCAAGGGCACGTACCCGGACGCACTAGGCACCACCACACGCGTCACCGGGATCGCGTGCGACCTCGGCGACGAAGCGACACTCGAGTCCAACGTCAAGGCTCTGTACGCTTCAATCCCGGAGCCGCTCAACCACGTGGTCTTCACCGCCGGGGACGCGCTGGGCATCAAGCCGCTCGACGACGTCGACCTCGGGTTCTTCAAGCAGTGCGGCATGGTGCGCTTCTTCGCGCCGTTCTTCGTGACGAAGTACGCGCGCGAGCGTCTCGTGCCGGGCGTCGCGAGCAGCGTCACCCTGACGACCGGCGGCGTGAGCGAGAAGCCCTCGCCGAACTGGGCCGCCATCACGCCCTGGATGACCGGCCTGCACGGCATGTGTAGGCAGTTCGCCCTCGACCTGGCCCCCCTGCGCGTCAACATCGTCAGTCCAGGCGCCGTGAGGACAGAGCTGTGGGACACCGTCATCACAGACCCCAAGGTCCGCGAGGCCGCGATCGAGACGTACGCAAAGAAAATGGCCACGGGTCAGGTCGGGAACGTCGACGACGTCGCCGAGTCGTATCTCTATCTCATGAAGGACAAGAATGTCACGGGCACGGTGATCAGGTCTGATGGTGGGGCGTTTTTATTGTAGAAGAAGGGAACAAGGAACAGAAGGAACGAAAGAATCGAGAATTCGGTGGCATCGTCTCGCAGATGGTGTGATAGGTGACCGTATTAGGTCCTTGCTTGCCGTGAGAGTGAATCTCTGAGGAATCGGAGATGCAGAATGCAAGAATTCAATATCAAAATCTGATCATCTCGTCAGAAACGGTGCTCCGAGTACTTGTGTATATTTGTACGATCCAGTGAAGCGGGCGGATACTGAAGTTTGCTGTGAACACCACAATTCACCTACTAATGTCTCTTGCTCCCTCACTCTCGCCCAAGTAGCCATCCCACACCGGCCGTTTTGTCCGTCTTCCATTTCTGAGCCAGCGCCGTCATTCCAAATGCAACCCAAAACGCATGCGGTGCGCCAGGGTAAATGGAGACACGAGTCTGGACGCCGAGATTCTCCAAGACGTCCGCGTAGATCAACCCGTCGTCACGCAGAATGTCCATCCCGCAGACGGAAAAGTATGCTTTATCAGCGACACCGGCGTGCCGGGACAACGGCCTCGTGTTCAAGACCACATAAAGCGGCGACATCTGGTCTCCCTGGTACGCCTTGTCGAAGAGGGCTTTTGTGTCGGCGTCGAGAATTGGTGCTGCGAGACACGTCTTGTCGTGTCGTGAGCGGTATTGCGACTTGTATTCGTCCGGGACGTTGTCGGGTGAAATGAACGACGGCGCGTCAAAGTATAGACCGGTCACTTTGGGAAGCCGGGTTGCACTAGTAGAAGTAGAACTACTAGTAGCAGTAGTGCCTGTGGCGGCAGCGGCAGCGTCTTTGGCCTGTAAGGCGACGATGCTAGCGAGACGTGCGCCCTGGCTGACTCCGCCAATCAACAAGCCAGCGGAAGCGTCTGTAGTGCTGGAAATGTGCGCGAATGCATCCCATGCATCGTGGACACCTGTGGGCCACGGGTACTCAGGGGCAAGACGGTACTGTGGACTCACGACTACGATGTTGTGCGCAGTAACTAGATCACGCGCCACGGAGCAGACGGAGTATGCGTTGCCCATGCTCCCGCCGCCGCCGTGCCAGTAGATCAGGAGCGGGAGGGGACCTTGAGTCGTCGGGGACGGTGTCGCAGGTTGGAAGACGTGGTAGATGAGTCGGAAACCATCGCGGGCGGTGAATTCGTGCTTGGATTCTGCGACTTCAGGGATCGGTGGCGGTGGAGGGAACAATGCCTCGAGATTGCGGAGTTGGCTGATACCTGCTTCGACGGATGATGTGTCGATTTTGGGAATAGGGAATTTGCTCGACTTGAGAATCTGGACAATGTGTCAGCATGATTGACAGGCCACAGGTGAGCAGAGTTGTCGTAGATCAGGGCGATTAATAGTTCAGACGGAGGCATTCCATACATCATCGATCCCTGGGTCAATGACTGCGAGAGCGTCGAGCTCTTCTGGGCTTCGTGTTGGCATTGTGGTTCGGTGCTGCAGTTGCTCTCAAAGTTCCTCGTCAAGTGTAATGCACCTGGTGATATCGCATGCAAAACCTCCGAGCGTAGATCGTTGGATCCGGCAGTAAGAAGCCGTGGGCGTGGGAAGGGTGTCTCTCTGGTTGATATAGCACACCATTGCCCATGCGGCTATGCCTTTGATTGTTAAGCATCAAATGAGATTCGATGGAAATAAGGCCATCCGCCCGGATACTCGATATGTTGGCAGTGCCGAGCGGAACGAGGAAGATGGCACAATCCGAACAAAGGAAGAATAGTTGACCCGAGATACGAGAATATACGAGCTGCCGGAGCCGTTACTAACTTAACTCCGCCACGTGAGGTCTGTCCATCACATCTACCGTAAGGGTAGTCCGTATGGCCCTGGGCGCCCAAGTGTCTTAGTCATAAGCTTCCGTTCAGGCTACGAGGACACTGTACGAGTACAAGCAGTTTATTGGGTGTAGGGCCACAAGGCTGAGCATGCATACAATTACACTTTTGACCCCTATTCCCCCCTGTCGATAAACGAGCGACCGAACTCGACCCTCGCTCAACCGCATCGCTCACCCAAGTCAATTCGGGCCCATAGCCGCATCATAACCCGAGTCTCGCACATGCCGCAAATTGAGGCTTTTCTTCTACGAGACAAGAACTAGACGTCAGGTCATTCTCGCCACGCAGTGGAGCGCCAGGTCGGCATCTTTGGCGGTCTCTCACCTGTGCGTTTACTGTAACCTTGCGTTCTGGACATTTCCCACCTCGCTTCGTCAATCGCTAGTAGCATGTTTGCTAAACAATCGTGCCTCGACACAGCTTCACATATCTTGATGAACGCCTTGAAGTTGGCATACGTTCAAGGTGTGAGAGGTTGTGAAGCCCTGCAGGAGTGCGATCACATGTGTGTACATTGCGCACAAGATAGCAATATGGAAGATCTGGTGAGAGCTTCCCCAGATATCGAATGTACCTGGCGCCAAACGCTCCGGGATCCGAAACTGTAATCAATAGAAGTCAGTTAAGAGTAAAAACGAACCGACGTAGTGAACCCGCAAACATACCGCGTACAGTCCAACTCCGATACCATAGAATGCAAGCTCAAGAAGATACCACTTCATGCCCGAGTACTTAAGCATATAATAGAGTCCGTATCGCTGAACTCCATGTAGCAGAGGTATGAAGGATGATGCACCAAAAACAACGAAGGCGCTCACTTTGACTTTTCGCCAACGTGGCGTTCGGAGCGAGGGATTCGAGATTAGAATACCCGTGACAGTGCCTGTGGTCAGAATCTGAAAAATTTTCTCAGCGTATAATCATAATTATCTATAATGACTCACAATCACCCAGTGCAACTTTTGCAAGCTCGCTTCACAAAAGAAGATATAGTAGATTCCTGAAGAGAACGTCCCAACTGTCACTATGACAATCCCAAGCAGGTCTATTACATGCAAGAACTGTTCTGCATATTGTGAATAAGGTATCATTAGATGGTAGAGTGTGCTTAAGATCAAACAGATCCCAGCACACCAAAAGTAGATACCAAACATTGCATAGTCTGTGGATGAGACATGGAGAAAGTGAGGTTGGTCAAGGTAACGCAGAAAGACAGTAGCGACAAGTAGTAAAAGACCAGTCCCAATCAAATGAGTGTACACATTGCACGTCTCATTGTGCAGAAAAGTAAGGCTGGCGAGGATCTCTAGATAGTCTGCTTTCTCGCGACGATAGCCACTGAGGATGTACTTATTGTCGAGATGCCATCCGGAAATCTCTAGCCATGTCACGGTTTTCGCAGATGCCTTTGTATTCTGCGTGGGATGGGGATCGCTGGTGGTGCTCATGTTGCCATTGACTGGCGGGACTTGGCGCCATCTGAGTTCTGCTCCTGACATAGCCCGTCTCTGGAGATATTGAAGCTGTGATAAGGCGAATGATCGTAGGAAGATGGGTAGAGGAGTTGGATTAATGTCGCAGGAGTTGTGAATTTAAATGTTAAGCACGCCTGCAGTATTGACAACAAAGTCCTTTTTTGTTGGCGCTGAGAAGGGTGAGACAGGATTGAATATCACCTCCACTGATCCGTACTATCTTGAGCTGAGATACGGATTGGTGAACAACCAATTCGAAGGCCTGGGCAATCGAGTCAGAGGATTTGAAGTTTGTGAAGGTGCAAACGACGACAGAGCCGCTCAGTTTACTTGCGGTAGACACTTCAATTATCTGTGTTGACATTTTTTGCAACATTCCATGCAATTATTAACATGGCCCCCTTCATTGCGCGCCTCCAGTACCTGACGACGCGCAAGCTCTGGCCTTTTAGCCTCGCACCTCTTGTGTGCATGCTAATACAAAGGTTAGTCGCAGAGCTTGCGCCGCGATGTGCCTTATCCAAAGCTTCAAGCTATGCGCAGGACTGTCGAGCGTTCTAGCCATGATCGGCACACCAATCCAGGCGGCACCATTCGCGTCAGCAAAGGGAAACGAGAGAACGACGTTGTCATTCAGGAACTTTCGCATCCGGTCAGCGAAGCAAAGAAGCGCCGAATCTTACTTCGTGAAGACCCAATTGCTGTCGACAACTTCAAAGACTTCGACGCCGCCATCTCATACCAATGCGGAGACGGCATGTATTTTTAGATACTGGGTAAAGAACACACTGGAGATGTGTCTGCCAGAAGTGCTCAGGAGGAGTGTGAGACTTTTGTTGCCACTACAGAAGAGGGGTTTCAGCCTGAGACCAGCTTTGAAGTCTTCTTGGGCGTACGCTCTCTGCTTGCGACTACACTGCAAGAAGCAAAAATCACAGTCAGGTAAGCTTCGTGTCTCGTGAGCGTTCGGCAATGAGTCTCGCCGACAGTTCCGCCGCAGGGACATAGGATATAATAGAAGGAGAACGCATGTGAGCCTACGGCCAGTGGCGAATCTGATTTTGCGCACATATATGGAGGAATGTTGCCGGCGACGACGCCAGGGACGGTCGGAGCAGGCGAAGGGGCAGTTACATGATGTCCGCCAAGTATCTAGGCTTGGCATTATTATTGCATCGGGATTCGATATACTCCGCACTACACATACTGCATACGCTGAACATTCGTTGATAGGAAAGCCCCCTTATTGTCCAGCCAACGCTTACTGCATCAACACCACAGCTTCGTTGAACGTTACGTCTATCCTCCGTCGGAGATTGTCTCATCAAGTTTCTCTATTGTGGAGGCACCGGCCGACTGTGATCAAGCCGCTCTTGTATACATCTAGGAGTCCAATCATCCGACATGTCAGATACGGCGGCGATCCTCGACACACACACCGACGTCGACCCGTCCATCTCTCACCCACCCCAGTCATACACATACTATCACGCCGGGCCACTGTTCACACTCGCGGAACTGCACACAAACACGCTCCTCTCTCAGGCCATCCACACAAAGTCGCAAGGGAAGTTCATCCCGGTCCTGCCCCAGGACCTCGAGCAGCGCGATCTGAGCCCGCACTCGATCCGCGATGAGGACCTCCGCGCTCTGCTGTCCTGCGACCTGGCCATGTTCACCTACGACGGCGCCGAGCTGGACGCGGGCACGGTCGTCGAGTACATGGTCGCGAAGATGGCGGACATCCCCGCCGTGATCTTGCGGTCCGATTTTCGCGGGGCCGGCGACCAGGGCGGCACGGGCGACGCGTGGAACCTGATGAGTTCTTGCTGGCCTCGGACCGTCGGTGTGTCCGTCGACGCCATGGTCGAGTACAAGTCCGCCCTGGCGAGGAGTATGCACCAAGCCGGCGCCGCTGCCAAGGGAACGGACCCCGCGAGTAGCATGATCGACGAAGTGGCTCAGAGGGTGGTCGACGGGTTTGAGAAGGTCTTGAACGAGCCTCCTCGACTGCCCAAGGAGCTCAGAGAGAGCGTGTATCAGTGGTTGGCGATCATGCCCGGGTTCAAGAATGGCGGAGATGAGCAGAATGCCAAACTTCTCGCCAAGCTGTGTCAGGATAAACAGGCAAAAGGTCTGTTATGAAACATGTTATGCTCGAGCATCATATTGGCCATCAGCTAGAATCCATGTTGTCACAAAACCAAAATCATCATACTGTTTCATCCGCAAGCAGACGTCTCCATTGTTTATTATCTTTGCAAGCAATCCTGTTTGACTTCAATTCAAACTGGGTCGCGCAGTGGGACCTACGCCTATCCCGACGTCAAGGTCCTGAGCTTTGGTCTTGTCTGATTACATTGAGAAAGATGTCCTCCCAATCCGTCTGTACGATTGTATAGTACTCAATCCCCAGGCGCTGTTTACTCGTTTCCAGGAGCCGGAATGTCGTCGCTAACACGCTTGCGTCTCCTCTCGTGGATCCCTCGGATCCCTCAGGATGTCGTGGGATCCAGAACCGAAGCTGCCCGTGAAGCATTTCTCGCTCCACCACCGCTCCGGGCACATTCTGCTGAATCCAGTCTTTCACTTTGTTCTTTGCCATTGTTTCCTCTGCCTCGGCGGAGGTACTTCTTCCGAGCATGACGTGGACATGGAAGCCGGTACCATATCGCCTGCTCAAATCTCTCCTCTCCCCAACGGCGAGCATGTGTTTGTTCATGATGCCCACTCGATCCGCCAACGCCACAACCTCCTCCATGCTGTGCGTGGTGATCATGATGGCCATCTGCCGGTCCCTGCTCATGTGTCTCACCGCGTCGAGCGCCTTCCACATGACTCGCTTACTCACTGCGTCTAAGCCGCTGCTCGGTTCGTCGAGCAACAGCACCTTGGGGTTTCCGATCACTGCGATCGCAAGCGACATCTTCCGCTTGTTGCCGCCGGAGAGAGTCGTCGCCAAACGCCGTGAGTATTGTTCGAGCCCTACGACCTGCATGATGTGTGTGACCGTGGGCTCCACCAATCGCGGTGGTATGCCGGCTGCCCGCGCATAGAACCTCAGGTGCTGACTCACCGTGAGCATATCGATCGCGTCAAATTGAGGGCAAACTCCCAGCGAGAGCAGGGCATCGGCTCGCTGACGCAAGAGTGAATGACCATCGACGAGTACATCTCCAGCTGGACTCGAGGCGGTTTGACTCGGTTGCGTTTGTCCACGTATCAGGCTGAAGGTCGTCGTCTTCCCTGCACCATTAGGGCCCTTCAACGCCGAGTTAGCTTCAAACGCATCACTTCGCAAAATAGGGGCACTCATACCAGTAAAGCAAAGCACTCGGAAGACTTAACGCCGAAAGTCAGATCAGAGACCACGGGATTGTGTGCGGAAAATGACTTGGAAACGTGGAGGACTCGGAGTGCATCTCCAGGTGAGTTCTCCGCCCGCTGGGTTTCTGCCAGAACATCTGGACCATGCTGACTTTGTTTGACGCTGCTTTGTACATGGGAAGTCCGTAGGCTGCTGTAAATTTTCTTGAAACGCGGGCCCAGCGAAGCTAGAAGGCCGCTGTCACAGCTGACCAAGATTATATAGAATACGACACACTGCAGAGCGAGGTAGACAATTGGTGCTCCGTAGATGGACATACTTCCTGGCGCACGATACCTTGATCCCTGACACAGCAGCTGAGATTGATTCAATCCAAGCAGCAGTGCACGGAGAAGACTGCCCGATGGCATGAATAGGCCCAGAATATATTGTATCGTGTTGAGGTTGGTTTGCAAATCATCGGCCACGCTGAAAGCAACCATAACTAGATAGCTATATGGAGAAGGTCAGTCGTCGTTTGCAAATTGACAATTTGAGGAGCAAAGTAAAAGTGATGACCTACACAATGAGGTAAAGCAGTAACGATATCGCCTGGTAACCAGCCGCAAAGGCAAAGGCTCCCAATTGAATCGAGACAAATAACGAGAAAATGTAGGCCAAAAGCGTGGCTGACAGTCCGTAGAAAAAGAAGACTGGCCACAGGTAGGAAGTGAAGTGCCACACAGAGCTCTTGGCCTGGGTAAAGACAATCAACGAGATGGTGCTAATGGCCACCACGAAGATGCCGTCGAATAAGAGGTGCCCGAGCCACAGAGGACCGGGCCGCACACCGTTGCTATACTGTAGCTGTTTGACGTTCCTGGTTCTTTCAAAACTCGGATAGAGAGCAAAGAGTCCGGGCGTGATGGACATGGCAAGCCCAAAATAAATAATCATCTGCAGGGAATCTCCCGGTGCGGCACCAATGGGCAAAGCAAAATTCAGGAAAGTCGAAGAAACACTGGTATTCATCAAGTATGCATCAGTCGCGGCCATCATGATTGCCGCGTACTGCAATCCACCATCGATGCGATACGCCATAACGGGACCTGGGAACGAGTCGTTGCCCAGATAGAAACCCCCGGGCTCGATGGTGGAATACTGTGCGTGGAGAAACGAGTTCCAGTCCGGGTAAGAGTCTGTGGTGACCATGTTTGGAGACAGGCCCGGACCAAGAGTAGCGCTTGATGCAGAGACGCCAAGCATGTTCTGGAGGCGGTCGGTATCGATGTTGCTTGCTGGGCCTACAGGGAACGCATGGCCAGAGTAGTCCGAAATCGACGCGGTGACAGGCGTAAGCGATAGATCGTTGGGCGAGCAGGTGATGCCGCCAAACCCGGTCAAGAATGAAATTGACAATCCTGCTGTTATCGAAGGGATCGCCAAGGCAAACAAATAAGGCATCCAGTTGTGTGGGAAGACGGCAAGTCTCTTGCGTACCAGAAACCAGAGTTGACCGACAAATCCGGTCGTTCGGCCATCAGGGAGTCCCAGTGGGTTTCCACGGTCATCGGGGTTGGTATTGCTCTTGGGGTGAATGGAGAGCAACTCAATCTCGGCGGTGTCACTCGAACGAGTTCTGTCCGTTCTCTGCAACCGGGCCAGCTTGGGACCTGAAGGTACAGATTCTGGCTCACTCTCTGCTTGGTTGAGAAACACTTGTTCAAGCGTTGGGCCTTGAATCTCGAAGGTATGCAGTCCCCTTGACGCGAGTATCGCCATTAACCTTCCAGCATCAACAGACTGAGCAGCGTAAAAGGTGTGAGACGCTCCCGCTTGTTCATGACGGAGAGCATGGTCTGCACCAATCTCGAGGCGGCCGTTGTATTGGAGGTCAATCTTATAGGTTCCGCCGCATTGCCGCTTGAGTTCAACTGGCGAGCCCTCCAGTTTAACACAGCCTTTCTGGAGAATGACGATATGGTCAGCAAGAGCGTCAGCCTCGTCGAGAGCATGTGTTGTGAACAGTAATGTCCGACGGCCGCGCTCCGCAAGGAGTATATCCCAGACCTTTCTCCTGGAAACGGGATCGAGACCGGAGGAGGCTTCGTCAATACAGCATATCTTACTTCCACCTGTGAACGCCATGGCTAATTGCACTTTACGTTTCTGACCACCTGACAGTGTCTTGGTACGCGAATCTGCTTTGTCGGTCAGATCGCACGACTCTAGCATCTCTTGCAGCATAGGCTTTGAACGCCGGTCAGAAATGGCCTTCAGCTCATCAAAGACCTTTATGTGCTCAAGAACTGTAAGTTCATCCCAAAGGACATTTCTCTGTGGGCAAAATCCCATCCCTCCTGCATCATCAAGTTCGACGGTCCCCGAGGTGAACTTCTCTTGAGCAGTGATGGCTGAAATAGTCGTCTGTAAAATGCACATTAGCTACCTGACCGTGGTAGTCTTGCCGGATCAACTATAAAGGCAGAGTGCTGGACGGTTATATAGACTTACAGTTTTGCCAGAACCATTCTCCCCAAGCAATGCCACAAGCTGACCCCGTAAAGCTGTGAAGCTAACATCCCTGACTGCGTATACGGTCTCGTCACTTTTCCATCTTAGACATCGAGTCAACAGGCTTGGGTCGTAGGTCTTCGACAGGCTTTTCAGTCTTAGGGCGTATGGTTTGTTTTGAAGGCGATCGCCAGCTACAGGGGACAAGGCCGCAGTACCGTAGTGCCAGCGTTCCGCCCACAGTGTCAACAGGGGGAATATGATGATTTGAACCACACCTGCAGCTAAGTAGAAATACCCGGGGAGAGTACTCCGTGCGGTCAATGAAGCCTGGCTGAAATTGGCGGGCTCATTCTGTCCTTCGGCCGCGGCAACATAGATCATAAACAGGACATAGTTGATAGGTGGGAATACAAGACAAAGGACGATAACCGCGACGTAGAAGCCAGGCACCGCCCACTGCGCAACGACGGCCAAGATACAGGAGAAAACAACAATGGTAATCCCGGAAAGTCGAGCTTTACTGAAGAAGCTCACTAACAAGGCACTGTATCCAGCCAGAGATAGGCAAGTGACGATATGAAAGATAGTTATAATGCCAACCGACGTGCGAAGAAAGATCCGAGTGGCAATGATGACACCGACACCGATACTGGCGGGCATGTAGACCAAACTAAACGCAGAATTGGCTGCGAATATTCGTGCGGCAGAGGATTGCCATTGAGCCGGCTGCGGGTTCATCGTATCGATCAAAGCCGACATGCCAATTTCACGCTCTGTGGCGATATGTCCAGGAAGATGGTATGTGATGCCGCACATGGCAATGAAAATGACGAGTGCCAGGTAATGCTCCAACGCCGACATGAATTTCCCTTGCACCTGGTCTTGACGCTGCTGGAAGGTTTGAGAGGTAAAGGGGTATTGTAGCACATCCTGGGTAAGATGCCGACCAGATACATTTGCAATTGCCGAATTGATGGCATGAACAAATGGCAAGGCATACACTTGTGCGTCATTTTTGTCCTGATTGACGTGAACCCGCGATCCAAGTGCCCAGTCTGTGTAGGCAGAAAAATCCCAATGCGAATCGCTGCCACTGTCGCCAGGTGAGCCCCAGAAAGACACTGCTCCATAACATCGAGTTGTTCCGGTCAGGGATGAGCGACACAAGTCGGACAGATCGGATTCGGAGGCGGCATGCTTGACGTCGGCGCCGGCAGCCAGGTAGGTAGATGACAAATGGTCTATCGCTGCCTCGATAAGCCCACCGGCGTAGTTGTTATTAATGAGGACAATTCGGTCTCGGCTTGACTGAGCAGCGAAGGCACTGGCGGGAGTGCGTATGGCATTGGGTTCACCGAATCCGTATTTCGACGGCGGTAGGAAGAAATTTCGCACGTAGGAGATGAGCAGAATATACAGGATAGGAAGGATCAGGGCCCGGACGAGTGTCGAAAACCAATGGCGCCGAACCACTATCAGAATGTTCTTCTTGAAGAGCGCCCAAGTCTGGTACAAAAAGACAGAGAAAGCCATAGTGCGCCTGGTGTGATACACCTGGTCCTACATCGGTTGCGCATCTGCGACGAGCAGAACACTGGCAAGTTATAATTTGTAGGAGCATAGCCATCTTTCAGGATCGCGTACTTCGTGTTGAAAGCACGGCCCTCAGGGATTGCCCCTTACCAGATCAACGACCGTACCTACCGTTCTCTGTGTAGTATTCTCATTAAGGTAAGTCAAAGTGTAAAATGGAGTTAGAATGAGACAGCGCGTCTAACGTGAAACATGATCACAGAATGCACAGCCACTGACTGTGCGCAACAGGTCCCTCGACTCCCTACGTCAAGCAGTTCGGGGAATTCGCACTTTTCAAATCCCGTCCGTACCGAGGACCGTACGAGGGAAAACTTACGATGTACAATTCTGTATCCACTCATTGAGCCGAGCGACACTGTAGAAGCAGATGTACTGTAAGTCCAGGAAGAAGGTTTTCAATAGGTCGCTATAAGGAGCAGGCAAGGCAGACTTGATTGCTGCTGGTGAAGAAGGTGGGGATGGCTCGTATTGTAGACCGTCTGTGGCCAATTTGGGTAACTAGTGTTGTTGTACATAGCTTGAACGGCTGCAGGTGATGTTCAATCATACATAAGTGGGGAGAGGGAGAAAATGAACGGCTTGAAGGGGAGTCGGGGGGGTACAACAGATGATGGGGTGAAGCGACCGTCGTATCCGCGAGGCTTCGGTCTTCGTGCCGCCCATCGAATCGCCCCCAACGCCAGAAACGCAACCAAACAAAAATAGACCCAGAAAGAATTACGTGGCAGTTTATAAACTTCAACTAGAGGAACGCTAGACCTCATAGCAACCGTTCGTCGAATCTTGTCAAAAGCGAATGGCAATCTTGTCTGCGTTTTGACGGCGGAGCTCCCGTCTCATGATGTTCTGTGCACCTGTTATAATTCCCTATCAGGATGCATATCCCTAGCCCGTATGAGCCAAACCTTGTCAACTTGTCACGAATGATATCAGTATAAAGAGAGGACAGAGAAGTTTCCAGCCTTATGGAAAGTCGAATAAGGCATGTTGCACAAGTCCATCAACACTAATTCTCGCTCTCAAACTGCACAAAGAATCGGACTCGGCAGGGTGAACCGGGAGGTGTAAACGCTCGTCAACCCACAGTTATCATAAGCAGATCTTGGATAATGACAGTTGCCGAATGTCACCTCCCTCGTAGGCTCGATGACCGAACTGATTTGAGATATCAAACTCTGAAGATGCCAATAGGCGAGGCTGTTGGTGAATGTTTGCAGATGGTACGGAGTACAAATAACCAAAGGGATAAGCCTAGTTCAACAAAACGAGCGTGCTTAGGTAGATAGTTAGATGTCGATCTGCCATTAAGAGTATGGAACCAAATGGATAAGGGTTGCTAAATTCATCTCCCCCTTCGAAGAGCAGCTGGACGGTACGACTAAGATGTGCTGATGAAATCCAACACAGCGAACAATAATGATGTCTCAACTCGACAACCTTCGTCCTGATGTTTCCCTCGCCGGAACCCTTTCTGAAGCCAACCTCGAATAGCGTTTTCATCCATTCCTCGAACATTCTGTTGTGCAATCAAAATGGATGCATGACTACAAGGTACTGTGGATTCCTCTTGGATGGCTGGATAGGTCTTGCAGTCTAACTCCGGACCTAAGGGGCCTACACAGGCCTCCTCGGATTGGCCGGCGATTGTGTCGTCTTTAAGGGCTGATATAGATCCCTTGTCCATATCTGCCTTCTCTTGCGGAACGATATTGGGCTCTGGGACATGGAAGAGATGTACAAGGGCTGGCGCTATGAAACCTGGTGATGGTTGCGGCGGAGGAACTATTGGGGTGAAAGATCCGTCTACGACTGTAGAATTCGTGGCCGCCAGGGAGGGTCGAGACCCGGAATTTGTAGTCATCTTGGGAGAGCGGCCGGTGTCTGGGACCCATGATGGGGTCCTTAGTGTCTCGTCAACCAGTTTTCCCAGCTGTTGTTCTTCTGTTGGTGTCAACGACTCCAAAGCCACATTTCCATCAGGATGCTCCTTAGCAGCACGGTGCTTCCAGTATCTGCAATCACTTTCTAGTTCCGCAATCTTCGCTCTTGCCTGGACAAGAAGATGTTCGCTATTGTCGACCTTTTCTTCAAGGAAGGCAATATACTGTCGTCGTCGTTCACGGTGACGTCGCTGATTGTTGCGCACCCGGATCAGTGTGTGTGCAGGTGTTTTGTTTTGCGTCTGCCCCACAGAAATAGACTGATTATCTGTTAGGTACATCTTGTCCCAGAAAACTATTATATCGATTGAACTGGTGAAAACTGACAAGGCTTGCGATTGAGATCACCAGAGGCGTTTCAAAAAGCCAAAGACTTGGATGGACGTCGCCAAGATCGGTGACATATCGACATGCACCAAGCCATTACCGAAGGAGGATAGCCCTTTACACCTCGCAGCGGTCTGACATCTCTGCCAACGGCCCTCAGAACGGCCGTCGTTAGGAGACGCGATCAACGAATCAAGCCCACAATGGAAACCGCTGGGCGGGATTGGTTGAAAGGTGAACATCAACCGAGAGGCCGCATATAGACTGTGCGAATGCTGAAAAGTGCGCCTTTTGCCTAAGCCCTCGACAGCCTTCGCTCCAAATTATGCATTACCTAGAAACGCCGGAGGAGGCATGTGAGCCACCATAGCGACTGAAACTCTCACAGCTGGAAGTCCCCACGGTGAGGCAGAGTGTAAGATAGGCGATCAGTTATTCTTATTTCCGTTCTTGGATCGATACTTGATTGAACGGCCAAGTAAATACTATGTTATTTGCACCCACCACGGAGTACAGTCCTCCGCGGAGAGCCAGCACGTCTCAATTCCCTGTTGTCCTTAAGCCTACTGTTGTTCGGCTGTTTCGAGCAGGGTTTCATTCTCACAGGATCCCCTGAGTCCCATCCACACACAGATTGATCTACCCGGATTCCTGGAATCCTCTTGTGCACCGTTTGAGACAGATACTAGGTGAACTAAGTGGCGTCTCGACACCAGCAGCAACACCGGATGTTTGTTTCTGGCTTCCGTAAACAGACTTTCCTTGACTTACCCCGTTTCTTGTTGATGTGTATACAGAGAACTAAAAACTCGGAAACCAGAGCTGTGCAATTACCAAGATTGCCAGTCTATACGGGATCTCGAACAGCAGTCAAACACAAATTCGAGGTAAACGACCAAAACGCAAGGTAGGATTAAAGAAAGGCATTCCCTAAGGTCTTATTGATCGTATTAATGGCTTCTGACAGTTCAGAGCCTGAAAACATGCGGACTTTCGAGTTCAGCAACTTCTTTTGCTTCGTGTGGGGAAGATTCGACCAAAGTTGCAAGAAGCCTGCGTTTCAACTGAGAGGGAGTGACTCATGCTTTGATGGCATAGATCTTGAATGAACCTACATCACGTTTAGCCAATGCTGAGGACTACGGGCAGGACAAGGTATTGTCGTACGTACCCGCCCACTCATTGAAATCCAAAGCAGCAAAGTCGTTTCTGCTGGCTTCGAAAGCATCATTTTGCTCGGAACCCTGGTTATCACAACCAGGAGACGACTTCTCACGGCATGGGCTCTTCGCGTCTGTACCACAGCATTGGCTTGAAGTTTCTGCCCCTTTGCTCTTGTACACATTCAAGTCGTTGTGGGCGTCGACGATTCGAATGTCTGTTAACAGCGGAAGCGCATCAGCAGACCTGCCTCCATAATGGGCACTCTTCCAGATTGATTAGAGAAACACGACAACTTACCGTCGAACCCTGCTGTGTGAAGATAGTCTTCATACTGTTTCACTTCGCTTGCACCCGCGATGCATCCCACATATAGAGCCACGTCGCGTTTCAGCTCCTGTGAAAGCTCCTTTCTCATCAGGATATCGCTGATTGCCACGCGCCCACCAGTCTTTAGCAACCGGAACATTTCGTTGAACACGAGCTGTTTTTCTTCCTCTGGGACAAGGTTTACGACGCAATTACTTATAATGCAGTCGGCAATGGCGTCTGGCAATGCCACTTTGGTGATTCGAGACTCCACGAATGAAGCATTATTAGATTGGACTCTTTCTTTGTTCCGTTCTGCTCGCTCAAGCATGTCCTGTTCCGTACTTTAGGAGGATTCAGGCGACGGGAAGGATGGGCTTGGATTGCATACCTTGTTCATATCTACTCCGATAGCTCTACCATGGGCCCCGACTTTTTTTGCTGCAAGAAACACGTCAAACCCAGCTCCACTGCCAAGATCGATAACGATCTCTCCCTGCTCGACAGTTAGGCAATGAATTCAGGCCTCAGGCAGTACATGACGCCGTTGGGAGAAAAACACGCCAAGGGGAGGGAGGGATGTATGTACTTCTCTTAGTTTTGCGAGCGACAATGGGTTTCCGCAGCTTAGACCAAGATTAGCCCCGTCGGGGATGCTTGCCAGCTCTTGCTCGCTGTATCCAAATGCGACAGCGACCTTCCGTCCATAGTCACTACCGTTGCCCTTGACAGCAGCACTGTAAGCTCTTTGGACTTTCTCGTAGATCTGGTTTTTGTCCATTGCGATCAAGCCAAGGGAGCAAAAGATTGCTTTCCTAATAGAAGTAAAACTTGAATTGGGAAGAAGAAAGAGGGCGGTAGAAAGCAGAACCGTGAACATTGTTAGGGTAAGAGTCACCTTAATAACTCTGCGTATTACGCCAGCGATATGTCACTGCCCCTCGTAGAAAGCGCGGAAGATAGAATGTCACGGCTGAGGAGGGTAGTACAATGCAACGGATTGGATAAAGACCGCTTAGCCGTAGTTGCTCCTTCGTTGGCATTGCACCGGAAACTCCCAATTCGTGATCCCTGAATCGGTAAATGCATGGGTTCTCTGATGATATGTCACCACCGCACCTCGAGAATACTCGTCATTAGAAAAAGAGGCAAAGCTCCACTCAAGCACATTCAACGGGGGTGGGGCCAAGTGATATGTCACCGACAGACTATCTATGCGATTCCCCGGACTACTACAACACGCCGAAACACCTCATATTTAAGACATGGCAAACACGTGAAACCGAGTATAATCGCGCATTTCAGCTCCTTGTGTCTCATTGCTTACAGAGTGCGTTCAACTTCGTGAGGCGGTGTAACGCGCCCGGTTTTGGAATCTCCCCTTACTACCACACGACATGCCGGATGAATCAGGACAGTTGAGTGAGCCTGATGATAACGCGACACCACCTCCAGATGGTGGGTACGGATGGGTGTGTTTGGCTTGCTGCTTCGTAATCAACTGTTTCACCTGGGGCGTTGTAGCCGTAAGTCACAGAGTCCGGTCCCTCCCAGAGCTAACAAATATAGTCTTATGGTGTCTATCTGTCGTATTATCTCACAATCAACGCCTTCCCTGAAGCTCGACCTCTAGAATACGCCTTCATCGGCGGTCTGAACTTCGGAATCGCAATGCTTTCGGCTCCCTTGATCACGCACCTGGCTCGATCCTACGGCATCAGGTTACCCATGTTGGCGGGGGCAGCCTTGTTTGGAGGAGGTTTCATTGCAGCGTCTTATGCTTCTCGTATCTGGCATCTCTACCTCTCGCAAGGTGCCCTGGTCGGCTTAGGTGTCGGCTTCGTCTACGTACCCAGCATCGCGGTTTTGTCGCAATGGTTTGCGAAAAGGAGGAGTCTTGCCAATGGGATTAGTGCGGCAGGTTCAGGAATCGGTGGGTTGATCTTCTCGTTCGCTGGTGGTGCCTTGATAGAACATCTCGGGATTGGATGGGCATTGAGAATCACCGGAGCTACGGCGCTGTTGGCAAATCTCCTTGCCGCAATCCTCATCCGCGACCGCAACGGTATCATTCGACCAAAACAGCACCCATTCGACTCGCGCCTCGCGTCGCGTACGGATGTTCTTTTGCTCCTTTCATGGGCCTTCTTCAGCATGATAGGGTACATTCCTCTACTTTACTCGCTCTCGGACTTCTCGATCTCCATCGGATTGTCTAGGACACAGGCAACACAGGTGACAGCCTTTTTGAACATGGGCACTGCGATCGGACGACCCTTTATTGGCGTTGCAAGCGACCGCTTTGGCCGCTTTGGAGTTGCGACTAGTCTGACTTTCCTCTGTGGGCTCTCATGTCTTGTTATCTGGGTACCGGCCACCACGTTCGGATTAACAACGTTCTTTGGAGTTCTCAGTGGAGCAATATTAGGAGTGTTCTGGATGGTACGCATCATTCCAGGAACCCAAAATTCCACTTTCAGGTGTTCTGCTGACTTACTAGACTATCGCGCCACTTTGCGTTGAGGTTGTGGGGCTGAGGCAGCTTCCCTCGTTGCTTTCACTCTCCTGGCTGGCTGTTGTTCTACCGACTACATGTGTGTCCTCACTGTCCGTCTTATTGCACCATCTTGTTTTAGTGCTAACGTGCCATTTGTTCAAGTCTCGGAAGCCGTGGCGCTATATCTTCGCCGACCTGGTCACTCTCGACCCTATCTATACACCCAGATATTTTGCGGAGTTTGTTATATCTGCGCCAGCTTCTGTCTCTGGGGTGCGCGAATGCTGTCCAAAAGGTGAGGTACAAACGTTAGGAAGAAAAGAAATAGATTCCAGAGACCTGCCGATCATCGAGTAGGTCTTGAAACCATCCAGCAGCACGGGTCCCACGGCCTTTGGAGGAACCTGAAAGGCGGAAACGTGAGCGACATCGGCCAGAATGTCTAATGAGGACCTACCGCAATACCAGATTGCAGTCTCTATACCAGCACTCTGACATAGGTTCAACCGAGTTTATTCTAAAGGCTCTGGGCGGAAAGGCTGATGGAAACCTTTGATCGTACCGCCCTGCACAATGAGTAAGAGATCAATCCTCGTCAAAACGACCATTTCTCTCTACCTCATGATCCGTTCTGTGCAGGTCGACTAGGAGAAAATCAATCTCTGGTGTCTTTCCATCTCGAAGCCACTGCAGTAACTCTTGTCGAGTCATAACTGTCGGCGATTGATTTCGTGGTTGTGGATATGCCTCGTGCCTTGCGAGCATCTGGACCATCACTTAGCGTTTTCAGGCAATGGAATCGACAAGAACCTTAATGGGCCAGATGTGAAAACCAACAGAAGAGATATTGGCGGTATCTTTAGATAGGGACGCCCCAGAATCGCACAGACTCTTTGTGAGCAAGCAATCAGATTTGGATAAAAGGTTCCTCCAGCAGGAATACAGCGCCACCTGACGACGTACAATGTGTCAGATCTTGGCCTTGGTCACTCGTCTCTTTTAATTTGTGAAACTCTTTCGCCATTTCAACAAAGGGTCTTGTTGTGGTCACTCGCGCCCTGTCATTCGCTGAAAATATTAAACGCCTCTTGGAAGGCTGACCGGAATGGCAAATACAGGGCTTTATAGGCAACTTCGGTCGCTGGATCATGCAATAGAGAGCTCGGTCCTTGCTATTCTTTTTTGAAGAATCCTTACTTCAGACACTGGTACGGCACTCTCGATCAATTTCTGGCCCTGTACTGGAATGTCACACTCTCGCGAGGACCCGGGTACCCTGGACGATCAGAACACTGGTCGCCACACCCCTGGTCTAGCTACCAACGTTGACGCGGAGAAACAGCAAAGTCAAGGACGTGTGAAACAAAAGAAATCAGCATATGCAGGCCTCGGGTGGTTGGACCGACTCCTGGTCCTCTGGATCTTGTTAGCAATGATCGTCGGCATCCTGCTTGGCAATTTTGTCGACGGAGTTGGGCCAGCTCTCCAGAAAGGCAAATTTGTCGACGTCTCTGTTCCCATAGGTGAGTAGCGGCCAAAGGATACTCCGCTCTGCATTCTTCCATAACTGACTAGAACTCCCTGCGGCCCCAGCTGTCGGTCTGTTGGTGATGATGTACCCAATCCTCTGCAAAGTCAAGTATGAGACCTTGCATCGCATTTTTGGCCATCGTCAGATTTGGATCCAACTGGGTTTCAGCGTTGTGGCCAACTGGATTATTGCTCCCGTTCTCATGGTATGTTGCGCTCTACGAAGCCTTTGTTCAACTACACATGCTGAAGACGCAGCTCGGATTATCTTGGACCTTCTTGCCGGATCGACCTGAACTTCGCAACGGCCTCATCTTTGTGGGGCTGGCACGTTGCATTGCCATGGTGAGCGCCCTAGTCTGTGTTTTGAGACAATGTTCGATCCAGTATCCGCTGACAACACCCCTACTACGTCGAAGGTCCTGATTTGGACTGGTCTTGCAGGCGGCGATGAGGAGTACTGCGCAATTCTTGTGGCTTTCAATTCAGTCCTCCAGATGGTCCTCTACGCCCCTCTGGCCATTCTGTTCGTGAACGTCATAAGCCACGGGGAAAGCTTTGAAGTTGCGTACGCGACAGTCGCTCGGAGCGTCGGGGTCTTTCTCGGAATCCCTCTTGGAGCTGCCATCACGACCCGCTTAATCCTCAGGAACATCAACGCTACCTGGTACGACCGGAAATTCCTCCAATGGATTGCTCCGTGGTCGCTGTTAGGACTTCTTTACACGATTCTCGTTCTGTTCGCCTCCCAGGGAGAGCAGGTCGTCCATCAAGTTGTCTCAGTTGTCCGAGTAGCTGCCCCTCTTATTGTATACTTTGTGGTCATTTTCTTTTTGACGCTTTTGATCACAAAACGCATCGGGTTTGGATACAAACTTGCGGCTACGCAGAGCTTCACTGCAGCCAGTAACAACTTCGAACTGGCTATTGCGGTTGCGGTGGCCACTTTTGGAGCTACCAGCGACGAGGCACTGGCCACTACCGTTGGTCCCCTAATTGAGGTGCCGGTGTTAATTTCACTTGTTTATGTTGCGAGATGGATTGCCGGTCGTTGGAACTGGGAAGACTAGTTGATGGAATATTCGAATGCAAACTTAGAGTGCATCTTTTGTGAAAGCTCCGGACTGAACAGTTGTTCGAGGGAAAGCTCTCGGGTGACTGAGCAGTCGGAATATGAATATCGCCAATCATTCGAGCCCACGCGCTCCGTCTTCTCGAACCGGTACGAGGTTTCAAAAAGCTTCCGTCTTATAACTGTCCATTTAGCAATCTATCAAGTTAGCAAGTTGCCCACCACCCCTCACTCTAAGCTCTGAACTAGACAATGCTACAATGCTCTACCTAGATGTATAATTTGAGTAGCAGTGTGTGTCACATAAGCGAGAATTTGTATTCTTAATACCGCTTTCGTCACACAGATTCGAGAGGGTGGAGGTTGGAGAACGACCCATGGATGGTATCTCTCGCTAGGAGGTGCCGAAGTACGTGCCGAATTATTGCTTAGGTATTGCTGAAATGGAAAGTTTTGATGAGCCAGAATCGGAAAGCCATACAGTCCACCCATAATTTCAGCACAAGCCCCAAATGCACGTGGGCCACATTCGCAGGCTTAACTCCAATTGCTTTCTAGGTAGCCATCGATACTAGAATGCCTCAGACGCTAGCAGTTCTTAGCAGCAGAGGATCCCTGGGCTGTATTAGTTTATGACCAGCGGCTCTCGCTCACTAAATCGGTCACTGAACAAGGCGAAGTGCGGCCGCATAATAACGGTATACTTCACAAATTCCTCAGCGCAATCGAACAGTCGATCTCGATTACCTCCTGGCATTAACCTCGACCCGCCTTCATCCTCATCCTTATCTGTGAATAAGGTGTAGGCCTGCGGAACTGATGACTGATTCGGGATGGTGAACATTCGCATCCATCTGCCTAGAACCCGCAGACTGTTGACCGTATTGAAAGATTGTGATCCCCCGGAGACCATTGCCAATCCTAAGGTGCGTCCCTGTGTTGGCCGCACCGATCCTGTACTTAAAGGGATCCAGTCAATTTGGTTCTTGAAGACAGCTGTGAGGTTACCATGTTGTTCCGGTGATACCCAGAAGTGTCCATCGCTCCAGCGACTGAGGTCTCGAAGCTCTTGTACCTTTGGATGGTTGTGCTGGTCATCATCCTTGACAGGTGAACCTTGTGGGTTATAGACGCGCACGTCACAACCGAGCCGCCAGAGTATACGAGCGACTTCAAAGGCGAGAAGTTTTGAGTAGGACCTACACGGGGTAAGTATCTCTTCAGCATATAAACCTCACAGGTTGTCTTCCCTTTGACGAAGACTCCCGTATAATATCAAAACTTTGATCCTCTCTCCTGTTACTCTCAAGTCGTTGTACACCAATTCAGTCACGGTGGCAAGCTCCAGTCTACTGATCCAATCTTGCAGCTGGACAGTATCCGGGAGTAGGAACGGTCGATATTTCGAACGGATCGTAGGCTCATCCATATCTGCCGAAATGGAAAGAAATCGGTAGGCAAAATCAGGATGACGCTCAGGTTTCGAAGTTATGCGCACAGACGCCGTGTTATTCAGATCACCATTCGTCAATGGTTGTTCAGGCTTTGAGGGTATTGGAGGTATTCGCTGGTTCTGCACTTCGGCACAGAAAGGCGGATGTTGGTGTTCAGCGTCCACCGCCATCTTCATCTTAGGGGGAGAAACGTGAAGGCGAGTGGTTAAGAACCTCGATTCGCTGATGGTTCGAACTTGGCTGAGATGATTGATACAGATTGGCAGTCTCATAAGATCTTGGAGGGTGCTGCAAGAGCGAAGGGCAGTGATACTTGGATCGCTGCGGTTCACAAAAAGGTTGGAATTTCATCGATATTCTAACAGTTTTGGGGGATGCGAGATCGCTTTGTCACTCGACGACGACGATTCGCCATTGACAAAGGTTGGCATCGGCGTCCGCGACCACAATATTGCTTATGTCACTCCACTGCTTCGTAGCCGGTTAGCAACTTAGCATCGAGCTGAGCGCATAGCCAGAGCGAGATGAGATTGCCGACGGCCTTATTGCATAGATAGTCGTAGACATTTCATATGACCCTGGACTCGATATGTCATGTGCACCCTGAAGTTGTTTATTGGCGAAGCTGTACAGAGAACAAGTAACGAGGAGAGAGAGCGGCCCCGTTCAACAAAAAGCGGCAACTAGTATGTTTGCACTCTTTGCGAAGCCCAGTGAGTAAAGCGGCGTGCGGTGAGATGCTTCGACCGGAATTGACAAGCCCGAAATCCGGTCCCCCCCTTCAGCATCGTCTTTCTTTCCCTGGATTCTTATTCATTCCAGCGTGGAAAGGTCTCTCCTGATCTTGGCTGAATGAAGTTACGCTTTCAACCCGACCATACTTGATTCTCTAGTTTCAAAGAGGCTTAGTTGACGCGTGTGAATGGCCATGTTCACACGGGTGTTGTGCACCAAGTCCCCGTCAAATTCCGCTCTGCCTGCTCAGTTAGCATAATGACGAGTACGGCCTCATTTCCACCGACCCCATCAAGCGTGGCCAGGCCAGCGTCCTATGGTCAGTCATGTACAAACTGTGCCAAATCGAAATGCAAATGTCTTCGACGACCAGGACGGGTCGAGTGCGAGAGATGCTTTCGGCTTCACAAACAATGCCATGCGGCTGACTCGATACGAAAACGCCACGCAAACCGAGATGCAACGTCCAGGATCTCCCTGTTGGAGGAACGACTTAACGAAGTTACTTCCCTACTACAATCCGTCACATCCTCGGGCGATGGAGCTCGCACGAGAGATTCTACAGCTCGACCCTCACGTCCACAGGCAGTCGAGTCTGTCTCGGCTCTAGAAGACAATTACATCCCAGGAGGAGTTGCAATGTCCATTGCAAATCTGAGTCCTGTATCGATGGCTTCGGCTGTCGGCAAAGATCTGGACCTGCCCTTCGAGGAAGCCGAAAAATGTGTCGATGTGTTCAGAACTCAGATGCTGAGATTCTTTGCATTCGTTCATTTGCCGCCGGATTATACCGCCACAAAGATACGGCAACACCGTCCTTTTCTGTACTTATGTATTGTCGCCGTCGTTACAAAGTCTACTACGAAGAAGATGTCACTCTTCAAAGAAATCCGCAGAATAGTGGCACATCGAATGATCCTAGACGACGCCAGTGAACCGGATGTTGACCTCCTCCTTGGCCTTCTGACGTACCTGACATGGTGAGCCATTATGACTCTTGAAGCTGTGTTTCGTTGTGTGCAAGCTCACTTTACCAGGGGCAATGAGCATCTCCTGATCAACTATCCGAAAATGTTGTCTCGGCTCACACATATGGCAATGATGATAGTATTTGATCTACGGCTGAACAAACCATTCCATTTGAATCCAAATCTACTCCCGAAAGTGGGCGGCTTCACGGACCGAACGCATCAGTTGACGGGGCGTATGGATGCTCGTCCAACTTTGGAAGAACGACGGGCGGTCTTGGGTTGTTTCGTCATGGCCTCGACGTAAGCCAACGCTCGCTCACCCAAAGTCAATGATTTCTACTGACGCACCATAGGGTCGCAACTCATCTCACGAACGTGGATGCTATGCAATGGAATGAGTATATGGAGCAATGTGTTCAAGTCCTGAGCGAGAAGAAGGAAAGTCCGCTTGATGATCTATTGTTGGCCCAGGTTCGATTCCACCGGCTCTCCCAACGACTGCAACCTGCCGCATGGTGTTACGAAGACATTGGGAATCCAGATTCCAAGGTGCCTGTGGCTTTCTACTTTAAAGCGCTCGAGTTGAATGTACAACGAACCATGGAGGGGTTGTCTCCCCAAGCCCAAAAAGACGGTCAGTTCCAGCAATAGTCCCGATGAGTATATGTTCTCAGCTGAAGGTTGTCCAGGAGTTGTTCTTGCATGCAAGTATCACGCAGAATTGAGCGTCTGCGAAATGGCTCTGTCGCAGTTAACCTCGACGTCTTCCAACATTGGATTCGAGCCAATTGACGCTCTGTATGCCTGTCTCAACACGGTGAAGTTGGCTTTTGATCAATTCTTCCAGATTCCAATCTCGGAGTATTTTGCCGTGTCCTTCCCTATATTCACGCAGTTTACGCGTTCAATTGCCGTTTTATACAAACTCACCATTCTGGATCATCCGAGCTGGGATATTGCCTTGGTTCGCTCAACTGTCGATCTTATCCTCGTCCTGGATCGGCTGCTGAACAACCTGGAGCAAGCTAGGCATGTTTGCTTTGATGGCACGGACAATAACGTTGCGACCAGGACCATCAAAGGATTCACGGCAGTCCGGCTGTGGTGTGGGTCAAAGCTGTCTGCACCTGCACCGTTGGGGTTAGATATGGAGCCAGGTGATGAGGTCGGAGTGTTTGCCGACACATCTACTATAGATGGATTGGATGATGTGTGGCTGAGAGAAATACTTGCTTCGTGGTCTGATTAATTTTTGACCCACATCCACAAAGGGACAAACTTCCGCCGGACTTCAGGACCCCCAAACCCGCCCGATCGTTGATATGCCCGACAGACCACGGCATACTACCTCCAATCTCAAAAAGCTATAAATTATTTCCTCCCACAATAACCGTTCCTGTCATCATGTCATGTGTAGTCGCGCCAGGACGAAGAAATTATTGAAATCATGGGCATTGAAGAGACGCCCATCCCGACTGTGCACACCAACACCGATGGACTACACGAAGAACCACAGACTACCGGTACTCTACCGCCACGAGAGGACTCCGAGAAAGCATCCGGCCCTCCTGACGAGCATGAGAAATTGGATCGTCCAACAGGCTTCAAGCTTTATCTGATATTGGCCTCCATGACATTGACTCAGTTTGTCATCATGCTTGACATCTCGGTTATCGTGACTGTATGGGCCAATGAACACCTCTTTGGGCTATGGAGATTTAGACTCACTGGTATCACAGGCGATCCCTCAGATTACGGATCATTTCCACTCTCTTCTTGATGTTGGTTGGTATGGAAGTGCATATCAGCTCGCGAGGTCAGCCAATCCGTACGTCGCATGTACAAGGGGAGATCTAACACAGGATTCAGCGCATCTCTGCAGCCGTTAAGTGGGAAGATATATACCTATTTTAATCTCAAGGTAAGCATCTGAAGTCCTGACCGACCACTTATAGATCTCGCTAAATGGGTTCTTCTAGTGGGCTTTCCTATCGTTCTTCTTCGTTTTCGAACTGGGATCTCTCCTTTGCGCAGTGGCGACGTCTTCGACAATGTTAATCGTCGCGCGAGCTATATCGGGGCTGGGCGCGTCTGGTTTGCTCAACGGTGGCTTGGCGATCTTTGCTGCTTGTCTACCAAAAGAACGACAGCCAGGTATTAAACCCTTCCAGGCTGAACTTTGAGTGGTACTTACCATTATTTGCAGCGATGTTTGGCGTCTTGATGGCAAGTAAGTAGCACTCTCATTGGATTTCTCATGCCCCTTGGTTGACCCATCGTGTAGTCGGTCAACTCGGTCAAGCCTGTGGCCCTCTGATCGGCGGAGCTTTGACTCAGTACGCGACATGGCGTTTATGTATGTCCTCGGAAAATCTTTTCACTTACTGAAACAGGCTGACTGGATAGGCTTCTACATCAACCTTCCCATTGGTGCTGTTGTTGCGGGGACACTCGTCTTCATCCACATTCCCAAGGGAGCCATGAAGTCAGACAAGCAAACACTGCGGAGGATGTTAACTCAGACTTTGGATCTTGTTGGATTTGCCATTTTTGCTCCGGCATCTATTCAGTTCTTTCTCGCCCTTCAGTATGGAGGTGGACAGCACGCTTGGACTAGCGCCACAGTCCTAGGGCTTTTCTGTGGAAGCGCGGCAACGTTCGCCATCTTTCTCGTCTGGGAGTATCATAAAGGCGACGATGCGATGATCCCCCTGGCGATACTACGTCGACGGATCGTATGGTCAGCGTGCTTGACCTTGTTCTTCATCGTCGGAATCTTGATTTGTGCAGGATACTACCTCCCGATTTGGTTTCAGGCTGTCAAGGGCACGACGCCGACTATGAGTGGAGTGTACGTCCTGCCGAATATCCTCGGGCAGATTGCGATGGCCATGGTAGCAGGCATTTCCGGTGAGCGGTTCATCTGCCTACATCAGACGAAATTTTCCTCAGGATTTAGGTCATGCTGACATAGTCTTGAATAGTGCCAGTATTCGGGTACTTCCTTCCCTTCATCTTAACTGGTGCTTCCCTCGCTGCGATTGGGTATGGCCTGCTTTCGATGCTTACTCCAACATATCCATCTGGACCGAGAATAGGATATCAAATCATCGGCGGAGTTGGATGTGGAGCTGCAGCACCCATTGTGAGTGGTATCGTTGCCTTGTTGCAAAGGCATCTTGTGGCCTGACGCATCCGGACTAACCCTATTACTTACTAGGTGTACGTCGCCCTCCAAGCACTCACTCCGGCGACGGAATCACCAATCGCCATGGCAATACTTCTCTTCTCCCAAAACTTTGGAGCTGCGACATTCCTTACCATCGCGCAGACGATTTTTAGCAACAGCCTGAAAACAAAGATCCCGCAATACGCTCCAGGCGCCAATGCCGAGGCGGTACTTGCGGCCGGGGCCACTGAATTTACAAAGGTGGTTCCTCCAGACCAAGTGGCGGGCGTTGTAAAAGCCTACAGTGTCAGCGTCGACAATGTGTTCTACCTTGTGTGTGGCGCTGCAGGGGGTGCGTTCGTCTGCAGCTGGGCGATGGGATGGAGGGACATTAGGCAGAACAAGAGCAATCAAGGTGCAATTTCTGAAAATCAATCAGAGTGAACACGCTCTCAATGCCGTCTGGTGACTCTCCAAGATGGTGTTGTCTTTGTCAAGACTCGAAATGTTCGTTCAAAAAGATGGAATGACGTTGGAGTAATAAGGAGGACGGAGTAAGGCGTGGACGCTCAGGTCTAATGCGATCATAAATACGAATACGAATACGAATACTAATACGAGCCAGATTGTGAGAGTGTGTTGCATGTGACCTGGCATGCGCGCCTGGATTACCATCGTTGAGCGTCTTATTGGGCCGAATCCGCTCTCGTTTGCGGGGGCTGTTTATTGTCTGTGGCTACGTCATTTATCAAAGGCTGATTCTGCTGGTCGCAGCCAATGCGAGGTCGTCGTCGTGAGTGTCAACGTGATCCTGACAGCCCACGCTTTGGCCTGGCCCAACTGCCCATCTGCCTGACGCGCTGCCTATACATCCTGTCCTTGCAGGTCTTCCACTCTCGACGCCCTACAATCCTTCATCACCATCTATCTCGACCGCAGTCCGCGTCTCACCACTCTACACCCCTTACACCATTCATCATGGCTGAAGTCTGTCCCATTGTTGGCACCACCAACACCGTCCTTCCTCCCAAACATCCCGAGTTCGATCTCTCGGCACCAGGACTCGTCTGTCCTGTCACCAAGGCTACGACTGACCACCACCACAATCTGAGCAAGCATCCTGGCATCTTCAACAACAGTGACGACCTCTCGAACGCCTCGTCGTGCCCTGCCCTCTCCAAGATCGTGTCGCGGCCAGAGCAACAGGCCATGGACGAAGCCATCTGCCCAGTCGTCGGAACCGTGTCCTCGGTCCTTCCTCCAGACCATCCTTCCACCGCAAACGCAAAGGAAGGCGACGTCTGCCCAGTCACCAATGCCACCCTTGGCCATCACAAAGGGAAGGTGCATGAACACCCAAGTCTTCAGGCCGTTTCCAAGGAAGCCGTCTGCCCTGTGGTGCACAAACATGCCTGAAAATTGAGTCAAGCATAATAATGGCAGGGCTTACCGATGAGACCAAGGTGTCATTTGTGTGACGGATGAGCAGGATATCTCTTACGGTTAGTGAAACAGTCGTTGTTTATGTGAGCCTCTTCGCTCCTTCGAGTGTCGAGGATTTCCACCTAGGAAGAGAGTATACACGTTGAGAGATACCCCATTTTGAGGCTGCAGCCTCATCATATCATACACTGGCAGATGGACAATTCAGTATCTATCTTGTCAAGCTCGTGTTTCTTTCGCTTGCCCTTTGCCGTCGACAGTGACCCTGACATGATAGTGGGCATCGGTTGCCAGGCTAATCTGCACTTCGGAAATACGTTTTTCCGTGGGCCCCTATTCCATCTCCTCATTTGGTTATCACATACAGTGTGGCTTCTATAGCCTGCTACTTCCTGTTGTATATACCTGGAACTAAAACAGGCTCTTCAGGATATGGGGGATTGCGTCCTTCTTGATATCTAAGGCTTTTATCATTATACCATGTACCAGAAGCCGGCAGATGAGCGGTCCTTATCAAGTCGCAATTATCCATATCATTACCCCGAATAACTAGCACGAGTAGTCGCTCGGCGTGCATAGAGATACTCACAAACACTACCTATTCCGTCCTGGTCTGGGAATCTTCTCCCATACAAGGATCTCCTTACACAAGAATCATCAAACCCCCACTTATCGAAATGGCTAACGAGCGGAGATCCCAGCACTGGCACCCTTCCTGCTCACGCAAACCTCGCTGCAACTATGTTGTTGCCAGTTGATAAGGTGGCAGTCACGAGATATCATGTATATATACGCCGGCCTGCTTCCCCAGATGAGATACGACAGGCCTTCGACGAAGTCTTCCGACTCTCGATGGTAATTTGACTCCTTGTCGCAACAAAGACAACTCTCATCGCTGTACAGCAACGACATCAGTACTCCTGGGCCGAGTGTCCTATTTCTCTCTCTCTCGGCAGCCCCAGTACAATGGCGACAATGACAACGACGACGAGCTCTAGGAAGCACCTGTCTCGCTTTATCCCGCATTCACAGACGACGTTGCTGGTGGCTATCATTGCCGTCTCAGTCGTCGACTCCGTGCTCTTGGGATACGACAGCTCTTTGATGGGAAGTCTGAATGTGATGCCCACGTATACAAACTACTTCACTTTGACAACGGCCACCAAGTCTCTTAACACTGCTATCTCATATGTTGGCGGATCATGCGCTTCTTTCTTTGCCGGCTTTCTGGTCGACTGGGCAGGGCGAAAGAAAATTATCCTTCTGTCGGCGGTTCTCACTTTGATCGGCGCAGTTATCCAAGCAGCTGCGCAGAACATTGGGATGTTCATAGCAGGCCGTTTCATCGTTGGTGGGTTGGGCCTGAGAGATGGATACATGTGGAGATAGTATGATGCTGACCAGGAAACAGGGTTTGGCATGGGCTTCGCACAAACTTCATGTCCGACTTATGTCGCCGAAACTGCTCCTGTGAAGTACCGACCTCTGGCTTTGGGATTGTACTATGCGTGCTGGGGTGTAGGGACATTGATCGCATCTGGAGTGTGCTATTCTGTAAGACACACCGAGTGACCGGTCATACTCTTTCTTCTGACGATGATCCAGACCCAACACTATAGTACCAACTGGGCTTGGAGAACACCTAGTCTTATACAGATTGTGCCCAGCACTCTATGCTTTTTTGTTCTGATATTCCTGCCCGAGTCGCCTCGTTGGTGAGTCATAGCCTTTCATAACGTTGATACCGGTTCCATGGTGATTAATATATGGTTTCTCAGGTTGATCGACCAAGATCGCCACGACGAGGCCTTGGAAGTGCTCGCGGCAGTCAATGCCAATGGAGACAAGGATGCACCAGTCGTCCTCTTGCAATTCCGAGAGATCAGTGACACAATCGCCTTCGAGAAAAGTAAAGAACTGTCCTTCTTCGAGTCATTCACGTCAAAGGGGAATCGTAAACGGTTGATAATCACCGCGACCTTTTCCATTATCGTCATGCTTCCCGGGACAAACATTATCACCTTTTACTTTGGGACGATGCTCGAGCAAGCGGGTATTCAAGACCCAACCACCCAGTTGGAAATCAACATTATCTTGACGTCTTGGACGTTGGTAATTTCTCTCTTGGGTGCCTGGTTCGCCGACTCGGTAGGACGGAAGACCCTCTGCGCCATCAGTCTTGCTGGACAGATAGTGACCTTTTACATTCTGGCTGGACTTACGGCTGTGTACGGCACCTCTAGCGACAAGTCTGGAATCTATGGGACGATCGCCTTCATCTTTCTGTACAACGCAGCGTACGGGTACGGTATCACGCCACTGACAGTCATGTACCCACCGGAAGTGCTTTCTTATGAAGTGAGAGGTGAGTTGTTGCTTTTCCCCCAAGTGATCCATATTCCAAAGTCAAAATCTCAGAACTGACATCAACTTTGCGATGCCGTAGGCACTGGTATGGGTCTGTACACGCTCACCACGAAACTATGCGGACTTTTCGTGACAATGGTCTTTCCCTTTGCCCTGGACGCAATCGGATGGAAGACTTATATCATCAATGCGAGTGCTGATGTTGTCATGCTTGTTGGGGTGCTGTGGTACTGGGTTGAGACAAGAGGCTTGACACTCGAAGAAGTGGACAAGATCTTTGATGGAATCAAGCATTCTGATGTGCCTGACCTGAAGGCCATTGTTGACGGGGAAATGGAAATGGGGTCCGATGTGCTCAAAAAGCATGTGATCCACGGTATAAATGCTGACGAAGAAGTCGTCGTTCTCCAGAAAATTGATTAGGAGCAATGGATCGTGAAAGAAGCCAAGGAAGAAAGCGACGAAGCAGGACTGTAATGTGAATTAGTGACTAGCATGGTGGGGGTCGAATACTCTTTGATGAAGTTTACGGAGGAATACCAGTCGATTATAGTGGCCAAACAGATTGAATTGACGATCCTGACTGTATCGGCTGTACAGTTGATATATCTCTATATCTATACACGTATTGAGAACCGGAACCTGTTCTAGAGAAGCTTCATCACCTAGTAGTCCATTCCTGTTAGTCTATGGGTATGCTTTCTTCGTCCACAAATAAAGTGGCCTTTGATTATGCGGTAGTGCCTGGATGAAAATACAATGCCTCGAAAAGGAGAATATTTAGAATACGCTCAAGCTGTCCAATTCTCTCGCGCTCATCCTGATAGACAACAACTCGGTCCTAAGCCCACAGGGCCCCCCAGTTTGTGACCACTAGGGATACACGCAGCACCAGTCCCATCACCCCTGTCCTCATACGCCCTTTGATCACCTGTACCTCACGACCAGGGTCAGACTTCAATCAAAAGTGGGCTGTGCGAGGTGACTTACCTGAGGTGGACAGGAGTCGGAGAAGGGCGCGTCTATCACTCATCATATCATTTGACTTTTGATAAAGGAACTACTCTTCCGCTCCAGCCTCCGCATGTCCTCGGCACTCCGCGCTCTCTCAACCTCTTTATGCTGTAGTGTTATATCGTGAAGCTTTGGGATTCTCAGGCCTCTGGATAGAGCGTCTCTACCTCGTCGCTTAGCGGGTTCAATCTCGCCCACTTCTGATTCAACTTAATTACGGCATAATACATTATCTCGCGATACGCCCGATACGTTATCGAGTGATACACGATATACCTGATACGAGATATACGTCTATCTTTGAGACGTATCGTCTCTGACTGACGGAAACCCCGCGATAAGTTCACAACCGAATCTACCGAGCGAGGAAGGATCTCAAAGAGTCAAGACACAAGCTATCAATTTGCACATTTACGTTCGACTTCGGTTCCAGTCCCGGTCCCAGTTTGTATCGTACTTGATAGGTTTTGAGGTTTCAACGGGTTCAATAACATCATCATCGTCATTATCAACCACCATCTCGACATCAACATGACCGACGCGATCCCCGTCGTTTCATTCGAAAGGTTTCTCAAGGGCACTCGTGCCGATCAGCAAGAGGTAGCGAAACAGGTCTACGATGCCTTTTCGACTGTTGGATTCATATACTTGAAAGACACGGGTATATCGCAAGCTAGAGTCGATGAGATTTTTGAATTGGTACGTACATCGAACAGGACTCAAAAACTCAAACCAGGGCCTATGCTATACATCTACCGATACTAGTGTGCTGCGATACACTCTATGCTTCCTTTTTGTCGCACTGCATAGTTTCATCCCCTCGCATCCACCCTCTACGAAAAGTAGGAGTTGTGCGAGCCAGTCAGCTGTATCCTACTTACTACATGGTGGTGCCGGCATTTCCGCCGGCATTTCCCTCTTCCCCCCTTTCTCATCCAGCCTTGACTCCCACACATGAAACATTCACAGTTGTCATCAACACTTATCACCACATACCTTCCTGCACCTCATGCCTAATACCTGATATCTGATACCCACATCTCACACCTCAAATCTCACGTCTTATCCTTTACCCAGAAGTGTCCAGCTAACAGAGCAATCCGATGTCTAAGGCCGAAACGTTCTTCTCGCTCCCCCTCGACCAAAAACTCAGTTACAAACTCTCGTCGGCGTCGACCAACCAAGGCTACACGGCCGACGGGGCCGAAGGGATCAACGACCACAAAGAATGCTACGAGCACCGCCGGTTCGCCAACCCGCTGTGTCCCTCGTCGACGGCGCTCCCGGGGTTCAAGGACACGCTGGACGGCTTCTACTCTGAATGCCTGACGCTGTCGTTGGGGGTCCTCAAGTGTCTCGCCATGGCGCTCGGCCTGGGCGACGACTTCTTCGCGCCCATCACGGCCCACGCCGACCCGCAGCTGCGCCTGATCCACTACCCGCCGCTGCACCGCGACGTGATCGACGCGCAGGGCCACGCGCGCATCATGCCGCACACCGACTTCGGGCTGTGCACGCTGCTCTTCCAGGACGGCACGGGCGGCCTGGAGATCGACCCTGCCCACGACGGCGAGTTCGTCCCCGCCCCGCCCGTCGCCGGCACCGTGCTGGTCAACATCGCCGACATGCTCCAGCGCTACACCAACGGCCGCGTCAAGAGCACGAGACACCGCGTCGTGAAGCCCGCCGCCCAGGACGGGTTCGTCGGCGACATCTTGCCCGCCCGCTACAGCATTCCGTTCTTCGTCCACCCGGACCCGGAGACCATCATCGACCCCATCACCCTGACGGAGGGCGAGGTCAAGCTCTACGAACCCATCAACGCGGGTGAATGGAGGATTTGGAATACCACGAAAGATTATAAACTCAAGGACGACTCTGCAAACGGCGGAAGGGTGTTTCAGGAGATGGGCGGCGTCGTCGAGGTCGCTACTTGAGGGGTTACTGACCCAGTGCAATAACTTGCTATTGATTGCCTCTCGGAGATCCAGCACCTCTATCATGTCCCAGAACCATGTCAACACAGCCATGCCTCATTGGACGCACTCTTTTGTTGGGGGGATAATATAGTCTCGTGGATGTGGATGTGGATGTGGTTATGTTGTTTTCATTGTTTATTTACCTTGATAAATTGTTTTCTATCTTGCGGATATCGATAAATCTCATCATCGGTATCGGTATCAGTTCCAGTGTCGATTTCAATAATCATTGTCCGTGATTTGTTCAATAGCTAAATGTCACCCTTGAGATATTTATACACACTGCGGATCTTCGACTCTTTTCAAACTCCGCTCAAGCCAACCGCTCCTTACCTTCTAACATCCTTTCTATCACATGCATGGAAGTTCTCCTGGCTGCGTCTGTCCACGGTCGTTGGAACAAGCACTCAAAAACAACAGCAAGCAAGCATTCCGGAAGCAGAGAGGAGACAGACACAAAACAGAAGCTATGGGGCTCGAAGGGAGAGAAAATATCATCTTCACACTTTTGACCTACGCCTGTTTTTCGCACGTTCTACCAATTGATATTTCTCGACACACAAAGACTGCTAACTAGATCGGTGTACATAAAAGCAACGCAACTCACCTCATGATGTTGTCGAACTGAAGGACCAGCTTCATCCCTTCGTACTTACCTTCTCCTCAATCTGACCATTACGAATATCGAACACGCCCTGACTGTAATTCCTCAGCCAGCCACGAACGCAGGCAGTCCATCAGAATTTGCAGCGTGCGCGCTTGTTCTGAACCTGCGACCCGTTCCTGGCGCCACATGAGTCTTTCCACGGCTCTCGCCGCTGGAACTACGGCCTGGAGCTTTCCCTCAAGCGCCACGATAAGGCGAGCGTCAGCCTCGAGCTCACGCACAAACTTTCCCAGTATTCCGTTCGGTGGTCGTTGGCCGGAGAGGCGCATCTGAAGCTCTTCTGGAGACACTGCCGAATGACGCCGGGCAAGTCTCTCTCTACCGTTGCTCAGCTGGCGCCAGGTCTCGGGAAAGCCACGGGCAGGTTTGTACGACCACAAGTCCTCATACAGATAGGAGTAGGAGCCATAGGCCTTGAGGGCGACAATCTCGAGTTCAGGGAGAGACATGGTAGCGAGGTTGCGGGGCATGCTGTACTTGTAGCTCTGCGGCGATCTAGCCCGCGGATTGTTGACACTCTCCCGGTAGTACTCGTCCGTATTTCTCGACCGACGCTGATGCTGTCTTGATACGTCCTCCTCCTCGTCGTCGTCGTCGTCCGAGTTGTAGTAATTTGAACTACGCCGGCCCGACGTTCCGTAGTCATAGCGGCGTTCGTAGCGTCCCCCCGTGCCCTGGGAAGACTCGCGGCTCTTCGATTGACCCTGTCCTGCGTCAAACCGTGTCCGTCTGTCCGGGTCGGTCAAAACTTCCATTGCTTCTTGGATCATGACGAATCGGCTTGCGTTTCCTCCTTTGTCGGGGTGATGCTGCCTGGCAAGCGTCTTGTAAGCTGCTCGAATCTCTTCGGTTGTCGCTGTGCTCGGAACCCCGAGGACTGCATAGTGGTCGGTCATGGTTGCTTGAGAGTGTAAATGTAAATGTCAATCGACTGAGGTCCAGAGTCTTCGAGGAGCTGGGATATCTGTCAAGAACCGTATTAACCCAGACCAGTTCGAGTTCGAGCTCGAAGGACGTATATGTAGTCGTGTGTATGCGCAACATTGTCAAGTGTAATACCTGAACGAAGACGTAGGACAAAGGTCGCACAATGCATCTTGCTTGCAAACAGCCCTGAGGACAAGAAAGAACCTTGATCCCGTCGCTACAATGATCTCTTCATCAACGGCGAGTCCTTGGCTTTGATCATGACAAAGGAAGCGGACCAAATCTCAAGCGATGAGAGTTGAGGCCAGTTTCCTAGGAAGAGACAGAGAATCATCTGTCAATCCGACTCCAAAGAAAGTTTTAGCTACAGTAGGTACTTTTGGAGGTACCTAAAGGTAAACAAACTAACCACTCAACTAGCAAGTAACTAACTACAGAAGCTGCAGACTAATCCCACTCCGGCTATATCCAAGCACCCACCCGCCCTTTGACTCTACGACGCCTTCACGACACGACTATCTCTTCTCGTTTCGGCTGGCCACCTTCGACAGCGACCGTCATACAGTACGAAACACGGAGGTGACTTAAGGAAAAGGGAGCAAAAGAACCTGTCCACTTCTGCGGAGAGATTGAGAATGCTCCAGACCAGGCACAAACATTGAGGAATCACGTTCAAGCCCATATCTTCGACAGCACGCTTCCGTCAACCCCCCTTTCCCGATTACACGCCGTGGTTTTGGTCAGCTCGTATCGGCATCGACTACGAGTAATTCCCCTAGTATGTTCCAGCGCTCACGCCTCCGTCAAGTGTGGACGAGAGACCACCAACTGGACGGCCAGGTACCAAGCGATGGCCCAAGACGCTGAAGTGGTGCCCTACAACAAACGCAGTCAGCCCGCTTCACATGACCTCAAACGAAGGCCGGTCGCTGTACCCTCTTTGACTGGATTGAACTGGGCCACCTGTCTGCCTATTGTATTGCATGCCGATGCAATGTCCGAGGCTGCACTGTTCAGCTCGTCTTCTTCGGTCCCGACCAAACATGTGGGGGAAGACAGGACTCGTGCCGCCGAGTCCTGGACATGCCTGTGGTGTTGCCAATCTGAATGGCACGTACATATTTAGGGTCAAGCAACATGTCACTAGAAATAGATGAGAGGCCCGAAAGTACAAATCAGCTCCGAAGGCTCGATGAAATGATTCAATTCAGACAACTAGCTACTGAGTATGTCTGCATTGCATGTCCACTTTTCCTTGTGCTTTGCTTCTCATCCCCCCAAATTTTGAGATCATATCCTGTGGTATCGAATTCGTTTGTTTTCCCTTTCACCAATCATCTAGCACACAGCATGAGTCTTGCCATGTTTTCCTTGAAGAGAGTGTTTTTCGTCCTTGTACGGGTGGAGGTTTGTCCCTGCCTTGCCGTGTCGGGTGTGGTTCTTGATATGTCTGGTTTGCTAGGTCAGCATACTACACGAGTCCATCTGTCCGTAATACATACTGCTGGAAGTTCTCCATGGTCTTACGATCCATCTCGCCCAGAACTTGCAGCGCAAGTTTGATGTCGTTGACTAGACTGTCGCATCGTTGCTTGCTGAAGTCCTCACGGACGACAACACGCATCATCTTGAGATTGTTGCTGTGCGGCGCCATGGTATAGGCAGGGACAACCCAGCCGCGTTCACGGAGCTGGTGGGCAATTGCAAACTCGTCGAACTGATGCTCGTCGTCAGGGTCCAAGCGGAAGGCGACGACGGGGAGAGAGCGGCCGCCTCCTGGAGACATGAGAATAAAACCAAGCGCTCTCAGCTGGGCAGCGAGGTAGTCAGATGTGCGAGTGAGGTTGAGCATGATACTACGATACCCACGCTTGCCCAGACGAATCATCTGGTAGTACTGACCAATGACATGGCTGGCGCCCTTGCTGAAGTTCAGGGTAAAAGAGGCTTGGTCAGCACCAAGGTAGTTGATGTTGAAGACAAGTTCCTTGGGGAGGTACTCTGGCGATCTCCACACCGTCCAGCCAACACCAGGATAGACCAAACCATACTTGTGACCAGACACGTTGATACTGACCACCTTCTCCAAGCGGAAGTCCCAAACCAGGTTAGGGTTGACGAAGGGAGCCACGAAGCCGCCAGACGCAGCATCAACGTGGATGGGGCAGTCGATTTTGTTGGCCACCAGCAAGTCATTGATCTTCTTGACATCTTCATACTCCCCAGTGTACGTGAGACCGAGGATGGCGCAGATGCCAATAGTATTCTCGTCAATCAATTTGATTGCTTCCTCGGGGTCAATGACATAGCGATCATCGGTGCAGTAGACATATCGTTCCTCGACGTCGAAGTAGCGAGCAGCCTTTTCCCAACACACCTGAACTGCACTGTTCATGATGATGTTGGGCTTTGAAGCATCTTTGCCCTCTGCCTGTCTCGCCTTCTGCCACTTCTTTTTCATGGCCAAAACACTGAGCATGATGGCTTCGCTGGACCCAATTGTGGATGTACCAATGGCATTCCCTCCATCTTCCTGATCCGGTGCGTTGAAGAGACGAGCGATCATGTTGACACACCGATTCTGGATCTCAGCAGTCTGTGGATACTCTTCGTAATCAATGAAGTTCTTGGAAAAGGCTTCAGTCATGAGTTTCTCTGCTTCATCTTCCTGGAAGCTGTGGTCAGCAGTCGCTCGACTCGTGCTGGGCAACGCAGGCAGCAGGACATACCATGAATGTGGTGACAAAACTTGCGAGGCTATAGAGACGTTGTCAGTATCTCCGAAGAGTGTTTCTACATCAGACTCACTTCAGCATTGGGTTTCCATCCAGGCTGAGTTCGTCTTTGATCATGCGGTATGCAATCTCCTTCGGCATCTCTTTCTCCGGCATTTCATGATTAGGCAAATCCTGAGCAGCAAAGCTGGATCCGTAGACAGAGGTAGAGAATTCATCCTCTTCCGGGGCTGCCAGAGAGATGTGCTCGAGACCAGGGACGAGGGAAGATCTTCGAGAGGGAAGGTTTTTGCCCTTGAGAGGGTCTGGCTTGACACTCTGAAGATGCACCATTTTGGTGGTATGGAGCTGGAAGAAAAGAGAGAGTGTATCTGAGACTGACGACGAAGGGGCACAGGAGGGAAAACCAGAAGAACTATGAGAGTCAGTGGCAAGGACAAGCGGTCAAAGGTGGTAGAAGCATTCCACGTAGCAAGGGACAGTGGTAGAGGAATCTGAGCTGGTTTGCCAGGATACGGGGCAGCTAGGGCAGCTTCGGGACAGATCCTGTGTGATTGGATGTGGAAAAAGCTCTGTCACATTGCTTTTGCCCTGGAAGTCTGTTACAGCATAGGCTGTGAGCTCGGACTGGCTTGATGAGTGATGATTGAATGATGATGAGAGCAAAACCCAAAGCGAGACTGCGCACTTTTCTTGTGGTGTGAATGACGACGATAGGCCGGGGGGGATGTGACGCTGCAGCTACGGCGTAGTGCCTGGAGAAAAATGGAGTTGGGGGCGCCGGTGCACCTTGGAACATCCCTGCAATCCCTGTAGACACGCCTGGACACCCCTGTAACGTTCGAGCGAGCGCCCCCCTTGAGGCCACGAATCTACAGACACGCGGCCTCTAGTGAGCTTGTTGTTGCTTAGCCGGCGACTGATGCAGTAATGGATTGGCACCAACACGCGGCACGAGGGGCCACAGCACAAACTGCATGCCTGGGCTTGTGCCGCCACCTGTTCCTGGAGTCGATCCTGGATGCACGAATCACTCATCACCATCACCACACACCTCTCTACACCCCATAGCACTGGTGTTGCGAAATTATGTCACTGTCCCGAGTACGATATTCTGAGTACAGAGTTGTCCTATGCATACCTGGCTCCCACTCTCAAGCCCTCGCATTGACCCAGAACTGCTTGACGGTACCCTCAATCTCCTCCGTGCTCGCCTGCAATTCACTCGACTGCGATCGGAAGAGCCGGATCGCACGGACGTCATTCAGTGATGCTTTCTCCAGCGAATAATCCGGTCCAAGATGATGGTATATCTGGGGCCCGGCAGCTCCATACAGTTCTTTTAACCTGACCTTAACGTCCAAACGCGTCTGACGATCGAGCCTCAAAGCGCGTTCACTAGTGCTTGAAAGCGACGAGGTCGACTCCTCAAGCTCTTCCCGAGTCCCATCTTCGCCCTCTTGCTTTCGCTTGGGCCAAGAGAATTTTCTCGCTAATCGCTCCACTGGGCCGGTCGACATCTCATCAAGCTCTCTGCAGTCTTCCTCTGGAGGTATACCAGGGCCGACATTCAGCAGAATCGATATCTTGGCGTCGGATCCATAGAGACCAAAGACTTCGTCGAGGGCGATTGCCGTGATGGGATGTGATTGAGGAAACGTCTCGTCGAAGTAAGAGGTATGTGCAAGCCTGTAAGGCTTCAGAAAGAACTTTGCAGCTCCCGTTGCGGCAAATGCTTGCGATACGCGACACCTTTCCGGCTGAGGCCCTGGGAGTATGTCCTTTGCGTTCGCAGGTAGCTGGTATGATCTGAACAGCTCGTACTTCGATCCCTGTGGCTTGGACTGCTGTACTACCCCGACGGCAAATCTAAGACTGTCAGTCACGGTTGATCGAGGGTCGGTCTCGGACTTACGCATATTTGCATCTACTGCGACTATCGTTCAAGGTAGGATTGACTGAAGTTGCAGAGAGTAATGTCCCATCCAGATCATACCGTTGCAACGTATCTTCGATCACCGTGACCAATCGATCTTGATCGAGTTTGAAGCAACGGTTCCTCTTGTGCCATCGACTCGTTCGCTCTGCGCAGTCAACCTTCCTCGCAATTTCCATGTATACGGCCATACAAGTTGCAATGTCGAGACGGTACCGTCCCAACAGCAAGGCGATCCATCTGTATACTTTGGTCAGCCTGGCAATGTTGTTTGGTTCGGGATAGAACCTACCCTCCTGTGCCTACGCCACAAATAACGTCGAATAGTTCATGAGGAGCAGGAATCCTCGTAGCCTCGTTCTGTTTGGCGATTTCTTTACATACAGAGTTGAGAGTGCTCAGCGTTGCCAAAGCTTGCAGACCACCGCCGTCTACGGTCGTCAGTACTGAGAACCATCGATACCTGGGGCCTAGAATGCGACGTACCTAGGGTGAGAACTTTGAGAGGGCGTTGTTCGCTCATTGCGAGTGTCTCGGTGCCTTCAGCAAAAAACTCCACTGACTGCGATTTTATTCGAACCGATTCTGGTGAACTGCTGACTTGGTTTCCTCCAGAGAATGTCGACCTGGGGACTTATGACCAGCTGGTCGGCAGTGGGCAGTGAGGCGTGATGAGCCGAGCCTGGTCACGTGTGGCCCAATTCACCCCATGACCATCGGATACGGCGTACGAGCAATGGCTGGAGTGTGACGACACGTCCAGTCTCTAGAACCTGACGAGTGCAGTCATCAGCTGCGCGGTTTCTGCTTCTGCACAGCCTGGGACTTTTGAGTGGCAATGAGGCGCCTTCGTCGAGGGCTGCCCCAATCACCCGGAGTTTCAAGGGGCCACCTGAGCATCGCCTCTTTTGGTCGTTTCAGCCCCATGCCTGCAGCCTAATCAAAGCCGCCGCAACAAGTCACCGCCTCGAGCCAATCAGTCCCTCTGGTATCCAAGAGATGGACATCACCTGTGAATGTGACTGGACTATGTGACTACGCCTGGTCATCTGGCGCCGGCTTCAGGCTGATCCCGCCTGAGTCAAGCACTTTTCTGGAACCTTTGCACCCCAGATTTAGGGGCTGTAGGCACATTCTGCAGAGTCCAATGCGCTTTGCAAAATTTTGTTATGTCAAGAATTGACGGTGGTATCTTCGTCGTGTGCAGAGGGAATTTGTCGTCACGAGCACACGCTTTTATATCAACGATTTGTTCCATCTTGTGGTCAGCGAGTCCCTGGTTCTCAACCTGCTGTAAGACGACGCAGCAAACACGTAGGAATAGGATTGGCTTCATCTACGTGGAACAAAAAGCTTTGGCATAAGCTCCCGGACACCGCCTAGTTCTAAGGCTACAACACAGGACCACAACGGTGTCGAGTCAGTATCGTCTCCGGCACCATGGGCTCTAAGGCAGCAGTCGCCGAGACGGCTCCCTCTCGCCCAATTGCCATGGTGTCGCTAGATGGAGGCGGCGTTCGTGGACTGTCATCATTGCTCATACTACGCATGTTACTCATCCTTGTCACCGAAGAGCTCGCCAAACGCAACGCAATCCCCAAAGATCGAACCACCCTCAACCCCCAGGATGTTTTTGACATCGCGGTCGGCACCAGCACCGGTGGCCTGATTGTTCTGATGCTTGTCAAGCTCAACATGTCCATTGATGAGTGCATCGAACAGTACAAGATCCTTTCCGGGCGCATCTTTTCCAAGGAACGGTCGGCTATCAAGAGGGTGTTTGGCGACTGGTCAAAGTTCTCGGGAAGAGAGCTGCAAAAGTCGATCGAGAGTCTGCTGGCTTCTCGGGGGCATCCGCCTGATCTCAAAATGCGTAGCCCGCATCCAAACAGTATGCAAGGAACTGTTCTTTGCCACGAAAGACCCAACCCTCATCCTATCTTCTTCTGCACCCACGAGTGCCAAGGACCGTACCGACAACAAATCCTCGACTGTGACCTGGAGTTACGGCAGGCAGCTCGAGCAACTTCGGCAGCTCCGTCGTATTTTGAACCGATGATCATCCGAGGGCGCTCGTTCACAGACGGCGGTCTCGGCGAGACCAACAACCCATCTTGGGAAGGCAAACTGCACTATCACAAGAACCACGGGCTGAATGAGGACGAACAGCTCGTGATGATCAACATTGGGACAGGGACTTTGCCACAGGAATTCTTCCAACAGCCGTTGCCAACACGACCATGGTGGGCCAAGCTGATTCCAAATGGAGTGGTCGATGCACTCGGTCTAGTGGCAGATCTAGTCAAGATTGCGACGGAATCGGAACAGCGGGCGATCGATCTGTCATACATTTCTAGCATCATTCCGAACCAGTTCTTCTTTGATAGATTCAGTGCCGACACTGGACTTCATCACATCAAGCTCGACAATTGGAGAGCTGTCAAGGATACCGATGGTCCCAGCGAGATTGAAACCAAGACGAACGCATACCTCAAGAAGCCAGAAGTTCGAGACCGCCTCGTAATAGCTGCGAGAAGGTTGGCGGATGTTTATGTCACACGCAACAACAAGCCGGTGTCCCGATCGAGCACTCTGTCCGAAGAGATTGCCTCGGTCCTACCTCAGGGGTCGTCACTAGAAGATGTTGCCAGAGTCGACCTCACCATCCAACTTGGCTATGACACCCCCTCCGAACGGCTTCAATCTCCAGGACGCCGCAGCATCGTGCTCAACCATCCAAGCGCTGAGAAAGCTCCCAGCTTGATCACCGGTTCCGACCCGACTCGATCCGCAGAAACGTCTCAACCGCCCACGCCAAACCCGGCTCCCAAATCCCTCTCGAACCACCATGAAATCACCGTCGAGCCTGAAGAGTCGGACTTGCAAGGTGAAGGTGATCAGTTCGACGGGACCAAGGACGTTCCCATCACACCGCTATTCGCCTCGTCAGGACGATCACCCACCAGGAAACCGAAGCGGGCATCTACGTATCCTCCACGGTCCAGCCCGGTTGAAGATTAATCGGGTCATGATGAACCACGGTGCCGTTCCAGCTTATTAGTATTGTGACAGGAGCATGTTGAAGCGTTCAGCGTCGGATGTAATTTTAGTGGGGCACAAAAAAAAAGGAAAAAGACTTTCCATTGCAAAGCAGTTATCTATGCGTACAAACAGGTATAGGGGGGTTCGCCAGGTGCGGCGCATTTCGGTATATGTAGAACCGGTTGATGAGAGCGGTCATGATGGACGCATTCTCTCAGATACCTGTCTGAAATCATCTCTCAGTGCCAGTACCACCAGGGTCGTTGTCGGGATATCAAGAGCGTGGCTAAAACGAGTCCAATCAGTCACTCAAGGTTTGGTGGGTTGTATGTACCTTTGACGAGGAAAAAGGCATTTGAAATGTTGAGGCCACCAGCCTCCATTACTGACTACCCTTGTATGGGCTTGTATGGGCATGTATGGGCTCCTCGTTGGCTGGTTAGGTTGATACAATGGGCGGCGAATGAAAATACTTCGTTTGACGGTGATGATGACGGTGATGTCGATATTTAATTGTACGAGTACGAGTACCTACCTACCTACCTACCTACCTACCGTTGAATCAATGTGTACCTACTCACCTACCTTTCTCCCTACCTGCATAACAGTGTTGTTGGTCAACGGTCCCTCAAGGACCTATGGGACCCACTGGCTCTCGGTAGGAGTTGGTGACTGATCCGGTTCCACAAATACTGGGTATATACAATATAGCAAGGCTGAGTCCTGACGCGTGACGTGATGCCTGTAGGCTAGGGAAAGTAAGGCGGGTAGTACATAACATAACACCAGCTAGCGAGTTCCATTATATACATACATGACGCGGCTACGTTATATATCCCAAAACCATTCCCTGGTCATATCCATCCATGTTCCCACCGTTTCGACGGATCGACTTGGGCGTTCTCCTTTTGCAAATCATCAATCATGCTCTGCAGAAACAGATCCGTCCTGTGCGGATCGTACTGTCGTAGGTAGTTCGTGTTGCCAAAGTAGTAGCTGTCGACGTCGAATTCGGAGGGCTCAATCTCCGACCGGTCGTCGTCGTAGTGCGAACTGGCGGCGTACGACGGCGGTTTGGGAGAGTCCATGCGTGGAGAATATGGAGGATTCGGGAGGATGAGGACGACGTTGTCGTCGTCGTCGTTCTTGTTGTTGTCGTTGGGAAGGTACGGCTGTTGCTGCTGCTGGTGTTGTTGCTGTCGTTGCTGTTGGAAATTTCCCCAATGCTGTGAAGGCGAAGCAGGGATTCGAGGTGTCGTCGCACCGCCGATGTACGGCGATCGCTCAATCACGGGCGACAATATGTCTGGTTGGCGGCGACGGTGGTTGCTGCGGTACCTTCTTCGAGACGGGGTGTATGCAGGTGCAGGGGCGTGGTAGCGTTGCTGCCGCAGCTCCTCGCTCTCGTCGGGATGCTCTGACTTTTCGTAATGGTCAATGACCGCGTCGTACGACTCGACGCTTCCTATCTCGTGGACTTTGCTGAGGAGTAGCTCGCTCCAGTTGTCGTCGTCCCGGTCCTTTTCGGGCGCGCAGATGACCGGACCCGGTTCGTCGAGACCTTCCCACTTTCCCGACGCCGCGTACTCGTACCGTGGCGGGCTTGTCTCGAAGCCTAGCTCGTGCCCGAAATCTCGGGACGTGTTGGTACTCTTGACGGATCGGGTGGCTCGGAGGCGACTCGAGCCGAAGGCCCAGAGGTCCCACATGACCATGCCGAAGGAAGGTAACGAGGCGGTGATGATGCTCAGGTTCATCGAGACCTGCACCCACGTCTGTAGAGTGACCATGTTCCATGTCAGATCCTTGGAAGCCATCACGAGTCGAAGGTGGTAGAGTTGAGGAGCTGCGACTAGCGGCAGAACGACCCTCGAGCCAAGCAGCAAACATACAAAGACCCTTTGGTCGCGGGTGGTTGATGCTCTGCAAATCATTATGACGGGTAGAATGAGCGTGACGGCATCGATGACGATGTCAGCAATGACAAAGGACGTAAAGAATGTTTGCTACGGATTTGATGGTCAGTAAAGCAATAGACAGGTACGTCAAACCGGAGAGACAAAGATTCAAAAAACAAACATACTCGGTCGACACATCGGTCGTCTGCCACTAACCATGGCGTTGGAAGGGAGCATTGGAAAGCAAGGATAGCCAGCGCAAGCGCCGAGTATATGACAATGATTCCAAGTAAGCAGTTGCAGCCAATTCGGACCGGCCGTGGTGGCTCGACATTCTTGATAATCAATACTACAATGACTTGACCGAAGGCGAGTACAAGTCGGGTAAGGAGATTCGCGGCGTAGATGAGCTGATCCAAGGAGAAAAGTCAGTAAGTGCTACTTGATCGAACCACATGTAGCTCCTTCTCTAGTCCAATTATCAACACAACATACCTTTTCGAATGTTGATACCTGATCCGCATCCAACGTGTCGACATGTCGACCGAGGCCATTCGAGATGGCCGAGCGTACAAACACGGTCTGTGCCAGTAAAAACACCTGTATTGTTTGTTTGTGATGAGCCGCCCAAGTCCTCTGTACAACGCACACGAAACCGAATGGGTGTTACAACTCACCAAAGCAATGGGCAACAAGATGTCGGTAGATTCGACGATCCGACTGATTCGGTGTCTCGCGACTCCACGCACTGTTACCACCAGGACCGAAACACAAGCGAGAACGATTGTGAGGATTTCCAGAATGGATCCATGGTACTGCTGTCCGTCTCCTTTCGCCTGCACCTCGCTCGCCATGAAGTCGACAACCTCCGCGCCAGAATAGTTGCCTGGCTAAACCATCAAGGAACGAAACAGTAACTGTCTGAAGAAAAGAGCGTCGTCGACGAAAAAGAGCGATGAAGAGAAGAGTGTAGATGGTCAACGCGAGAACAGACCACCACCCCCAGGGAGGTATATGAGGCGTGGTGGGCTCCTCAGAACCTTTAAGGTTTTCGGCACGGGGTACGCACGAGCAATCGGCAAGCCCTCAGTCGTCGCGTACCAGTTCGAGGAACGGGTACGAGTGGGACAGCCAACAGGCGGGCGGGAGCAGCTCTCAGCTTTGGGTGATGCCATTCTGCATGCCCACAGCCCCTCATGTCATAGGCGGTGCACTGACGACGAAAAAAAAAGCAGGGTAAGAAGACAAGGTGAAGGGGATGTCACCGGCTGGCATCGATAAGGTCATAGGGTGGTGGTCAAGGCGGCACCCAGATGATGCAGAGACATCACGTCCGAGGCTGTCCTTTGGACGTCAAACTACCCGATTCGACCGTGACTAGAAGGGACGAAATGAACCAGGGGCACTGACTTGGACAGATCGATCTCGATTTCAGTCTTTTAGGGTTCCCAGAACGACAACGAGAGGAGATGGGGCTTGGAGCTTTCAAGTCGAACTGAGGATGGGCGGAGTTTGTACAGGTCAAGTCCTCCGCAAGCCAGGGGTATATGCAATCCTGTTACAAGATGTCTTAACTTGTCAATCGATCCCGAAAGGTAAAATCTTCAGTCGGCAATAAGTCGCGTCTGCCCGGAACAGAGGACGGAGTACAGTATTTTGACTTTTGCTCCTTGAGGAATAAATAACAACAATAATAACAGAAATCGAATCGGACGAATTTTGTCGCGTGGTCATAAGAGTGTCCGGGCGGCTGGCGTGCATGGTGTTCATAGCGATTGCAAAAGGGCTCACACTCGTCATTCTTGAGAGCTGTGCTGCTTTAGAACCTGGTATCTGCATCTCCAGGGCCTTGGATCAGAACCAGGCTCGAGTGGTTCGGGAGCCTCTCGGGTTCTGGGTTCACGCGTTTGACAGGCGATTTGAAGTGGATTTGAGGCTGGTCGACGCATGAAATTCCCAGCCCGCGACGCCTCTGGGTTGTTTGCTTTGGGTTTAGCGTCGACTTGGCATGGCTAGTGGCGCCTGGACAACTGTCCCCCCTTTCTGTCGTTTTAGTCCAGGTATCGTCGGTCTCATTCAACAGAGCCTCACTCACCTGTCCGTTGGACCGTAAGGGGAATCTTGCTACGTGCATCGACTACTCTCGAAAACTCTCTGCCAGTGGACGGCTCAACTGAGTCGCAGACGTGATCTTCTCGCCACGAGTCTCTGCAATGGTGCCTACGGAGGTACGGATGGGAGGCGGACGGGGGCTTTGTAAAGGGAATGTTCCAATGACTACAATGTCATCTCCCTATCTGACACTGCTACTAGTTGACATCACCAGCTCCCGACGATGCGGCCAGCTGTTTCCACTACGTCAACCTCCCCCAAAACGAGTGTCCTGAGAGGTGCCATAAGGTCTCCTTGACCTGCAAAATCCGCGTCTCTTTTTCTTGAGCTGTTGACGTGCATCAATTGTTGCCACCTAGACGGACAAAGGTGTCACGCAGGTTCAATTGACCGAACCAGAGCCGTCTTTGGAACAACACCTCTTGCAAAAACGTCTTCATGTTGTCTAGTGCCCGGTCCAATCTTGCAGATACCCGAGCAGGGTCGATGCCCATGGCACCCGGAGTCGTCTGCAAGTTTCTCAACAGTAGTGCGGTGGCAATGGTGTCCTTGGTGACCGCCTCAAATCTAACCAGAGCTTCGTCCATGTCGTCCAGCGCGCGGCGGAGGTTCATCATCTGTTGCATGTCCCATGGTTCAAGAACTCCGTAAATTGGAGTGCGCCGGCCGCCGCTGCCGCTGGCTTGGACTGTCAGTGCCATTCGCCTATATCGTAACTGATGGCTGTTGCTCAGGAGCTGTTGTTGGAAAAGGATGAGGTGCTCCCACATGTCTTCTCGGACGTGGTTCTCGGCCAACTCACGGAGCCTGTTGATGAGGTCCTCTCCGGTTCTGACTTGTGTTGCCACTCGCTGTTCAAGTGGCCTTAGATTCTCAAGTTCTACCCACAGAGCTCCAATATGAGCAAAAAATCGTTGTTCTTACAGAGGCCGACGCGAGGCCCCAGTTCCCTCCATGTTTGGCTCTTGTCGTTCTCTTCCGAAAGACCCTTGTTGCTGTCTTCTTGCCCGCTGTGGCGAGCCAGTGTTGTCGTTGGTGTTGGTGTGAGTCCTGTGGAAAGCGTACCTGGCCTCTGCATTTGGTTCGGCAGAGAAGTCATTAGGGGCCGGTCTTGGCGGAGGTGTGGTGAATGCAGAGCGGGTGGCAGCTGGTCGGGGAGGAGGAGGATGAGGATGAGGATGAGGAGGGTGAGGAAAAAGAGGATGGCGAGACTGCCCCTGCAGCTCCTGGTCGTATGCTGCTCGCGCGGCGGGATCAGAGAGGACTTCATATGCCCGGTGGATCCTGACGAAATCTTCGGTCTGGCCACCTTTGTCCGGGTGGGTTTTGAGGGCGAGTTTTTGGAAAGACGCCTTGATCGTCGCAAGGTCTGCTGTCTGCGCGACGCCGAGGACAGAATAGTGAGTGTTCATTGTTTCTTTCTGTGCACGCGTCCTTCCTCACTCGCGATGGGAACCTGACGGTGTGGGAGGAGTTTGAGTGGGGGAAGAAGGAGAAAGTCGCGACGCAGGCATGAACTCACTGTGCGAGATTGACGGTCTGAGTAAGTGAAGAGCATCACGAGATATCAGTGAACAGGAGATGGTGGTCATCACAACAGTATTGTGAAGTGGTCCAAATCGTGAGTACTACTTTGACAGGGCAAATTACCATGGGTTGGTGATATGGAGCGAAAGACACGGCTTCACTTGAGTGTGACTACTTGACCTGGTGTAGAATACTTGCGAGTGCATTCACACATAGTTACAATAGTGCCTAACAGATAGATATAAAGTGAAAAAGGGGTGTGATTGTTAAGGGTGGTCACCTCATCCAGAAAGGCGAGGAAGAGATGTCTACCTAGTACTCCGTGTAGTGTCCTACATTATGCACAGTGTGCTCCGTACAGGTAAGGTGTTGTTGAGATAGAGGATACATGTCAATCTGCCACCCCCTTGGTAATGGTTGTGCTTGGTTATCTTGATCTCTCGGCGTCTGATGAGTTCAACACCCTTCATCTTATGCTCTGTGTATACGGACCCCTCTCCTACCACGAGGCATACTCTGTCACCTCTTGATACTAGCGTACCCAACATCCTCAACACACTACTCGTATTGTGCTTTTGTGTACAGACTTCACCCCCGGAACAAGGGCCGCACTGACTCGCCTTGATACCCAGACACTCACCGATCTCACCACCACCAAAACCACCACCACCACCACCACCATGTGAGTGAGATCTTTTGCGTCCAGCGGTCTGCTATGGGGGACAATCAAACCAGTCCTCTACGTCTCTCTGCCTCGCCAGACCTTCCTCATGTCTAATCATATATATCACTCTTCCCCTCCTTGATATTTGTAGTCAGTCACCACCACGCACAGTGACCAGGTACCCTGGAGTTGGTTGGATCTTCCTTCTTGCCTGTTCTCACGGAGCCCGCGACATGTCCCACACAAACACTTACTTGTACCGGATGTACGGCTTGTGTAATTTACCCACCCGTTCTCGTATCCGTCTTTGTACGGGCCATCCATGGTTACCTTGGAATTTACCCGAGTCAAGCCTACAGTAGGTACTGTAGGCCCCCACACCGTGTAACTACTACTAGGTACATAATAGTACTTTTGTCCGTTGGTCAACGTTCTTTCGTTCTTCTGCTTGGCCTTATGCATGTTCCAGAACAGCCACAGCCGGGCCCTGGGCCAACGCCAAACGGTCTACACCAAATGCCTATCCGCCGTGCAATCAACAGTCTACTCGACCTAAACTTGTACCCAACTTGTCGACTTCTGGATGATCTTCCACCTCTGCATGACGTATGACTGTGCAGAGTACTTGGTTCCCCCGTAACCGAACTCTGTTTGCACAGCCACATACTTGGTCTTTTTTCTCTTCTCTAGTTCTTCTCGCCACATCCACCCCTTCTCTCTCTCTCCACAAACGTTGATCTCTACCGACCTGGACCTAGACCTGGCCTAGACCTGACCTAGACGTAACTACTTCTACACGGTCGCTACCATGCACGGCGACAACTACTGGACTTTTGAGCCGCGTGTACCCTACTCCACCCTCTGTACACTACGGGAACTCAATTCGTACCGAGACAATCAATCAACATCCAAGGGACGTTGTGAACTATTTTCCGCATCCTCGTGGGCTTTTATCATTAGCCATCTACGAGTACCTGCCTAACGAACAAACTCGTATTCCGTGCGGGCCGCCTGTTGCTCAGTCTCTTTCTCCCAGGTCTTTTCGTCTGCCTAGACCTCGACTCTGGAAATGATCGCCACAATCGCCACAATCGCCACAATCTTGTCTCTCGTCTAGCGATTCAACGCATAATCGTTTTCCCCTTCTCTCCCTCGGTTATAGAAGCCATTCACCAACGCATGAAGGAAAAAATGGCCCATGTAGCCAAAATTAGATGGTCGAATACATTGATCCTTAGTGGGTAGTTGTGACCTCTCTCACACGCCACAAGGGGAAAAGATAATTTCTGACAAGGTGGGTATCTCGAAAGTTCATGTATCTCGTAAAAATGAGTAAAGCGGATCGTTCCTTCAGGGACCCGTGTATCATCCCGTCATTCGAATCGTCCTGTCGTGTACTGGAAAAGAAAAAAGATTGCATGGTAATAATATGGCGTGTGTGTTCGTGAATACAAGGCAAAAACAACTCGCAAGATACCTCCTCCTTCTCTACCTTCTCTTGTCGCGGAAACCAATATACAGACCGTCCGTGGTCAATCAAATGACGAAAAAGAAATCCCAGTGTGCAACTGGTAATGGCTTCGCGCCATCGGGGGTATCAAATAGTATCGCGTTGGCTTCTCGACAGGCAAAGCCAGAATGATCTTGTAGTAGTTTCAAACATGCCGTAGGAACTGTCGTCGTGTTCGTAATGGAAATTAGGTAAACAATAAATAGATGTTCAAGTCTGGATGCACTGCAAAAGGAGTGAGGGCATTCGGTCGGTCAATAATTCAGCCACATCTCCAGAGGATCCAGGATCGACGTGTCGGTAGGTCCAATGTCACCATCCACCATGACTTCGGTGCTGGATCGGGCAACAAATTCTTGTTTCTGGGATGAATCGGGCTGGCCTGGGGTGAATTCGACAACCATGTCCTGTCCTTCGGCCAGTTCTCGGACGACATCTTCGTCGACAATGATATGTAGTCCTCGGGAGTTGATATGGGTCACTTGGGTGACCCGATAAGCATCTATGTTGAATTTCTCCGCGATGCCATGAATTAAAGCCTTGACCGTTCTTTCCATCAGATAGACCGCCCGATAATATTCTTTGGCCGCATCTTTCTGACGCACATAAAAACATGCCACTATGATCGGGTCAGTGAGGAGTACCGTACGAACAAAATCAACATACCTGGTCGGATTGGTTTCTCAATTGGCGGATGGTAACTACTGTCCACGTCGACCGCAAATAGGTCTTTTTTTGATGCCGAGTCAGGTTCCGTCTTCGGTATCTTGATAAGCCTCGACGTCGAGGTCGTTGGCCTATTTTCAGCCTCGCTTTCACCCTCTTCTTGAATCGCCGAATGTTGCAACTGCGAAAATTTCTTCTTCGGAGTTGCCTGGGATGCCGAACTCGTACTTGGAGACCCGGCATTGGATGTGGGTGAGTCTGAAACGCTTGGGCGTGACTCCCAAGTCGTTGTCCTGACGATTTCCTTCATGTCAGGATCGTCACCAGGTAATTTGACCGGATGTAGATCCGGATCGTCCTCTGCATCGCCTCGAAGGAAGAGCACACTAATGGGCCTCGTCGAAGAGAACATATCCTGCATGCTGACCAGCTTCATCTGAAGGTCTTCCTCAGCGGAGAACTTGAGGCCCTCGCTCTCAGAGTCCACTGACCAAGTTCGCTTGTGCTTGACGACTTTGCCTGGTCGAGAACCGGAAGGTTTGGCCACGGATCCGCTTCTTCTCCTCTTGCCAGAATTCACCAAACCTGCTTCAGCTTGGGCAATTTGTTGCTTCAATTTTTCAATTGTCTTCTTCACGTGCGCGACATCGTTCGAGAGCTTCCTTTCCGCGCCATGATCTCGGAAGAGCTTGACTTTGGAGAAGCATACTTCTGGTTCGTTACCGGTGCCGGTCGGGCTGAGGAGCTCGGTTTTCGCGCACAATCTAACCGGGATGCCTTTGACGCCCTTGGAGTGGCTGAAGTCTGTCGAAAGAAAATTGAAGCGCAGCGAGATATTGCAATCCGGGCCACCATTCACAGAGTCAGGAAACCATGTCACTGCAAAGCCGTCAAAAGACGCCTTTTCAAGTTGGACCTGCGCTTTCCGCAGTTCATCATCGCCCAATTCGGGTTCCACGTATTCTACGGCAAGAAGCCTGCCTCCGCGCTGGTGGGCCTCATTTGAGCCGCGACCTTCTTTCCACAGTTGCCAACAAGACCCCGGGCGAGCACGCTGTTGTTCGTCCTCGAACGAAACTCGGACATAGGTGCGGTACTGGAAAGGTGTGTTTCCGGGAAGTTGTGTCATGGGCGGAGTCTGGTCCCAAATCGACATGGTATAAGCCTGGCCTTTATTGAGGTAGGTGATGGGAATTTCGTCTGCATGTCGAACCATTGCTGTGGGCGCATTCAGCGTGGTATGGAATCGAAATCTAAGTCAAGCATTAGAAATTGGCTGGTAGAACGACAAAGGTACTCACTGCTCGCCCATTGGTAGGCTAGTCATTCCAACCATGCCTGGCATGGACTGCTGGATAGAACGGCCCCTGCTCAACTGTCGCTGGCCTCCCATCTCAAGCTGTGTCGGGGTGGTCTTTTGCGGGGTGTCGTCCATTGCGACGTAGCCAGAATCCTGATGTTGAAGAAACTGCTGGGGTGCAAAAGCCTGTGGTTGCTGTGGTGGCGGCACATGCACGGGTGCTTGCTGGTGGAACGGGTCGTGAAATACATGAGGTTGGTGTAAGAGGTGAGGGTTAAAGTGCTGGAGATGCATCATGGGATCCTGCGCGTGCAGGCTATGAATAGAGTGCGGCATGGACAATGGTGTATTCATCCCCATGCCCGGCGTGTGCAGGTCGCCGGCTTGGGGATGATAAAGGGTTCCGAAGCCACCAGGTGTAGGGGTGTAGTATCCGGGCGGTTGGTTTGCAAAGGCTGAAAACGCGAACGAGTTGGGGTCCATGATGGAAGGCGTGAATCTCCAGTTGTCGGCGAATGGTTTGGGCGTAGCATCCTGTTCTTTGGCTTCTGGCTGAGTGTCGAAGCCCCTGGAGAAGTAGTCAGTATCAGTCGTGACGTCCTCTTCGTGGTCGGAAGAAAGAAGAGTGGGTGACATGGTGAGAGCTGGGAGACATTCTACCGCGAGCATGGCGGGAAGGAAGGGCGGGTGAAGATGTTGAAACAGAAAAAGAGATCGAGACTTACGGTTGAGTGATAGCAGGTTCATCGACAATCGCCTCGCTTAGAGTGGACGATCGGCGGGCAGGCTCTCCCTTCCCTTGCACAGCTGACGATGATCCAGGACCAACATCGGGAAAGGACTGCTTGAAGGCTTCGTACAACCGCTCGTCGGGTTTGTGACTACTGCGCCTGTGCAAAAGAGGTGACGGTCAGTATGCGCGCTAGGTCAACGACAAGTGAAACGAAAGGATCGAGGGTGCATGCAAGGACGAACCGATTGCGAAACATTTGCGGCGGAGGCGGCGTCTCAGGCTGTGAGTCTCAGAGGGACTGGGGTCAAATCAACGACATTCGGACGTCTAATGGTCGAACGTGGTGATGCCACTTAGCGTAGCGGCATGAGTGAGAGATGATCGGGTCCGGGAGGTTGAAGTTCAGAGAGGCCAGACCAGGATATGTGTGGTGGTTGAAAGTTGCTGCGCCTTGCTGCGTGCGCGTTTGACTATGTATGTCTAAGATGCCAGCGTCCCGCGTAATAACACCGAGTGGTAGTAGAAGGAGAGCACCACAGCGAAATGGACAGGGAGGCTGTATTTCAATGGCCACGAAGCGACATGAATGATCGACAAACGTCCCGGGGAGCACGAATGAACAAAAGAGTCGAGGCTTTGCGGTTCTGAGGTCTCAGGTAGGGCAAGGTCGGTTGAGATGAGGTGAGGTGTATGAGGTACCGGACGGAGTCAGTGAAGTCTTCTAGTAGCTTCAAACGACCGGGGTGTGGCTGCTCGACCTAACTAGTAGTCCGTGTTCCTGGTATGTTCCCACGGGCCTGGATGGTCTTTTCTCCTCGGCGGAGTCGAAGGAAACAGTAGCCGTTATGATTGGGGGGAAATAGATTCAAGGACGGTTGAAGTGGTCCGTCAGCAAAGTGGGTTTTCCTCTGGCGGACAAGGTGAGTGCGCGAGAGAAGGCAGAGACGAGAGTCGAGGTACGGAACATGACTAGCACTGTAGGAGGAGGATCGAAAGGGCGACAACGAGTAGTCGATCCAAGGTGCAAGTATGCTGGAATTGGCCGTACAAGGGTTGAAGTGGCCTAGAGGGCTAGTAGCCTGTGGTCATAGTGTTGCAGGGGGCCGGGTTTAGCCTTTGGAGCCTAATTGCAAGTGCACTAAGTCCCTATCGGTTTAGGCCCCGGTTGGGTCAACTTAGGCATCGACGCAACTGTGGCACCCGTGGCTCCTCACCCACCGCGCCCCCTTCCATTGGCGAGCAGCGCCCGGAGCCATGCGATCGAGAGCCCATAACCGTGGCGTCAATTTCACTCCAGCGACGTGGCTGTTGCGTGGGTAAACCGTAAGACGCTGTCCCCCAGTCGTCCGCGCCTCTCTCTATGGAACTGGTGTGCTTGGTCCTGTTGACGGTGATTGACTGCACCCAGTATGGGCAACTCTTCTCGCCCACCTTGTGCCAGGATTGTCTCTCGTCCCGTCGTCCCCGTCTAGACAGTGATCGGCTTGATCGACGCCTGCACAGCCACGCGTCCTGCTGCATGTCTCTCCTGCCGCTGCCACTTGTGGCTAACTAGGTGGCGAGACTGTGGCGGGTGCAAAGCCTATTACGTAGTCAAGCCGGAAGACTCAACCTATTGTGCCTAGTGGCTGTGGCTGGTGACCACCGCCCCTTCGCACAAGACACCCACTGGTGTATACGTCCCTAGGGAGGTACAGTAGGCTAGGTGCTACAGTACCACACAGACACCTATAGGCTGCAGGCCTCCCGTGCCCGCAGCTGCTATTGTACTGGGCCGTCCGGGCTGTTTCCCACTGTCCTCCCGCGCAACCCTCTCGATTCTCCTCACATCACATTCTTCAATTTCCCATGGCTCCAGGGATCCATTGCTTCGATTCCCGATGGGCTGATGAAACGCGCGATGAACAAACCTTGTGCTTTGGCACCCACGGGCCACCATGGCAGCCACTGGACTGCGGTATCGAGATCACGCAGCCAGGTGTTCGTCACATCATCTCTAGCCGACATCGAGCAACTCTTACTGTCACATCCTTACCGATGAGCGACCATCGGATCAACCTCTTCAATCTGCATCGTACTCCGTATTAAATTGTATCCGCGTCACTAAACTCGTATCGACATGGCGGATCGGCGGGCACGTGTGAAGCACCGGTCATCATCCTGCTGCTATTTTTTCCCGGAGTGCCTCATCCTCTCTGCCGATCACTCTCACTAATAACAGCGTCGGGGTTCCGGCTAACAGTATGCACCAATGGCCCGATGGGTTGAGCCCCTCCGGCGACTTGTCGATTCGAGCAGCTCTCCCGCAAGACCCTCTTGGGACACGCAACGCCAGAAGGACGAGCCTCTTGGCCAGAGGAAAAGACCCCATTGAAAGGCTCAAGTGTGGCGCGCCGTCTGTTGCTCGTCTCGGAATTTCGGCTCATTATGCGCAGTCGACGGTGGGAAATGACCAGCTGCGATAAAGTACCAAGACGACACGGGAGGAGGAAAAGTTACAGTACTAGCTATGATGCCTACGAGTACGACACAGAGGGGACCGAAGCCACCTGACACTTTTTTGTGGTGCGCCTCCAAACACACCGCCAGATTCGTCAACGGTGCAACAGCCGAAATTACATCATGGTGGCTTTTCCTTTACTTGTGTCTGCCCAACCACGCGCTGGCTGTGTGTCCTACGCAGACATGAAACACGTCGGGTGCACGAAAATCAAATGAACACGGGTGGTCAACTGACCCTTTCTAATCTCTCTCACAGAGCTGAGAACGGACATCTTAGCTGCATTTAACCGGATGTCCAGGGCCGCGATTTTCGTCATGGGTTTTTAATTTTCCCCCCTTCGCAACCATCGAGCCAACGATCAGAGTGTGTGTGCTGCAATGCCGATAACACGTCGTCCTTGCCGGTGGTTGGACCATGCCGGGGGTCCGTCGTCGACTAGGTCCGATGCACTACCCAGCCTTGGACTCTAAGCGCCGAAAAGGTAACAGCCGACAAGTCGCAGCCAAGTCGTAGATGAGGTCATGATCCTCTACGAGTTACTCCGTTCAGCGTTGCTGGTCACGAACATGGCGATTAGAAGTTGATCCGATACCTGGGCATGCAAGATGTGCAGCACCTGCGGAATATTGATCGCCAAGATAGCACGAAATCACTGTGGTGCTGTTCAATTCTGTGTCGGGTGGATTCGCACCATCACACTCTTTTTGCCAAAAGCGCTACGGTAATCTCGATTCGAGACATTTGGAACGCAGATGGAACGATTCCCAACGGCTTTGTTGGCGCATTTGGGGGTTCCACGAGGCACCCCAATAGTTCCGGTAAGCGAGAGCGAATCGAGCCTTTCTCCTCTCAAGACTCCAAAGGACCAAGAGTCAAGCGGCGAGGGTAGAATCTCCATGTCCGCCATATCCCCCGGTTTGTACGAGTAATAGAAAAGGGTTGGTTGTCACTGGTCACCGTCCACTGGTTAGTGGTTAGTGGTCACTGGGTCATCGAGAGGGACGTGCGACTGGAAATTGCTTTTGCATTTCGTAAAGTTGGGCGGAGGGCGCGAGGAAGTTCATCCCTACGGATACATCACTGACTGTCCCACTGTCCAGCACATATTTACCTTTCCTGAGGTATGGACGGAGTGCTCGTAGTCTGTAGGTAACAGGACCAACAGGGCACTTTTTTCCGCAGCAGTCACTTACATATCAACTGCGCGACAACTTGGAAGTACTGACTACTACTCAACGCATTTTCGGTACTCCGTCCGGAGTAAGTTAAGGTGCTTGCACAGCGGACAGCGGATAGGATTTCCCTTTTTCCCTCGATTTTACCTGTGTGGGCTTTTGGGGGGGTTTACCTTTTTTTAGAACACTTTGCTTTGAAAAACAAACTTTGCTGCTGTTCCAGAGTCTCAGCTTTGGCGGCGAGAATCCAGACTTCAGCCCAGAATGTTTCCCCGAAAGTATGTAAAGTAAAAACCCCAAAACCTTGACAAACTCCGTAAGTACCTAGGTAGGTACTTTTTGATCTTCTACTGCGCTACACTAGCAAGTCACTTGAGATAGTTGAGCACAACCGACAACAAGTGAAAATCTTTCAAGGTACCAGCTTTATTTTTCCCCCCTTGTCGAGGAGGTCTAACTGTAGGTACGGTGGTAGAATACTTGCTCCGGACGACCGTAGAGGGTATTAACAGTACCATCACCGTCTTGGTATCTTTTCTTACTCGCCCTTGCACTCACTGCCTTGTAGGCACCTACCTGAGGTAAGGTGACTCTTTTGGGTCGGTGACTGTAACTAGTACTCAGCATCCGTACTCATCAGTACGTACTCCGTGCTCCGTACTGCCTCTTCCGGACTCCGGACCGGCCGAGACGAAAGTTGACTAGGTGGTTAGCAGCTCATCTCCATTCCCTCAGCTGAGAAGAATCTTACAGTAGGTAAACTACGCCACACAATACCTTCCCCTTACCTAGGTACGGAGTACCTACAAAACCCTACCTCGACTCGGAGCAAGGAGGATGGATCCCAAAAGTCCAAATTGTCCAAACCAAAAGAAAGTGTCCAAGCGTCCTCCAAAGTCCAAGTCCAGACAGGGATTCCCCCCCCCCCCCCCCCCCCCCCCCAATTCTACCCAAATAAAAACTTGTCCAAAGCACCG